ACAAAGTCTCTCTTGTAATTTCACTGCTCATTAAATGCAACCGTCTCCATTGATGCAAATAAAGCTCATAAGATTTCCTGTGTGGCATCAGTGGGATTTTGATCCTAGTATAAGGATTTCTTATTCATGTAAATAAGAAAGTAACATTTAAGGATTGAGTCGTGATGTAAAATGCCAAGATTATGAGGCACAAGTTTGGCTGGATCCCCCCTTGTTTCAAGACTATAGTCCTCAAAGCAGGCTGTCCAGACACCTTTGAACCTGCAGCACTCTGCTGCATTTCATCCCCCTCTCTTTTTTTCCAGCGTCTTTCTCTATCCTCTTTCCTATCCTGTCCAATAACGATCATTTGAACGAGAGGATGTATGTGTGGGCTGTGTTGTGATGTTGGACTTTCTTCGAAAAGGCTCAGGCCATCACTACAGTGCAATAGCAATAGCAATTTTATACATAAAGCACAATTCATTTCAAGTAGGCCTCATGCACTTTATGTTGAGGATAAAAACAGAGGAACAATTGATACAAAACACACAACAAGCACCAGACACACCACAAAGCAATCAAACACAAAAAACACAAGAAAAATGAAAACCTTACAAAGCAATCCTGCCACTTGACGTCATATTTTAACACGCACAAAGTAACTATACAAACACTTTGGACAATAAACAAAGTTTAATTTTAGTTTCAAAAGTAGAAATGCATTTGATGGACCTCAGGCTTGCAGGCAGTTTATTCCAGACTGTTATGTGATTGTGGTCACAGTCAGAAGACTTCCACCTGATGACCTTAGGGACTGAATTGGGTTGTAGTGTTTGAGAAGGTCAGAGATATAAGATGTCTGAAAAGTTTTGAATATCTAGGGTTTATATGTTAGCTACATTTTAACGCTTCAATGGCATGAGGAATTATTTGTGAGAATTTTACTGCCCCATGTGGACAAATAAATATTTGTCCTCTATCTGCTCGAGGCAAGGTCCTTAAAAAATGTCATCCTGCAGGCTTTTGACAATCAAACGTAATTTGTATTGTGAATATTTCATGTGGAAATTGTAAAAACGGGGTTGTCTGTTCTGCTGCTTGACGGGCACCTACCGCTTTGCAGCTGATTTCAGGCACAAATAACAATTAAGATATAAAATATTGTCAATCTTGCTGCTGATGGTCTTTTTTGTTTTAGAATATCTTGAAGAGTCGTCGTTGTGAATTACAATTTATTTCTTGAAAAGTTAAAAAATTAAATAAAAACACCACAGGAGCTTTAAAATAAAAATTTGATATTTTCAAGGTTTGGGTGGATTTTGGTATCTTTTGTGTCAGAAGTTAACTTAAATGTTACCGTTATCATGGTGTGTGCTCCATGCACAAAGGCAACAGTCCTCCTCTAAACCTCATTCCTTACTCTGTCATCCCTCTGAATATTATCTGTCCTATCCTCTCAATACAGGCATGAAAACTCTAAAATGAGAGTAAAAATGTAAACATTTTTTTATTTTAGTTCAAGTTCAAAATCTTGTGGCTTAGCTTTTTGACCCCACTTTTTTTTCCCCAAAAATGTCATCCCAGCCCCAAAGATTTCCAAACCGCTCCCTCTCTGTGCCGTGCAGGCAGTGTGATCATGTGTGCGTGTCATGTGAATGTAGGCTAATTCAGCGCCTTGCATGTTTCTACTCCTGGACAATGAAGCTTGAAAGAATACATCAATCTTTCATGTCATCTCAGAGAAATAAGTGGTTACCCCTGCTCTCTCTCTCTCTCTCCTTCTCTCTCTCTCTTTCTCTCCCTCTCTCAGCAGGACTCTACTCCTCCTAGTGGTGATGATGCAGTAGAAGAAGAAGAGTCAGCAGCCAGCTCTCTTTTTTTAACAACTTCACTCATGCTCGTTTATCATCATGAGTTTTTATGTGCCCATCAACGCAGTGCAGATATGGAATCGGCCATTAATGACTACACAATTAGAGAGGAGGTTTTAAAGAGCGATATATTTCAATTTAGGAGACATAAACCTAGTGAGTTGGTAACTAATTGTAAGTGCCTCTGGAGTAATGGGAGCCCTTTGAACTGAGGTCAGGATGACTCAAAATCAGCTTCAAACAGCTTTTACTGCCCTGCTTTAGTCGCCCACTCGCTCTGACAGGCCGCTGCGTATCTTATAATGATATACACAGAAAGGAAGTTTTCAAGTTTCAATTAAAAAGCGGGCAAAGTGGCCCACAGTGGAGTTGTTCTGGAGTTCATGGCAGTGAGGGTGGAGACAACGCTTTCCCGCTGAGACTGATGTCTTTGGACAAAACGCCTCTCTCGCTCCATTTGTCAACATTTGTCTGTCTTCTGTCTCCGGCCCTCTTTCTGCTGTCCCAGCATCTGGATACCTTTGGGATGGAGAGGAGAAGAAGGGAGACGAGGCCTGGTTTCATCCCTCTCCTATCCCCCCGCTGCTCCCCAGGGGGTCTGGAGGTTGGTTTGTGATCTTGTATCTCACATGATAGAGACACGTCTAATCCTGTTAGGCATTAATATCTTACAGTGGAATAGAGGAGACATCAGGAGGGGGAACAGAGGAGAAGATGAAAGACAGGATGGCAGAGAAGAGAGGGGAATATGTAAAAAGCTGGCCTACATATTGGTTTTGGGTTAGTGTATACATACCCGTGTGTGTTTTTCTCTGTACCCTCATGGGAACTCCCCGGCTGCTGCCTGCTTCTCTGACAGACTCCTCTCAAGGTGTTTTTTCTCCTCGCTGTCTTTCTCTATCGGCTCCATCTCTGCTCCCTGAGTGAGAAAGTTTACCCTCTAGGCCCCATCTGAGCTCCAGGCCCCCCAAGGCCTCTGCATTCCCAAAGCTCCTCCACACCGGAGCCCCTCAGGCTCCCTGTGGTACCACAGGGAATACCCCTAAGAACCCCTTAGGCCCCTCAGACTGTGCAGCAGCAGCCCTGCACAAGAGAGCTAGCCTGAGGGGAGGGGGAGGATGTTGTCTGGGAATACAACTACAAACATGCTTCACTTAACATTTGAACAGGCCCTGACAGCGCCTCCTGTTGGTGCAGCATTGTTTTAGCACGCAGGCCTCCTTGTAACCCTGTTAAGTTTTCTCTCTGGGGCCTTGACCTTGTTAGCAATCCCTTGGGGCTCATAGAGGCCTCTGTGTGTGCTACATATGCACTGACCTTTCCAGCTCCTGGGGGTTCAACAGCATTTTTTTGGCCCAAAGAATCACAGCTTCAGCTTTGTGTTGATGAGGGACGCACCTGGGACTCCAACATAAGACATACTGAGAAATTATAGAGCTGGTACATAACGTATAGAATCATTATTTAATATATTTGCAAAGAGGTTAAGAAAGTAATTATATGATGACGATCTGGACTCTGCTTTTTATTTGACTTTTATTGCAACTGGGATTTATCTCGACCCTCTTTTATAAAAGAAAGCTTTGTCAGAGTTTGCACATGGATATGAAGGCTGTGAAGCTAGCAGGCCTGCTGCCCTACAGATGTCTTGGGCTGTGCGTTACCAGGTGTACGTCACCTGAGATTACCCACGCTGACACCCCTTGAAGGCAAACAGCCAGCAGTACAGCTGAGGGGGCATCTGGTGGCGTGTGTGCATATGAACGCGTGTGCGAAGGGTTTGTGAGTGTTGATGCATTTAGATCAGTGGAAAGGTTTGACGGAGTGGGATTGTGTGCAGATGTTTGTTGTTCTGTGGATATTATGCTTATAGATACTGGGCAGATTTCCTTCTTTGTGGAATGGGAAACTTTGTGAGTCAGTCACAGGAGTGTGGATCAGGCGGACGTGAAGGTCAGTGTCTGTGCGTTGTTTTAAAGCGCGGGTTTCTCATGCTCTGCTCTGCCTTTGCAAGTTAAGAATGAAGTGGAGTGAGTAAAATGTTCAACTTCGTGGTCCCTCTGATCTCCCTCTGCTTCCTGGTGCCCCTGCAGAGCGAGAACAAAGAGAAGCGCTTCCTAATCAAAGTGCATTGGATTAAGGAGGAGAACATCACAGAGATACTACCTCGCAACCATTAAGTGGATTGGAAAACAACCTGAATCACAACTTCAAATGAGCCGTCTGTGACCCTGAAACAGGAGAATTTTAATCTTTCTGTTAGTTTGGCAAGTGTGAAGGTCTGCTGAGGAAATGAAAAGCGCAGTATGTGTGTGTGTGTGTGTACGCCTTCAGTAAACCATGTGCGAACATGTAGCCAGCAGCTCAATCTACCGTGCCTGTATGTGCGTGTTTACATCACTTCTCCAGGTATGTGACATCAGAGGCCCGCACACAGCCATGCAACAGCTCTTTCTTCCCACACTGGCTCATGTTTTATTAACACACCTGCTGAAGCTGAATCATCTCCTCTCTTATAGAGCCGCACACGAGCTGACACACAACTCCATCCACATCCTGTATATTTGATGAGCTGGGGCCCTGCTCTGTACGTGCCTTCCTGTTTCTCACTTTCCTTGATGTGAACATATTCATTGTGGCCGCTCGGAGCTCAGAGGGCGAGACTGAAGTGGACATGGACTTTATGGGGGCTGAAGTGTCAGAGTACGAGCGGAGTGTGGATTCAAAACAGGCTGATACTGCCATCATGTGGCTACAGGATGTAAAATATAGGACGAGGCTCATACTCAGACTGGGGACTTCAGTGTGTGCGCATGTATGTGTGGGTGTGTGTGTGTGTGTGTGTGTATTGGGGCCCAGCCTCTGCATACAGGGGGGTCAGTGGGTGAAGAACAGCCAGCTGACACTGAGGTATGTGTCTTTTCTAATGAGATTTATCTGGCTCCAGATGTTCCTGGTTATGAAGATGTGTGTCGGAGATTTAGGAGGGTGAGACCTGCACCCTGTCAGAGTCACAGTGGGGTGCTGTTATACTGTCTGTCACCCCCCTCTAAACCCCCCATCCACCACCACCACCACCCCTCATAGGTGGCCTCTTAACCTGACAGCACCAACGTCTCTTCTCTCAAACAAAAACACAAGTCAAAATCTTTGAAAAAGACGCAAGTCCGAGTTTATAAACTTACAAAACACAGAAAATACAAAAAGGAATGTCTATAAATGGAAGCAAATACACCACATATATACAAAGCAAAAAGGTAAGTAGTGCGTATACTAGGAAAAGGAAAAGGTTCACATTCCCAAAGCAAAACTTCTCTGTGTTCAACTTAATGGACGGAAAACACATTGTCCGATTTCCTTAATCCAGTTTTTACATCGTCCAGCACATTGTTTGAGGTGAAGCAACTAACATGATAAAAAAAAAAAAGAAGCCAGTGCAAGTGTACTAAAATATATCCAAAATAGTGTATTAACATCTTCCTCATCCGGCTCTTTAAAGACTCTTTGGCTCAGAAAACTGTGATGATGATGTTGTTGTTGTGTCAGTCAGAGTTTTACATCAAATAGCGCCTCAGTAATCTTGAGAATCACCAGAGTCTCTTCATTCTGGCCGGTGGAGGGAGGCATCAGCTGCGCTCACCACTTCATCCAGTCTGGCACGGTACCAGAACCGCTGACCAGGCTCCAGCAGCTTCCCCTGCTAGCTGGCACAACATATTGTCACCTTCCTCCCCCTCCTCTTCATCCTCCTCCCCTTCCTCCTCCTCCTCCTCCTCCTCCTCCGCCTCCTCCTCAGGCTGCTCAGATGGCAGACTGCAGCTTGGTCAGGTTTCTCTGGTGCATGCTGTGGTGGCGCATCAGCTCGTCAGAGCGGGCAAACTTCTTCTGACAGTTGGACCAGCGGCAGGTAAAGGGCTTCTCACCTGACAGCAAAGGGACAAGGAGGGAAAAATGGTTGCTTTAGAGGGAATTCAACTCATGGGGTACAAGTTATCATTTCTTTAATCGAGCCAAAGAGGCTACCGGCACAAAAAGATGTCAATGGAAGAATAAAGATAAAAAAATTAAAGGTATACGCACTTGTTTTACCTGTATGAGTCCGAGTGTGTGTCTTAAGATGATCTGACCGTGAAAACTTTCTCTGACACGTCTCGCACTGAAAAGGCTTCACTCCTACACAGAGATGATAACAGATGTTGCGGTGGTTCAAACCAAAGAAATGGAAAAAAAGGGGGCGGGTAAGGGTCAAAGGGTCAGTTTTATGGAGCAATCATTGTGAAGACAAAGGATTAGAACATACAGTCCATGAGAAAAGTCTGTTCTTAAAAAAATCATTTAAATAGCTGAGAGGTCATATTTATATTTAGACTTTTTCAAAGAAACTGCATTTCATTTCAACATATTCTACAACATCAAAGCATTATCCACTTTTCACTATTCAAGTTCAGCACTCATTAAGAAAACTTAAACTACTCATGAAAAAACAGTAAAGTTATTTTATCCAGTCAAATATATACTTAAGTGAAATTTAAAAAAATGTTTAAGTTAAAATCCAAGAAGTAAAAATATGATATTTTAAAGTCTGTGTTGAAGGAAAATTCATTCAAGCTTATTTTGGGTCTATTTCTGTGACATTAATTTAAAGTTGTTAATAAAAAAAATTAGTTATAACTTCTGTCTTCTAACAATGACATCAATAGTTCAATAATCTGATTACAATTTAAAAAAATTAAAGCAATAATTCTCATAAATGATTAAATAAGATGACTCTTTGTCTACGTCATTGTGGGTTTCACATGATTAAAGTCTGTGTCACGGCCTTCTCCTCAATAATGGGAATAAAATTCAGACAGGAAATAGTAAATCCTTAAAGTATTCATTTATTGTAACCAACTTGGAGAGAGCTGTAAAAGGAGTCTAAAATGCTGATTTATGCTTACAGCAGACCCTCTTTTGTTTTAAAGTTTGATCCATTGTGGAATGTGAACTCCCTTCAGGTTTAAAGACTTCATACTCCCAGGAAGAAAAAAAAAAAAACAAGAAGCTGCGACTCTGGAGGAAACTCTTTTAGCTTTGCAGGGGTGTACCTGTGTGTCTGCGCTGGTGCCTCTTTAACTGGTCTGAGCGAGAGAATCTGCGGCCGCAGTCCGTGAAATCACACTGGTACGGCTTCTCTCCTGCAAGATAAACGATCATTGTTATCATACAAACTCCAAAATTATCAATATGACAATTGTGCCACCAATGATTTTCAAGTCGAGAAGAGGAAATTCATTGCACTGTACAAAAATCATGTCACACATGGCCAATCTGAAGGGGGCAGGTGCTGAGCTGTCTTCCTATCTTTACACAAAAACACAAAAGGAAGACAGCCCACATGCCGAAAAGCCCCAAAACCTGGAAAATTTAATGCATCAGGGCAGTGACGCTATGAGCAGACTGCTTTTTATCAGACGGTCTGATCAAGAGCAAGTCTGCTCAAAACTTCACGACCCTGTTGCATTCAGTAGTCTGGCTTTTGGAGATCTAGGATTCGCAAGCAATTGTTTTTTCTTTTTTTATTCTTTCATTTTATTTCTTTTTTTTAAACTCTGGTATAACTAGGTTTTTTAGAATCTTTTTATTTTATTTATTTATTTGAGGGAGGAGTCAATTTCTCACAGCGTTGGATAGCAGCTGGCAGTTTGAAGTGTGGGCAGTGAAAAAGGGAGTATAAGTCACCTAATCTCACCTGTGTGTTTGCGGCCGTGCATCTGCAGATGTGACAGTTTGAAGTATTTCTTGCTGCAGCCGGGATAAGCGCAGACAAACGGGCGCTTCTCGTTGGTCTCTGTTGACCTCATGACGGGTGGAGCAATACTGGTGACCCGTCTGACATCCTTTAGGAGAGAGAGAGCAACGACCTTTAATGTATTCATGGACCGCACTAATTTGTTTCCACTCATATAGTGTGTAAATGTCTGTTCAGTGGCTGACCTGAAGTCCCCTGAAGACTCCATGTGTGTGTATGTGGTACTGGGCACTGACCAGCATGGATGGAGTCGGGACTGTGGGGTCGCTGTCATAGCTGGTTGCGTGTCCGCTGATGGTCAGGAGCAGAGAGGAGGAATTTAGTGAACACGCTGAACGTTTCAAAAAGATACTGACAAAGTAACTAGATCTGAACCAAGTTCTTAGAGATGTCAAAGTGTCCTCAGTTTGAAAATAATTCAAAATAGTCTCAAACACTCAGAAGAGCACACAAACACACACATACACACAAATGTGAGTTTGTTCCTTTCCACTTCCTGATCTCCTTAGGCAGCAGGCCAACAGCCATCTGGTCAAATCCCCCTCCTCTGCAGCACCACAAATAATGTTCAAAAGTGAAGGATGCGGGGTGTTATTTAGAAGGAATAAAAACGGAGGAGAAGCTCACCTCTTCATGGAGGACGCCAACGTGTTCATCTGGTTCCATGTGACACAGTCCAGCTGAGACGCCATTTGGTACAGGTTATCACTGAATGAAAAACACAGCACACTTATTAACCTTTTACTTTGGCGTTAAAGACAAAATCTCTCTTTATTTAGTTTGGTAAATGTCATCACAAAAAGATAAATTAACTCATGGAGAAATATCAATGGTTATGTAACAGGATTATCTCTGAGATGAGGAGGAAAATATGCTTCATGTCTTCATTTTTTCTTCATTTTTTTATTAGTTATTTTGGGGGAGACCTTGAAATTAAAAAATCGCAGACAGCAGTTGTGTTACCCCGCACACTTCCTGTCTCTTCTCCTTCCTTGTATGGATAATGAAGACGTTTCATTCAGGGGGAACTCCACACTGCTCTCTTTTTAACACATCCTGTCCACCCTGCACACTCCTCACCGGCTTCATTAAAAAACATGGGCTCTGAGCCATTCTTTACCTTGGCAGATCACTCTCCTGCACACACACACACACACTCACACACAAATACTTGGAGAGGTGATGGTGCTCTCTGCAGGGGTGAGCGCCTCCGTGCCTAGCACACCACGCACCAGTGCATGACATCACTCTGTCCTCAGTATCATTAAAAAGCGGGAAACAGTTTCGGGGGAATTCTGGACGGCATTCCTTGAGAAGTCCTTGAGGGAAGGATGGTGATGGCTCGCTAATCAGCTCTGAGATATGTTAAACTGTGGAAAGACTCATTGATATCGGACATGTATTCACTGTGTATGAGTGTGTGCGTGTCTCTGTGTTTGTTTGAGGGTTTCCAGCTCATGCCATAAGCTCTAACAACAGCCCAGTCTTCCCTCCTCTTATCAAGCCCTGTTCCAGTGTTTGGGTAGCACATGTTCCTTTTCTACAAAAACATCACAGGGCGGCATTCAAAGAATTTCATCCTAATTTACCCCTTCAGATGGTTTGCATCAAAATGAGAACAAGTTGGAACCAAATCCATCAAATTCCCAGTCTCAACCAGCACTTAACTTTCACTTCGGCTGAACTCGTCTCTTTTACTTTTCTCCTCATTTTTCCTCAGGGTGGACTCGGACACATCAGCAGTAGATCACTCTCTGTTTGTTTTGGCCTGCTGAGCAGCAGTGGGCAGCACTTAACCTCAGAACAAATTAGGATTCACAAACCAGACAGTGCAGAGGCAGGATCAGAGGGAGTTCACACGTTTAAAAAACGACCAGCGAGTGAGCGAGCGCACCGGCGAGCATGCAGTGTTAGTGGAAAGAATCTGACATTAATGGATGTGCGAGGAGTCCGAACACTTTTGGGAGGAGGGGAATAGTACCATGAGGGGATTTGAGGTAGCTGGAGTCAAATAAAGTAACAATAGGAGCATTAAGAGGAGGATAATTGTACCTGTTGTAGTTTCTCAGAAGCAGAGCCTGGCTGCTCGGGCAGGTATCTGGAGGGTTGTGGCATCCGAACATTGGAGGGGGAGCCGGGTACTGCTGCTCAACTGGAGAAAAAAGTTTGAAATAAAAATAATATATAAAAAAATATAAATCATGAAAGGCATCGCTGAAACTGCTTTCTCTCGGTATACAAAACACTAGATTTGTTCTGATCTTTTTAAAAGTAATGATTATACCTTTCAAAAGACACTTACAAGTTACTCAAATAAAAAATGCATTCATAAAAAGTTTTTAAAAACTATTAAAGTGATAAAAAACACAACCTGTGTTGTTTTTAACGTTTTAGTGTTTTCTTCTCATTGAGTGGTTAAAAAGAGGATTCGCAGCCTTAATCTCTCCCTGATTATCTCTTCAATTTACTTCATAATCTTTGAATTATTTCAGATTCTCTTTCGGATGGACACAAATTCGTGAATCCTAACTCAAAAAGTAAGCTTGTCAAATAAAAATCTGTTTTTGAAGTTATATTTTGTGCATGCATGTCTGCACTGTTCCTGATTGACCTGCTGGATTGTTTTCCAGAGCGAGCGGGTCAATCAGTAACAGTGGTCCTTTTCAGCCTCATATACTATATTGTTCCCCAGACAGTTTTTGACATTCCAGCAGAGTCACATAAAGCCGTTTCCTCCAGTTATCAGAGTCATTAACCATTGGTGTGCTTAAAGAGCGAGAGGGAGTGTGTGTTTACGTATGCCTGCGTGCATAAATGTGTGCGCAGGCAGAGACGGAGGGAGATGAAGGACAATGGCTGACAGCGGCTCTGTTGTGATATGAAAAATAACTGGTTACTTATATAACCTTGCTGTGACATGACAGTCCTCCAGTCTGCGAGTCAATTTAGTGCAGAGACGCGTCAGGATGAAGACACTCACCTATGTTGTTTGGCGACAGCGTGTCCTCGTGTTTGAAGGACAGGCTGGAGAGCTGAGGGGTGTGGTGAGACGGAGTGTGACCATAACTGGGGTTGCTGTCTAAACTCACTGCTCCATAACCTGAGGACAGAACAGACAAGAGGAGCAGGGGAAAGTTTCAATAATCTTTTTCGCCTGCTGGAGTCATTAGATTAGCATCCTGCTACAGACTGAGAGACTGTGCAGTCTGCAGAGTCTCCAGTATCTGGTCAGTTATCTCAATCCCCCTGGTAGTGGCTCGTAGTCTCTGGTCGGGTCACCACAGAGAGACATTCATTAAACAACTAAATCCCTTTTCCTTGTAACATGCTCTTTTTCCCCCCATCTATCTTCAGCCCTGTGGTTGCAATATTTATGGCAGGTGGAAAAAGAAATTTGGCAAACACACCACAGACGGGCTGAGATGAGCTGCTGTAGAGTCCGTTCAGTGAAAAAAAAAACAAGGTTGGAAAGTGATGAATTGCATGTATGCTAACTTAATTAAAGTTATACGAAACAGAGAGCATTGTGAGTTATTACATTATCTGCGAGAAATGCATGAAGTTAAAGTTTAAGAGGAATGTTACATTTGAGAAAGTTATGTAAAAATGATGTATTGATTCACTTTACACACATACAGCGGACCATTAAATTCAATTTTTATTCAATTTGTGGACCGTGGGCGGAAAACTGACCTTTCCTGACCTCAATCAGGCCTGAAATATTTCATAAAAATGTGAAAAAGTATTAGAAAAAGATCCTCCTCAAGGGCTTCAATGTGGCGCGCTGTGGACAAATTTCTACAACACTAATGCCAGTTCTATTATCTGTACTTTTCTTGATTTATTAAAACATTATCATTTGAAAAAAAAATAAAATATTCACTCTATTTAGAAGTTTGATCATAAGGCATTTTGCATATTTTAATTAGAAAATAAATAAATATAATTAAATAAATAACCCAGGCTGTTTAAGCAGGATGTTGAACTGTAGTATCGCCTTCATGAAAACCAGACGCCTTTTTTATTCTGGTTAAAAAAAAGAAGTATCACAAATACATTTAAAAGACCAACTTCAAGACTTCTTTTATTTTTAAAAAAAGAAAAGAAAAACAAATCTCTGGTCCCATGTCACTTCATTTTTTTCTTATCTGTCCTGTTAAAAAGTAACCGAATAGTCGTGACACACAGTGCAGCCATGCTGATATATCCTGAGTCAGGCCTCAGAGGGATGGTGAGAGGCTTCAGAGAAAAATGACTCATGGTTCTTTCTTATTTAAATCCCTGAAGTCTGCAGAGGACAGAAATGATGACTGTTTTAGTTTTTATTAAAAACTACTTTCACTAAGCAACAAGACTTCATGTATGCTGTTTTGAAAGTCTGACCCGCAGTCCCACTCAGGCTTGAAGCCTGACCTCTGGGCTGTAAGGCCCATGAGCGCTGTTTACAGTACAAACAGAATCATAACATGTAGGACACAAAACGCAGAGGAAAATAAAATAGAATTAGACCCCAGAAAAGTATTTCAAATAAAAATATCCAATCCCCCCAGTGACATTTGTTTAGTGAAGGTTAAATAAGCTCAGAAAATACCAGAGAAAATAATCTGTCCGCTAAAACAACCTTATAATTCTCCTTTTATCTTACTTTTTATCCTAGATTTATTTTGAGAATTATTTCAGGGAAATAGTCTAAAAATGGGTACAAAAATTTATCTATTTATTTACTTATTAAAGTTCTTATCTATTTACTCACTACCTGTTGTGTTCTTGGCTTTTTTTAATTTGCTGGATGAATGAGGGGTCCAGAATAATCTGATTTGCACACATTTTCTTACATTAAAATTGTTTAGACGAGCCAACATTTACTTTACACATAGGCCCATGTAGTATCGGTCTTCTAGAGACCCAAGAGTACTCAGAGCCGGTAAAGAACAGGCCTGTGAAATAGTAACACAGTTTATGTAGATCAGGAAGTTTTATGTCTGTTTAGCTATGATTAAAAATCCAGCATTGGTGTAAGATTAACAAGAAAAAAAAAAGATATTGGCCTTGGCAGAACCATTACCTAGGCCGTTTTCTACCGCTTGGAGAGGGTAGCCCCGAAAAGTGTTGGGACTCCATTGACCCAATCGGCCTAGTGTCTAAAGTATTTTCTAATGAGCAGCGAGCGCATCATTCGAATGTGATTTCTACAAAAGTACCTGAATTTAAGATGCATGCATGAGAATTTCATGCCTAAAAGAACTGCATCTCATAAACACAAATATAAAGTTTGTATTGGTATGCTGTATTTTTCAATTTCATGACTTAGATTAAATTTTTTTCAATGTAAAATCCAATTATTGATCAAAGTGTGCTGAGACGCTCAAGTAGAATAAGTTTAAAATTTCCAGTCAATAAAGAAAGTGAAGTGAGTTTTCAGACCTGTAAAACTTTAAGAATGAGGAACCTAATTATCCATTTTAAATGATAAATTAAACAAAATTATAAATGTGCGCTAACGCTACACAGTGTCTTTGGTTGTAACTGAAAATCAAACTTTGATTTCCAGAAAAAAACTACCTTTAAAACATCAGAGTAAATGGTTCTATGGATCAGTGCCAGAGCGCTACCAGGAAACTGTCAAGCCCATTCCTGACACGGGACGGGGTGACCCAGTACTGCACATAACATCCTGCTGAGACACAACACTAATGACAGCCCTCTAAATATGGAGATCTGTGCTGAATGCAAACAGTGGGAGATGTGAGGATGCAAAGACCCCCTGGCTTAAGGATTCATGGTCAGAGACCGGAGATAAGTGAGGTGGGGCTGGTGTCGAGCATCCTTACCCTGGTTCCTGGGTGCAGGAGAACTCTCCATGCAGCCAGGCAGGTAGGTCCCACTTGGGAACATCCTGGCTTGCCCTGCAGTTCCCTCCCCGAATGCCCCAACTCGACAGGGGCCCGATCCCGTAAACTGGCCAGAGAAGTGCACCGTGAAGGCCCCGAGTCCACAGTGAGGGTCTTCGATGGTGTCAGTAGTCCCCCATCCTGGTTCCTGCTTGATGAGGGAGTGGTGGGATGGCAGGGTACTGTAGGGAGAACTGGGGTGAAGGTCCAGGAGCTGAGTCCATTGTCCACTACCGGGGACAGACATCCCACAGCCGCCGCCGGCTCCTGGTAAGGACGGCATGGGAGGCGCTGGAGATAAGAGGGTCAGATCTCGGACGTCTGACCCCATGGACATGGCTCGACACGGGTCAGTCAGCATCGGAGGAAGGTCCAGAAAGTCCACAGGGATGGTATTCCAGACAGGAGAAAGAAAATCCTGAAAGTGTAACAAAAATAAAACCTTCAGAGACAGGAGTGAAGGAAAGAAAGATTCACTGAAGGAGCCATCTTTCCCTCCTCATGTGATGAAACTAAGAGTTTAGATTAGTGAATTAGAGAAGGTGATGGATTGCCAAATTTCACACTCCCTGGCTATCTGTGGTGGCTTTGTGGTGGGAGTGTGTGGGACTAACAGCTCCTTGTCCCTCTGTCTCTACAGTGTCTGACTTTCCTTCCTCTCCTGGAGGCTCAAATAGTGAATAACTCAGTGGATGGGGGGAGGAGCGAGGGAGGCTGAGGAGGAGAAGAAGACTCCCCTGCTCTGCCTCAGCCAGCACACAGCGCTTTTCTGAGGAGACTCTGACTAAGACCGCATTTGCATGAGCCAAGGTGTTCCTCCTCTTTCTTTGTGCAAGTTCAAGTGTTGCAGAGAACAAGTGTGTGTGGAAGAAAAAAGAAAGAAAAAAGATGAATTCTGGTTAAATTCTCTGAATATAAAGTTGGGATTAAGTCAGGGAGCAGCTTCTGGAGAGGAAAGGTAATCGGCCAAAAACAAGCTCATGTTGATTTTTATGTGAGTCATGTTGAAATGTTAATAACTGACATGATTTAAAAGTTTAAAAATTTGTAAAACGAAGATATTCTCTATCAGAGTGACTGCAAACAGAGTCTGTTTATCTTCACTTTTGAAATTACACTTCCATAAAAAAGACGTGTTTTCCAAACTTATCTTTGCACCGCTGACCGGTAGTGTCCTCACAGACGTTCATCATTTCTGACCCTCTGACTCAACTCTTCTCTCAAATACACTTTCATAATAAATTACCAAACGAGTGAGGCAACAAATTTGACCTGAAAAAGGAAGAAAAAACAAGAATGGATCAGAAGAAACAAGACGTAATTTGTACTAATGTGTTAATTCTTGTGTTTGTGTTTCCTCTTCGAAAGTTAGTTGTTTTTTTTAATGCAGTATAACTGAGGATTTAGGAGGTTATGACATGTTAATAAAAGACAGAGCTGTATTTAATTAATGAATTTACAGATGAATGAATTATGACTTAAGATGTAAAAAGATAAAACAACAGATCTGGGTTTTTCCCATTCTGGACACTGCTCTGTTTTTTGCTAAAAGTAACTCACATAAACTACACACGGCCTTGGAGGAACGCCACATCACACAAAGGGATAATTATTTATTAGTCCAAGAGAGGGGGAGTTCTGCCTGTGTGTGTGTGTGTCTGTCTGTGTGTGTGTGTGTGTGTGTGTGTGTGTGTGTGTGTGTGTGTGTGTGTGTGCGCGCGCGCTGTTTAAGAGATAGAGGTTTTGACCTTAACTCAGACTTAACTCTATGTGGAGCTGCAGAGGAATGCAGTCACTTAGAATCTGTCTATAAATTTCAGGCAGCTGCTGTGGATCTTTTAACATTATTGTATTTGTCAGAACAACAGCCAGCCGCCTTCTTCCTTTAACAGCTCCGAGTACTGACCATCTTTTTTAGAGACCTTGTAAAAAAAATATACAGTGCTACAACTAGAGCAGCATTACGGCCTGTTCACACTGACCTCTGAGAAAACACAACTGCTCATACGACTGCAACGGCCGATCAACTGTAAACTCATAATAAAGTGATTGTAATATATACACCTATTAAACTACAACTTTATTTAGCTGTGATATCATGAATTATCTTTTATTTCATTGTCTCATAATGTACTCTAATATTGTTTATTTCTGCAATAATGTTTGTCTTCTGTTTTTAAATTTCCGACTTTGTTCTGCTAGTTTAGGAGTTTTATAGGAATGACGTCCTGTATTTATTTTTTCCTGCTGTATGAGTTTGATCATTTTGTTGTTAAAATGTTTTGCAAAATTGTTTTTGGAGCTTATAAGAGTTAACTTTTTACCTTTTGTTATTTGTCTTGAAACTCTGGAAGCTGAAAGCTTTATTCGATAAAACATATATGAGCATTTTACCTCTAATTGTCTGAAATATCAGTCTGATAATTATTATCATATTTATTATATCATTATCATCCTATTACAGGAACAGATACAGGACATATGTATAAAAACTGAAAACGGCTATCCAGTGCAAGTTTAGTGTTAATATCAGATACTGTTGCTAAACTATCAGTGAAATAAAAATAATTTTTTAAGAGGTGTTTTATCTATATCTTCTAATTTTACCATTAGACAATCGCAGTCATTTTTTTAACCTGTGTTTTCTGGACAAGGCGTGCTTACCCAATCTCTGTTCTGCTTTAGGGTCATTACTCATCACAAACATGTTTTTTTTTACTCACCAGGGAAGTGAAATGAAAAGAGGAAAGGCAGTTCTTAGTGCTGTCAGTAAACGCTGATGAGTCTGAACTGATGACCTGCCGCTCATCTTTTCTGTTTGTGGTGTAAAAAAGGTGCATAATGAACAGTTTGAAACTAAAGTGACCCTCTACAACATGATTTCATCTCTTTCATGATTCTTTCATACAGTTGTTTCAGGATGACTGTATGTTAAGAGCCTCTGCAGATTTGAGATTTGAGATAGAGACCTTCAGGGACGAGGATGCTGTGAGGTGAAGAGTGTTCGCCAGTTCCTGTCGTCACCATCTGGAATATGAGTCTAGGATTCCAGTGAACGTCGCTGACCCCTGATTCAACTTAAGAAGAAGTGATGGCTGAGTGGGGGAGGGAACTAAGGACAAAAAGAGAGAGAGGCAGAGAGAGAGATTTAAGTCACTGTAGGAGTGATGAAATCAGCTGGCTTACTGCCCAAGTGGCATCAGTAAGTATTGCACAATGTCACCGTGTCATCAGTGATCTCTTCCCTCTAGTTTTGTTGACTGTCTTCCTCTAAGCATGATTTGCTGCAGCACTACGGTAACTGCACTGCTTCATGCGTGGATACCAGAGTGATAACACAGTTTAGATTCAGAGTGCTGGTGCAAAAAACAGTCCTCTTTATGAACTGCTGGATTGCAGGTCAAAAACAAACCCTCGCTATAGTGGAGCAAAACCCAGGCCTAAAACTGTTTGAACTTTGAACCCTGCGGAAGTTTGTCAAAGTTTCCTCCTACCTAAGCTTATATCAGCTCATGAAGGAAATACATATCAGTCTGACAGTCAGAGTATATCTAACCGCTGATCACAGATTCATCTGGGTGGTTTGTGGAAAAGATAAAGTGCTCTCTGACTTTTCCTCCATTCTGGGAAATCAACTGGTGCAAAGGCAGACCAGTACCCCAGAGGATCAGCCAGTCATTCAGAGGATGTCTACCAGCCTAAAAATAGTAGCAAGTATAATTAATTTCTCCCAAAACTATTCGAGAAACCCAGAGTGGTCCACCCACTACAAACAAATAACATCTAAAATAATGTAGTAAATGTACAAAAGGTTGTGGCACAATTAAAAGTATCCCGCCAAAAAACAGGGAGAAAAGGAAAGCGCAGTTTGTCCGAGCCAAGAAAACGCTGGCCGTGCCTTCCCCAGTGGAGTCTTTAGCGGGGATTCATCAAAGGTGACGGGGCCGGGAGAAAACAACCCTTTCAGCCCCTATATGACGGATGGCGGTCCCCGAATACACCCATTCTTCAGATCAATCTCTGGTTAACTCAGGGTTTAAAACAACAACACTGGCTGTGTGGAGGAAGGGTAATGGTCAATACTGCCTCTGACCCTTAACAAGAAATACACAAGACTTTTACTTTCTGTAGAGAGAGATGCGTTAGAGGAAATCTGAGAGGGCTTTTGTTTCAGCCGGAGAGAGGTTTGATAAACTGCACAGGCATGTGACCTGGTGTAAGGCGACACGTGAAAAAGATATTACTTTTTCCATTTTAATAAACATTGGTATTCATGCTACTGGGTCTGAAAGAAGCTGCTTCTTTTTAAAGACATTTGATTTGTTTTCACTTTTAAATTATGAGGATGAAAATGGCTGTGACATAAGGACCAAAACAGACAGCAGGAAAACAACAGGTGTGATTTCTTTGTGCTGACGATGGCATAAAAAAGACTTAGTCCTTCACTTTTTTTCTTTGTGGGCATGGAAACAAACAGATAACAAAGCAAAGAGCAGTGAGTTGTACAGTTTCATCATTTCCCCTATCTGCCTGTGGCCTCTAGGAAATGGTTACAATTTCAAACAAAACAGAGCTGAACAATATTCCTCTTTCTTCCTCTCTACTTTCTCAGAGCTGTGTTTGGAAGTTTGTGACAGCCAGGCTTCTGCTCTCTGAGATAACAAAGACGCACTGCTGCTTATCACCCAGGGCTTTATACAGACAGGGATACATTTGGAAACATCTTTACTATACATAAATTAACTGTTCCGCTCATGGTGTATATCAAACGCAGCTTTAAACAGTGTGGTCATTGTTCCTCTGCCCGGCATGAAAAACAACAATCGTCACTTTTTAATTCGGTCTCACATCTTCAAAGTGTGGCATATCAGACCACAGATAAGAGCCGCAGAAGACAGATCCGTGGGAGAGCGAGCATCTCCATGCTTCATGTGTCAGACAAAACACTGGTCCACTGATCCTTCACACAGCCGCACTCTTCTTTTTCTTCCTGTTACCTTTCCCCTCTATCAGTAAACCAGAGAATCCTCCCTCCTCTGTATTTATATACAATCAAAGCCGGACGCTCCTGGACCAACCCCAAGAAAACATAATTAAAACCGAAAAATTAGGAACAAACCAGAAAGGATCAAACAGCATCAGGACTGGACACCAGCAGTCCTTGAAAGAAAAAGGCTGAAATATATAAATCCTTAATACCCTTAGTGCATTTGTGAAGTCATGAAGAGTCCACAGCAGCCATGTGGGTAGATCTTTGTAGATTTATTACACTCAGTCCAAAATAAAAATAGAACAAAAATACACTTACAATAAACAATTTACAGGTTGGCATCAGGGTGTTTTAGCAAGCATGGCATCAAGCAGGGCTGGGTCATATCCATATGTTTCATTTTTGTCAAAAATATGTTACACTATAGTAAACAGCAGGGGTGTGCCATCGGAAAGGGCAGGGGGTGGCATGGCCCATGAAATCCGGCCACCCTAAATCTTTGCCTTTGACCAAATATTTCATGGCAATTTTATGCCAGCCTTTTGCTTTCAACACGTTGGTGGTGAGGGGTAAATTCTTTTGTTGGTACTGAAATTTCCCATTGGGTAGAAAATAAATATTTCTAAGCATTATTCTGTATTGGAGGTTTATCTTACCACTCTACTGGATTGCTATTTTTTAACTACACACAGGAATTTAACTTATTTACATACGTTAGTGTAACATAAACAGTAAGACTTCGATGAAATGCTGGTCTCATTTCAACAGAGTCTCTTATAGTGGCCATGGCACATTTGAACATGCTGGTCTCAAATATTGGTCAGATCCAGATTATGATGATCTGTTTATATGTTTATCAGTGCTGCAATTAAAAGAAAAATTATTGTGAGTGTTTTAGTTTCACCCACAGAAGACTGGCATAAGAAAAAATGTAAAGGCCGGTCATTTTTGGCGACTGTCCCAAATAGGCCTGTCACGATAACAAATTTTGCTGGACGATAATTGTGCTACAAATTATCGCCGATAAACGATATTATTGACACCATTTTTAAAATTATAGATAATGATATTATATGGCATAATAATGCGAGTACACCATGTCAAAAGTGATAAACTTTAATTTCCACACGAGAACAACACTGGTTGTTTTCGTTGACTAAAATATTTCCCTTTTCTCCCACGACGAAGACGTACGAGCTAAACATAAGTCGGAGATGACTAAAATGTGACGAGACGAAAGTGCGTTTACGTTGATGGGACGAGACGAAAATGACGAACAGAGTTGCAAAACTCAGTCAGTTAAACGCTAAACATATAGGAGCAGCTTCAGTCCGCTCTGACAGCTCTCATCAGCCTGCTGTGCTCCTCCAACACACAGTCACACACACACGCACGCGCGCACGCACACGTGGAGTTTTGTGGTTGACGAAAACAAAACTGGTTTAAAGCCGAAATATTCCCACACTTGGGCTGTTGCGTTCGGTTTAGACACCAAAGCTGTCGTGTTCATTCTGTTAGCTTGCTTTTCACTCACGACGCTCACTTGCAGCACTGTATCCAAAAGTCTGTCTGTGTGCCTGTGCGCGCCTACGTGTACCTGTGCGCGCCAGCCCCCTCGTGACAAAGACACTGAATGACTGACAGGAGGGTTCACTAACTCCGTTCATTCCGCTATAGAGCCAACGCCCCCAGGTGCCGAGAACAATGCGCAGAGTGAGACCTCTTCTCTCATCCAGCGTGTTTGGTAGCGAGAGAGGAGGAAAACAAACGCACGTCAATTATCGAGGCTGGCAAAGTTATCGACCTCGTTTTTATTTATCGAGCGATAAGGCGATTTATTGATTATCGCGACAGGCCTAGTCCCAAACGAAGGTTTGTCCACATGGAACAGATAGAAGTCTGGGCCATTAATTGAAGATTTTCCGTACTTTCACTCCTGGGCACAACATGTGCCTCATGACCGTCCACCCAGCTAGGGAAGTCTGGACATGCCCTGCTTGGTCAATTTATTTAAAGGTTCGTTAAACCAGCAACCAACAAAAAATTAATAATAAAAAAATTTAAAAAAGAAAGAAAGAAAAGAGAAAGAAAAAAAAATTATTTCACGTCAGCAAATTTTCCAAACATTTTGGGATTTGCGATTTTTGACCACTGATGTTTCTTGCCCTTGTTTTTGTTTCAGGAACACTGAATTTGAATCTGAAAATACCCATCATATAAGACTTTAATGTTAAACCAGCAGTGCAGTAAGTTCATTTCTGGTCAGTCTGTTAATCAACCATAAATGCATTGTGATTTTGCGTAGGTGTGGGATATTGTTACCGAGTGACATCTGCGTTTTTAACTGATAAAATGATCCCACGTTGATGACATACTCTTGTCATCAGACTAAAGATTAAAGCAGGACTAAGAGATACTCTGGGATGACTAAATGTTGTGTAGGAAAGCAGAGACAGTTGACTCTGATGAATTCCTTTTTAATTAAAGGACCTATCATATCAGAGATATATCATAATAGTCCAGTTGAATTCTGCTGAAGCACCTCTGTCTCATCCAAACAGGTGCCCATGTGTCAGCACCAAGGCCGGCCTTTATCAGCTCTTTACAGTAAACCACAGCCTCTTCTTGCTGTCACACCCTCACAGCTGTGGCTGGACCGTAAACACTCATCAGAAAACATTTTCACATATCTGTAGTGGTTACTGTCTGTTGTCATACCCCTGTGTCTCATGCTGAGGCGAGATGAGTAAAAGTTGACTGGATGACTCGGAGGTACGTGCACAATGATGGGAAAACACCGAAAGGACAGCAATTAGCACAGACTTTGACCTAAAATGATGTGGGCTGTGAGGGGAATAACACTTTTTTGCAACTCACTCAATTTCAGGAAGATCACTTGTTCAGTTTTTAAGTAGGACTTTGTCTACAGCATTGCATGTCAACAGCAAAGTGTCAAAGACGTCTCAAAAGCAATGAGTTTTGTGGTTTAATGAGCCTCTGGTAAGCACTTCTGTGGCTTTGGGTTTTATAGCATAAAGAAAAACAATGTGTAAAGAAACAAGTTTGATTCCTTGCCTTAGTATGCCTTTAAACTCTTATTGCTTCCCTCAGCCGCCTGTGAGTGTGCCTAATATAAACACTCTCTGATGACAAGAGGGCCCTCCATCATTAACAGAGACGCAGTTCTGCTGCAGTGACTCGATCCATCCAGACAAGAACGTCAGAATTCCTGGAAGACAGAAGGTTTTTTTTTTTTTGTTTTTCTGTGCTGCCTTGAGGTTGAAGCAGAGCACACACACACACACACATTCCACACAGTGGGATTAACGACCTCAGATAGCTCAACACCACCGACGTGAGCTGGCTTTGACTGATTGTTGTGGTCGTCAGTGATGGAGCTGCTCATGAGGTGATGTGGAAAGATAACAGTGGTATTTCACGTACCAAGCATCTAATTTTTTACAGTATAACAAAGTAGCAACAACTGCAGCGCAGGTTAAAGAATAATTCAACTCTATTTGAATGAACAAAAGAAAGAGTAAGTCCAAACTGTGCAGCTGCACAGCGTGATCGATTGGTTATCTATCTGTTGAGGTGATAAGTGATCACAGGGGTCTAACAGTGATCAGGCTTTCAGTTAGATAAGTTGTAAGCATACACACACAAAACACAAAACACACACACACACACACACACACACACACACACACACAAGAATGCAACCGAAACTTTAGGCACTGCTCATTAATATAGTGGAGGAAAATCACATCAAAACATTTGGCAGATGAAGCTGCAAAATGCTGACAGCTAATGAAAGTGTACAGCTCATCTGTTCACTACCATGTCCTCGCACACTGAAATCACCTGATACATACATAAGTGCTATATCTAGTCTAAATTTAACTCTGGTTCTGGTTTCAAACAAGTCCTATGAATAAAACCTGGTCCTCTATTGGCCAGTAGCTACTTACTCATGTTTCCGTCTGCCGTTTGGGCCCATATCATGGAGGTCCTTTTAAGGAGGCAAAATGATGGAAATCAATGAGGACTTGGCTTGAAATGAGAAGGATAAACCTAATAAGTAAATATTATGAGATATGAAATCATGATAATGAAACAAAGACTCTCATTGAGGGGATAAAGAGACAAATTTATAAGCTTGTATGTTATGATTACAAGATAAACTCAAGAAATCTATGTGATTAAAAGACATTATTGTAAGATCAGAAGGCAGTATTTATGAAATTGACATTAAAATGATTAGAAAATCATAATAAAGGCGTACATTTTCAAAATGTATCTGAAAAATAGAGTCATACTAATAAGATAAAAAGTCAAATTGGATTACTGGAAATCAAAATGATGAGACCATGAGTCATTATTATTACACGAAATGTCAAATTTATAGTATTTATGGCTCCTGTACCAGGTTTATGATATTTATAGATTCAAATTCATATTGGTGCCTTTTTACGAGCAAACAAAAACATCGTCAATAAAACTGCTGATTTTAATACTGTAATTATGAAACTAGTGTGAGGGAGATGGTGTCCGCCAAGCAGTCGCTCACAGTTAAAAAATATTCACTAAATGATTAATTTGACGGTCAAAAGTTAGTTTGATAAGATTTTCTGTGAGATGACACTGTTTATGCTTATTGAGGACAAAGTAAGCAAAGACTGCTTTGTCCACAAGGGGTGCTACACTTGACAGAATCTGACATTTCCTCATGGGCGCTGTCAAGTCAATGTTATGATACAGGAAATCATAATCGTACAATAGAGAGAATAATTTAGGGTATTCAAATGAATAATGATGAGGAAAAAAAGGTCATAGTCAAGAGAACAAAAATCTATTTATGGCATAGGAAGTCAAAAACATGCTTTCAAAAGTCATACTGATAGGATAAAAAGTTAAATTTATTACGATATAATATGACAACCTCACAATCGAAACTTTTCATAATATTGTTGTTGACCTCTTATCACATTATTCTGGCCTTCTTTCTTATAATTTCATATTTTTACCCTTATATATCCTATCTCAAATTTAACTCAGGCTCATTATTTTACAAGATCAAAGTAAAGGGCTTCAGCAGAGTGTGCAGAAAGTAGCTGCCAAATCTCTGTTATCGTCTCTTTTGAATCATGCACATGAGCTGAAGACAGTTCTAGGTACACAGTGTCCGGGTACGATAAACCCAAACTCAAATTGGAAGCCAGTGTAGAGGCTTACAGCATGTAGCAATCAGCTACTTCACTGTTGTATAACCAGCAACTTCCATTTTGTTCAGTGTCAAGCCTATGTTAGGAAGATCATTTAATTACATTTTTACCAAATCATGACTTTTTATCTCATGAGAAGGACTGTCTTCCTTAATATCTCTCATGAGAATGACCTCACATATAGGATTACATTTTTATTAAGGTCATGTCTTTTTTTTTTCTTTTAAAAGGCTGTCAATACAAACTATCAACATGTGTAAGTGTGACCCATGTACCCAGATGGTGTTTATTTATTTATTTATTTTTTTTTTTAGAAGTTATTAAAAGGGCAACAACTGGGCCTTAACTAACCAATTATTTCCCAAGTATTTACCAATAAAAAATTAGGGGAAAAAAAGAAAACCTCCAACATAACTTCCCCATGCCAAAGGAAAACAGCAGATTCTTGCCTTTGGATTTCCAAACTCATTGCATGTCTTGCATTAATCCAAAATTAGAATTTTTTTCTCAAAAACTGATAATCAGAAAATTTATAGTCTGACTTGCTAGTTCATTAACTTTTTTCTTGCTGTAAGCTCTTTTTATTAAAAGAAAATACAGGAGTAGATATGCCATTAGGACAGTACAAAGTGTCCTAAATCTGATGTATAACAAGAGTTCAATGATTACAGCAATGGCTTATTTCTAACATAATGCAATATCAGTATTTGACATCAGCACAGTCCTGAATTTGCTGTAATCCCAGAGTTTTCATACTCTCAGCTGATGTAAATTTAAATGGGGTAATATACGTAGCATGACACATTGGCAGAAAGGTGAGAATTCTGTACTGTGAATACATCTCTACAGCCTGGACAATCAGAAAAGCCTCCAGACAAGCCTGAATCATGACCTAAACCACTGTGGACAATGGTCTCACCTCAGTGAATACCTCCACTTTGTTTGTTTATTTGTTTCTTGTAGCTGTGTGTGCAAATGAGTATGGGGAGGGTGGGTCAGCTTATAAGTAATTAACAAGCAATTTACTCCACCCAGGGAAGCGGGAAAGTTACTCATGCGATGCTCCCTGACAAGGTCACTGGCTGATAGATGAGCCTGAGCGAGGGGATTTTTCAGAGATTGTGAAGGCAGGCAGAACTGTGGGAACCAGACAATTAGTGGGTGGAAGGTGGGCAGCCATGTTGGATGATGACCATGAGACTAGCTCACACAGATACTCACTGCTTGGCCGGCTGACAGGGAGAAAACAGACACCTGGGCTGGACGAACTCTTACCACACAGTCATTTATCTTTGAGGGGGCTGAGCAGGCAGTTTGCCAACCGTTTAGGAAGAGCATGTGCTGTTTTAAATCAAACAAACATGGAGGAGGTCAATCTAGACATATAGGCAACATAAATATTTTAAACACATATAAACATACGATTATATTCACTTTGAATACTTTTGTATTATTATAATTACATATTTCCAAGCTCTGGCCTAATGGTTTTGTAAATAAGAAACGATGGATGAAAAACTAAACACATTTTTTTCATCTACATTTAATCCACAGCTTATCGAACAGATGTGTGGTATTCTGTTTGCTCTAATTAAAGTGGGTTACAATGAAAGTCAAACATTAAAACTGGGATTTTAAGCAGGACATCCAGTTACAAAGATGTTATGATTCAACGATATAACAATATTTGATATGATTTCACAACCAGGCCATAATTTAAGGTAACAGACTGTCCAATAAACATAGATTTGTGACCCTTTTTCTCTGAATTCTGCACATATACACTGACATATAAAGCCAAACCAGTGCAAGTTGCTGGGAAAAACTGGCAATGTTTACAGCTGGACTACATGTGCCTCAAATCTTTTATCTGAATCCTTTTATTTCCTGGCTGGATCTTAAATGATGTAAAACAAATTTAACATGTACCTGTTTTCTTGCGGTTAAAGCTAAGTATCCACACCGAGGTAGAGGTTTCTACCTTGAACCTAATCCCTCAGGTACCACTTCCTGCTGACAATTCAGTTGGATGAAAAGGCCTGTGCATGGTGTAGATTTGTATTATCAGTTGCAAGAACAGTCAGAATAATGTCACAAAGAGTTTTACGTTTGAGAAGTAAAATTTAGCAGAATGAGATTTTAAAAAGTTTGCAAAAGACATAACCAGCAGAGAGTTAAGGGGTACTGCTTTGTCTACAGGAGCTTTAATCTATGACTGACGAACTGGGGTCCCATTGCAAAAAGCATCACGTTAATTTTTAAAATGGTTTGTTATTCTTTAAATCTTATATGTTCGGATTTATGGACTTAAGAGCAAAATTTGAGTCGAAGCTGCTCAAGTTATGTATAAGGTGGTAAATAATATATCCCCTGGCAACATCCAAAAGATGTTTGTTGTTAGAGATGGGAGTTACGATATGAGGGGTGCATTTTATTTTAATCCACCTGCAGTTGTATGGTATGTGCAATTCATGTTTATCACTGTTATCACAAGAGAGGATTACATGATTGCAATTTGAAAACACCTTCAGCGTGTATTCCAAGAAGAGGAAGCTCTCTGAAAGTTGTCATTGCCATGGTGATGTTTTTACAGGAATATGAAGCAACAGTAATCACAACTAACATCAGCCCTAATAAATGGCAATTGCAGGAAGTGAACCAGAGACAAGCCAAAGCTACAACAAAATCTCTGAATGTTCAGTGCTTGATGATCCATCTTTTACTGGAGTAGAAGACCAAGGATTTCTTTGTTAATGGTGCAATTGGGACAGTATCCCAAGTTGCAGACTTATCTCTCCCTGCCCTGTATGATGGGATCTCCACATGCATTTACACTCAAGACCATAACAATGTTATTAGCAGAAGATACAAGGACTTCTGCTGTTAATCTTAGCAAATCTGTCAGGTTTGAAGGTCCAGTAGCTGGATGAAAAGTTAAACTTGAAAAAAACATCATAGCATGCACAGGGGAGCTACTTTTTACAGTAAAAACAACAGTCATGGAGGGTTGCCTACAAGATTAAGTGATGTAAAGTGGATAGGTATCATCAATTAACTTATCATAGTGTGTTTACACAGGTAAAAATACACGACTAGTAGTCCTTTTTGAACTAGAACTGTTTTCTATAAGATCAAATTAAATCAAATCATTTTTTTCTTTGAGAAAAGTCCCTGGCTGTGCACTTGTTTGGTCTTTCATTAAGACTTCTGCATACCACGAAGCTCACGTACCACCAGTGTTGCACATACCACACTTTGAGAATCACCGATACAGCTATTAAGCATCATGATACGCCGTGGCATTTTAAAGAGCCTTTAAATAAGACAAAAACAAAGTCTCACATGCACCTGGAGCTTCAAAGCCTCCAAAACTCTTATTGTGGACTTGAAATACACCAGGCACTTGACACCAGCTGTTAATCAGATAATGAAATCCTCACAGTTACACAAGCACACTTGTGTGGAAGCGGCTATAAATTCTTTGCCATGACAGCATGCGAGGGCAGGGAGAGAGTGAGGGCTGGATTTGGTACCAGGCACTTGCCTTCCCAACCGAATGACGCATCGTATGAGCATTATGGTGAAACACTCCATCAGCTATTTCCCCTCAGTACACTACTTTCACGTATTTCTCTTGCTGACTGCAACAGAGTTCAGTTCCTGCTAAGAGAAATATGTGACAAGCAGACTTTCAGGGAATTATGAAATGGCATGCAGTGTCTCTGCAGCCTGTGAAGCCCCTAAAATACACATATTTTAGTGACAGATGAACTGTGAGCTGCAGTTCAGGTTGGAAATGGAAAACACTCCGCAGGGACAAAGCCTACTCAACATTTTAATGTTAGTAACCTGACCACATAGTTTTAGAGTGAACCCTGTTCCACTTACCCTTTTCACCTCACTCACCTCAATCACTGTGCTGCCTGCCATGGTAACAATTAACAGGATCCCACCTGGTACAGAGGCCCAAAAGCACGCCAACAGGTCAGCGGGTGCGGGGTGGAAGAGTGTCGCCCTCTGACACTGGCGGTGTTTCCGGGTTGGAGATCTCCTATGGGCCCAGCCTGCCATGGTGGTCCCTGCAGATGGACTGTAGCTCAATCAGATAACCTCTCCTGGGGATCAGGTTCACCTCTGTAACTCTCATCCAAGACATCCAGGGTTAATCTCCCACAGAGAAGATGGATACCTGGATAAGAAACAATGAATTACGAGGATTTGGTGGTGGAAGTCAAGGTGACTAATATAATTTAAGAGGTTACCTGACCTCTGGGGAAAGGGATGGCCGGCTGAAAGTAAGCACCCATAGCAGGATGATATCTCACTTGTATTCTGTAGACAAGAAGGAGCACTGGTCAAGACTAAAAGACGGTTATCTCTCATTTGTTGTAATTATAACTCCAGAGATATTAATATGGTTCAGTATCACAGTGAGCCTTATGTTATGCCTTTAACATTTCTTACAGGGGTCTCAATTCTGGTCATAAACAGAAAAATAAGAATGCACAAATAGAAACCCTGCACTCAGCAGGCAGATGACTGGATCATACAGTATCTTCACTTCACAGAAACTTAAATCTTACCAAGTAAATTTGCATCATTTTTAGTCAAATTATCTCATTGCACTTAAAATTAGATACATTGACCCGATTTGACCAAAAAGAAATCTTGTCTCAAGGTATTTTTGAAAACTGATAAAAACTCATGACAAGTTTTTGACTGGTTATGAAACAGGCTGAAGATAAAAGTGATGGCTCTGTACAACCTACTGAGGCAACCAAGGCCATAAATAACAGGCTATAAATTTATTATGAAGTAATTCTTAAAGACTGTAATCTCTGTGAGGGGGTAGGTGTCACATGTGGTGATTTACAGCACTCTGAGGAAACAGCTTTATTTTGCCTTTTCGAAAAAAATATTTATGGAGAGTAAACATTAACAACTAAAAGGCGGATTTTTTTCAGGGAACACTTCTTATACACGTGTAGAACAAAACCAAAACTAATAAAGATTTAAAAGGTTTTCCTTTGTTCACAGAGGGCGCCAAAACTAATACGAACAGAAAGTTCCTCACCAGTGCTTTAACTAAAACATTGTATAAGTAACAGCAATTTTACTCAAATAGAATAGTTCAGTACTCTTTCTATTCCTTGAAATATCTTGACCTGAGAATTTGAATTATGTCTGCTATGTAGGGGAGAGTGGGGTAAGATGAGCCACTTTTCATTTTGGGATCACTACATCAAGACAATCATAGTTTTGTGTCTAACTAGTGTATCTGCATATATTTCAAGATGTTGTGCATCCCTGCAAACCAACAGAATGAGTGTAAACAGAACTGTCTTGATAATATAGCATGCCAAAAAAGTGGTCTCCTATGGTCAACTTACCCCGTGTATGGGGTAAGTTGACCATAGGAGAGGGGTAAGTTGAGCCGCACCTCTACTCCCCCCCACACTCTCCACCCCAGCCCTCCCTCACCTTCTCTCTCCCTAAATAAGTCACTTCTTCACATTCATGTGTATTTTTATCTATTATACGCTATTCAACTAGTACAATAATTATTTTTATTATTATTACATATAACTGTTAAAAAGCTGTTTTGTAAAAAAAATTTTTTTTAAATAAAAAATTAACATGAGAATGCCTTTAAGTGATTCAGAACATTCACAGCTGTATTTTTGAAAAGAAAAAGTAACACATTTCAACAATTTGACGTGAAAATCTGATCCTCTCATCAGACTCATCATACTGGCTCAACTTACCCCTGAACTACTATTATGACTTTATTTGTCCTCTAAGCTAAAATGGTGGACTTTTATTCTAGGTTTTTGACCTCATGTTGTAGCTCATAGATACCACAATTGATGTATAAAACAAATTTAAAATGATCTTTTTAGGTCTGAACACAATTCTAATAAAACTTATGACAGACTAAATTCACTTTCAAGAGTGAAAAATGTTTTTTTAAATAAATGTCTAACCCCTTCACCCATGTGCTTCTAACCTTCACAGACTCCATGAATTGATACCCATCTCCTAAATATTTGGTCGCATTATCAATTTCTTTTAGCATTTCCAAGCAACAGGGGGTGGCTCAACTTAGCCCACCCTCCCCTGTCTGTTACACACACAGAAAACACCGTCACAATCTAATGTAACGTAATACAACAGCTTTCAGAAAGCTTCTAAATGTTGAGTTTTTGTTGACACGACCATACAGGTGATTACTGAACGTGTACTTGTGTTAAACTTACTCAACAGAGCTTTTACAGGTGACTCCGGCCAGTCTCTTGATATTCCCCATCAGCAGATCGCTCTCCTCTGCACTGAGCGCTGCAGCTTTAAGAACATGACCCGGAAGAGGACCAGTTTGACCGGCACTCTTTCTACTTTTCCTTTCCGCTCAGGTCTCAGCAGTGTTGGGAGCGTGGAGTTCATCATCTGGGCTCACAAAATCACCGAAAATGAGCGTCCCGGCGTTTATTGATATCACGGAAGAAGACCAGGTACGAATCATGTCCTCAAAACACTCGTTTAATGTGGTTTCTTTCGCGGATGAATCGATTGAAGGAAACTATTTGACCGGATAAATTAGCACGGTAGCTAACAAAATGCTAACCGCTCGCAGCTGTTTGTTAGATGTTCATTGTTCAATAATAAATAATTACAATATGATGATTGGCTGTATTCACAATGATAACTTTAAACGGAAATCGGTGCTGTTGTTTTATTAAATGTATTTATTTTTGGCAGTGGTGAAAAATGTAATAGAATATTTAACCAAAGCTTATTTAGTTAAAACCCACCTAAGTGTAAATACAACAGCTTCTTTGTTAGACTACAATACAATATAAGAAGTGTTCTGTTTAAAATGATCTTATAGTACTGAGGAGTTACTTTGAATCCATGGTGATGAGGGTTGAGGAAGCAAGATCTGTCTCCCACCCCTAAATTATGCAAAAGCATCTTTCTCTAAATAAACTCATTGTTGAATTAAACAAAACTCTGCACCTGGTCATTGTGTAGCTGTGTATTACATCTGACAGGACCCTACAGACAGTCCCTGCTCGCTCAAGTCGTGGCCTGTTATTATGAGCCAAGAAGAAGGACTTATGAGCTTTACTTGACATGAACTATCATGCTGTCAGGTTTATGTTTGGATCTGTTGACTCATTGTAGCTTGAGTCAAGTGTAATGGGATAATGTAACTAAAACAAATCACTTTAGTTAATAGTAAACTTGAAGGTTTGATTTTCTTTACAGGGGAAGTCCTGTTTTAAAAGCTGTCCAGCAAATTACAATAACACAAAAACGACTCAATTACAGTTTAACGAGTACATGTAATTAAATACTTTCCACCTTTTCTTGAAGACAATTTTTTTTGCCATCAGTGCTGCTACCACCAAGTCAAGTCACCAAAGCACACGTGAGTTAATTTAGGATCCAACACACTGAAACACAGAGTTAGACACCCCCTCAAGAGATGAATGTTGCCGACCCGTTACTTCTCTAGTTTTACCAACTTAAGTAACGACTGCACGATAGCAATAAACAGCGGACGGAGGAGCCATAAACAAACCTCAACCAAAACGCCACTCTACAGCCACAAATAATGCTCAGAACAGCACCTAACTTCATCAACAGTACATATAGGGTCCCAGTCATAGCACTAGCCACCAAACGTTTTTTTAACTTTGCCTGATTTCTTTAGCAAAGAGACTAAACACAACTCACCTACTCTCTTCCAGCAGCCGTTTGTCTGTAGCGAGACGCAGCTCAAGGTAGAACATAGAGTAGCATAGAAGCATTATTTGTGTCTATAGAGTGGTATTTTGGTTGAGGTTTGTTTATGGCTCCGTAGACCGCAGTGTATTGCTATCCTCGTTACTAAAGTTGGTATAACTAGAGAAGCAAGCGGTCTGCAACATTCATCTCTCGAGGGGGTGTCTAATTCAGTGTTACGGTGTGTTTGACCCTAAATTAATTTCACGCCGGAATATCCCTTTAAATCTACTCCCTACAGGGAAGGTGTTCACTTGGCCGGTTGAGAAACATTACTATAGTTCTCACTTCATTTTTAGCCCCAGCATGAACAGGTTTCTATTTACAACAAAGACAAGCTACAGCCGTACAGTTCTCTCCCATTAGGGTTTGTTGGTTGTTTTGCCCTCCGAGCTTAAGACCAAGGAAGTCTACGCATTTGAGCTTCTGGACCAAACACTTAAGAACTATTTCTTATAGATCTTCAGACCTGTGGACTCTGTGGATACTTTTAAAGAGCAGCCAAGACCCTTTGTCTAGATTTGCCTGCACTTTGTATGTTATTGACAATTCAGATTTAGAGATTGTGGACTCAGTTGACTGGATCTTCTTAGGCAAATGGTTTCTAAGATATTTGAGCCCTCACAAGTAAAGATTCTTCTCTATTAGTTTTCAGTCTGGTATGTTGGACGCATGTAGGATCCCAGCCTCTAAATTATACTAAACATAATGTTCGCTCATATGCTATTAAAAGGTCAGACATGTTGCTGGGAGAAAGGGCGTACTAATCATTTTGTTGTTGTTAAACTTTACAGGCCTCAGAGCTGAGAGCCTACATCAAGGCCAAAGGAGCTGAGATATCAGAGGAGAACTCTGAAGGCGGACTTCATGTAGATCTGGCTCAGATCATTGAGGCGTGTGATGTCTGCCTCAAGGATGATGATAAAGGTAGGTGTTGATCAGGACTGAACCAACACTCAGTTTCATTGAGCAATAGTTTTTGTTACTTAGGAGAACCCTTGTGTATTTAATCCCGTATGTTATAGTTCAGTTGGTTTATGTGTCTCTGTGGACTGTCCAAGTTGTCCAATATGCAGATCACCAAGACCCTGGACCTGTTATCAACTGATTACCAAACCATTTCCCAGTAACAGATATTACATATGACTCTGTGCTTCTTTACAGATGTGGAGAGTGTCATGAACAGCATTGTGTCTTTGCTGTTAATCCTGGAGACGGACAAACAGGAGGCCCTCATTGAAAGCCTGTGTGAGAAGCTGGTGAAGTTCCGTGAAGGAGAGCGGCCATCCCTCAGGATGCAGCTGTGAGTCCTTTTTAATCTTTTCTCCTGAATATGTCCCCTTGGGTTCTGTTCTTGTGAATCAACCAGCATAAAAACATCATCTCATCCATCAAAATAATAATAAAAATGAGCTCTTGTGTTTTGCTCCTGTAGGCTAAGTAACCTGTTCCATGGCATGGATGAGAACACTCCAGTGAGGTACACTGTGTTCTGTAGCCTCATCAAGGTGGCTGCAACTTGTAACGCCATCTCCTTCATTCCCACGGACCTTGATCAGGTATATACACTCTATTCATATCTCCCTATTACCAAACTGGAATAACTCACTTCAGCACTGCAGAAAAATCCAAAGACCAGCACTCAATCCTTATAAAGAAGCTCTGCAGATGATTTATTATGTCTGTCTGTGGTGCTTATCAGGTGCGCAAGTGGATCGTAGACTGGAACCTGAACACAGAGAAGAAGCACACACTCTTGAGGCTGGTGTATGAAGCACTGGTTGACTGCAAGAAAAGGTGAGTAGGAATAGAGCTGGACTGGTTTGTGTGTGTATTCAGAAGACGACACAGAACTGCACTGAATTCTACAGATGATACTATAGAAATTCTTGTTATTCCTATACTTGTGGGCTTAAGACTTAGACTGTGTTGGTTTTCTTATTTCACAGTGAGGCTGCTGCTAAAGTGATGGTGGAGCTGCTGGGGAGTTACACAGAAGACAACGCTTCACAAGCACGAGTTGATGCACACAGGTAAAGCTGAGTGTCTTGTTTACCATTTCTCACCAAGCTTTGATAGAATTTTATTCGTCATAACACACAAACCTTTTATCTCTTACTGCGCTCCTCTCTTTAGATGTATCGTACGAGCTCTGAAAGACCCCAACACCTTCCTGATCGATCACCTGCTCACCCTGAAACCTGTTCGCTTCCTGGAGGGAGAACTCATCCACGATGTAAGAAGTGAAAAACACATGACTGATTGAATCACACCTGGATGTGAATGCCTCAGTTTGTGTTTCACATGATTTTCTGATGTTTCTTGATGTAAAATGTCAGTGACAGCTAAGACAAGTATAGCCCAATATTTCATTGGTGACCAGTCACTGGTTGATAAACTCTGAATGGTGAGCAGCAGGAATGTTTGTACATCACCAGCTGAATGGGCTGAGACAATGAAAACATATTTCTCAATAGGGTGTGTGCACAGTTTTGTAGAAGAGATTTCATGGATCATCAGGTCAGCCTTTCTGAACATATTAATGGTTTGGCTGGCTGTTCATCAAGGAAACAGTGTTTGCTGAGGTGACGTACGTTACATTGATCACTTACATGACTTTATTAACAACATGGTTTTTTTTTTTTCTGTCTGCCTCTCTTTGCAGCTATTAACCATCTTTGTGAGTGCAAAGTTAGCAGCATACGTCAAGTTTTACCAGAATAACAAAGACTTCATCGACTCTCTCGGTAAGTAGAATGAACTGGAGAGGATGCATCAACTCTGCGGAAACTCGCATGTTTATGAATGAAAGAAAAGTATACAAAGCAGGTGTTTCAGTGCTTTAAATAGGCACATATGCTGTAGAAAAGCACCACATATATTCAAGAAGAATGAGGAATAAAAGCATTGAGCTATAAAACAATAACAAAATAACCAAAAAAGAGTCCGATCCTTTAATTATGGCCACAGTGCAGATAACATTGCCAGAGTTAGTCGTAAATTACTCAGAGTCTAAGAAGGAAAACAAACATGCAGAGAGGAAATGAATCAAGTAAATGCAGAGTAGAACAACAGGGTTTTTCCAAAACTGCAGCAGTCTGATAATCTTGAAACAACACTGTCTATGTCGCTGGGCAGTGATAAATGGCACGTCTGCCCTTTTCCTTATTTATCAATCAGTATTTATATATAATACGTGTGCACGGTTAAGTGACTGCTTTTTTTAGAAGTCTGTTTTTTCATGTCACGCTACATCTAAGAGCAACAAACAAGCAAGCCAGTAGATATCCATGGATTTAGACGTAAAGTATTCATGTTTATCCTCATTTTGCTAAGTTTTCCCATCATGTCAGCGTCCTCCTTTTATTCTTATATTTACAAAATTAAGTAGCAGCTCTGATGTGGGAGGAGCTTAAAAAATGTCTCAATCCCAAAATGTTTAACGATGAATACTGGATTTTTTTTCTGGATTCACTTATACTGTGGAGGGTGCAAGTACAAAAAAAATCCCCATATCATCCATCCTTTTCTCCAAAATTGAAATTATTTTATCATTTGCAGTTTTAATATTTACTACACACTAATTATAAACTCTTTGAGCCATAACAGCATGCTGTGTTGACACAGTAGAGGAATGCGTGTGTGTCAGCAGTGCGTCTCTTATTCACAACTAAAAGACTGGGGTCTAATTACGAGCATGTGTAGGATGGGCTCTGAAAACAGAAAACGCAGAGTTATGTTTGTGTTAATGAGAAGATTCCCTGACAGCGTGCTCCTAAATGTAGCAACAACTATCACAGGGAAACTCCCTGAGCTGAGCTTAATCGACTGTGACTGCTTTGTGCTTAATGATCCCTGCGTGTTGTTATGCAGGCCTGTCTCACGAGCAGAACATGGCCAAGATGCGTCTGCTGACATTCATGGGCATGGCGGTGGAATTCAAGGAGATCTCCTTCGACACCATGCAACAGGAGCTGCAGATCGGAGCAGATGACGTAGAGGCCTTTGTCATTGACGGTACAAGCTCTTCACCTTAGATGAATCTTTGCTGTCTCCTGTTAAAGTATTATGCTCGTTACAAGCGGCAGCTAATTAGAGGTTAAAAAGGACAGTTATTAGACAGTGAATTCCCTCTCTAAAGAGACTTTTCTTTCCTCCTCTCAATGAAAAGAATGCGTTGGTGACAAAAAAGGGACTTGAATTAGGACTTCACATGGCACAGGACCAAGAATAACACCCAGTGTTCTGTGCCCAGGATTCATTTCCTATTTGTAGTCTCATTTTTCATCCTGGCGTCAGTGGAGTTTTAATTGCTTTCTCTCTCTCTCGCTCCGTTTTCGCTGTAACTTTATTCCTTTCATGTCTTCTTTGTCTTTGTAGCCGTTCGTACCAAGATGGTGTACTGCAAAATCGACCAGACACAGAGGAAAGTTGTAGTGAGGTAAGTCCATTCATCAAACCATTACACATGGCTTAACATGTACTAAATAAAGATCTTTATCAAAGAGGCATTCAGAGCCGATGTCGACCTGGTTCATATTCAGACGTAATTTACTGTTTTCAAAACAGTCCTTCCACTGATGGAGCCACCAGACCTGCAGTCTTGTTGTTAGTGCACTGTAAACAGTGATGCTCACTACTCAAGCTGTCTGAACTGAATGAAGCTTTACATATGGTTGTGACTGAAGACGGGAATTTATTTGTATTCTACTTTATTGAAACTAAGAGAGCCAAGTCGCCGTTCATCATTTTAAGTCTACATTCAGAAGGCTTTGTTCTTTGTTTTCTGCGGCGCCTCCTCCTTAATTTTTCCTCAAGTCATTCATGCTGGACCAGAGCTGGTCTGCAAAAACTGAATAATCAACTGGTTTGTGCAGACCTGAATTTGGCCAAAGCAGTTTTGCCTCTCTCCAATATCATTGATGCTGAGTACCAAAGGCATAACTGTAAATGAATTCCCTTCAAGGACATTTCTTTTTCAGTTTCACATAACCGCTTAAAGATTTAGTCTACAGAATAAAAAAGAGGCTGCCATATCTGTTTAAACCTGGTTATTTTCCTTAACATATCATATCAGTATTGTTCCTCCTGAAGTATACGAGAGCACTGTAAGCAAAGTTTCAAAGCCAGGGGGTTTCTTTTTTTTCCAAATCTATAGAACCATTTCTTTTTTCGTCTACAATCCTTGTTTAGATAAAATATAAGATATGACTTGAACCCACTTTCTTCTGTGAACTTCAAATCTTTCTTCTCCCCTTTCACTCTCCAGCCACAGCACACACCGCACATTTGGCAAACAGCAGTGGCAGCAGCTGCACGATAGCCTCAGCGCCTGGAAAGCCAACCTCGCAACCGTCAAGACCAGCCTGCAAGCCCTGTCACCGTCTGCTTAATTCCACCTTAACCCAACCGTTTAGACCGCCTGACCCCTAATTCTTAACTGCTCTTCTAATGCCATGACTGAAACGATCAGTTTTTATATCTCTCCAATAAAAGATCAGTGGAGATCATCTGTGTCTGCTCCTTTCTTGTTAAATATTCGAAGATCCCAGGAGGTGTTGAAGTTCAAATCATCTCTTAAACACACACACAACTTATTTTTAACAAGTAGTTTTAAATTTGTGGCAATATTAAATACTTAGCTGTGTTATTGGTGGAGCAGATATACAGTATACTCATTCCTTTTAGACAACTACCCCACTCATTGCCTTATCTTTTCACAAAGCCATACGTTGACTTTAATGGGGGTTCGTCCTCCAGCGGCCCTCAACATCTGGTTTTGGTTAAAGGACAGCATGTCAGTACTAGATGAGCTGTGACTTTGGGTGAGAAATAGCCTGTAGTGAGAGGGTCACTTGTCTGGGCACACTTGAGAGGTGACAATAGGTAGGTGAACTTAAAATGACCCCGCGTGCTGAGGTCAGAGTCGAAACATCAACACTTAGAGCTTGTGGCGAGGGCTGAGTCACTGCCACCACAAATCTGATACTGTCCACCGGGCTAATAGATACAGTTCAGCTGTAGTCAGCGTGACTCACTGGCTCTTTATGTGCCTGAAAAGAAGGAAAACAAGGACTTCTAACATCCAGTTTATAGTTCACCTTGTCTTTATTCATTGATGTAAACTAAAGTGCTATTTATCCCTCAGAGAAATCTGTTCTCAGGCTGCGCGCCAACATTAGATTGTGAGCTCTAATGATATATGGCCCAGGCATTAGGTGTAAAAGGGGTCTGTTGGAGTTCTCTCCCTCTGGGGCTGTGATGAAATCAGCACAAACTGACAAAGAGCAGACTACTGACAATGAATCCCAACCCCCACCCCAAATACTCGCTGCTTTTTATATGACTAATAAAGCCACAGCTCATCCTGGTTACTGCTTTAAGTGCCGTGTATAAAGTAATCTGATCACTTCAGAGCCTGCCACTAAAATATTCTCTCTCAGATTAAATGGGCATTAGAGGTATACATTTATTGCTGCAGTGTGTTCTTTTTCCTATCATGGCTGAGGTCTGCAGAGGCTCACCACTCACTTCTGTCCGGTTGTCCACGGGGAGCAGCATCTCTAACTCTTATCAGCGGGTGTAAATCACAAAACACATTCTCAGGAGCATAACCTCACCAGAGCCACCCGCAAGGTGGAGCGCAGAGCGGATAAAAACTAATGTGATCGAAGCTTTACAGAATATCTGCAAAGCCGAAATGTCTTAGTTTCCATCTCTTACCATGTGCATCCCTTTCCTTACAAGCAGAAGCTAAGTTGCTCCTTTCCTAATTCTGCACATAGATCTCTCTCTTGTGTCTAGTTTGTCTCAAGAATCCATTATGTGGATTGTTCATGATCTGAGACATCCCACATGTAAATACTGCATGCTGCAGTTGGTTTATCTGCTGCAAATGCCATGACCTCTCCTTATCAAATTCAGATAGAGACGACTCTGCAAGAAAAGCAAATGAGTTGATAAGCAATTTGAGAGCGGCAGCTGTTTGATGGGACACTTTTGCATAGACAACTAAAGTTATCAGCAGAAGTGGAAGGTAACTCTTGCATTTAAATTTGATTTGCATGTATTTGACTTTTTCTCATTTTCGGTTATAGTTCTGCACTCCTATAACTTTAAAGAAAGGAATATAACTTCCTAACCCTTCACTTCTTTTTTTCATACAGAAAATAGTTTCAGAAAAAACATCAATACATAAGTTCTCAGCTAGTTTTGGAGGGTGACTTTTGAGACAGAGACATTGTAATTAGAGCCTTTGACACATTTTGAATGTCTCTGAGTTCAACCAAACATTTATGTCTTTATTTAAAGTTCTCATTTATATAACTGTACACCAAAAAGATGACATTAAGTTCAGCATGTAAATGTCAAAATCCATCTGATTTAGTAAAACACTGAAGATGGTTGAGATCTATTAAACTTCCCTACTTGACACGAGAAAATTAGCTGCATGTCACAAACAACAGGTCAAAGGTGTTCTTCCCTTCACTGTTTGCTTTAAATTTTAATGCTACTGTTGAAAATTTCAGCTGTAACTTTTGTGTATCAGCTTTAAAATGACTAAAACTGAGACTGTAGCAGTATTTTTAAATGGGGACCTGGTGCTTCTACTCAAACAAAGAAGGACCTAAATAGGGGTCAGCCTTTGGTCTCCCCTCACTTTGTGTATGCACAAACACCGCTGTGTGAGATGATATGCTAAATGATTATAACAGGGTTATGCCAGTTTATGGTGGCAACCTCAATTGGCATTACAAAGCTGAAAAAAGTAATTTGTCTTCTCCATCGCCTCTTTTCTCGTATCAACATTCCTCTGGGTGAATCTCAGATACCATGACAGTATCCAGAGTCGTAGCCAAACACAAGAGACAGTCTCTCACTGCTCTTCAATTAGCACCATCCAGTAGTCAGCATGATAATGTTCAATTGCATCCTATCTCTGCTTTACATAAACACTGACCAAGAGGCCCAGAGACCCAGAGACAGATATGTGTATTTACATGGTCAGAGTGAAATATAAACACTTGTGAGCAGCAGGGTTAGACAGCCAAATGGGAAACTTTATTATCACTGCTTTGCTTCATGTTTTCTGTTTGTGATGTCTCTAAAATTGCTACTGTCACCATTTTTTTGTGGAGGATTTTATCACTGAGGCTGGTCTTTTTAAAGTCAAAATGACTCTTTAGCCTGTGTCTAACCTTTTCCCATACAAGGCCTGTGCGTAGTGGTGTAGTCACCAGCTCTGGAGCTACTGAGACAACTTAAGAGAGAAGGTTTAGTGCTTGTAAAAGAGTCGAATGAGCCAGGTGATTTATAGCATTGTGGTCATGGTAATTTGTGCCCACCTGAAAGAAGTGAAGAAGCAAAATTGTAAACATGAAGAGGACACTAAGACTGAAGAGGATCAGATGTTACAGTAAAATTATGGCGCTTGATACTTTTAAGGGGTCGTTTAAGTAACATGACCCTTTTAGTCCCAGTAAAGTGTCTTAAATGGAAAAAATGTGTCACATATTGAATGGGGTACATATATTGCGAGTTGGCTCCTTTTAAAATCTGCATTAATGTGGGTTTGTTCAATCAATCAATCAATCAATCAAACATTATTTTTAAAACACTTCTCATACATATAATGTAGCACAAAGTGCTGTCCATCCCGGCAGGATATTAAAAACAAATAAAATAAATAAAAATACAAATACCAAACCCAACCCACCCTCTCAACCCCAATTTAACACATCCAGCACTCACACGCTCACACACAGATGCATACACAAAAGAGCAGGTGAGGACTCTTCAACTTGCCACAGATGACTGAGGAAACGGTATCTTGAGTTAAAAGAAATGAGGAAACACTGGATTTAGGACTTAAACGATAAAACCATAATAAAATATAATAAAGGTGATAAAGTTTTAAAAGTTGATTAAACAAAACAGTCTTAAAATCAAACAATAAAAGAAAGTTAATTTAATAAATAGGTAATAAAACACAAAATTGTTACTCTACAACTAAAATAGGGTAAAATCACATAATGCAGATCAATACAAAATTTAACTTAAAGCCAGACTAAAAAGGTAGGTCTTGAGTTTACTTCTAAAAATATGAACAGTAGGTGTCGCTCTCAGGTCTGCAGGTAGGCTGTTCCACAAATGGGGACCGTAATGTTGAAATGATGATTCACCATATGTTTTAGTTTTTACTTTGGGAACATAAACCACTACCTGAAGACCTGAGGGCTCTACCAGGCTCATACGGTAAAAGCAAATCAGACAAATAAGTATCCAAGTTGTTTCTTTTCAGAAGGGGTCTTTTCTCACACAGGCTGTCTTGAAAGCAATGGGAAAGACTCCTGTCTGAAAAGAATAATTGACAATATTAATTAGATCATCTTTAAATTTGTTGTTTAGTACTCTGTAAACTCTATAACCTTTTCAAAACCATCACTTTGACGTTTTAAGGTGAAAATGTCCCATAAATCTCAAAAGTCAACAACCCATAGTAACTGCCCCATGAACAACAGATTGGTCAAACCTTCACAATAAAGGGAGTCAAAAGTGTAAATGATCAGCAGGTCGGTGAGTGCAGACCAAATATGACCTCGAGTTCAGGCCTGTCAGTAAATGACCTGACTTTGGGAGAAGTTGTGGTCTCTGAGTCACATCAGAAGTCAGATGATGTGTGTGTAATTCTATGTCACACGCCTATGTGAAAAGTTTGGATGAAAACTTCTTTCACTTTCGTGGTTTCAGCTGCCCTCTAGCGTCCGGTTGCGTTTCCAGAATCGACCACATTATCCAGGTAGACCGGATCGATTGATCGAGTCTGCACAGGTATAGGGTAGGAAAGGAAGAGCAGAGGACATATCTTTTGGGAGTAAACAATAGGTTTCTTTTTAGAAGTACTGAAACTCTCTGGGGGGGCTTTTCATGGACAAATAAGGCTCAATATCTCTGTCGTTTTGGCTGAAAACAATGAGCTGCGGTGAAGTTCGTCAGAGGAAGCTGGTGAGCACAGCTGTTGTTTGTGACTGTCGGTAAAAGTTTCCTGACTCATCTTATCAGCGTCGAGGCTCGGACACGTCTCCACCGCCTCTGTGCCTAACTCTCTTTTTATTACTGTTCATTTTTTTTTACATTATGGGACCCTTTTTATCATAGGTAACGTAAAGTATGAATTTAAGGTGCTGTTTTGTTAAAATTAAGAGTGTATGTGGTGGTTTGAAGAAGAGGGGTGTGTTTCTCGTCGTCAGTACTGTGCCCTCTGGACTGCCGGTTGATGCCCCGCCTGTTGTCCGCGCGCAGGTGCACCTATGACCATGTTGTTCCACCTGTTCATACTCCTCCAACTCCTCACATGTGTAGATCTGGTCTGTGTGAGGAGGTTACTGTCCAAAGGTGAAGCAGACCAAGAAGGTAAGTGACGTGATGGTGACAGCATCACATCTGAATTAATCTACAAGTTTCTCCTATTTACATATTTTTGTGTTTCGACACCAGTGTTTGTAGATGAGGGGGACGCAAATTCGTTCCTGGGTCGCCATCTACTGTTCAACCGGTTCGACTTTGAAATGTTTGTGCCTGGAAATCTAGAAAGGGAGTGTTATGAAGAAATCTGCAATTATGAGGAAGCCAGGGAGGTCTTTGAGAACACCCCAGATACAGTTAAGTGATGCTACTTTCTGCTTAGAGCATGTTGCATGAAAGGAAAAGGCTTCACCATCACCTCAACATCTCACTGATGTGTTGTTTTGCAGGATGCTTTCTGGAAAAAATACACTGAAGGTAAGAAGGAGAGAGGAGTAGCCCAATCAATAGTTTTAATCCATGTTATTAAGTATAATATAAGACAAAAATGTTGTGGAGATTTGTGCTGCTGAGGTAAAATGTTCTCCTTCTAGCAAGAGCAATTGTGCTACTTATGCACTCAAAACCTGTTTTGCCACTTGTTCAGCAGAGCACTGTAGCTTTCAAATTTATTACCTTGTTTACAAGACAAAGAAACACTAAAATTCCACTTGTTCTGAATAACTTGAGACTTATTTTTTAATTGATGATGACTGCATGCCTATGTGCAGCATTTTTACTTGTACTCCACCTCCCCTCTAAAACTGAAGGGTCAAATTCAGAAGAAAGAGAGGACTCGCCCTGTGACTTCAGATGGCTTCCTTTTTCATGCAGTGTAACTCACTGTCTGCTCTGTGATGCTCCACAGACAAGGACAAGCGCGCCTCCAGAGTGGACGTGACCTCTCTGTTGGTGGCACTGATTTCTGCTGGAGTGATCATTGTTATAGTGGGTCTATTGCTCTGGTATTTCTGTCAAGGCAAATGCAAGGATGACTTAAGCCGTGCAAGGTGAGTGAGAGAGAATTTATTAACTACTAATTTATTCACTACTGCTTTAAACCAATCGCTGTAACTGGACATGTCTGTAAAAAAACACCACACAACCTGAGTTGGATCATTAGAGTTCCTCCTTTTAAGTGACAAAAGTCAAAGATATTCACTTTACTGTTTCACAACAACATGGAGGGCTGAAACTGATTCATGTTTAGTATCTTTCCTTGTGAAACTGAGAATCAAACTAAGCAAAATGTTTAAAAGTTCTCTGTGAGTCAACATGCTGCAATGTAGAGTCTACTCCTACATTTTGACATGCAGTAGTGTGACAAAGATAATTTAATATCAAAGTTCCTGTGAGGAACTCTCAGATTGTGTCAGTCTTGGTGCCCCCATGTGGACGAAGCAGTCTTTGTTTATCATGTCCCATACATGCTTAACTAGCATCTTCTGGCAAATAAGCGCCATTGTTGTGCTTCTCATGGTAATATTTACAACATCTAAAGGTTTTTAAATATGTGAAAACACAATAAAGACTTTTTTCACATCTAGGTTTCCCCATCTGTATCAGGAAAACAGAAAGCTGAGCTTCAGCTACTGTTTGTTCGGCTTGTTTCTGGGTACACTGAATGTATTCATGATGGGTTTTCTACTCTGAGCTGAGTGAGGACACACAGCAATGGCAGCAATCATATTAAAGCAGTCTAGAACTTGTGCTCTAAAGTTATGATGAGGAGAAAAAGAGGAAGAATGCATTACAGTGGGTCACATATCAATGACATGATATGTACTCTATGTACGCTCCTTACAGCTCCATTCGGGCTCGACCAAGGAGGAGTAATGCTTCTCTTATAATGCGTCGACTAGAGGAGGTGTCCCTACAACCTGTGTCCCCACCTCCACCCCTAACAGAGGACATCGACCCTCCAGGACTGCCGTCCTATGAGCAAGCAATAGCAAGAAGTGGACAACATGACGCCCCACCTCCTCCTTATCCCGGGTAACTGCATATTTATGAAGTTTGTCATAAGTTATAAATGTGTGCATATGATCCATGATGTAGTCATAGACACGAGAATGATCTTATCTTTTTTTACTTTTAGCTCAAGAGCTGGAAGTATTCGGCGGTAGAATCTTCAGGACGTGTTTTCAGCGCGTCTGTCAACATAAAACATGCAACTCACTTTTTGTTGCTGTGCTGCATATCTGGAAAACATGATTTTCATCATCCCAAGATTGAAAGACCTTTTGGTGCCTTGCGGTTTTTGCTCTGGCTAAACTACCTTTTCAAACATTTGTATTATCTTTGGGCTGTCAGTGTGTCTTTTCTTCAGCAGTCTAACATGCTTTTTCTTGAACCAGCTTGTGCCAATACTGACTATCTTTCACAACTGCGGTTACACTCTGTAAAGTAACCATATCCTTGTGTTGAATAAGCTTTATTAAACCTAGTTTGCTGCTCTTTTTTAGCTGAAAATGAAGAATCATCAACATGAACATCAGAGCTTCATGTTTAAAAAGAATATTTGAGTCTTTCGGGATGCTTTCTTTTGATGCACCATTAAAGGGTCGGGAGTAAGATCAGGGTTATGTTTTATTGCATGATAAGTATTAATGTCAAATGAAGATTGACAGCTGTGCATGTCTGTACAGCTTCCTGTCTCCATCAGAAGGAAAAAGAAACTGCAAAACTGAATTTTCTGACAGTGTGGTGTTTTTTCACAAAGACCATATTTAACGGTTAACACAAGTGTTTTTGATGCACTGTCTGACTATACTACTTCATTTAGTTAATGTTGATCTGTAGTTTTTTTCAGCTGTTCATCAATTCTACTGTAATTTTAATTTAAATAAAAGCTGTCTAATTATGATGTGTAACATATAAAGAACAAAATAAAAAAGACTTCAGAGAAAGTTTTACAACATTTTACATTTCCAGGAAAGAACATTTACAGTCAAAAGAGAAAATAATTCCTGTAACACTTGTATCAGCTAAACAGAGTTATATTTCTATTCTAAATGTAGATGCTGGGGAAAAGAGTTTATAATATATCTAAAAAATATCCTGGAATTTGTTTTGATTATTCAAAGTTAATGGGCAATTTGCAACACAAGATAAGTTAAAACCATGACATGTGTGTGAATTTACTTGCTTTTCAAAGCTGATCGACTGTTTTCTACTGGAAATGAAAATCTTTTTATTGAAATTTTTAAATAAAAGCGATATTTTAATATTTTTTTTGGTCTCATCTCTTGACTGTATGATGTTGTGGATGTGCTCTTTAGTTGTCCTCACTGAAACCAAGTGTAGATATGGTGATTCCAGGATTTGGTCAGCAGTACTACACAAAATGCACAACTTTTACAACTATTGGGAGAGAGCACAATGTTGCAGTCACTCATCATAAAATTATTTATATTAAATCCTTTAACTGCTATAACAATTATCTTGTTTTACTGTAATTTTGACTAGTTTTCATGTTATGTGTAACATGTTCAGTATTGAACATTTAAAGCTCCTTTAAGGAGTTTTTTTTTCCCTGACATTTTGGAAAAACAATGAAATTCCTATTGATGCTTTTATGACACACAAAGGCAAGCAAGACAATAAGGAACAAGACAGTCAATGTCCACATTGTTATTTTAATAACTAAATCCAACGAGAGGGGGCAGGCATCACCTGAGCTGCTAGAGAATCGGCCTGTTTTTTTTTTTAGATTTCATTATATAATATTCAAAATAAATAATAGATCTTACTTTTCATTCAAAAGTCCCCAGGATTAGTTGTTTTGTTATAAAAGATCGGCGGTGACTCCTTTGTCCACAGTGGGGCGCCAAAATTAACACAAACTAAAAGTTCCTTACAGGAGTATTAAGTTGAAGAAGCTGTTTGAGAGAATGACATGAGAGTACCAGGGTGATGTATTGATGACTGGTAACATCTTATTTTAAATGTATCAAGTGTAAAAATCATGTTATCAGGGGCAGGGATCTTTAAAATGTGAACAGTGTCACAAATGTGTTATGACTGATAAATTCACTGTTAGTGAATGACAGTAGGTTACACTGACAATTGTGATTAAATCATCAGTTCATCACACGAGTGGCTGTAACATACTCTAAAAGTGAATTTCTACAGCACTGATACCTTATACTAAATGAAGAAGCAGGCAGATAAGAGGCGTTTTCTGAACTTCTAGGTGGACTGAAGGAAAACTACAAAACTTCCAGCCAAAGTCTGCGGCGGTGCATCCTGGGAAATAAACTAACATGGGTACGTGAAACCATGCAGAGCTTGCACGTCTCTCCATGACAGGAGATGAACAAAAACTAACGAAATCACTGTGAAGGCAAAAGGCACACTTTGACCCAGGACATCGCTCATCTTGACGGCGGCTCTGCGGACAGTGAGGCGCTCTGACGGGACTGCCTCGCCGTCACAGGTCGGTCGGTCGGTCGGTCGGTCGGTAGGTTGGTGGGTCGGACCCTGGGCTGCTACGATGTGTGTCCGCTGCTCCACGAAGCTCCGTCGTGGAAGTGAATCTTTCACCGGATGATGGACAGGAACTACCCGACCTCCAGCTTTGCGGACGCGCTGGCTGCTCCAGCACAGACCGTAGCTTCATGGGCCTATGACCGCAGCGCGGCTAGTGTCAAGCCCAGGTAAATGATGCAGGAGAGAGGGCGCATTCCCGAGGAAATATCGATGATGGAGGGCCTAGTTTGTTGTGAAAAAGTGAGGAAGTATGTGTTGATACTGAGAAGACTGGAGGAATTGGACAAATCTGGGAATTTTACGGGAGTTGGAGAGGCTTTGACTCTGTCTCCCACCCTGCTAGTTTTGGCTAGCACACCGCCTCAGCATGGCTGTGTAGAGAGTTATACAAACTAAAGAGGAATTTATTCAACATGTTTTATAAGTTGACCTGCCAGGTAGATAAAACGAGCATTTTATCGACTGCTTTACTTTGCCCACAGGTGCCCGCTAGAGCATAAACAAGAGAGGTAACTAGCTTGCAATGCTAGTCGTGTGAGTTATGGCACTTAAATTATTGGTATTTGGCTGATGTGTTGTTACCTAAGAGCCAAGGGACGACGTGTCGTAGGCTGAATGTATGTGTGCCAGTATTTTTCTTATGAAAGGTGCGGGTCTATGGCGGTCTTTGACATCATTTTGACTTCTGCACCCTCAAATCTGTGTAAGTTGCAAGGCTCAAGCATAGTCGTACTCACTTTGGTTAGTTCAGCCAAGTAGGTCTAAGTTTTATAGACCCAATGCACAACAGTTTATCAAAAACCAATACTAACACTTTTTAATGATGTCATTTACAGAGACCTAGCATACACCGACCAGCCATAACAGTATGAACACTTGGTCAATCTAATGCTACCCAACACAACACCATGAAATTCCCCTTAACTGAGCCCCTACTTTTTCAGTTTTGTTGACATGATCAAACCAGTTCTTTAATTGTTGAAGTTGTTGTGGGTTCATTGTAGTTAAAGGTGTTCCTAATGTTTTGTTAATCCCATGTCCTAATGTAAGGGGCATGTTTTAATGTAACACACTCCAGCACACTAACAACAACCACGATATCTCCAGTAATATATAGACAGTACATTTACCAACTGTCTGAAAATCATGAATCATCTTTTGAAGTAGAATTTGTGGTAGTACTGTTGCATTACCAAGTGTCAATAATGTTATAGCAGGTTGTTATATATCAACCATGAGAAGAGCACCTACCCACATTTGATGTATATCAGCAGCAAAATTAAACTTATTATTTACAGGCAGAAACCTCAAACAGAACCAGACTTATGGTGAACAGCCATCTGGTACACCTGCTTGGGCTTAGAGGGTGGAAAGAAAGAGTTGGATAGAGACATGTAATGAGAACGACAACAAAAACAACAATAGTAGAAACAGATTGATGCCAATGAAGTATGTGCAACGTTAGCAAGAACAGCAAGGTCTGACAACAGACTGGTCTGATACGGGCATAAACAACTATAATGACGGTGCAATGAGGAGGGCTGATAATGTGAAGTAAAGATGTTAGAGTTTAGTATCCCCAATATTCACATTGATAATTATAGTAACTAAAATAGAATTATAACTGATACACCTCTGTTGTATCATGGTCTACTACAAATGACAAAACATCATGGTGCTTAAAAACAGTATTTCTACTATTAACATAGGATGTGTCGCTAAAAGTAGCAGCATCTCTGCTAGTCCCTAGTATATCTTTGCAAGGCAAGTAATGCAAGTCTTCAACAGATAAAAAACAATGCTGCAGTGAACAGTCACACATAAGCGAATACTAAATCCTTTTGCTGAAAGACATAAATCATAGTGTGCTGCAGTACAAGCAGTCAGACATTGTATGCGTTGATAACTTCAGAAAAGCAGCCCAGGGTTATCTCGGTTTTCCTCTTGTCATATCAGTGTGACCCAAATAGCAAGAGTTTGTGGGTGTTGATGTATTTTCCTCAGCTGCTGAGGAAACAGACTGTTGTTGTAGCCCTGGTAAACATTTTTTGATGAAAGGCCTTTAAAATCGAAAGCCAACTAACACAATAACTCAGCCATAAACTTTTGATTTAGAAAGAGTACTATGTTGGGCTGAAAAACCCTGAGAGGGGTCATTATTTAACTGCAGTGCTGTACTGGACTGCATCCTAAAGAGAAATATTTCCAATGTTTTGACCATTACATGTACAAACCTGGGGGAATATTAGAAACACATTCAAAATAATGTCATCCAGTTTAGCACAAACAATGAACTCAAACCTCAGTATTAAGCATACGGTACAATTTATACCCATGACTGTGTAAATGCAAATGTTCACAAAGTGATTATTGTGAATGAAGAAAAGCTGTTGTGTTGGATTGCACCAGATTGCAAACGTGTATCTTGTTAAGAAGCCAAGGATTTTCCTCCGAGCTTGGCTGCATGTTATGTCACTTTTTCTCAGATTAATAGTCAAATAGCTGAGAAGCGTTGTATAACAGGAGATCGCACATCTGTGAATGTAAAAGGGACAAGGAAAAGCTGCCGATGACACCCTCTCTGCTCTGAGTCTTTCCACAGATGTTTTCCTTCTGGCAGAAAGGGAACACTTTAGGTCAGGCTGGCTGCCTCTGATTAGCCCACCTCTGGTTTTATTTCTCTTTTAAATCGTTTTCCCAAGAGAAGCAGAGAGTCATATGCCAGATATTAAGTTTTTGCTATTACCATAGCACGCCACTCCAAGCAGATTAATCCAGCATTGACTGGTGGATTCTACAACTTACAACAATGTAGGGTTTGGGCCAAGTCAGGTTATTGATACTTGGCTCATTTTGACACAGCGCTCTTCTTTAAGTCATTATTGCATTTTCTGAGAATCTGGTTTGTGCCTGCAGGGCTTGTGGATGAAAACAAGAATGCAGTGTTTCAAGAAAAGTCATTTGTCCAGGTCATACATATTCGGGTGCTTCACAGATACCTGTGAAGGTTTGAGCTCTCATGTATGTGTGTTTTGTGTTTATGCAGTTCCAGTTATGGTGCAGCACAACTTGATGCAGAGCTCCTCCAGCGGCAAAGCTACACTTCAACCCACCAGCTGCCCACTTACACTACATCACACCTTCCTGCTGCAGCAGGTGAGCAGTTAAAGTTATGACCCACTGTGTGTTTTACAGGTCAGATAATCGAAAGTAAAGATCAGTTAGGCTGTCAGGAGTTTTAAGGCCAATATTGACATTTCAGGTACAAAATATTTAATTCCTGGGAATAAGTTAAAACATGAACATGTCTCATTAACTTTGTCCCTATTTTATGATGGTCACAGGTATGTATGAGGGAAACTATCAGAGAGGGAATGTCAAATCAAACGTTTTTTTCTGTGCAGTGCAGCTGGTCTTCCCCTTAACCTCCTTCCTCTCTTCAATATTAGGAGCACTTGACTCAAGCAGTAATACTTCTGAGACCTCAATCATGAGCTTCCTGTCAGCTATGGAGTCTAGAAGCCTTCAGGCTGGTCCTGTTAGTGCCTCACTGCTTCCTCCTTTCAGACCCCCATCATGGCCTGCTGGTGAGAAAAAGTCCACTGTTTCACATACACACTGCTTACTGTGGCGTATCCAAACATTTCTGTCTCATAAACAGTTTGTAAGGTTTTTTTCAATCTAATCTAATTTAAACAGTTTCAGATTTGTTTATAAAAGTGTGTTGTGAATAACAACTCAGTTCTGGTAAGAGTTGGGGCGCTATGTTCAAATATTTTGTTAAAAAGCTGAATTTGGTAGTTTGCATATCAATAAAAGCCTATATTTCATTGAAACTGATGCAAAGACAACATATCAAATGATGAAACTAGAAATGTGATTTTAATGTGGTTATGTGTGTGAAAATTATATGTTCTTTTTAAATTTGATGCCAGAAACTTATTTTAAAACAGTTAATAAAGGAATTACTGAAAAAGTAAAAAGTTGTGAAATGCTTACAAAGCAGCTGGAGGAGCGTTTTCCACCTAATTTGCAACAGTTTAATAACATGTCTGGGTGTGAAAAGGCCATGTAGAGAGGCTGAGTCTCTCAAGAGGAAAGATTGAGAGAGGTTCACCACTTTGTGAGAGACTGCGTGAGCCAACAGCTCAACAATCTCAGAATAATGTTCCTTTGTGTAAAATATCAAAGAGTCAGACATGATTCTGCAGTGTAAATCACTGTAAAAGCTTAAAAACACATCCAGAAACCACTATCTGTAAGCTTCGATTATAGCTGCATCCACAAATTTTGGCTGAAACATGATACTGGTCAGGTCTATGGGTCGAAGCCCATTTAAGACAGACTGAGGGGAAATGGAAAGTGTACTTTGGTCTAACAAATCAAAGTTTGACGTTCCTTTTGGAAATAATGGATGCTCTGTCCCCTTTTCTAAACAAGGACGAGACCACCCTGTTTGTTGTCACGACACAGTTCAAGAGCCAGTATCCCTGACAATATAGACTTGAAAGGAGGCCCATGGCATAAGGCTCTGTAAATGTTGAACGATATGGACAGGCTTTAGAGCAACATATGCTGCCATCCAGAAGGGAGGACCTTGCCTAATACATCAGGAAGAATTTCAACTGTACTTTGCACACTTCACAACAGTACAACTCTGTAGTAGAAGAGTCCTGGTGCTAAACTGGCCTGTCTGCAGACCCGACTTGTCAATGCTACTGAAATTGGTGGGGGGAAAGCAGCAAAGGGAACCCCCAAGCTGTTGAGCAGCTGAGACCTTATAAGAGGCAAGAATAGATAAACTCCAGAAACCGGTCTCCTGGGTCCCCAAATCATTAAATTCAGTTTTAATCAGGTTTTTTTCACAGCATGTAAAAATCTCAACTCTTACGGAACTGAAGTTTGATTTTTATCCACTTTCTAAAACTGTTTTCAATTTTTTTTACAACCATTTGGAATACATTTCAGCCTGTTTCATTTAATATTGTATACTATTAACTGGTAAAATTTTCAAATTTACCCTCATGGGTTTTAAAGTAAAGAAACATCATCCATCCATCCATCCATTTTCTACCGCTTATTCCCGTTCCCGGGGTCACGGGGGGGCGGGAGCCTATCCCAGCATCTTTGGGCGAAGGCAGGGGACACCCTGGACAAGTCGCCAGTTCATCGCAGGGCTGACATATAGAGACGAACAAACATTCATGCTCACATTCACCCTCCCACATCCCAAAAACATGCCTAAGTGGGGTTAGGATAAAGAAACATCAATACTTTTAAATTTACTCATGGGTAAAGAACATTTGCATCATATAATATGATTAAAATTGAAAAAAAGAAAAAAAAAAGTTAAGCTGCACATTCTTGCGGTTTGGATTTGCTGAATAATTTTATGGAGACATAAAAAAGTTTGTTTAGTTTTCAATCTCCACAGATTTGATCGATTGCATACAGACTGAAGGATTTCTGCGTGTATCATATCCCGTCATGCTGCTTGTCCTGGCCTTCAGTCATCTATTTTTTGCATTGCAGGTACCAACGCCTCCACCACAGAACTTTATTTGACCGGTGCCCTGCCTTCTACTGCTACTTTCCCCTCTCCTGCTGCTCTGTCGTCTTATCAGCACACCGGTGCCTACCCCTCCCGGAGTTATGCCACCAACCCATCCTTGGCTCTCCCTGATCCTGCCTTCAGCACTTCCACCAATGGCCTGTTTTCTCATCATGACCCCCTCCTCCATCTGAAGCCCACCCAGGCGGTGCTTCCCTCTGCTCTGGCCTTCAATCACCTCCCTGCCCCTGGTTTGGGCTCAACTCTGCCTGTTCAGTCCTCCACTTACCGCTCAGCCCAGGAGTCAGCCCCCCACCTCTTACAGCCCCAGTTCAGCCTGTTACCCTCTACCCTGTCTGCTCCTCATGGCGCTCCACAACCGTACGGAGCGACAGTTTTCTCAGGCTCCATTGAAAGAGCTCTTCAGCGTGAATGTAGTGTCATTAAACACCACCAGAGGCCTTCTAGCAGCCACACAGCCTCCGAGCAGTTGCCTGAATCAGAGCACTCCTTACAGGGATACTTTGGCTCTGCTAGCGAAGGGGATGTGTCCTACCAGCAGGACCCGTCCCGGCAAACCCCAGTGTCCTGCAGCCCTTCTGCAGGTGCAGATTCCTCTCAGGGGGTCAGTCGTGCTCCACAACCCAAAACAGACTCAGTAACTCAAGCGTATTCGTCCTCCTCTTTGCTGAAAGCTAAAGACTGTTCTTCCAAAGTAGCTCAACACCCTGCAGGGGGGGAAGAGAGTCACAAACACTCTCAGAATCTGGCAGCAGGGTCTCCAGAGCATTATGCACCCCCAGGACAAAAACAGAACTCAGTGATTGCTAATCAGCAGACGGTCCAGCTCTCCAGCCTTAGTCTTGCTCAAACCTACATCACCCCCCACACCCAATCCCAGAGCTCCAGTACCACTTCAGACAAACTGTCTCCCCTCTACAAGACTCTGCCCTCCCTCTCCAGTCAGTCTGACAATGTTGCATCTGGAAGTCAGACTCTGGTGTACTCCTCCAGTCCTGGGCTAAGCCAGGAGCAGCAGATCCAGTATGGAGCCCAGGTACAGGGCTTATGTCAGGGGAATCTCTCTGAGAACTACCCCACTTCCCACTCTCAGGGCGCCTCAAATGTGACTTTCACATCCCACTCGCAGGGGCAAGTTTCTGCATCTCAGTCTCAGAGCTATGCCACAGGACAATCTCTTAATCAGTCCCTTGACTCATCTTACCCATCCACCTGTGTGCAGAGTCTACCCACGTCAAATTCTACACAGGACTACACCCTCATGCAGCCCTCGATGGAGGGAAAAACACACGACTCGCTGACCCAGCAGCAGACAATGCCTCATAAATATGTGTTGTCTTCACCGTTGCCTACCTACTCTTCCACTGCGCAAGCCTTACAAAACAATGTTAGGTCCTCAATCCAGGATATCAAGCCAACATACGGCAAACAGAAACTTGAAGAGCTACCCATACAGGACCTTGAGGCTCTCCAGCAGGCGTCTCTGGAAGCGTCTGCTGCAGCTAGCAATATGTCCGCTCCTAACAATGTAATCTATGTTGTGTCAAAAATGGACGATCACAAGACTCAAAGTGTTATCAGGAGCAATTCACGCTCTGAAGACCAGCTCATGGGGCTGGGTCAGGCGAACTCCGCACAGGTTAAGGATAGCAGGATTGGTTCTCTGAGCCAACAGCATGCTCATTTAAGCAGTACTAACGGCCACGATACAAACAACACAAAAACGACAAACTCAAGTATTATAGCTTCACATGTACCCCTAAGCTCAGAGCAGCTTAAGCAGCACTCGCTTCAACTCAAATCTCCCGAGCCGCACCAACAAAACCACCTGAATCATAGCCAGCCTCAAAGTCAGACCCCAGCTGCCCACACCCAGTTCATCACCGTCCCCAGCACTCAGGTTCTCCTCGAGCAGAACCAGATGATCCTCCTCCAGCAGCCCCTCATGCAGCACGCTCAAAACACTTCAAAGGTGGTATCGGTGCAAGGTATTCAACACGCCCAGGATCTGGGCCCTGTTCATGTCCAGTATCTTCAGATGGATCGAGACCTGCTGGGTGCCAGTGTCGCTGAAACCCAGAGCCAGCAGGACACAGTAGTGTCTCAACAGAGCTCAGGATGCCCTGATGCCTCGAAACACCACTACAGCCAGCCTGTAAACCAACAACCCAACGATGCCAAGAACCACTTTGCTCTTAACTCCATTTGCTTCCCTGACTCCATATTGCTCGCAGATGAGAGGAATATTCTGTCAAACGTTGACGATATCTTGGCTGCCACAGTGGCGGCCTGTGGTGTCACACCACAAGACTTTGTCAAAGCCACATCCTCCGCCGAAGCCGACATGGGGGTGATGGCAAGTCCAGTGGATTCTAAAGGCCACTTCCAGACGGTTGATATAAGGCACATGTCACCAAGTTTCACCAACTCCCACACCATGGCCATGACGCTCAATGGAGCCCAGATGACCGCAGACTGTCAGGGCCAACCTGTTCACCACGGTAACAGCTCTGACCTGGACACAAACGGAGACGGAGGCTCTGAAAATGACTATCACATAGCAGGGCAGGTGTATGACCCTTCAGGTCTCCAGAGCAGAGGCAAAGGGAATCTAAAGTGTATCAAGACAGAGGACGGCCTCATGGACAGTCCAGGAGGAGAGGACTTTTCCAAAAAGAAGGCACGCACCAAGTCCTTGACCAAACCAGTTGGTCCTGAAGAGGACGGCGGACAGGCCAAACAGGCTAAGAAAAGCGGACAGGCAAAGCGGCAAAACTCTAGAGGTAGTGACATCAGCTCGCCATCTTCCTCTCAAAATGTATATGACGGTTGTCCACAGCAGGAGAGGATGAGGCAGAAGATCCGTGAAGTCGAGGAAAAACAGCCAGAGGTCAAAACTGGCTTCATCGGCTCTTTCCTGGATTTCATCAAATCTGGGCCCAAACAGCAGTACTCCCCAAGTCCCACAAGAACAATCAGTCGGCCCAGGAAGCCTTGCACCACGTACAAACCCCCGCCTTGTACTCTGCCATCATTGCCTCCCAAACTGCAGACTCTGCCCGGGCCCTTGATCCCCCAGGAGAGTCAAGCAGTTAGCTCCCAGCAGAAACGGCTGGAGGAAGATCTGCAGAAGAACCTGGAGACTCTGCCGTCGTTCAGTTCAGATGAAGAGGAGAACACCGGGAAGAACCAGGCCCTGAGGAACAGCATCACCTCAGCACTGTCCGCTCTGGACGAGTCTACCGATAGGAAAACCAGGACAGGTAATGTTAACCCCAAGACCCTTCAATACTGTTGTCTCAGCTGTGCTCTGTATTTTATATCAACGAGGGCTGCAACAGTCGTAAATCAGCTGGGAGCAAGAAGAGTAATTCCCAAATAGAAAGTGCATCAGTCATTTCAGTGGTTATTTGAAGAGTGTCAGATATTTGCTGCTGGTTTCACATTCCTGGTGTAAGAATTTACTGCTTCTGCCGTTTCATAACACAGAGTATTAGGTCTCAGGTTGTTTTTTATAAAGATGAACACCAACAGGCCTGGCAAGAATCTCTGATTTCGGCTATCCTGCTGCCTGCTGAACAGTCTGGACTCTGCAAAATATCTGTCAATCCCAAAAGCCAAAGTCTCTTCAGAGGACGGCATAAAGAGTTGTTCCAGTACCAAACTTACAAAGACTTATTTGGTATCTTTCTTATTTTGAACAATGCTGGTTCAGAAAAAGTCAGGGTACAGAGACCATTTTTTCACATACTGATAAGTGACATCTTACTCTCTGTTTTGCTGCCTATTTTTCTTTCCTGATACTCACTCACAATCTCTGTCTCTGTGGAAATCTACCACTGCTTTAAATAACCTTTGATACTTTTCTGCTCTTTGTAATGTAAGGTACAGATTGAATTGTTTTAAAGCACATGATAGAAAAGTTTCAAGTCGATGAAAAAACCTTTTCTCAAATATTAGATTTTGCCCCAGATTTACCGCTCTTATGCTAAATTCATTGTCAGCACAGAAGCAGTTAAGTGTTGAGGTTTGATACTTGGTGTCAGCAAATCAAGTTTTCTATTTGTGGCCATTTACACATAACTGCAAATTAGGGAAGTGATTTGGAAGCAGCCTTAGTTTGAAGAGTATTTGATTTACAAATACACCTGTTGTCTCTCTTCATTGCATTTATATGTTTGTGTCTTTTTATCATAACCTCTGTCTGAAATCTATTTATTGTCGATTTAAGCTCACATTTAGTTGTAATTTTCATGTTTCTTTCTAAAAACTGTTTTTCCTTGTATTTAAACTCCTCTCCAGAAAACCAAATCCCTGCTTCAGTGATGAAGCCTAACCAAGTCCCCACTGTGCCACTCACCATCACCGAGACCCGCTTGCTGCAGGTCGCCACTCCTGTTCAGACAACAAACGCTGTGTCCAGAGGGACCACCTTTGTGGCCAAAGAGGAGTCCAAAGAGACTCCTCCAGGTCAGCTAGCAGTGAGGCTGGTGAGCGTGGCCATCGGGGGGCTGACTGACGAGGAGCTCTCCGACAGCGGAGGGGAGGGAATGTACAGAGAGAGAGACGAGTTTGTTGTCAGGAATGAGGACATCGAAAACTTAAAGGTACAGTTCTTAAAATCCTTAAAGGGAATTGATTATTGGATTCATTGAATTAAAGGCCTGTAGTGCATCGTCTCATGTGCATGTGTTCAGGTGACAATGGGGACAGGTAGTGAACCTCCAGCCATCTGGAAAGTCCAGAAAGCTCTGCTGCAGAAGTTTGTACCTGAGCTGAGAGATGGGAAGAGAGTCTTCTCAGCCACAAACAGCGTAAGTGAAAAAACACAAACAGGAGTGCATGCATGTACAAGATGTATAAGATCCATCCTCTTTTATAAGTTTGCAAAAAGTTCCATGATTTTGTTTGTGTGTGCAGTATCTTGGGTACTTCGGTGATGCCAAGACCATGTACCAGAGGGTGTACGTGAAGTTCTTGGACACGGTTAACAAAAGAGAGTATGTGCGAGTCTGTAGTCGAAAGCCTCGCTGTAAGCCTATGAACTCGCTAAGGTAAGCTCACAGTACCGTCGGACTTCACGTGGTTACTTCTTCAAACGCGGGTCTGAAGTTTTTTCATTCTTGCTCTGCCTCTCAGGGGTGTCCAGGTGAAAACTTTGCTGGGTTTGACAGCCAATCCTTCCTCGGTCTCCCCAAGCCAAAAGCCCCGACCTAAACAGACCAAGCCACGGGCAGAACCCCCACCGAAGAAGAGGAGGAAATGGAAAGAGGAGTTTTCACCCACGGCCTCAGGATCATCTGCTGAAGAAGGTGGTGAAGATGATGGTGAAGAAGATGTTTGATGTCCCTCTGTAGATCTGTGATCATCCTAATCTCCTACATCCTCTTGATGCTGTCCTGATCTTTGGTGTCTGTCACACACTTTTAGAGTTAAATCCTCCTGTGCCATTTGCTTCACGTCTCCTGAACACAAGAACCATGAAGGAGACGTTTAAGAGCTTTGTGGAGCTGCTCATCAGTATTGCCTTAGACGAAGATGTTATTACAGCACTCGAGAGAGCAAACGGTGAGTGGGCTGACTTTCTGGACAAATGATGTCTTTTTCGATTGAGCTGGTGTCTTCAGAATAGGCCAAAAGCCTGAGGTGTCCTACTACACAGGTGGTCATCTCCACATAAACTGATTTCACTTTTTCAGACGTGTTGCTGCTGCCACACATGAAGAGAGTGGATGGGATGATCACAGATAACAGGAAACGCCTGCTGCACAAACTGCACATAGGGCAGGTCCTAAAGGTGGGTGTGTGTTTCATTATTTTCAAGAGTCATGGACAAGTTAATTTTAGACTTCATAATGCGGTTTTCTTCTGGGGGAAAAGATCATGTCATTTTCAAGCTTATAAAGCCTGTTTAGATTTGAATGATTTCAACATTAAATCGATGCAGTCTTAAGTCTTTGTTTCATGGTACATTAACTTCAAAAAGGAGAATAGATAAGCCTGTTGAAAAAGACTGATTAATTTTGAAGATGACAATAAACAAAAACGGGTTCAGGACCCAAACTGTGGAGTGTGAACGTCCTCAAGGCTAAAACATACAGGATCCGCATTGAGCGCGTAACGTCAGCATTGCATATCCCACAGCAAATAGGTTGCCGTTCTTTCAATGAAGTATTGCATACAGGATGCACATCAGCTCGATCGCAGCTCCGTATCAGAAGCGTATCGAGTGCAGCACTGCGCGCGCAAGGTCTATTTTTGCTGCTCAACGCTTCCAATACGTGTCAATCCACACAGAGAAAATCGTTCTAGACAGGATGTAAAGCACGAAAACCGCACATGTCATCCGGTATTTCAAAATAAAACACCATATGCAAACTTCCGACTGTGTATCAGTTTGTGTAGATGAGAAATACTTCCTGGTTATGGATTTATTAGTAGCACAGAACAATCAGATGGTCAAGCCCTGATCCATGTGGACCCCAACAGGACTTTTAGCTGCTAACTCTGTCTGAAGGTAACAGCTCAGCATAAAGGGACATAGTGTACTTTAATAAACACGAGTAAACCTGCAAAAACCAAAACTGTAAAATCACGTTGCTTTTTCACATATAGTAGAGGCTCAACAGTCACTGAATTATATCCAAATTAGCAGGAAATAGACCACAGAAAGGCAAAACAACCTGTTGTGAGCATGTTGTTTCCTCTATTCCAGTGGTTCTCAAGTCCAGTTCTCGAGGCCCACTGTCCTGCATGTTTTGGATGTTTCCCTGCTCCAACACACCTGATTCAAATGATCAGCTTGTTATTAAGCCGGTACAGAGCTTGATAACGAGCTGATCATTTGAATCAGGTGTGTTTGAGACTGGACTTGAGAACCACTGCTCTATACTAAGCCCAGCCAACCAGGGCTGCACTACGCTGCTGCCATGCTCCAAATACACACCCTGTATTTGATACCCAGGGCTGCTCTACGGAGCAAATGCGGAACACGCTCAATTGAGATCCTGTATGTTTTTGGCTTAACGCTGCTGCTCTGTGTCTCCAGACGGCTTTAGACAGCTTCCCAGAGATCTCAGTTGTGACTGAACTGAAGAAAGACGGGGAAACTCCAGCCTTCAAGGTGCGTCTCAGCGGGAAGGCTTATAACAAGAAAACCATGAAACCATACAAGATGCCCAACAAAGCACCACAGGTGAGACACCATGTTTTTCCTTTTTAACATGCACTTTCAACATCTTACCAGCAGAGGGCTGTGTTGCTACTTTGGACTTCTAATTCATGTTCTCTTTATTCCATTCACAGCTGACATTATTCCCTTTTTGTCACAAATAAATCAGATGTAAGTGTTATAAGAAATGTCTTTCTCTCATCACAGGAGTACACAGTGGACCAGCAAAAAACTCAGTGGTTCTCTCTGTACCACTCTCTACAGCACTATAAGTACCACACGTACCTCATGTGTAAAGATGAGGTGAGACGTTATTGTTGTCCAGCTCATGTTGAATTGAATGAGCTGTTTCATGTCAGTGTGAATTTAACTTTCTGATGAGTAACATTGTGCAGGTTTTGCTCCTAATGCCAATTACTCTGAGGAACTTTCCTGTGTAACCTCCCTTCATTGTTTCTCTGTTTGTGGTTCTGTTGTCCAGATTGCATCCCTGCGATTGCAGGTTGGCGACCTGGGGCAGGACGAGACGGTACAGAAGTGTTTGCAAAACGGAGCATGGGTGGAGGGGCTCTTTGATCGCTTCGGAGAGCTGATCAATCAAGTGCAGCAGGCCTGCCGGTGATCCAGCTTGGATGGGCTCGGGTTTTTTAGACAAGGAAAGTGAAACGACAGAAAAACAAGAGGACGCCTCCAGCAGAGAGGGACTGAGCGAGCGTCTCCTTCAGCCACAGAGAGATTCGATCAGGGACCTGAAAGAGGGACACTTGCCTGAGAGGTGTTCGGCGGCTAGTTGCGTGTCAGTGGCAGCAGGAAAATTGATGATCTGCATCACTGTGTCCCGGCAGAAAGCAGATACTCGATTAACAGAGGACAAGGACTTTGTTCCTGGAAGCATTTTGGGAGACTTCTACTTCATGCCTCTCCTAGTCTTTGTAGGTTTTTGTAGTTACCAGCCCACTTTTTATGGGCCTTTTCATAGATTTCTATTGTTTTTGTAATCTTTTTTTGTTGTTGTTGTTGTTGTTAAATGCCAGATTATAACCAGTGAGTATGCACTAGACAGAAAGCAATCAGTGTAAGACGTAGAGCACAGCAAATAAAAACACAGACAGAACTCTGATTGCCTCTAGTAATAACAAGCTTTCATCAATCATTTGAGAAGTATGCTCACACACAGATAGGCTGATTTATTGTAAAGAGGAAAAAAAACTATATATTATATATAACCGTAGCTATATACTGTTTGTAAAAGATCCATTTTTATAATGGAGCACAATCTTATACATAATGTACATTTTGTATAAAAGAGCAGTGAGGTGGGATCTGCAGCAATCCTTTTAGTAACTGTTTACATCCTGTAAACTCTTGTTTTATTTTCGGCTTCAAACAGTTCTTTGCTTTTAAAATACGAGTTGGTGCTGTTCCAGGACTGCTTTTTATGGACTTTATTCATCTAATGTTATTACCTTGACTTATCAAAGGGTAAAGTGAGAGAAATAAAAGTGGTCTTTATACTCCTTTACAGACATAGCCCACCTTTTATGACAAATAGATATATATATTTTTCACTAAAGTCAATATGTTTTCTTCTTCATTATGGGACACTTTTTCATTGTTTTTTCACAGTTTTCCTAAATGGACTCTTTATAACTCAATTTCCAACTTTATGCTATCAGAAATAATCACGTTCTTTACAGATGCAGTTTGTAAATAAAGAGCCGCATGTATTAGATGATTGGTTTGTTATATTTTTTTCCCCTTTGAATCAACATTTTTCAAATTACCGTGAGCTCATGACAGCATTTGGTTTAAACATGCTGCATCAGCATAAAAAGTGGAGCCAAGGTGTTTTCTAAAGGTTCACATCAGGCTGGAGCTGTGAATGGGTGAATATTAATTTACCATCTATTGCAAAACTTCTGAAAAACAGCTCATAAAGTAGTTTGGACACAGGTTTCCATATTTAATAGATGAAATTTCTGTTTGGGCAAACTGGTGAATGGATTAATACTTGCGCATCACTTTTCTAGTTTACTGACCACTCAAAGTGCTTTACACTACTTGTCACATTCACCCATTTACAGCACATTCACACACAGATGGCAAAGCTGCTACAGTCGTAAACCTTTTAGTTTTAACTAATCTCCATTCATCCACAATCACACACTGCTGACCGTGTCACCAGGAGCAATTTGAGGTTTGGTGTCTTACACAAGGACCCTTTGATAAGTGACTACAGTGCCTGGGATCAAACCACTTAGAGACACCTACCCCCACACACCAGCTTCAGGTATCAAAAATGAGGATATAGAAATAAGTCATCGCTGATTCTCTCGCTTCTCTTTAACATTAAAAAACTAAAAACATCTGAACTCAACAACAGTGGAGTAATTGTTGAAGAGTAACACCAAAGAGAGTTTTTGATATTGCTGTAACAAGATGAACTTCTTATTGATGTCGATTTATGCTGTGTTAATGTTATCAAGACCATTAGCAACAAGCGTGACAATTTCAATATCCTCATTTTTTATGTTTGAAATCAGTGCGAGGGGATAGGTGTCAGCTGAGCAGCTCATGAAACAGCCCTGATTTTACAATGCAATGACCGCTTGGTCCACCAACATCGACACAAGTCAAGGGGTCCTCACAAGAACTTCAACATTCACTCAGTGAATAAAAATATATTTGACTATCTAATTTGATTATTTTGGTTGTTTTAGTTAGTTGATAATAGCTTTGGTTTGGACAGGAGATCTGTAAACGTCTGAGAATCATCTGAAAAACCTTTACAGAGTTAACGACATTACAAAGTGTGACCAAGTGCTGAAGTTGTTTCATGCTTCATTAGACAAGATCTGATAGAATTGAGCTTGGTGTTCCCATCCAATCCTCTGGTTTTAGGATAAATTGATTCAAAGTCGGACAGTGTTGGACTTCCCTTCACCTGCCTGTTGGAGGCAGTAGTAAACATTGGCTCCTACTGTAACAGATTGGTTGTTGTTTCAGGGCGGGAAACTTGTCGCCCTGCTCGCCCACCATGCTCTCATGACCAAACTATTCACTCTGAAGGGGTGGCAGACTGTGTCGTCTGAGAGGGTCTTGAGCCTGTTGAATAAAATATGATTGCCCAGCCACAATGCAAAATGACCGGCAACCCCCTGAAACAAAAGTGTCTCTGTGCTGCAGAGACGGCTTTCTGAGAAAAGCCACTGTCCTCTGTCCTTTGGAGTTGGTGGAGGACGGCCTGTCAGGCAAGCGTTTGGGATTCCAGTACGGCCACGACTGTAAGAGACACATACTGAATGTCTGCTGTCCAGATGAAAAGCACATGAATTTTAATGCACCGCATTGTTCCATATGTGGGAGACAGACTGAGAGCACCCTTGAGGCAGCGTGAGAATAAGCGAGGACAAAGTCACTGGACTTCTGTGTCGGCTAAGATTTCAAAACAGACTGCTCATTGCTGCTGTAGTAAAACCTGATGTACTGTGTGATGGCGGTGTCGTTTAAAGGCTGTTTAAACCACTCACACATTTGGAGGGAGTGCAGCAGGAGTCAGAGGCTGGAGGGAAGAGAAGCACATTTGTCACTTGAGGGAAAATTACCAACTCAAGCCAGTCATGAACTTTAGTTTCAATCACAATTTACAGATATTTTCTATTTATATACACATTTTCCCTCTTCAGTTTTTAACAAGTGGAGAGATGGGTGCTTGAGTATGATGGCAGATCTCATTTGAGCTTCTTTTAGGCCACTTATTTAACTCTAAACTTCTCAGATGGTTTGATATGAATATTATTTGAGACCAATAAAGGCTAAACTAAAACATGTTCCAAAAATACTGATTAAAAGAAGTATGCCTTAGATTTGTATCAGGCGTTACTGGATCATTTCTTCTTTCTTTTCACAAAGAACTTTTTCTTCTAACTCTTTGATAAACCTGAAATGAAGAGGCACCTGATCTCCAAACTAGTTAAAATAATGTTAACACATTAATACATCATCAGGGGGAGAGGAAGCCATATCCTTTACATAAGATATGTAAATCTTATCATCATCATCTATAAAATGTACTTAAATTATTAAAAAAAAAAAAACACTAATGAGGAAAGCAAATAGTCTCTGTTAGTTATTAAGGTTTAAAAATAAGAAACATGCTAGTTTTAAAGTTCCCATGTGGAGTTTTTTTAACCTTTCAAAATACAATGAAAATTGTGTAGATGTCTTATAAATGTTATATAAATGCAAACAAGACCATCAAGACTGAGGATTTTTATGTTGTAACTTTTGAAACCCCAAACTGTGTGAGGAAGAAACATTCCAGTTTTTTATAACTTCCACACAAAATATTCACAATAAATCAAACATTTGACTGTCAAAAGTCAGCAGGATAAATTTTTTTTTGTTGTTGTCAAATGACTGCTAAAGAATATGGACAGTGGGATAAACAAAGACAGCTTTGTTCACAGGAGGCAACAAAATTGATAAAAACTGAAAATTCCTCACAGGAGCTTTAACTCCTTAATGAAGTATTGGGTAGTTTAGTCCACAGGAATCATCATATGTCATGGTGTTGCATCAGATTAATGTATATTTGTGGTAAAAATAACAAACAAAAAAACTTAAATGTAACAGTTGAATATAAAAAAAGTACATTAAAACTCCTCTTCTGGAGGTTTTAGCTGGTTATGGGGCACACTGAAAATATCAATGGTACTTCTTTATGACCAACAAAAGCAGACAAGGTGATCAGAGACAAGATTTATTATTTCTACATGATTTCTTTTACCCGAAACTGCTGCTACTCAAAGTCAGATGTAACTAGCTGCTGAAACAGACATGATTCTTAAAGGGTGAAACATCTGACTACTTGGCGAGATGTTGTGATTTGGAAAAAAAACATTACCCTACGTAGATGGAAGAAATTCAGCGATTAGTTATGAGGAAGAAACAAAACTCAAAGTTGAACATTCCTCGGCAGTACATCAGCTTTAACAATCTTATCATCATCAATATATTTGACTTTTTTCCTCCTTCAGGCTTTTTTTCTCTGTTTCACTCTGGTGTTGGTCTTAGACCTTCCTGGTTTTAAGGAGATATTTCAATCAGCCACAGAAGCAGAGACGTCATCATCTTTTCCAGGATCTCAAAAATAGCACAATACTTTTCTCTAGTTTACCGAAACACCTCCGGGGAAAATTTAGATATTGGATACTGGCAATAGTCATAACCATAAGCAAACAACTTGGTGACCAACATTGCATGACAGATAAGTAGGAAGGAGGGAAGAAAGGGAAATATGCTGAGCCTTCAGGGCATGTGAGGAGAGAGAAAGGAGAGTAAATATTGCTTTGACCTTGTGGACTAGAGTTTCTGACTGTATTAACCAGAGTGCCCTCTCTCTTTCTCTTTTTCTCTTTTTCTCTTTGACTCATTTTCTGTGATGTTGTAAACCATTAAACATCTCACTGCTCCAGAGTCAGCCTTATCGCAGGTTTGCAAAATACCAGCATAAAGAGCTGAAACACACTCATCTTTAGAGTTGTAGAACCAGTTTGGTCTTCACTTAAGGCACGAGTTAGTTTCAAATGAGGAGTGGATTTCCTGTGTTTGGACATGGCGGTTGTATAAATATTAAATCACATCATCCAGGGCAAGTAAACGTGAGTTTATACACACATGCAGCATGATTATTATGTTACACACATAACACATCAGAATCCAGAACAATCTCTGAGTCCAGTATATTTAAAGATTATCATCTGCATTATGCATGACTCACATGATGCTTCTGATTCATGCTCCTTCGTGATCATAATTTTCATGTTTTATCATATGATTTTTGAAGAGAAATGAAAAGTTATAATTCTGCAGCTCTTACTGGCATCAAATGGCTTTAAGTGTTTGTTTAATGGGTGGTTAGTCTTTAAATAGATCTTAATTCATCTTGATCCAATTTCTTTTTTAGCAACTGGTACATGCTTTTTTATACAGAGAGTATATTTTAAACCTTACCGCTCAATTATCACAACAGGACAATTTGATGTATTGTATTCCAGCTGGAGGACAGGAAAAAGCAAAACCTTAAGCTGGTATCAATCAATAAATTCCGGGATTTAAGGTCAGAATCTTTTTTTACTTTTTATTTGGAATCACAAAATTGAAAAGAAAAATGTCAAAAGTGTTTGTCTTTACTTGCTTTGTACAGTATCACTCTTAAGACATTTGTTGTATGATTTTGCAATATATGATTTAAACAATTGATTAAAAAGAGATTTAGTAGAGGTTGTCATATCTTGCATTTCACATCTTTGTGTATGATAAGTTACAATACATGTTCTTTTTTTTTTCTATTACTCTACCTTGCATCTATGTTGTTAACAGAAGTGACTTTCAGTCCCTGGAGTTTCCTTTCAGCGCACCAAAAGGTTTCTATTGCTCATTGTTCTATGCATTTGAGACCTTTGGATCGGAAATAGTCAAACAAGCTGAAGTGTAAAAAAGCTGCACCCAAGGTCCACCATTTAGAAGTGTTCAACCTTACAAAACTCCTTTCAAATTTCCTTTTTTTTGGTAAGTACCAACACCAATGCAGGAACTTTTCAGTGGGTAAAACTAAGTCCCAAGAACTTTATGTGTATCCAGGTTCATGAGGAAATTCCTGCACGAGAAACACAGCCTAAAATTCAACTGTTACTTCTCATAAGAGGCCTCATCCTAAGAGACTTGTTGCTCCATCACTGCCCTTTTTTTTCCACACACTAATGTAGCTGCTGTTGTTCTGTTTTCTATCCAGTAACGATGATTGTCTTTTTTATTGCCTCTTTTTCTTCTGTACATTTAATTTTGCAGTTGTGAGCTGCAGATGATTTTGTTGTACCTGGTGCAATGACATCAAAGATATTCCACTCTATACTATTTCAGTGGAAAGGAAAAATACTTTGACTATACCAGATATGATCTTGCTGCTTTCTGAACTATGCGGTTCACCTTTTCTGGCTTAGTAACCTGACAAGCGCCAGTCCTCCACGCTACCTTGCTCAAGACAAGTCAACAATGTCGCACTCTGTTTTGTGTTGACATGCAGACATAATTTTCTGTCTCTCTTTATTCAAATAGTGAGAGAAAGATGTCAAACTTTCCACACTTCTCTTTTTTACCTTCTTCATTCCTACCTGCTGGTGTGAAAAGACATTTTTCTACAGAAGAGAGCAGTGATCAAACCGGTTTGCACTGCTTGGACGCCTCACCCTTTACACCACGCTCATCTCTGGAAAGGATCATATCGGTCTTCCTTTCTGCTTCCTTCAACACTGAGTGACCAATATTGGTTCGACAGTGTCAGCTTACTGCTTTTCCATTGTCAGATTACACCTGAAGAAAGGAGGCACCAGGTTAGAGGCTCATCAGTGAAATCTGTCCCTGACACAGCTCAGGTGTGTTTACTCTAAAATGTGTGTGTGTGAGTGTGCGTGTGTGTTTGTGTTTGTAGTAGCTGACATTTAAGTTCAGTGACACTGTCTCTGTTTGTGTAGATGGATCTCAGACAAGGCGGAGCTGCACCTGAGAGACACCTGAGGCACCTGCAGTCACAAGTTTCAATACTATGATGTGTGTTGTTTTGGGTGAACAGCAGTGATAGTGTCCTATTTTCAGATTTACTCTTTACTGTTCTTATCCGGTCATGTCTGTCACTATAATCGTGCAGTAGCTCTGTATCAGATCAGATTTACCTATGGTGCAGGCTGTAAGGGTGTGACTCTGTGAGGGAAAGGTTGTGAAAACTTCCTGGAGTTTGGCATTTCCTCTCAAATGATTTTTCTCATTCTAAGTTTGATATTTATAAAACTTTTGTAGAGGGTTTACAATACAATGTTGTTATATGATCAGTAAACCAGCTCAGGTTGAATGAGACTGATACTAATAGGCTATTTGTCTTTATTTCCACACAGATCAGGAAGTCGTCCCTTCATGTAAGAAAAGCTACTTAGGCTCTTTTTGATAAACATGAGGGGCACAGTGAGAGCCTCATTAAGGCGGTGGTGTCCGGGCAGAGCGCAGATTGGGACATGAATAATGTAAAGCGGTGGGCGGGGACAGTTTCGGCTTGACTCTTGTTGGCTGTGTGCGTCACGTTGTGAATTGAAGACTTAGACCGTGTTGTGAATGGCTGTCCTTACAGTCACAGGAGGAAGTTTGACTGCACCGAACATCAGGTAATACACATTTGGTGAATTACTAGCGATAAAATATCATGTAGAAGTTGGTGGTTTCCTCTTGTGTTAAATATACAGTTTTTACCTGAGGAGTTTGGCTTGTTCGGGGCTGTAACTTACTTTATTGAGGTGAGGAGTTTTGAGAAATTTCATGTTGCTGTTGGCTCCTGTGGCTTTGACTGAAGTTTTAGACATATAATGTGACTCCCTTTAATTTGGGATGAATTGTTTACTCTTCTTGTATTTTTGCACAATACTTTTTTTTTGTATATAATGCTAGGCTATATCTACTCATCGTGTTTATGTAAAGGTAGTCTCAAATTACATGTTTTCGATATTTACGTTTTCTGTCAGTAGGCTATTACCAGTTGGAAAGTGAGCATTAACTTTTTATTTACATTTAGGCAACATTAAAGTCAGGTGTGGCTTTACAATAAGAAATTAACGCTTTATTTACACTCAAAATACGTGGGTGCGGTTTTATCACGTGAAATAAATGCTTTATTATATTCCGGCTATGGAGAGTAAGCTGTAGTTTTTATTATTTAATGATTTATTTGCATTTATTGTTAGTTGGGTGCGGTTTTAAGACGTGGTTGTTGCTGTCTTTACATATAATAAATCATTTAAGATTACGCAGATGGGTACTTGAATAAATAGATAGTGGTTTTATGCTTTGATAAAGCCTGTAGTGCAGATTCAGCAGCCTGTAGCCTGGTGTTTGTATTGAAACACAGGTAGAGGAGGGTAATTCCGTTTACAGGCCTCACTACTCTGCCACTAAACAGGATGTGAGGGTTCAAATCCATAAGGGCCAATAGCCCGCCTGCTCATATTGCGTCCTGAGGCTGAATCAGTTAATCTCTCTGGTCTCAGCATGTTTGAGGAATGAAGGTATCTGCCACAGGCTATTAACAACCTGCTGCTCCTCCTACAGCGTCTAACTACATTTTAATTGTTTAAAATCATCAGTTTTGTGCTTGGTGTTGCTTGGTGAAGTCTGGAAAATGAGTTGGATGTGTTTTTCTGCAGTGACAACTCAGCTCATGTTATAGACAGTGCTGTAAACCACCAGAGGAAGATCCCCATGTGTAGACTGTGCTGCTCCCTCTGTGATTATTTACCTCCACTGATGTGTGCAAACACTTGCTGCACTGTTGTCCTTGGCTGTAGTGCAGGTCAGGGGCCCTTCAGCACCGTCCTGAAATCTCTCTGATGGGAGTTGTTTTAAAAATGAGGAGAAAAGTCACAGGAAAAGAAGTCTGGCGTCAGCTATACAAACTCAGCTCAAATCTCAGCCTGGCGCAAGCAATGCGAGGTGACAGAGCCCAGCCGTGTTCCCAGGATTGTTTCGACCCTCACCTGACCCCAACTCCTTTTATTCTTTCTTTTTACAGAGCATTAATGGATATTGATCAGATCCGGATTTATTGTGCGCCCTATAATCCAGGGACCCCTGATGTTTTTTTTTCCAGATGGTCTGGTATTAACTCCCAAAGTAGGGATTTCTTGTAGATTATGCAGACTTTTATCCTGCTCAAAAGTCTATTAGCCCTGTGGTTTTCTGCAGTTGAAGATGGTCTAAGGGGAATAAACTAATATCGTATTACACAGACTTTAGGATCTGCATTCAAACTCAAGTCTCTGAGCGAGAGAGGACATGTTGCAAATCATTATTTTCCATCATGATTCCAGTCACGGTGCTATCTGGCTAAAGGCATCCTTCCCTGTACAGCTGCTGCAGCACCAGTTGTTCTCCCCTGATATGCAAATCTCATGTTCAGGACAGTTTCCTCCCCCCTGGAAGGAGACTCAGTTTGACATGGATGGATCTCATTTATCAGTAAATCACAAATAAATCTTCCTCTTTGCTCCACGGGCTGACTTTTTTTCAAGAGAGGGTGAACATCTGCTCGCTGTGGTGCTTTTCCTCAGTGTTTTTGTTGTCAAGTTTTACAGATGGGTCAGTGATAGTATTTGTCTTGTTGTGTTATCATAACATGGAGCCCGGCTGCTGCTGACAGGCTCTGATTTATGGGCCCTGGTCTCTCAGATCCCCCCCTAACATTTGCTCAACAGGCTTTATAGGTTTCCTGTTGTGAGATGAAAGTGGTGTTAACATCTCTGCTGTCTGTTTCTGGTCTGGCTTCTGTCAGATGACACAAATCCTTTTCCATCTATGAGGTTTTATCAAACACAGACAGGTGGATGTGCTGAACATGATCAGGCTTTTATTGCATGGGCCATTGTGTGAGTCTTGTGCATTTGTTAGTTGCACTACAATACATCCAGTGAAAAAACATTAGGATCATATCAGAGTATCTCTTGTGGGAAGAGGCTCACAGTATGATCATTGTCTGTTTCCTTGTGTGAACAGATGTAGCTGCCCATGTACACACATTGTATTGTGTGTCTGTTGTGGTGTAAGAAAATGCGGCAAAGTCATGTTTTGTCTTTGTCTTCAACCTTTACTACCCGACTAAAGTTTAGCTTCTTTGGTGTTAATGATCCTCCAAATATGCTTCAAAGGAGGAAATGGGTTAGTCTACCTCTCCCATAAGAAGCACTGAATCTGGGCCGTGTGCTGAAACACCCACTCAGTGTAACTTTTAACTCAGATTATGTAAAAATCTGCTCAGAGGAGAGGAAGGGTGTGTTTGGCAAAGACAGACAGCACGATTTATCTTAGTTTCTGGGAAAGTGGTCAGACAATGGACAAAGCTGAGAATGTCAACTCATGAATAAGTGGATCACCAAAGAAAGGACTTGTTTAAGTTTCATTGGAGTTTAATAGCATTTGCATGTATAAGAGGTTAGGTCCACCATTAAACTTTTCCGTCATTGATTATACAGATGGTAAGTCATTTTATTCACTGACTGAAAGTTTAGTTAAGTCAGTACCCGGACCAGAAAAAATGTCCTTCAGTTAGAGTCATTAATGCGTCAGTGAAACATTGGTATCAGCAAATATCAGCTCAGGTGACAGACATAAGCAAATAATATATCCGAGACTGATATTTGTCTGTATCCTGTTTCATCCTATCATTATCTTCGGTGTATTGATGTAAATTTGGAAGGCTGTGACAACTTACTGCCAATTCAGAAGAGTTGTTATTGCTTAAAAGGAGTCCCTACTGGACAAAACGTATTTATTTTAATCACCAAACATGAAAGGAAGTGTGTGTAGTGTGGGAAGATTACAAGATCTCTTAGAAAGAGATTTCACTGATACATACAAGAGATGTTTTAGTAGTGGCTTTTAAAGGAGGGCAACAGTTTAAATTTATTAAATCTCAAAGCTCATTTAAAAACAAAACAGATTTATTTTTCTGTTTCCAAAAATGTAATGCAAAAAAAAAAACGTCATTGGCTGAATTGATACCTTAAAGATCAGTGTATCTGAACCTTCAATATTTCTGAAAGCTCAGGATCAAAGTCTTGTCTGTTCAACCAACAGATCAAAACCTGAATATCAGTTCACATGGCAACAAAGCTGGTTAGAAACTAACAAATAACCTTAACTAAACTCTCAGCGATATTTGTACCCCCAAAAAACCCTGGCCTTTTATGAAAACTATAACTCAAACTGAATGAGTCTACTAAATTATTGAAAAACTATCCCAAATTTTGATCTTTGTCAGTTTTTATGTCATGCCAGTGTTGAGTATTTGGGGTAGATATTAAGCCTGTCTTCCAGTTTCTTTTTTAAAACATTGGTTGTTTGATTTTTGTTTTGTTATTCCAGCTGATATCAACCCATGACGTAGAGTATCTGTGTTTCCAGTCGGTCCATGTCTGGCATTATGGTAGCTGAGGGGAAAGTTTGGAGGATTAACTAAAACTAACAGTAGAACAAAAAATAAATGAAACAAACTGTGTATTTTTGAATAACAAAAATTGAATCTCCTGTGAGGATTTTTTTTTGCTGCGTACAAAACTGACTGAAATTGAAGTTGACGCCTCGTAATGACCTTCAAAAGCAAACATGACTACCCAGATTCGCTCATTTGTCGTTGCCTTATTACACAATTTGACCAAAAGTTCCAGTTGTAGCCCTTTAATGCCTGACACCACAAATTATGGCCAGAAAATTTTAAATATTTTTGGAGCTGAAATGTTTATTTCGCTTAATACTGAAAACCAAACAAATCAAAATGTCCTTAAAATTTAACAAATATATTTATTTATCTTGTTTGATACATTAGATATTTTTGGAAACTGATAAACTACAAGAGGACATTTTTATCATTTATCGGACTGTATTCAGGTGTTTTTTTAGTAATTTGTTGATCATATTGATTTGATAGAAGTATATAAAAGTATGTATCAAATATGATACAAAAGGCAATAAAGGGTTAAGGAACACTTGAATGTAAGTAGGCCTAACACATGCGTCAGTTGTCACACAGCTTTGTCATTGTGCTGTTTGAAAAGGTAAATCTAGTATGTTCCTATGAGTGAATGTCAAGAGAGCTCTTTGTATGCCTCCTCTAGCTGATTGAAGAGTTAATTACCTCCTGCTCCTCTGCCTGATTGTCTTCCTTATCCTCCTCTTTGTATTCTTCCACTAACCCCCTCCTCTCTTCCTCCACCAGGACCAGGCATGGCTGGAAAGCCTTTCCGAGCCACCTACATCTGGGGCAGCATCATCTCCAACCTCCACACTCACGTAGAGGTCAAGCGCCGGCGCCACAACCTGAAGTCCTACCATGACTGCTTCCTGGGCTCAGAGGCCGTGGACGTGGTGCTGGCTCACATCACCTTGAACCGTTTCTTTGGAGAGGATGTAGTACCCCGTTATAAGGCGGTACGCCTCTGTCAGGCCCTGATGGACTCAAGGGTGTTTGAGCCTGTGGGCATTAAAGTGTTTGGAAAGGAGAAGAAACGGGCCACATTTGAGGACAGTAGTTTCAGTTTATACAGGTTCCTGAACCCAACCACTGGCTCCTCCTCTTCTTCATCGCTGGGTAACAGCAATTCCCACTCCACCAGCACCATTGAGAGCGGCTATGACTCCCCAAGCATGAACAGGAACAAGAACGGCTACAGCCCGTCACGTGAGAGGTACAGACTGGTGTCATAACATCCTCAGATCACACTTTGATTCGCTTTGTTCTCCATCCTCCTAAATCCACTGCCTGTAAGAACCAGTGAGCTGTGAGCTGAGACTCTTGAAGTCCATCATGCAGTCTGGTCTCTCAGGAACCACTATAGACTGTATGTCTATGGGAACCACCTTACTATCCAAGAGTGCAGAGTTGAAGTAAACAAAATTAAATTAAAAAGTTGTAGTCTTTTAAGGGAAAGATGAAACAGTCAGGAAACCAAAGACTAATGTTTCAACAATTCTCCATACAGACACTAGGAGCATTAATTCAAACCTCATGTCTGTTCTACTCTCTACAGCTAGCAGGTTTAGCCCAGGTTAGTCAAGCTAGCTGCTCCCTCTGTTTGTTTCATAGATGTAAGATTCTTATTATGTGTTTTAATCTGATATTTAGTCTCATAGTCTCTCTGAATTTTACAAAGGTTTTGTTCATTTGAATAAGCTTGATTTAAACAACACAGTCACTATTGTAACAGCATTTGTTTTCAACATCCTGAGATAAATTGTCACAGTGTGAATTCAATGAATTGTGTTAAAAATCATACCTGGCTCAAGGCAAGAGAGTTAATTATTGTCTCTCTCTAAATTTCACTCTGTACCTTTGAACGTCGGTGGTTCTGCTTTACTTTGAAGGTGTAAGATTAAATTTAGGGAGCCTGTCAAGCTGGTAGCAGAGACAGGTATAAGTCATTAACCATGTGGCGTTAACACATGGCCAGAGCACTTTGTGTTGTCATAAGAGGGACGACTCCAGACCAGAGCAGAGGACAGGCCTGATGTCCTAATGAGAGATAAAAGACTGACAAACCATGTGCTGTTTGACTGTATAAAAAAGGCCTTTTGTCACCTGTAGGAGAGGCTATATCTGGATTTTGTGTTAATGTAGACATTATCATATTATCCTTTAACTGGGTGATTTTTTTTGTCTGATTCAAATGAGAAACAAAACTGTAAGCACCAAACTGTGAATGTAGATTAGCCATTTGTTGCCTGATGCCACATTTGTCCCCGTGATGAGTCTGTATCTTCTCTCAATCACTTCCACTGATTGCTGTTATTATGTGACTCTTCAGACAAGGGGAGCTGAGCTACACCACCCACTCCCCTGTAAAAACAGACAAATCAGTGGAGGACGTGCTCGGAAACCTCAACCTGAGCTCGACCATCACCCCTCAGATGATCAACCTCGGCCTCTCTCAAGAGCGTAAGTCCACTGATGTAACACCAGCACAGTGTTGTCACGCACTGGGCCGCTTTAAGTGTCTGTGTTTGTGTTCCTGTGTACCAATGACCCTCATGAGTCTGTGTTATTTTCCCAGTTGTGGATGAGGTGTGGCACCAGCAGGCTGTGTTCAGACTTCTGCAGCTGATAGAGCTCCCCCTGTTGGAGAACTTGTTAGAGGGCAAAAACAGGTCTCGGCCTCCTCTGCATGGCATGGACAGTGACCCGGACCTGTTGTACACATCCAGCTACCTTGACCGGGAAGTCCTCAAGGCCTTCAGTGAGGCACAGTAGGTCCTCTTAAACATCTTTTAAAGTTAGTTATTTTTGTAAACATTTATTGATAAGTACTGATGTAAATGAATGCATGATGGATTCATCCTAAATGGGAAAATTAAAGGGCCATAGAAAGAAAACAGAGTAAAAATACATTTGCACTAGAACATAAAAGTAGCTCATTATGTTTAACTACATCGTAGAGCTCCTCTATGTCGAATTTGGCAGTCTATGCTTATCTTGTCCTCTACATACTGAAGAAGTGTCTGCTGACAAAACAAATCACATCTTGCCTGATCATTTGTTGAGAATCGTCCATGTGAAAGATGTAAAAACAGGACTCTTTCTTCACCTGCTGGGCTCACATCTACCCCTTAGCACCAGTTTCAGGCATTAAAAATCGCAATATAAAAATAATCCATCTAGTCTCTGATGCACTTTTTTGCTTTTGGATATCATGACAAGGCGTATAAATATAGAACACCAACAGGGGCCAATTCTACATGCCTGTGCAGGACAGTTTGTCCATACTTATTACCTGTTTTTTTAAAAAAGATTTATTTCCGGGCTTTTTGCCCTTTTTTTTCTTGAAGAGGATGAGACAGTAGATAGAGCAGGAAATGGGAAGAGAGAGAGAGTGGGAGTGACACGTGGGAAAGGAGCCACAGGCTGGAAGTGAGCCTTGGCTGACTGCTTGAGGCACAGTCTATGTAGATGAGGCACGTGAAGCTTGGTAGGCCAGTGGTGCCCCACTTCTTACTTTCTTTTAAAGAATAATTTGAAGGTATTCCTTTTGTTTATAAGCTAGTGTTCCTATACTGATTCGTGGCTTTTCCATCTTTTGGTTTATTAGATCAGCAGGAATATCTTCTCAGGTGATAAAAGGAGAGGCCGTCTGTGCTTCCCTAACTTCATTGCTGCTGCTTTGATCAATTGTGTGGTTGTCATAAGTCTTAACCTTCCCCTTTTCTTCCCAGGGCTGATGAGTGGATGTCAGGGGCGGTGGACTGCCTGGAGTTCCTTCCTGATGAGCTGGTGGTGGAGGTCAGTCGAGGTCTGGCTGGTTGCGCTGAGGATCTAATTCAGTGTAAGAGACTGCTGTATGGGGTGCTGGCGCAGCATTATGGACGCTCACAGCAGCCTCCTCTGCTCAGCAACCACGTGTTCGACATACACTCAGGCATCTCAGAGCTGCTTGGTAAGAAGATCCATCACGATATCATTTACAGGAGCATCAATTTGACTTAAACTATGCCATGTTTCAGCAGGTGTCATATATGTTTCTGTTCTGTGGTGTGTTTTCAGTGAATGGTAAACAAGAGCAGGCTTTGGAGGCCCTGCAGCTGAGCCTGAAGCTGCAGGACTCACGGAGCAGGGAGGAGCTGCGCAGACTCCTGAGGTTCATGGCAGTCGCAGGCAGACCTCTGGAGGTGAAACTGCACAAAGAGGTGACTAGGTGTATGCATCTTTCATGAATTTATCCACAAGTATGTGTGATTTATTATTATTTATTTAACTCTGAGCTATCCTTGTGTCAGATTGAGAACAGAATGGCGGTGAAGAGGTCTTTCTCCAGTGCCATCGTCTACAGCGGGAGACTTTCAAAAGGAAAGGTGGACTTCATGGTTCTGTTCATGATGGATAAACACTGCGATCTGTTCAAAGTGAGTGATCTTCACTTTATTCCCCTGTGCTTTTCTTGTCATGAAAGCAGATGTTACGGTAAACATCTCTTAGTCACTGAGCTGAAAGAAATGCTGTTTTTGAGTGTTGTTTAGAAGCTGCTCTGCAGCCCTGACCTCAGACAATACATGAAAGAGAGTCTCTAAACCAAACATGTCTGACTGTCTTCCATCAACGACTAAAAATAAAGATTAAATCGTTTTGTTTATCATAATAAATCCACTCTCTTCCCTCCAGATCCCTGGTTCGTTGCACAAGATGGTCAGTGACAGGATAATGAATATCGTGAAAGGAAAGGATCCAGACGTGATAGCAGGTCTGCAGATTCCCTTTGTCTCATCCATTCATTATATGCATGCTTTTGTTAAAAAGATCTTATCTTACTTTTGTGTCTGTGTCTGTTTTTTGCTGCAGGACCAGCGTTCTGTACGAGACTGAGTGCACAAGCCTATACAGAAAATGCCAAGAAAACCACTAAAGAGGAGCTGTGGTCCTTGCTGCAGACAGTCCACGAGAACCCCAAACTCTCCAGTAAGGAGAAGAGGCGGCTGCTGGGGCAGTTTTATAAAGGCCATCCGGAGATTTTTGTCCAGTACTTTGGAAATAGACTGTCCACCATCAACATGTTGTTACAGTGATATTTACATAGAGGGATGAGTTGTGTATCCTGATGTAGAAAGGTAACGATAGAGGAAGAAAAGCTCAAGTGATGTGAATGATATGTATCTTCGAAAGTCGATATTGTTTTTTGTAAAAAGTTTAGACTACTGAACAGGAATGTGAATTTAAATCTTAGAGTTTTAATAAGCTGCGATGTATTTATGAATATGTCTTTGATGTTTTCTTTGGTGCGGGACACTAACAGGAAAATTCTTTGTGTTAATGTGAAACTTAATCTCCTTGACTGAGAAAATGAACCAATCGTTCTTTTCATATCGCTTGATGGCTTCCTGTGTGTGGTACAGCTCTTCAATGGCTGTATTCTTTGTGCTTGAGCAATAGGAACAGTGTTAGCAGTAGAAAATCTGTCTGTTCATGTGGTTTCCATGTACAGAGTGATGCACAGTGGAGCTATGTCTAAGGAATCGAAAACCGGATATTTGAACCTGGACATTTGAAAGTCTGATGTTGTGCTATTGTAAACAGTCAGAGGCATTCATGAGAGTCAGCCCCCTGGGTTTTTGTGTTTGTAGCAACAAATCAGCAAAACAGATGTTTGTATCTCTTTTTTTCTTCTCGCTTTGTTTTGGACTGGCCGCGTTTTAGTGGCATCTTCAGGGTTCGGTTTTTAAATGAGGTCAATGTAATTCTTTTAATCAGCTAAGGAAATCACTTCCACATTTCCTGGTGACGAAAGCATTCCCAGACGAAGTTTAAACCACATACACATCTTGTTTGTGTTTTTCCAAGTCTGTCTAAAACTCAAACTGAATCGTCTGGTTATTCCTTTTGTTTCACTGCCACCTCAATGTATGTTAAAAATGACTCTTTAACAGATAAATGGCATCTGGTATGTCATGAAATGTACCTCTAGAACAAAAAATATTAAAGTTTGAGAAGTAGAGAGGTCCTCTGTACTGTTGTTATTCTTGCCTGACCCTCACATACGGCTTTTAACACATTATAAACACGATAAAATCAAGGAGTATAAATAAGGGTTTTAAATCAACTTTACGATGTTGATTTTTATTTCTACAAACTAAATCAGAAGTTTTGAAGACCCTGTGGTGTTTAATTTCACTTTGTCTCGTTCTGTCTCGGCTTATATTACATTTTTAGACTGAACTCACACATACCTCAGCATTCAGACTTAAATATGTGAACAGGCTTTTAAAGGAGATCACAAACTTGACTGTTATTGTCGCTTACATTGTTCTACATTAAGTAGCCTATCAGTTGTCTAATTCACCTTTGAGTCTTGAGTTAAAAAAAAATACAAAACCTGTATACTTTCTGTTCTGTAGTTGTAATCAGCTGTTTATGTTTCACAGCTCACTGCAGAATGAGAGCAGCCTGCCAGGAGTTGATTTAGTTTGACAACAGCCCCTCTGTAATATTTTAAGAGATTACACATTTATAGATTTCTATAATGCTTCAATTTTTTCCCTTGAGGTTTGAGGAACATTTGTGCCCTGAAATGGTGCATGTTGCTCATTTTGCACCATGGTTGGATGATCTTTAAGGCTTAAATATTAACTCCTAATACACCCAGTGCTCAAATAGGTTGCCACAATGTCAGCACAATCCCTGGGAGGACAAATACTGACTTAATAAAGCTTAGATGGAGATAAGGATAAAGCATGTATCTAAACTATCTACTGTATAAGTTACTTTTACATGAACGGTTTCTAATAAAAAAGATATTTCAAGATCTTCTTTAAATGAGCTTCAACTGAAGATACAATATATTTAAGACTTTTCAATCCAGTACTTTTATCTCAAACCTTTCCAAACTAAAATGCAAACACTGTCAACGCCATTTCATCAATATAAAGACCAGATTTTTAAAAACTTTATTATTATGTAGAGTAGACTAATCCAGGGATCAGTTCACGGTGTCTGATATCTTGCCCTAAAATGTGGTTAAGGCTTTAAGAATCAAACGCTGCCCCCTCGTGGTGATGAGAAAGTATGGCATGGCTGTACTACAACCAGTCTTACTAAAATCTTAATTAAAAAAGAAAAAAAGGGAGAAAAAAAAACCCTGCTTCAATTCTTTTTCTTTTCCACTTTTATTGAAAGGAACTGTGTTTCTTCCAGTTATCTAAAAAAAAAGAAAAATAATCTTGATTTCATGTTACCATGATGTAGACATCACAAGGCCAGACTGAGCGGTGTGCCAAAATCAAAGGTTGAATTAAAAATTTTGTACAGTATAATGGTCAGTTTTTAAAAATAAAAACTGTAAACGAAAGAAGAAAAAACAAAAAAAAACAAGAACACTCAAATGTGCATACTGTATGTGTTTCTGTGAGAGCATGTGTTTATGAATCCTTATCTTTGTACAGAGATCAGCTAATAAACAATCTGTCAGACGCACTTAGAAACATGGACATGTACGTGTACCCAATAGGACCACCTGTTAAGATTACATTCTTGACTGGTTCAGCGTAAGTTTGAGCTTATCGAATCCTCTTCTGTTGGCGTGCTCGGTAGATGTCGTGTATGGGCGGAGCCACGGCCCCTTTGTCATCCTCCTCATCAGAGTCTGCGTTAGGCCTCTTGAGTGACTTGGCGACAGCATGGTTCTCCATGGATCCATTGCCCTCCCCTCCTGCATCGGGCTGTCTACCAGTGATCAGCTCTACAGCAGCATCGACAGCTGAGGAGGCAGAAAACACACGAGCGGCATGTCAAACAGCGGGAGAGATTTTAAATAATAAATAGAAAAGATCTGGGTTCAGTTTAAGTGCAACTCACTCTCAGGAAGTGTGCATCTCCTAAAAGTTTCCATGAGCTCATCCACTTGAACAAAGGGACCCTGGAGGGAGAGACAAAACTGACTTTGCATTCTTGGAAAAAAAAAAGAAAAACCCTGCTGCTTTCTTCTTTTATTCATCGCCAGTAAATAGGTAATGAATGCCACGATGACAACAAACAGTGTTAAACTGCTATTACTCACCGTGAAGCATGTAGGCGGAGGGAGCAGCTTCATTAGGATCACAGCAGCTGGGGGGACAGGGAAAACTCCGCCAGGGACAGGGTGTAGACCCGGAGCTGTGGTGAGGAAACATGAGAGGCTTACTTATTTTCAGTTAGTTCACTAAGAGGGGGCAGTGTTGTCACATTCTGCGCACTTCAAGTGAAAGTTTAGGGAGGCGAGGATCTACATACGGGCCAGGTGACGTGGCTGGAAGGGGATCATCTGGTTGGTGTCAGGTTTTGGGTACTCAGGTTTGCGGTCTGCTTCGTCTTTCAGCGCAGGTGTAGAAGGAGCCACCACGGTTTCTGGGAGCAGCGCTGCCAGTTTGGCACGAGACACATCCTGCAAACACACAGCAGAGGCAGCTTCAGTATCACCTCAGAGAGAAGCTGCATGTGTGGCTGTGATTTCAAAGGAGTCCATCACAAACCTTGTATCCAAGGGCTTTGAGTTCACTAGCAGAGCAGGGATAGAGATCCATGAACTTGTATCTGTCTACAAGCAGAGCTGTTTCTTTGCCCTCATACTCGTCTTTGAAGGCAGAGAAGCGCCTGCGCTCCACTTTCAATATACTGGCCAGGTCGCCTATGTTGCTCTCAAAAGCCAAGAACCGAGCCCAGATCTCACTGTGATGGAAAGGACAAGCAAAATTTATGGATTTCTCCACACATATATTCTATTACATCACTTTCATACATCTATACACCTTTAATAAATACACAGCTTTACCCTGACTTCTCTGGTGACAAGCTTCCTGAGGTGAGGACACGCTCAAACAGGACTCTGGTGTTGTTGTCCTCTGGAGAAAAGAACAAGGTTACACAGTGAGTTTGGATCACAACAGCAGAGGAGAAATCTTTCATCTCTAAAAGCTTGAAATAGGTCAGCACAGCTTTAACAGCTTGAACGTATTAAGCAATGTCACTAAAACCATTCGCCTTTCATTCACTCACCACTGTATCATACATCAACCTACCGTTGAGGTGTGAGAGGTAATCTATGTATGCGAGTATGTACTCTGGAATGTCACCATACTTCTTCAAACCAAGCTCAAAAATCTTGAAGGCCACTGATTTATCCTGAAGGACAGGAGTGAGAGAGTTAAAAGACGTGGAGAGAGAGAGAAGAGAGAGGCTTAAAAGGCTGATTAAGGTCGCGTTTCTCATTAAAAAAGCCGCTCTCACCTTACTGCAGTAGTACTCCATCAATGCTGCCGTCACGTACACATGGTGACGTGTGCGTAAATCCTCTCTGGCCTTTTTGAAGATGGTGCGGCCTGATTTGATTCCCTCGGCCCTCCTGGCAAACTTCATGTACTGAATATAGACCAGGGTGGGGTCGATGTCCTCTATGGCTAGCAGCTTGTTATAGATGCTGTGGACTTTCTCGTACTTCATGCGGCTCTGTAAAACAGGTGAAACATTTAAGCTGTTATCTCAGCTCTGTTTCTCCTGTGATGATGGTGAGACCAGCTTGTGCTCAGGTCACAGCAAAACTCTCACCTCTTCATAGTCAGCAAATGAGAAGTAAAGAAGCATGTTTTTCTTCAGAAGAGTCCCGATGGCACGTTCGTAGATGTTGGCTGCCTCATCGCTAAACAGCTTGGAGTTATTCATGTCCTGGGAACAAAAAGTATTTTGAAAAAAACAAATTACGAGTAAAAAACAGAACTGTGTCAAACTTTACAAAATGCTGTTTTTAAAGATTTTTCTGGAGGGAAAGGAGAGGGGATTTCCCTTACCCCTTTCTCTGCCAGCAGTTTGCTGGACTGCTCCAGGTACTGTGCTGCCTCATACCACACGTCAGGGTGGTGACCCAGCACCAGCAGGCACTGCTCATAGGCAAACATCACTGAAACACAGAGACACAGCAGCACTAAGCACCATTCATAAAACACAGAGCTGATACAGCTTGCATAAACGTGAGAAGGGATGTGGATCGATGCCCTCTAGTGGCCACACTCTGACACTGATGTATTCTTCTGTCGCTCACAGACAGTCACCTCTTTTTGTGATGAGCGTCTGGTCTTCCGTGCGCAGTGGGTTGCTTTTTTCCCACTGGATGTACTTCTTCCACATTTCCACTTGCTGAGCTTCCTGAGGAGAGTTCTGGGGAGGGACTGAGGGGGCGTTCCTGTCCAAACCCTTCATTACAGTTTCATACTCCTGAATCACAAGACAACCTGGGTGAGTTTACAGAGACAGCCTGACTTTCAATCAATCAATGGGATTCAAACTGTCAGATGAGATTCTCTCACCTTTGCCACTCTCCTTGCATTCATGTAGTCTCTACTTCGATCCTCGATCATCTTTTTGGCCAAGTGCACATTGATTCCCTGTTTGAGGAAAAGAAAAGTCAGCCTAGCACCCTATGAAGCTGAAAAAAATTAAAACAAACACAATTAGGAGGATAGATAAATACTAGAAGCCTGAGTGCTACACTGACCTCCTCATATTTGCTATAATCTCTCCAGAGCTGCTCAATGTTGATCATCGGGTTCACACAGCCTCTCTGATACACCCTCCGTACAGCTGTGATCCGCTGGTTCTCTGCGTACGAGCCCACAGCCTCACTGATAAAACACAAAACAAGAATATAAACATTTAAACAGAAGGGAGACGCTGATTATGAAGAGTTGTTTAGGGGAATGTACTTACACTCCTTTGAGGAAGTTGATGTAGTCCACCCAAATCTGGGAGAGAAAAGGCCAGCAGTGAGGTGACATCAATCACAGTATCACACACACACACATATAGGCACAAATATTAATAATTGATCTGTGTACCTGATAGGACATAATTTCCATGCCAATCTTATCCAGAGCAAAGTCATACGCCTGGGCCATCTTCTCTCTGAGGATAGGAAAATAAATATCAAATCTGTACTTTCAGCTCAGCTCAGTATGAACTTGACTAAGCAGGAGGCTTTCTTACTTGTAACTAGGCAGCTTCCCTTTGGTCTCTCGAACATATGAGAGGTAGCATTTCCACAGGTCGATGTGCAACACTTTCATTAGACATCTCTGAAACAACTACAGGGACAAAAAAATTAAAATAAGACTCAAAGAGAAATAAACATTAAAACACACCATTAAAAAAGGTCAGTATTTGGTTGATTTATTTTATATTCTAAATTTGTGTCAATCTTCAGTGACCTATGTCATGTCAGAGGAAATGTTTCTACTCTAGCCCTTGTGCCAGATTTTGGGGGAGATTCAGGTCTTACTCAGCCCAGCTGTGCACAGCACTTCAGTTATTCTGCTTCATTAGACAGACCTCAGATGTGGCCTACATTCCAGAGCTCCTCCAAACTAATCTAAATACAGCAGGGTCAGAAACCTGTTTAGGGACTTGAACATCTCCATGTCTGGAGTTTAACATCACAGCAAAAATCTAACTGGAAAGGTAATTTTCTGTGAAGTCCAACCTTAGTGATATCAACTTGAAATAATGCATCAGATTGGTCACATTATGATCATTTGATTGAAACTGTGGGTATGTATTGCCAAGAAGAGGCCAAAGTATGTAGCTTTAACTGAATATCAAAGCCTTCTTAGTGACTACAGTGCCCTACTTTCATCCTCAAAGATTTCCCCTATCTGAATACTTTTCATGCTTGCAAGAACCCAAGGCGACAGCTTTTCCTGATTATTGTGAACGCCTCAAAATACTACATTACAAACACTGCTTCATAGGAAGTGTGTACGGTCTATAGGAAGAAATCATAAACAGACATTTGGGGACCCAACAAGTGTCAAAATAAGAGACATCAGACTTTTTGGGTGAGCCAGACACTTACCTTTTCTACTTTGTCATAGTTTTTTGCCTTGATCTGCAAATAAGAGTGTAGATGCAATGTTAATTCAAATGTCTCCTTTACTTTTATGACTCTGAGGAAACATGCATTCATGCAAATTCAACCATTCATACACATATCTACACACACTCAGAACCTCCGAGATCAACAAAGTGAAATTCACACAAGAATGACAAATAACTTTTAAAGAAAGGGGTTTATTTTCTCTGTAGATGGCACTACATCATGGAGAAACACACCCACGACCACTTGTTACAGAAAAAATCTTGACAATACCAAAATGCAGATTCTGGACTAATGTTAAGAGAAATACTGAAGAATATGCAGTGTTAGAGAAATTCAGAAAACATCAGCCTCGGGAGAGAGCATGTCAGCGTGTAAAGTGCTGCAGCAGTGAGTGTCATTTTTGCCATTGTCAGTGGAGTCACAGTACCCTCCAGTACAGACAGGAGAGGCTGCTGTTCCCGTGGTATTGGCACACTGGGCCTTTCCCATTGTTATACATGCATGGACTATTCAAAGGAGAACAGCCGGATCAAACTAGCCTGGAAGTGACGTGAAATGATGATAGTTTACACAGCAGGTCTAATCTGCTCTTCACAGGGTGTCATCATGAAGTGAAACAGATCACCAACAACACAGAGACATTGCTAGGGACAACAAGCCTGCACAGTTAATAATCCTTTGCATAATATTGGCTTAGCTGTGACTAGTCTGACTGGTTAAGTGACCTTCCTGAACATCTACACATTCATCTGGAGGCGGCCCCGTGGCCTGTTGGGTGACATTAGACATAAGACATTTAATTCCCTGAAGCAGCACTGATGTGTACACAAAGTACACAACATGCAGACAAAGACAGACGCCACAATTCAAGACAAAAGGCTCATTTTGGTATTTTGTGCAACAAATGAAAAGCAATGCTGTTCTACATCTCTGAATGTTGCACATATTTCATGCAATTCCCTAAATCAGCCTTTTACTGCAAAACAAAAAAATTCCTTTTTTGACACTGTACTCCTGCAAATAAGGCACGATAAAAAAATTAAATGAATAAAATTCTCAAACTTGGTTGAGAGAAAGAATGCATTAAATGCAAACTGCAGTTTAATTAAAAAAAAAAGCCTGACTTATAAAACTTGTGAGAAACGAGAGGTGTACTTTGACTGATTAAAAAAAAAAGTTTATTTTCTGTTAATCCATGCAAAATACTGAGGACTGCCCCAGATACACAATTTAGAAAACTGACAATTACAGCTCTAAGCATTCTTAGGCCATCAAATGCACACAAGCTAAAGCAAAACTTCCAAAACATTGTTCCTACAAAAATAACAAACTCTGGGAAAATATCAGTCTGAGCTTTTAAATCCATGTTTCATTTCATTTTTTATCCTGAGATAGATTAAACTTGAAATGTGTACAAGTGTCCCTGCCTCAGTGGTATAATATAGTTACAAATCTTTTTAGATGATGGTTTTTAAAGGGAACATTATTTCACCTGTGCTTGCTGCTTTTAGTCTAAGTGTCTGGTCACGTCACTGCCAGAGAAAGATTTTACAACACACTTTATATGTGAGGAGAAATTCACATAATCAAAGGCAAACTCAATACCTATACAAAGGCCGAATTAGACAGAGGGTTAAGGGAGAGCAGAGAATAGACACAGATTAGAGAAATGGTAAAATTACCATAAATATTAAAAAAAAAAAAAAAAAAAAAAAAAAAAAACAGGTTGTACTAACTGTGTGGGGAAAAATCTGCCAAATCAGGATGATTATTTTTTAAATGGGCTACATTCTTTCCTCCCTGTGAACTCACAGAAACTGGACTACATGAACTTATCCTACATCATAAAGGCAGAATGAACTATGACATTGCAAATAAAAGCAGTGGTGCTGTCATATCCTTTCTTTCCAGGGATCAACCTCTGCTCTTTCCTCTTTCACTTTATCTGTTCCATGTTTTTGACTTCTTATGGGCCTGACTTAGAACTCAACAACAAAATTCAGCATTGGGTCAGAAAACACACACTGGGTGAACACCAAGCTGGATGAGAAACAGTTCTGTTAAAAACTGGGATCCTTGAAAAACTTTGCCATGTGTGCAGCTTTTTACAAATAAGGTCAGATGTAAATCTCAAAGGAAGGAGACTCACGCAAACATGAGGATACACTATGTTCTGAAGTTATTTTTATTTTATGGCAGGAAAAAAAAAGGCAAAATGGGAACAAATGGCAGCTTGTTTTAAGGCAGTGAGGGTTTCTGAGTTAAGCAAAGGCCCCAAAACATTTCATACTTACCAAATAAGTCTGTTTTAATACTACGACATGCAAATGAGTTTTAAGATATCACAACATACTGTCCCCACTTCCCAGGCCCAAACTATATTAGCAGGGATTTGCTTTCAAACCTCAAGCTAGACTCAAGTTTGTCAGTTAGAAAAACTAAACCTCCCTCTAACAGAGACGTCCGGGAAATTCAAATCTCCATGTAAATATAACAAACTAATGTATTTGGTCAGGTGGGAGGCTACACAGACAACTTGGCAGCCAAATAACGGGATGAATCAAGCTAACTCAAGATGACTTGTATTTGGACATTAAACTAGTTATTTTTGTTGAAAAGCTTTCAAGTCTTTTTGAGGTTGAATTCACTACTCATGTGTTTTCTGTCTTCTGTTAGTTCCTATCCTCTGTGTTCTGATTGTTTCTAAAAATAAAACATAACAGCCCACACTTGATTATTTACATATAAACTCTTTCCGTGGGCAATACTTCTTGTATGTTAAAGTAAAGGTAAATATGGGATTTAGAACCAATGTAAAAATCAATTGTTTTGTCACATATGGGATACATGTACATTTCCACACAAAAGACTTTAGGGAATTTGAGTATAAACATCAACTTTTTCTTTGCTTTTTAAAATGTCCAAATACAAATCATCTCTCCTAGTTGTGACTGCTCTGTGCTAGCGTTTTAAAAAATGATTCAGCCGGCTGTCATCTTCATCTGAGTAGGCGGTCTGTTAGTAGTGACGAGACTCTGATGCTCTTCGGGCTCAAGTACAGTAGGGGCTATTTGTGGGCTATCGTGAATTATTTAGGGACTGCTCCTTAAAAGCACTGTGTGGACATACATGTCATTCTCTTGAGTCAGGCCAACCAGCTTGCTCTTGTGTTGGTCAAATTAAGTGGGAGAGACTCGGGGCAAGGGGTATGGGGAGTAAGAGGTGACAGGGTTAGCAACCCCACAACAAGAAACAACCCCCACTACAACCTCCACCAATCCAAGTTTACAACATAGAGCTAATCCTTTTCCAGAACTTCACAGTGGACTTTGAACTGCAGGCCAAATTCTGTTGCCTGATAGTGTTTTGCAACTTTGTGCAAGCAATGTGTTTGATATTAAATGCAGTGGTTATCTGCAGAGGTGGAGGCTTCACTAGATGATCATTTGCAGTGAATGACTCATACTCTCAGTTACAGATAGCGTTAAGTAAAGCAAAGCCTGTTGATGGCATCAAGGCAAAATGGATGACTGGCCTTATATTCAGGGAGTGGGGGTGAGCAGAAGTATCTAAGGGTGAGGATAGGGTCACATGACAAAGGACTTTGTTTATAAAATTTCCCAAAGAAATGACACAGGAGGCAATAAATTGACACGACAAGTGAATAAAAGGCTAATGCACTCCAATACCATTAAAATAGTTTTAATACTGTTGCAGACCAAACATGCAACAAATGCACTTTACCCCATTTAAATATGACGCAGAAAAAGTGTAAAGATTTTTTAATCCTGGAAAACAAAATTCTCCTGGAAATAAGTGGTTAGAGCTAAGTCCCCCTTTGTTTGCGTTTAAAGGCACAATTCTTGTTAAATCCAACCAGAGCCCAACTAATGATGGTGTTTGACACTTTGATGTATTCTTTTATCCACATTCTCAGGAGGATGCTTTGAGCTGTAAAAACAACATTACTTTGTAACTATGAACATTGACAATCACCTTAGGATAAGAAAGTCGGTAAGCGTTGTGAAACAGAGTAACAGGCTCGGTGATTCAGACTTAGAATTGTGACTTTAAACTTCATTAAAATAAGAGACATATTTCTTGTGTGAAAATCACAGTGTTGATCGTTTTTGAATAATTCCCAGCCATGCACACGAAAGAAAAGAAGAAAAAATTAACCTCAGCTTCAATGAACAGTTTCCAGAATCTGCCAGAACTTGGGAACTGCGAGACAAGTCGCTCATATGTCTTCCTTGCTTTATCTATGGGTTGGTTCTAAAGAAGAAGAATTCATTTACAAACCACACTACTTAGGTATAAAAAAAAGCAGTCAGTGGGGCAAAAAAAAAGATTAAATGCTTTATATTTTCATCATCTTTAAGCCCATTCCCCCCTCCCTGTTTACCCAGTTTACTTAACCCCAGGAATGCAACTCTGTGTCACTAAACCTGTGCTTCTCGAATCAGAATGCTCCATGCGTCAAGGTCATATGGGTTTTCTTCCAACTTCTTCTCTGCCTTCTTCACCTTCTCTGGAATATACTCTGCTGCAGCCTGAGAGGACACACAAAGACACATCACAAATAGGTTATGATGCAGACTAGACTACTAAGAAGCTTGAAATATGGAGATATATTGAGGTAAGGACATGTGGACATATATTTTCAGACAATGCTAATTACAGGCTCATCAGAGTGGGTTAGGTATTGAATAATTATTCCGTCATGAGTGGTAAAACAAATGTGAAGACTTATCATCATTGCCATACATTAACTCTTGGTAGGTAATCTAAATGGTTCAATTTGATCCTGGAAATTAGAATCAGCAACCTTGTCTACTTGAAAATTAGTTAATTGTACATTAGTTTTGTGCTAACATTCAGACTACTCATACCTTGCCATATAAGAATGATCTCAAAATCCATCACGTGAATTTATTACGAACTTTACTACTGTTCCTTTAGGTAATGCAATGACACTCAATTATCATCTATATTTTGAAGTATACGCCTGTGCCATCTATATATAGCCAATCCGCCATGACATTACGAACAACCAGGCAATCTTATACAACCCTATAATAAAGCTCAACCATATAAATGAATTTAACAAAGCTCCTTAATGTCAATATTTGTCAGAAGATCACTGTTCTTTACATTAGTTAATCCAGTGGGTGTAAGTGATATATCTGGTGCATCTAGACTGGTGTTCCAAATATCTTATTCCCCTCAAGTTTGCCAATGCAGAGTACAAAATATCAGGAACACTTTTCAGTATTACACACTCAAGTACACCACTGCCACCAAGTATGTCTAGTAGGATAATTATGCAGCAAAAATCACCTGTTGGATCGTGTCAAGATGAACTTGAAATATTTAAAAACCCTCCTTGATGGAAGCTGCTGAGGTACAGCTGTTGTAAGTGTTGCATTAGATTACCCAGATATTTATCATTTTATGGCTGATCTGTGTTTTAATCACAGCAAAACGCATATTCGAGATAATGCGGACAGTACAAGGACACAAGGAAAACGAAGTTAGTGTGAGATAAATAACTGCAACAGATCATTTTCTCGTGGCTATGTTCCCCCTTGACGTATTTCAAAATGCCAGTGTTATTTAGTGTTTATTTACGTTATTATTTACCAAAAACAAAGTCTAGACATCGGAGCTACACGGCTAGTAGCTGCAGAGCTAACATTCGGCGGTTAACATGGCGTCAGGCCAAACCTAACAGCGTTACACAAGGCTTAAGAAATAACAATAACTAAGCCAATGGGCAACCCAAGCTAAAAAAAGAGTCGTGTTTTAGGGAACAACAATTAATAAACGGCACTTGAGTCAAAATACTAGCATAATGACGGATACAGTGGCACATTTCTGCTAGCCTGTAAAAGGCCAGGCTGCAGCTTCATGTATAGCTACCTGGTCGGCTGGTCCCTCGGCGGACATGGCTGGAAGAGTAATGCAGGTTAAAGCAGACAAATGTGTTATCACACTGTTTAACGTTCAAATAACAACGCGCCGGAAAAGTTAAAAAAACAACTAAGTGATGAGCATAGCTTCGACAGGATCGATCACATTGCACCCACACAAGAAGCTGCTCAATGGCTGGCTGTTATCTCAAAATGGCGAGAAGTCTGACTTCCGCTCCGCGAACGGCAACAACAATAAGACTTCCGGTGTTGGACTTTCAAAATACAATAAAAACGGTCATTAAACCAACAGGATGGCCCAGCCAGGCTATCATTAAACTAGTTTGTTACGTTCTCAAATGGATTTTGCTGTCATGAAACCATCTGGTCTTTCTCCACAATTGACCTCAGACAACAAACACATACCAATTATAATGTTTTATTTTTATTTACTTTGTGATAATCTTTTCTTATTCATGAGCTTTGTTCTTTCTACAGTAGATAGATAGATAGATAGATAGATAGATAGATAGATAGATAGATAGATAGATAGATAGATAGATAGATAGATCTTAGAGAGGGTGTAAGAAACTTGTGGTTTGTGTCAATATTGGCGCCCCCTATTGGCAACTATGTACCCTTAACGATTTTACTGACCTTTTTCCTTATATGTTAAGGTACTATTTTTCTAAACAAAACAAAACAAAGCAAAACAAAAAGCCTTCTGCATTCCTCAAAAAATATTAGTCACAGTTTATATTTGCCCTTCAAAATATAAAGGACGGCTGTTTCATTAGCCTGCTGTCGACTATCTCATCTTAAACAAACCCCATCACAGTTGTACTAGGCAAAAAATAAAATAAAAACCAAAAAAACCCGAATTTTATCAGTCTTGATGCTGATGATCTTCCTGCTTTCACAGGTCACAGAGAACCAATTTTAAAAGTTTCTGAAAATCATCAATAGTCTGGCTAAAGCAAGATAATAAAACATTTATTGACGACGACGACAACAACAACAACAACAACAACAATAATAATAATAATTTAAATACTCCTTATACAGCATAGGCATAAAATAAAAGATTAGAGTATGATCCATACGAATTACAAACTTGACAAAGACATGGTGATGTTTAAAACTAAATTTCTTAAGCAGGCTACAACTAAAAAAGCCACCACAGTAATACTTGACAATTAAGTACATTTGTAAATGGGCCAGTGCGAAGACTATGTACAGCATTTTGACTAACAAATACCGTTTCAGAGCTAGAGTGCAGTTACAGTGAGAGGAACAGTCAGTGTACAAGCACACTGTGTACACTTAGTTCAAAACCTCACTGCAAATGTTCATCCAGTTAATCCTATTACCTGCCTTGAAGATAAAGATGTACATAATGAGAGCATGTACACAACAAGTAGCTTTGTGGGTGAAAAAAGCCAAAACAATTTACTTAAGTGCTCTTTTTTGCAACAGGAGCGCGTGCATTCAGGTGGTTCACATGATTCTGTAAACCGAGTAAACTCGGCCTATAGGCGGCCTTTCGCATTGATTATCAGACAAACGAAGATCTGATCCTCGTACCAGCTATTCAGTCATTTCGGCGAGGGTTTATCAGAGGAATATCTGGCCTCTCAATTTGCAGGACTACACACTATCGAGTGAAGGTGACTAAAACGTTGCAAAGACTTGCACAATAAAGGCTCGTTTTGTTCTGCACATTGTTGCTGACTTGGCTGGGCAGTAGGGGGAGACAAATGACAGCAACCACCATCGCGCGCTTGCGTGTAGCTGGTCAACAATCATAAACAGACCAGAACAAAGGATCACAGAGCAATAACCTGCTAATACGTTATCATACATTTCCTCCTCCACCGCAGACCCCTACGATGAATTGAGCCCATTTTAGCCAACATAACATACACTCTATGACTTCAAGGTTGAAAAGTTGTTATTGTGTGCATGGGATCTTACAGCTGTTTTACTGGGATCCCACTGAAATTGATGACTGTTTTACACCTCTGAGTTAGTGGACCAAACATTGGTAAAGGAGAGAAATATAAAAAGTTACCTGTTGAATTAATAATAGTCATGAAAGAGGAGTTTGGAGCACAAGTAGCGTGGCTTCTTTGTTGCAACATTGAAGACTGAGTCTTTCTCTATTTGAAGATAAGCCTTACACTGCTGACAGGGGCGAAACTGGAAGTGACATGACCCAGCTCTCCCAAAGAAACAGTCTAGTGTCTTCAATGAGGAGCTAAAGAAGCTTATAGGGGGCTGTACCTGAGGGCTTCCTGTAACTCCATCACAGCTGTGTTTACTAATGACGCACCAGCTTAGACAAGAGGTGTTCACACCTGTTTCCCAGCTGACCAGGCCTTGTTGTTTAGAGTTTGTAAATGAGGTGGTGGCTGGAGAGGAATGAGGAAAGACAAATAACTTTTGGTGGATTAGGTTACAGCTGGTCGTCTCAGACACTGGGGGCTTATGGGCAGCTTACTTTGTCAGCTGGGGGCCTCCTGACTGTCTGAGCATTAGATGTCAGCTTGTGCTCCCCCACTCATTTCAGACCACTCAGCTGTTGTTGAGGATGGCTACAATTAAATACAAAAAGAAGTTCACCTTTGAGAAATACATCTTAGCAGTTGGCCTTGTTGTCTTTATTGCTTGCTTATTGAGGAATGAATTTTAAATCCTGGATGAGGATCTACATTTATTACAATATTAAAAAAAAGTTCACTCTGTTCTGACAGAAAAACGTTCCTGCCGGTGGTCATCAGATTTTTTACCTACTCCCTCAGAGACTCTGACACGCTCAGTCAGTAGTCTTTACATGGACTCACTGTTTTTACATGAATACAATTTTACTATTTGTGTTGTTTATAGTGTAAATACTTGTGTATTTTCTCTATATTTTCACTTATTTGATCTATCTATCGCTATATTTTTACTTATTTTTACTTATTTGATCTATTATTCATCTCCTCTTTTACTGTATTTGCACTGGAGTACTGTGACAAAAGCAATTTCTCCCCGGGGATTATTAAAGTATTTCTGATTCTGATTTTGATTCTGAAATAAACCATTTCAAATTCTAAAGGTGTAAAATTCACGTTTATTTTCTGACTTAACCTTCTCTGAATTTTAGCTCTGTTATGGAGAATTTTACAGTTAAGGTATTTTGTTGTAGGCCTATTCAAATATTGCAGTGTAGTACTTTGCATCTTTATTTTTAATCTGACACAAGAAAAAAAAAAAAAAACAGGAACAGTAACATACACAATAAGCACACAGTACTTACAGACTAATACTGCCATGGTAAACAGTCTTTATTAGGGATGGGAATCGAGAACAGGTTCTTGATGAGAACCAGTTCCAAATGGTTCAATCCATCAACATTGTTTACATTTTATCTTAACGATTCTTTTGGGTGCCTTGAAAAACGGTTTCACGAGAGCCAGTCTACGCAAACAAGAACAGAGACAAACAAGAACAGAAACATGGCAGACGGTATGAAAAGTAGGCAGAAACAATCTTAAGCGCAGCTCAAAATTTTGCTTGAGACTCCCCCCCATGTAGTAGTGTCCTCTTTTTGGAGATCCAGAATATGGTCACCCTAATCTGACGTAATACCGACCAAAGTAAATGCTGTACAAATAGTTTGTTGTTTGATTATTTTTTTAGACTCTTACTGAAGGTGGCATTCATCTTTTTCTGTTGTCAGAGACTCAATAAAATTTTGAGTTAATGATGAAAACCTATAGTCTACTTTTTAAAAATCAAAGATAGACATTGATGAGGGAATCATTAAAGAATTGAATCGATAAGCAGAATCGATAATGGCATTGATATCGATAAAATCTTATCAATTCCCATCCCTAGTCTTGATGTGCCTTTTCTACAAGCAAAATAAGGAGTCATGGGCGAGGTGAACAGGCAAAAAAGAAAAGAAAGGAGGAGGAAAGGAAGTAAAGAGAAATAATGAAAGAAACAGGAAAAAATGGTTTCTAAGAGGCAAGGGAACAGTCTTTGACTTCTCAGTGAAGAAAGGGGTGCTTTAGCCTTTTTCTGCCTCAGGTTTAGCTCCTACAGATCTGTTTTTACCATTAAAAATGATTTATAATATAATAAGTAGTGACTGAATTGTAAGGTTTAGTGTACTATCTTGTGTGTACTATACACTATCTTGTAGTGTACCATCTAGTGCACTACTTTAGTGTACTTTCTTGAAGGCAAAAAAAAAATAATTCTATCTTACTTTCTTCTGAGAAAGCAGCACAAACACAAATCACTTGTTAATGCACGTTGAGTTACTTTGTGTCGTCTTTGACACCAGCTACAGCCTGCTGCCTCTGAGCCTTGAGCAGTGCTCGTTGATCGGTTGCTCAGGTCTGGCCTATGGCGTCAGTTCACAAACATTCGCTCGCAGTTGCTAGAGAAAAGGGACATGTTAGAAGCTCGCAGGGCCGCGGAACAGCACGTACAGACGGGGTAACGGACACCCTTTCAGAGATGGGCTACTTCGCCCAAAGAGGAAGGAGACGAATTTGAACAGTGTATCTACATCCTGGGCTCGGTGTGGTGTTTTTGGACGCTTGTATGCAGGACTTATTTAATGTTTAAAAATGTGGGAGATGGTGTCGTTACCGAGAGCGAGCTCTCCCTTCCTGTCGTCTAGGACAAGATGGCAGCAATGCAGGCGAACTGTACATGGTATGGATTTATAAGTCCATAACATGTTCAGAGAAGCCCTGGATTATACTTATACTGACTCTATGTGAAGGTAAGTTGTCGAAAGAAAAATGTTTACGATAAAATGGTGTTAGTTCAGCATTTGAAACGGTACTTTACATGTGACGTAATGCAAAGTCATAATAACTTAGTAGCAAACTTAGCTAGCGAGCTTTTTGGCTGTATATGGTTTGAACATTTGCTTCGTACGCAGCCTGCTCTGTCAGCACTTCTCCATTTAATACTCGAAGTTAACACTTTTTACAACCTTTCCAAACTACAGTGATGTTAATAGTTATTGACAAGTCCGTTTTATTTGACGCTCTGTGGTGTTTGCTGTTCGTATGTTGTTGTTAAAACATGTTGCTTGGATCTCATAGACACACACACACACGCACACACACGCACAGCCGCTGGTACATTTTTGCTACACGAACACACCCTATATGGATAATATGGACCGAGGGACTTTAACTTGTCTGGCCTTCATGATTTCCTCAACACTCGGCTTTGTAAGTGACAAAACTGGGGAGATAGTTTTCACATCAATCGCATTTTCTTTTGACAACTTTTTCGTTTTTTGGACACGGAGAATAAGGCATGCTTTGTTTTGCCCGTTCAAAGGTTTCAAAAATAGATTTTATTGTCGCCTGCTGCAATAATTCCCCCACTGAAGCGACCTTTGCAGCTGCGTTTTTTTACGTGTTTATCGTGGCTGCTGGGACTGACTGTACGCCCTATCTCAACTGCGAGCTGACTTTAGCTGCGCGAGCTAGCTGGTTAACTCTGCATTCACGTGCTTCTAGGTTGCTCGGATTTTCCAGGTTGAGAAATCTTTTATCTTCACTTCAAGTAAAAGGAGACTCTCAAAATAAGGAGTTTGTCGTTTTTTAAAACAGAATGCAACAACTGAACCTCGACAAAAACTAATGTTGACAGAGTTTCGCTGTGTTGAAGTTGTCAAATACGCCCAGAACTTCATTTGCAATTCCCAGAACAGTGTTTGTGACAGCTATTTTATTGAAATCTGTCCCAAATAACTTTCAGAGACATATTTTGTTGGACAACAGAGAATTGAATTTCCCTTCAGGGATTAATAAAGTTATTCTTATTCAATTGTCCTAAGTTGATGAACTCCTGGTAGTATTCCACTTTGACTTGGTATCATCTTTTTGGTATACTTTTATACTGAAACGTGAATATATCTCTGGAAAACTGGACGCAGCCTCTAGCCTAATCCTGATCAATGTTTGTATTGTCCGTTAACGCTCTGAAGTAATTCTGTTCTCAGTGGTTTACTCTTTCTTCATAGACTTAAGTTGCAGCAGCAAATTACACCACAGCTTTTATTTTTAGACCAACACTGTAGGAAGGAAAAAAAAACAACATAAAACTGCCCAGTGGCTTTGCCTGCCATGTCAGCGCAGCCCAGCCAGTCAGAAACACTTTCTAGACAATGGCCAAAAAGAGGTGTAGCAACCTTCCATAGGAGTTAATGTGGCGTTAATCATGAACATAGTCAGCTTTAATAATCATCTTATGTCAGTGATGGTTTAGTGTTAAAAGGAGGTATGGGTTTAATATTTAAGCCAAAACAAAAATATGGTATAATTGTTTGAAAGGTTGTTTGTCAGTAGCTGTTCGTGGGGCAGGGAGGGAACTGTTACACTGTGTTCCTTGCCTGCCTAGAACTCACAAAAATAGTCAAACTGGAAATAGAAATTCAAAACACTTTGGCCTTTAGAGTGAAAAGTTCATGCACTTTTCATGCCTTATTGTCTGTCCAGTATGATTGTAGTACGTCTTCCTTTGTCGGAGGGGTTGGCATTTGTTTTGCTGTTCTTTGATAAGCTGAGTAATACCAATGCATTAAACATTAAGGGGAAGTTTTGGTTTGGTTCCTGAAACTGGACCAAAGATCACATCTGTTCTTAATTTTTTTTCTTTTTATAATCGGGAACAATACTTTAATACAGAATCTGAAAACCTTTCAGCCAGGGTTTATCTAGATTTTGTCCGAGTTACATAACGCCTTGATATTTGTTCTTGCAAGGACAGATTAGCTGGTTTGAAAGTTTCACAACCAACTGTCTCTTTGAAACATTTATGGTTTTGAACCACGTACAAGCTTTGAGTACACCTTGAGTAAAGTGCAGCCCTGTACTGTTACATTTTGGTGATCTCTCTTTAAGTGGATACTCCTGTCTTCTGTACATGTGTCACATTCTTGATCTTATCAGCAGCAAGGCCAAATAAGCAAGGTTGTGGGTGATAATGAGACCAGTAATTCAGAGGAGAGTCAGCACACAGTGGCCAGTAAACAAACAGAGTAGTAAACACTGTTTTCCCAAACAGTATTACAAGGTAATGGTGGTTGTTAAGAGAGATGTGGAGGCAATGGCTGTGGAACGTATGTGTTGTCAGTGTCACGTGACACCATGCCGCACTGATCAGCCATACTTAGAACCACTGGTTATTCTCTTTACGCTGAGGCCAACCTTAAGTCTTGTTTTCAAGTGATGTCATGTTAAAGTGGGCGCGTAGAGTCACAGCGATAAATAAAACAGAATGAGGCAGAGTTTATCGAGAGATCACCACAGTAAGAAGATATAGTGCGGTAACCTGCATGAATCACAAGTGATGGGTGGAAAATATCCAATATCCCAAGGAGTAAACATCTGTTCCATCACATCGTACAGTACATTATTACTTTTATCCATCCTGTGATCTGGTCAGAGCCCTTGGTTTTTAATAACACGGTCGATGCTTTTGTTGTGAAACTGTTGAGGGAAAAATACCTGGTTGAAGCTAAAACAGCTCTCTCTGCTGCTCTCTTCATAGCTCGTGTAATGAAAGGTGAAACAGCCCGTGCAGCTCTATGATCACTACTTTGCTGATCGATAAAGTGCTTGTTGTGACATGTAGTATTTCAGTGTGCAGCTTGATGACAGCTGTTAAAACATGATAGTGGTGAGAAACTGGTCGCTTCAGCTGCTTAATGCATTACTTATCTTTTGCTAACAGTGCACATTGATGAAGTTACACTGGTATGTGCCTCTTACTTATTCTTATGATTTATTTAAGACATTTTCATTGTTGAGCAAATGGAAAAAAAGTCACAGCAGAAACACAAATGCTCCTGCTCTGTTGTTATGTAATCATTATGTGTAGCAGAAAAAAATTCACTCTTCCTTTAGCCCTTGTTAACAGAACTTAGTTTTCCTTTGCTCACTAGTTAGCGTAACAGTGTATTGTCTGTGTATAGGAGCTTATCCAACAAGAAGAATACTTGAAACTCACAGTCATAAGTTCAGTCTAAATACCATGTGGTCACATGCTGTAGAAAATAGAGGGCCTTTTTATCTAATGAGCATAGAACATCATGTTCATGAGACACACGTGTGCAGTGAGGTTGTTGGACTGTGAGGGAAGACCACAGCCCATGCTTAATGCCCAGGGGATAGCAACAGCATGAACTTAATTTATATTTTATCTGCAAGGAAACGCACTTACCCTTTTATTAAAACGGCTATAGTGTAATTTAGCTACGTTTGTTTCTATTGCAGGAAAACAATTTAATGTATGTACATCAAATTCTGGCTAAAGAGCTGTACTCGTGCGGTTAAAAAAAAAAGTTGTGTAATCCGTGGAAAATCCCTGGCACTGTTTGCTCAAACATAAACGACCAGCCCGGAAAAGTACAGGAAGACTATAAAGAAGGAAGACAAACTTCCAGCTTTGGTAAACACCAAGATTGCCAGTTGTGTGGGGAATATTTCAGAAACATTTTCAGCAAGTGTGTGATAGTTATGCAGGGCTCACAAGCACAATAAAGTTAATAGTCTGTGTTTTTGAGTGAATAATTCATCAAACATATAAGTGTGTCCAATATGATATTTTTATAATTTTTTTTATCATCTTCTGCATTCGGTCAGCTTTCAGCACAGAGAACAGAGCTGCGCAAATAAAAAGCATGATGCAAGGTGATGATATCACCCAGCCTGCTTCATGATCATCTGGCCTGTGACAAAAGTGTGAATGCTTAATGCGTCTGTTTTGATATTCTGTAGGATGGTAAACATTTATAGCTCGCATGTTCCAGAGTCTTAGCTGTACCGATCACAGCAACACTTTCAGATTTAGCTGTGAAGTCAAACCACGTGGCTATGAATAGTTCCTACAGCTGTGTAGGAGGGGTGTACATATGCCGCACATTCACATAGTTTAGGGTCCCACTTCCTCTTACTTTGACTATTACTAAAATAGATAGAATGAAGAAACTATATGGAGTGTCATTGAAGTGCCCCCTATTGAACAAACGTTGAAATGATTACTCTGCGTTTTGTTTATTTTTTCTCCCCAACATGGTGTGACTGTCATCACCTGTTCGTCCTTTCACTCATCACTATCACATCTGCTACTCTGAACCATTTGCTCATTGTGAACAGGTGTCCAGTGTTGTTTTTTTTTTTCTTCTTCACATTTTAAAATTTGAGTTGGCCAGGGTCAAAAGTTCAACTGCAAGCAATTACTTAGCTGCTCAAGGTTGCTGGAGAGGCTCTATGGTTTGGAAGGTAATGTGATGCTGCAGGAGGAGCCTCATGGTTAACAGAGGGAGTGTACGGCTTCAGATGGTAATAATAGAAGCAGCTGCCATTCTTGTGCCTTTGAAACAACAGACGCTGTCTACTTTACTTCCTTGGGTCAGAGTTCTCCTGACCATTTAGTGATTACATTTGTATGGCCAGGAAAAATAACAGATTCCCGAGCTACGTTTCTTTAAATAGGATTTGCCTGTTGTATAACACTAAGCTGGTACTCAAATCTAGACGCCTTGATTGCTCAATTGGTGACGGTTTCCAATTGCAGGCTTTCTCCATCTAGGACCTCTGGAACAATAAAGCATGCACTCCATCTCCAGATCAGTGAATACCCAGCCCCCCCTGGCATGGACAGGAAACTCATTTCATAAATGTGGTTTTTTATGTGGCAAATTAAAGCATTTATTCAACTCAGCTCATGTTTTTCTCCCTCTCAACAATCCCCAGAAGCACAGCAAGCACATACTTGTTGCTCTTGACTGCTTACAAAGGGCCGTCATATCACATGTCCACAGCCCTGTTGTAAAGTAAGGTTTTAAATGTGTTAATTGAGGTTGATAAATCCTTGAAGGGGAGGAGAGACTCTTGCTTTTCTCAAGAGTAAACATCAACATTACTTTGAATGCCTTCTTCTTGGCATAGTTTAGACAAACAGCAGATGAGAGCAAGTTGTCATGAAATTTGGCTCAAACTGGGCAGGGACATGATTGGTTACGAAGTTGAAAGGCAGAACTTGTACATAGAGGAGGCTCTGTCTGTAGAGTCTGCACTTGAAGTGTCTTGTAATTGTCTTGGGTGTGTCTCCTGTGTACGTATGACCGTCTGGGCGCTGCCCTTGCCTGGGAACCTTTGGTTAAGCTCTCGGCATGCTTCCCGAAGGAAGACACACTGTAACTTTAAAGGGCGATATTCGAGCAAGTCTCTCAAGTCGTACCTTTGAGTTGTCTTCTCCCCCTGTAGGATAAAATTAAACATGCACGATCTGTATCGGCAGCTGAAGACTCAATAATGTAATTAATCATAGTATCAGCAGATAGGAAGATTTCTGACAGTTTAATGTGACTGATATGGTGACATATCCATCAAGCACACACAACGACAGCTTTTGTGTGCCAAAAACAAGCTTGAACGTGTCTGTATGAAAGTATTTTCAAGTACCGGAAACAGACAGCAAAATAGTTGCAATACTTGTAAAATGCAGGTTATGGCATGAAGAGCAAAATAACACTCTGTTTTTCTTATCCTATCAATAACTGTGCATTTTAAGAACTGTTCTGATGACCAGCACTAAGGCTATGTTCACACTGCAGGTCAGTTCCGATTTTTTTAACCATATGTGACACATATCTGATTTTTTCATGTAAGTGTGAACGGTGCACTTCTGATTTATTCTAATCCAACCCAGGCCTCTTTTGTATGTGGATATAAATCTGATATGTATCCGATGTGACTGCAGTGTGGATGCTCAGGTCGCGTTCATCCGACCTATACGTCATCAATATATTCGACAAACGTCACCATTGTTCAACAACACAAACAGGCGCGGAGAGCAACAGCAGACCAGGGAATGGAGAACAGCCAGTTGTGCATATGGGGGTCACTTCATGAAAGCATTAGATGCCGTATTCGTTGTTGTAATGTGAACTACCGCACAAAAAGATCAGATTTAACAAAAAAATCCGAATTGTGCATCATAAGCTGCAGTGTGAACGTAGCTGAAGAGTTTCTGAAAAGTGAAAAACAAAAAGTCAAAAACTTAACAGGCTTCTGAGAACCAGCCCTTCAACATGGTGGAAAATGCAGCTAACCACAGGCTAATAATGTCTTTGTATTGGTATCAATGTTGGTGTTGAAATCGTCAGTGGTCAAAATGAGTTTGAAAATATCGGCATTTCAGATACTAGCAACAATCCTCTATCATGTTTCATTAATAAGTATCTTTATGTAGAAGAAAAAAGCATAAACTATCGTCTGTTATGATACCACCTTTAAACAGCGTGAAATAATGCACTCAAACAACACAAGGTTTCCTCTTGTTGTCATCTTTAAATCTTGTTTGTTTTACAACAGTTTTTGATTTGTTTTTTAAGAGGACAAAGAAAAAAGGGGACCCGTTTTTTTATTGCACACCAACAGGCTGATCATCAACAGAGAGCCATGTGCAACAGCAAACAGTGATGTTCCAGATTTAGAGAGGCACATGATGGGTAATTGCAGTACTTGTGAGCGCATGCACACGTTCACAAAGCCTGGTGCGAGAGGCATGTTGCCATCTCTTTCCATTTTGTGAACAATTGGAATGAGCACAAAAGTTCATGCTCCTTCGTTTTAAAAAAAAAAAAACTCAAACCACTCCTGCAGCAGAACCTGACTGTTCTGCTGTTGATCACTGTACTCCAAACAGATAACTTCTTCACAACGTAGGCACATGTGCCAATGTTGATCCCTCCTATCTGTGAAGCTGTGACAGAAGAAGTGTATTTGGCAACTTAAATCTGAAGCGAGGACACCGTGTTAGTATTAAAAAAACAGGAAAAACGGTGTATTACTCCTGCAATAACGGGTGCATTGCTTTTTGCCGAAGTGTCTCGTTTTGAAACTGCCATTTGGGAGTGCCAAAGTCAGAAATTGTACAATTGTGCACATAATGCCTGTAATGGAATAATAGAGGCCATGGCAAGCCGTAAATTACAGACAACACACCATACATTTAGGCAAGTTAGCAACCGGCCCAACAACAATTAAGAAAATCTCTGCAAACACCGAGTGAAGGATCAGGTACTCCATCTGTGTCTGGGGTAACATAAAGAGACAGACAAAAAACAGGCAGTAAACTCTCACTATCCAACCTGCACGCAGTTGAGCTGAACACTATTCCACACTGAAAACTGAACATTAACATTACATAATAATTAAAATATGGATGTAATTAAAATATGTAAATAAGTCAAATCGGGTGATCACAACCTTTCAGCTGTTTGGATAATGTGGTCAGCTTTCTGTCTGGACAGCACAGACGCATGTTTGTAGGTGTGCCAGTGAAGCTAATTTCAATCTCCCCAAGGAGCATCTCCATTTTTTTTGTTTTTATTCACAGCTAAAGCAGTTGCCCTTTCTAGTCCTGCTCTGGATAATGTGATAAGTGTTTCTAACGGAGAAGACGGTAAACAGTGACACCAAACAGAAACAGAGGGTTTGATTGTGCACGGAGCTGTCAGGGGAATTGGTTGACCTTATCTTGCTGCTCAGAATAGAGTCAGAGTTGAGGCTCACACCGTTTGTGTTATCATAACACAAGTGTGTTTTCCATCAGGGATATTTATTTTAGGAGACTCTACAGGGGCACTCACAGCCCAAAACCTCGCTCACTTCTCTGTCACTTTTAGAAACAAATCCTTTTTAAAGAATTAAGGAAAATAATTGTAAAAACTGTGCTACAGGACATTTCGACAGGACGTTTCAATACGCAGCATCCTGAACATTGAATTTTCTAATTTGGTTGATGTCAACATGTTTGATGAAATGCACTATTTATTGATGTGTGGGATTCTTTCAAGGTAGCTTAATGTGCAAATGTCCTCCTGAATGGAAGTAGGTCAAAGGCTCCATCCACTCGGGCACACAGACAGGGTCTGATAAGGTTATGGAGCCAGTTTTGAATGTGGATTTTGACTCCTTATTTTACTCCTGCAGTTGTTTGTCCTGGTGTGTCTTCATCTGAGTTATAGATGTTTGAAAACGATTGAGAAAGGGATTGATGTTCCCTCACACAAATAAACACACACATGATGGGGGAAGAGGGAAAAAAAAACATGTCTTAGGTAATTGGACACGTGGGCCTGATGATGTGACTTTATTTTTCTCTCTTTGTGTGTCTCTTATCCTCGCTCCCGCTCTATTGGTTGCCTAGAGACCCACAGTAGGATGCAGTGAAATGGCAGGAAAAGGTCAGGCAAACCTTTGAGAAGTTAGTCATCCACTGTGTGGAGGTGTTGGTGGGATTGCAGTGGATAGGGCTGAACGGCGAAGGTGTTTTCAAGCACTCCTCCATAACATGTTATTTTGCCCCAATCTGCTTGTCACATGCTGCTGTGGTGCCAGGGGTACAGGTGGAAATGATGCCCCGCTGGATGTGATGTCATCTTGTCTGTGAAATGAAAAATATATTTGTGTTGGTCTTGTATTTTAGATTCCATATAAATTAAAGTTACCTGAGAACTGTAGAAAAAAGACCAGAATTTAGCAGAAATCTGGATGATGGTTTGATTTTTAAAAATTCAGACCATAGGGGTTGATAGTGTTTTTTTTATGGTAACATTCAAATGAACAGAGGAGCCTGATTCGCGTCCACATGTCTTCATCTGTGTTTAAAAAGGCGTTATGTTATTTGTATTGACATTTCCATATTTCTCTTTGTCCGCAGGTATGGCCTCACAAGTCTTGGTCTACCCACCACACATTTATCAAACCCAGACAAGTGCCTTTAGCAGTGTGAAGAAACTCAAAGTCGAGCCCAGCAGCTGTGTGTACCATGAGAGGGCACACCCGCGGACTTATCTGAACAGCAGAACCCTTGGAATTGTGCACCCAACAAAACAAGCCCACTCGATTGTGAGCCGAGACTTGGCTGTGGGCGTGAAAGTGCGTGGAGGGCAAGAGTACCCGGTGCAGACAGTGGTTGTACGTGGCGTACAGAGACAACAGCCCAGTAAAAGAGGAGGAGGAGGAGGCGGCGGCGGCGGAGGAGGAGCAGGCCCAGCTGCGGCCCAGCAGCGACAGGACGCAGGGGTTGTCCACTCGCAGGGCAAGGAGCAGCAGCAGACAGACACAGCAAGTGGGGGCAGCAGTGGAGCAACAGGAGCAGGAGGAGGGGGAAGGGGAGAGGGCTGCTGTGGAGGAGGTGAGGGAGGTGGAGAGGAGGAGGAGGAGGGCGACAGAGAAGAGAACTGTGGAGGTTTGAACTCAGCTGACAGCTCTCAGCGATGTGGGCTGAAACGTAAAAGTGAGGAGCTGGATAACCGAGGGAGCACCATGCAGATTGTGGAGGAACTGTCAATGTTGCCTGCCATGTTGCAAACGACGAATGTGGGGAACGCAGCCATGACCGCGCCTGCGGCGGTGGGGGCTGGAGGAGGTCCCTCAAAACAGGGTGTAGGGCCTGGGGGTGCAGCAGGAGGAACAGGAACAGGGGATGGGGACTATCAGGTAGTACAGCATGAAGTCCTGTGTTCCATGAAGAATACCTATGAAGTGCTGGATTTCTTGGGGCGCGGCACATTCGGCCAGGTTGTAAAGTGCTGGAAGAGGGGCACAGGTGAGGTTGTGGCTGTGAAGATCCTGAAGAACCACCCCTCTTATGCACGGCAGGGTCAAATAGAAGTGGGCATCCTGGCTCGTCTGAGCGGGGAGAATGCGGACGAGCACAACCTGGTGCGAGCCTTTGAATGCTTTCAGCACCGCAGCCACACCTGTCTGGTGTTTGAGATGCTGGAGCAGAATCTGTATGATTTTCTGAAACAGAATAAGTTCAGCCCACTTCCCCTGAAAGTGATCAGACCTGTCCTACAGCAAGTAGCAACGGCTCTGAAAAAGCTGAAGAGCATGGGTCTGATTCACGCAGACCTCAAGCCGGAGAACATAATGCTGGTGGACCCAGTGAGACAGCCCTATAGGGTAAAGGTGATAGACTTTGGCTCAGCCAGTCATGTGTCCAAAGCAGTGTGCTCCACGTACCTCCAGTCTCGGTACTATAGGTGAGTAAAAAAAGGTTTTTTTTGTCCCTTTTAAAGAAAAAAAAACAACAACAACACATGACTGATTTTTGTGGATTTTAAAAGAATGTTTTCCTGGGTTTGTGTCCAGACCGACAAAGTCAGGTTTAGAAAATAACCTTCCTCTAGAACACAAGGAAATGTCTCCCATACTGCACAACATCCTGCCTGTTTAGGAGCCACATACCACAGACTCTGAAAAAATGTGACCCTGCAGTGTTTACCAGCAGACTACAGGCTTACTCTTCATGTTGTGGGAAAGAAAATTCTGCAGAACTCTGACATGATGTGAAAGTCAAAAGTCTAATTAAGTGCGCGGTATTTGCATTCAGGGCATGGGCTCGGGGGTTCCGACACCGTTATGATAAAACGCAGGAATATTTGGAAACTGACAATAATATGAAGTGTGAGTGTTTGAACAAGTTGAGAAAGGCTGAGAGAGAAATTACGAAATGCCATTCCTCACATAAGTATACTGTCAGGGGCTCCTGGGTAATGCTGAAGTTTGTACAGTAACCAAATGTTTACTTTAGAAGGATGCTTGTGTTTCCTGATGTTTTTGGATATGCACTAGGAAAACTGGCAGGATGAGTTTTGTTTGGCATTTTGTTGTGAGTGCTTTGGTTTGATTAAAACAAAAAAAACAGGCCTGAAATGGTATCAACTGTTGCATAAGAGGGAGGAGTGACCCAGTTCACTCGATTTGTACCTTACCTTGGTTTGCATACAGACTCTTGGGTAAAAAGTAAGAAAAGTAAGTGTGGAAAGTTAAGTGTATATCAGCATTTAGGTCTCTGATGTATTATTCTGGAGTCATCTGGGATTTCAGGTTCCTCACCGAAAGACGTGACTGGTGTAACACAGATATAAAAAAACAAATTTACTTAGAATGAAGGAAGAAAGTAATCTGCAGAGTGAAATGAGGAGAATTTCAGGGCATCTACAGGCTAAATGAGATGATACTTTTCATCTCCAGGTGTTCATGCGAATGTTTGTTACGAGCTCGAACCCAGCTTAGTCTGTTTTGAATTGGTAGCAGTGAGGCGTGTTAATTGTTTGGGTTTATTAAGCAGCAGCACATGCACTCCAAAGCATCATGCTAACAGCAAAGTATAATCTAAAAAGTATGATCTAGTTACAATTCCTGCCAATGAGTCACTTTTTGCTGTTGATCAGCTGCAGCTAAGACTCTCTCTCTCTCTCTCTCTCTCTCATTAAGTCTCTTAACCCTCTCACTGCTTTCAAGCCACAAACTTTTTTTTAATGAACTCTCAGTTTTAACCTGCTGTCTGATAGCTTGTGCCGTAGAAATTCATCATATTCTGAATTTATAAATCAACAGAGTTTATTTTTAAAGCCCTGAACAAAACTAATAATGTCGGTGGTGTTAGATTAAACGGTAGAAAGGATACAAATTCAAAGTGGTTTAAGTAAAAGATCTTATAAAACATGACCTTTTCAGTATGAGGAGTGGAGTCCTGCTTTTTGCCAACACCAGTCCCATCCCCGATGAGTGTTTGAGTGTGTTTCCGTCACAGTAACTGTGGAAATGCAGTTGTTTCTAAACTGAGGAAGTTTTGGACCTTCTCCATTTTCTCACTCCAGGATATGAATAAGTAACATTGTTGTGTCTTCTTCGCTAAACAATCAGACTCCCGACATGACAGTTCCACGATCTCTCACGGCTTAACTTGTCAACGCCGTGCGAGAGGAGATGCGTTTTTCCACCTCGAGCTCTACATAATGCATCCAATCAGCTAAAGGTTTTGATCTCATCATGCCAATTCTTGATTGTTGCACAAATAGTATGACTAATGGTGGTTAAATAATTTCAATTCAAACCCTGGCAGCTGGTATGTTCAGCAGAGTCATTCAGCCAGTTTATGTCATAACCAACTCATTAGCTACCACATCATTACCACTTTGTTGGACCAAGCCCAGGAGGTATGGGAAGAACTGTGACAGCTAATAGATTATTCAGCTAACAGTTACATACAGAATAGATACCTGCTTAGTGCTTTCTCTCTGCTCTGTCTTAGTAAAAGTTAGAGATTGTGCCATACCAAAGCAAAAGCGTCTTCTACTCAGTCAGTGAAAACAAGGCGTGTTCAGCTACATGGAGCTCATCATAGCGACATGCCTGTACGGGCTGTTTTCAGTCCTCCGTATGATGTAACTGTTTCTGGTTAACCCCTGCACCTGTTTACACTCGCCATGTTATGTGTCACGCTTCATTTGCACTTTGGTCAAGCAGAACGTTCCTAAATGTAACTCACTGTATCTTTCACAGTCCAAGTCTATTTGCACAGGTAGATAGTTTGTCCTGTGAAAGTTATAGAGCAACCGTATCTGTCGCTAAATGTTCTTGAGTCTCCAGCGTTTGCAATGTGGAAGTGAGGGTACTTACTTGAAGAACTTTAAGCCAAGTAATGAGATTAAAAACACAATTATGAATTAAAAAATGTTAACTGTGCTAAAATAATCTGCAAATTCCAGTTTCTTTGAATATTGCCTAAATATGACCTTGAAAGCTGAAGTTCTACAATGGTGTATCTATGATGTATAATATAATCAACCAAAATACAAGTTTAAGGGCGCGTTCACACCACCCTCATTTAGTCCGGTTGATCCGAACCCCGGAGCGTTTACCCCCAAACTCTGGTGTGGACCAAATAAACCAACTCTGGTCCACCTGAAGAGGTGGTCTCGGACCGCTATCAAGTGAACTCTGGTGTGGATGACGTTCACACCAGAAATAAACTGCTCCAATCACAGAAAACACACCACATACGTCGTTAATGCCTGTCGTCGTCTCGTCTTTATCCGTGCATTGTTTGCAGCACGCCTACTCCGGAGTGTATTAATTAACGCCGAAGTTCGCGCTCGCTGGCTAACGAGCCGTTCATACGCGCAATCGACTAGTGTCTTTTGAAACGCGCTCCATGAGTAGCGAAACCAAAATCAGCCTACGATGCTCCATGGCAGGTGAAGACAGCAGAGCGGGGTTTGTCTCTCCGCATAAACTAATGACCAATAACCAAAGGATATTTGCGGTCACGTGACTTCTGGTTCTGTTTTCTGAAGCGATTGAGTTTGTCCTTAGTGAACGCAAACTGGACCAGTTAAACAATCAAAACAAATGTATCGACTTGCCTTGGATTCGAATCAGGAAACGGACCTTTAGGTGTGAACACGAACTAAGTATTAGATGAAAGTGGTGATGAGAATCTGCAGCAGTAGCTACACAGACGTTATGGTCAGATTGACTCTGGCTGCAGAAATCCGTCCTATATAATCCAACATTTAACATAAGAGGTAAGCTCTCCTTGTTTTCTACCGTGCCAGCAGCTCTTCCTCTGTGATGACATACTACAAAGGGTATGATGAAATCTCTGCATCAGCTTGATGCGAGGGAGTGATTGATATAGTTTGTGGTTTTTCTCCTCCAGATGGTGAAAAGTTTTTTTTCTTTTCTTTTTGTTTTCACACAGTCAACCTTTTGATGCTCGTGTGTCATTCTAGCCTTCCTTTTCAGTCGTTACCTCCGTCACTCTTATTCATAGTTTGGATTTATCTATTAAAGCAGTGAATATCAGTCAGCTTATACAACATTGAAAAAAAATAGTTTTAATGTGACTCTATAATCAGCACCAGAGTTACATACAGAGAATTTCGAACCAGACTTTGATATTTAATGAGCAAGTGTTAACAGAGAAGCGCACCTACCGCTCTGACACCAGCTTTTCAAATTTGAGCAGATTAGTCTTGAACATCGGGGTTGTGGAGTTGGGAAGAAGTGAGCAGGATTTATGAGCCACATTCAGGTCAGTGCCGGCTGTTTCAGTGAAAGGCATTTACATGGCATTTGAATAATTCTCACTGCTTGCACTCTGAGCAAGTGAAGCAGTTTGCTGTGACTGGAATTAAAACTCTGAAAATAGATGATTTTATATCTGTTATCTATTTGCATTTACTGAAGCTATTCTCACCGACTGGAGTGAGGAGACAATGCTGTCTTTTACTTTCATTAGCCATAGCTTTTAGAAGCTGTTTAAAAATACTTGTCGGTGACATAATAATTAGATTCTACTTTCATCTGGCACATGAATGGATCCATCATTTTGTGAATTTGTCGTATTGTTGTAAATGCACTTTGTCTCAGGAAGTGGCTCAAAATAGAACTGCCGTGTGGGGGAGGAAGTAAAAGAGCGCAGCTGCTTCAACTCTTTGTCAGTTCTGTCAACCTCCAGCTTTGGTGACCAGCACTTTCTCACAGGTCTTTAAAAGTGTTATATTTTGGTACAACAAACTTGACATCAGTACCATTTCTGATATGAAAGTGCATAAAAGGAGGGTGTTAATAAGGAAGCAGGCGGAGTACTAAATGTGTACTTCACTTTTCCTGTATGTTAAACAGCCTACAGATCGTTGGATAAGGTTGTAGAAAAGAGAACTGTTCATACTCAACGTACTTTCACTGACTGGCTATGAATAGAGATGAAGTTTTGATGTCAGTGCGTAGTAGTATATATAAAAGTACTTCAAGACCTCGGTTAATTCATCAGGATGCAGTTGTAGAACTAGATTTATAATTTTCTGTCAGGGTTGTTTCGTTCATGAGTCAGTAATATGAAGTAGAAATGCTTTGTAAAAATGTTGTTTCTCCTGAGCTTGTGCCTCCTGGCTGACAGCAGCATGCAAAGCATACTGCGAGGGGACATCGTTGCCGAGGCTAGGAGTGAAGAGTTGCTTTAAATAGCTCTTGGGACTCTGGCCAGTGGGCTTTGACTTCTATAGATGGTGAAGCACATAGGCAGCCAGAATGAAATAAGGACAGCTTGAAATACAAGAGAGCTCTCACTTACTTGTTCAAGGTCAACCAGCACTAACGTCAGCTGTTTTGATTTTCGTACGTCCGTATGTGTTTGTGTATCCAGCACGCAGCACATTTGTTTGCAAGTGAGTCAAAGCGGCTCTCGTATACATCAAATCTATTAGCCACTCAAACCAATAAGTTTGACAGATAACACCAGCTACTTCTGCAATTCACAAGCATTTGGCCAGAGGTCGCATGTAATTTGTCACTCTGGTTTGCACAGTCAGCTTAGCTGGAGCTGTCAGACTTCAATTATCCAGAAGGGGAAATGTTTACGCTGTTTTCAGACACATTTTCCAATTTGAAAAGAAAAACTTACATAGATTGAGCTTTTTGGTGTGATGCGTCTTATTTGCAAATCATCTCACCAGAAACCTTCATTAAATTTTCTGCTTTAGCTGATACAACAATAATTGCTTGGCTTTGAGCAAATGCTAAAGAGTTAGATCATAAACCTGTCAAGTTAATAGTCCATGATAATCAGAAAGTTTTAGGGTCATTTCAGTAGGGTATATGGATTACTTTTAAAAATGTTTTCTGCTTAAACTCTCAGTCCTAGTGCTGATTTACTGCTCCCCTACCAGTCTCAGAGCAGGACCCAGCTGCTATTCCTAAATCTTGGTTTAGATTAAATTTGATCCTCAAATCTGTGGAACCCCCTTCCCGCTGGTAATATTACTGTTATTTACAATTTGTTTTTTAACATGAAACTTCAATTCAATTCGACTGTCAATTACCATACACCCTAAGGAGGGAATTTCCACTAGGATCCCAACCGGGAAATAGTCCTCAAAAAAAAAAAAAAAGAGTTGTCTGGGATTTTTCTTAAACCACAAAGCCATTTATTATTTTAAGATATTTAGCCCAGAGGTTGAAATCTTAGAAAATGACCACAACAATGAAACAGCATTCTCAATGTGCTCAATTTGAGACAGATGACTAAATGCAGATATGTGTACTTTTTTACTTTAAAAACTACAATTATACAAGATAAAGCTCTTTTATTCTCTTATTCAGTTTTGTCCTTCTAAAGCAGCATTACTGTCAGTATTTCAGAAAGAACAAGTTAAAACAGTCAGAAAACTGTTTTTGTGTCTCTTCCAGTTTGTGTTTTTTTTTATTGTTTTCATGTGTTTGTGTGGTCAATGGTTGCCCTACTGAAGTTGGTAAGCACCTAAAAGAGCGGTGAACTGAGATCTCATGTTGCTGTTTTCTGCAAGGTCTTGCATCAATCGTTGTTTAAGATAAGATCAGTTGTTTTTCTGTTGATTTTGTTGCAGTGAAAGTTCATACACTTTTTTTTGTCGCTTCATCTTGAAACTGAGACAGCAGCCACCTCCCTCTAGTTTTCATGATCAAGACTAAGCTGCCGATCACCTCTTCTACCTGTTAATTTTAGTCATCAGGCCATTACCAGGTCCTTCTGAGTACTTCATATCTCCAGCCACAAATAACTCTGCTGGAGTTTGAATATAACACATAGTTACCTGTGATATCAATAACAGTTCCTGAATTTACCAGTGCAGTCAAAGAGTTGTCTATACAAGACCGTTTTGGCTCCACTCCTGAAAATGTGTTTTGTTGAACACAATGTGTGCAGACTTGACTCTGTGAGCACTTTACAGTGGCCTTTTACTTGTGTGTTATGTTAAATAAAATCTCAGCATATAATAACTCCAGCATTAATCAAAAAATACCAAAGCCCAGTGCTGTGATATCAGGCTTGGCAATAAATGCTCATCTCTCCAGCATGCCTGTCTGAGCTGGTAGTAAAACAAACAGTTCAAACACAATAACTGAGGAAATGAAAAATGGAGAAAGTTCTTCGAATTCGAGGAGCAGTTTCAGGTTCCAGAGAGTCTCCCAGCCCTTTTTTTTAATGTGTTGTTGTTTCATAAAGTATTGGCTTCACCTTGAAGGCTGCATCCTTCAGGACTGCAGCCATGAAGTTGGCAAGCCCGCGCACAGATATGTTGATGTTCGGCTGCAAACTGCTGGTGCTGTGCAGTCTGATAAATGGTATGCTTAAAGAGATTTCATTTGATAAGTGAGCTGTGGGTTTCCTGTCAGATGTAAGCACAGCTGTGTGGAGCTCTGTTTTGGTACCTCTTCCACTGTAAAATTGTTGTCGATCACAAAAAAAAAAAAAGTTAGATCATCAAACTTCGCTGCTACTTTCAGTCTTCTGAGGCTGAATTCCATATAGGTGTACACAAAGACAAATGTTTTTACTCTCTCTGTTTGTTTCTCTTTCTAAAATCACCCCTGATGTTTTCATAACCCTCAGGCAAGAGCTCGTTATCATGTGCAAACTCCAAAGTAACATTTGCTGCTGATTTCAAAATAATGACTCAAACAGAGACTGCAGAGCAGCTCAGTCCACTGGCTCCATGTCAGCACATTGAATACTTAACATCTGTAAAACGTGTAAAGGCGTGTACAGTTAATCTAAGGTCTGGGCAGATCAGAGTGCAAGTCCAGCCTCCGCCTTTTCTACACAGCCTCTGTGTTTCACTGAATAATGCAGAGTGCTCTGGGAGTGTGTGGAATTACAGTCCCTGGAAGAGCCGTGTGGTAAAACTCCATTCTTCTATCATGGAGTCACTGCGCTGTCAATTTGCCTTTGTGGCAGAGCTTTTGCCAACTGCAGTGCAGTCCAAATCGTTTTATTTATCAGAACAAGCTTACTGAAAGGCCTGTGTAAGCATGCACGGACAACGCTGCCCTCCCACTGTGGAGCCACCTTTATTTGCTGTTCTCTGTGTGAGCTGGTACGATGCCACCTTACTCTGGGTCCCTCCCTGTGCGGGCAGAGCTTTGGAGGATCAGAGAACTATTTCTGGAGTGTGAGATAATGGCCATGAATAAGAAATAGAGGAGGAGATAATTTCTTTGCTCTGCTACGGCCCTGCTCAAAGATAGCCTTGACCCACAGTTGTCAAAAAAACAAAAACAGTGTACAACTTCAAAACGTAAAGTTACCAGCTATCGCAGTTATCTGGATAGTAAAGTTACACTGACATTTTGGCTGGCACGCATGTTCCAATTGTCAGGGATCAAGATTACAATCAGTTTAGTCGGTCTACGAAGAACAGGGTCATGTTCGAGGAATAGTTAGCCCGGCTTAACACAAAAAATTCAAACAAACGAAGAAGAGACAAAAACTCTCAAAGAAGTACAAATCGGCGTCATTTCAAATCAACACGTGCCAGACATCGATACAGCCGTCTGACAAAGAAGAATTAGGCCAGTGTAAAAAGCTGGTTACCTCACCATGAGGACTGTGCTATATTTAAGCTGTGTGTTTTAGCTTCATTTAAATGTTTGTTTTGTTTGTTGTTGTTAAGTAATTTAAGACATATCAAGAGTCAACACAACTATATAAACATACAGTGGGCCTAATTTTACATGGAATTTTTAATTAAAAAAAAAAAAGAATTTTGATCTACATAGACGCTTTAAAATGTTTGCCCATGCCCTCATATCAGTCTCAGATCAGGACAGATGACCTGCCTGTTTTACCTTGATCGAAGAGTTCTTCCAAAGCTTTTGGTCAACGATTTATGAGCTCTGTTTATCTTGGAACCTGGCCATGCATCATGTTTTTGTTGCATCCACTAACATAACATTGCCTTGAATTCAGCCTCTTTGTGGATTAGACACAGACAAACTGAGAGGGAGGAAGAGAAGAGGTGGATGGAGGACGGGAAGCAGCTGTTTGAGGTGAAGGAGCACACAGTCGAACTTGTTGACCAGGGAGAGCCTTGATTTCATTGGTCAGAGTCTATCCACAGCAGCAGTCAAATATAGTGAATGCCTCGGGCTGTGAGGAGTGAAATGCCAACCAAATCTAACTTTTGCTCCTGCCTGTTTGGGTTTGTAGTTTGTGATTGTTGCTGGATATCATACCTGCAGTGTGGGCGGGTTATACTTGGCACAGTGGTGCGCGCGTGCTGGGCCTGCTGTTACTGCTGTGCTCAGCATTGTACATATGGGTTTGTTACTGATGGTTTCCATTAAAGACAAGCTGGCAGCCAATGCTGCGTTTGTTATTCACAGTCAGGCTTTGTACTGTGTTGACCTCACAAATAACAAATGTTACATATTGCATCATTCCAGCCCTTCTGCTAAAATATAATTAAAAGCAAAAAATACTGCGAAGTGCATCCACAGGTTTCTTTCAGTACCTCTCTCAACTTTTAGGCCATGTGCAGGAAACCCTGGGATTTATTTTTACACAGGTTTTGTTGGTTTAAAATGGTTGTTGAAAATGTGGAAAATATGTGACGTTCTAAGCAGTGAGTTTTGAAGTTGAATTGATACAAGTGAGCAGATTTTTATCATTTTCATGGTCAGGATTTTTTGGGCAGAGTTTCAAAGGAGGCTTGAAATTGAATTGTGGTTACTTACCATAGCCCTGCCTCTCACTCTGTAACAGTATAAAAAGCAAAGCCTACAATAGCATCAGTAATTTGCTCCTTGATCTCAATGTGTCGCACCTGCTACAGCCACAGTATTTTCGCTAGAGCGTACAGGCTGTCATCACAGTGATAGATAGCAGATGACTGTTACAATGAAGAATCTGAGCTGCGTGAGTAGAATCTTATTATTGCCAAGTAAGTTTTGTAGCATGTTGCTTAGTCTGTTTAACAAGGCCAGGGGTGCTTTACCTTTCGAACCAGAGGCTACTTTTGAAATAACCCCTCTGCCAAGATGTGCCAGTCCAGTTTCACCATCACAAACATGGACACAGAGAAAGCACGGTCACAAGGAATGTCCCGATCCAATATTGATAGGGGATATCGGTCCGACATCAGCAAAAAAAGCAAATATCAGATTGTTGGCCTGCATCTAAAATCTCTGATATAAGCACTCTGATACAAACAGTCCATTCCAGACTCCGCTTCATCTCTTCTATCTAGCAGCACCTGGTTTCGGCATGCAGAGCCTACATAATCACGACAACAGTGTGTACTAAGGTACATACAAAGTAGCAAAGAGTAGGACTGATGTCGGCCGTATGGCTCTAATTTTTGGTCTGATTCCGAAAAAGACATTGCAGCTGCATGCAAAACTTGTCATGCACAACTTTGTTCCAGTATAGGCTCAATATCGGTGTCGGCCAATACTGAAGGCTACAATATCGGTATCGTATTGGAAGTAAAGAAGTGTTCACCCCATAATGGTCATGGTAGGAGCCATGATTATTACTTTTAAGTTTTACCACGGCGTTTTAACTGAACACAAAAGAAACAAAGTACATACAAGCCTGACGAGAGCAGCTTTCTGAGTTGAGAAAGGGTAAATATATTTCTCTAACTTAGAGGGACCTCTGTCACTGCTCCACCAGCACTAAAAAAAAAAGCTATTTTACTGTTACCATAAAAAAACAAAAACTTGCTGTGTTTATCATTACTTTAACTGACATGCTGAGACGCTGTTTTGTTAGCTTTACTTTGGTGTTAAACCGACTGCTGTGCTGCTAGCTTTCCCCTCAGTTCTCTCATTTGCTGGGTTTGTAGAGTTGTTTCAACAGTTTCAATCAGTCTTGTTCATTCTTGAAGCGCTGTTCCAAATTGTGCCTCTCCAGCGCAGTCACATCGGGGTTGTAGAAAAGACGGACGGACTTAAACAAAAATAATCCTCCTCCTACTGCGGTTGAAAATAATACGTTTTTGCTTTTTTATTGATTGACAGTTACCCGCTACCACTTACACCCACACCCCAACAGGTTTATGCTATGTTGCTTGGCAACATGCCCTAATGCAACAAGTGGTCAATAGAAATCTGTGATGTGTAAAGTTAGTTTGTTTTTACTGTGATTCATTGAAATGTGTTACAGGACATGACTGTTGTTATATGTGTCCTTTGTTACAAAGACTGAAAAAAAACAACAACATTGTTTACACACACCCGCACTCAGCCGTAAATTTGCATATTGCTGGTCCATCTTTTTGGAGCAGCTGGGCATGGTTTCCACACACTGAGCCGACACACCCACTACTCCTTTTTTCATGGTTTTGACACCGAATTTTATACACTTGGTGATATTTATACTCACTTGACTGTCAATAACACGTTATTCTGTTGTGTGACAACCTCAGAACGCACATTTGTTCTCCACTTTACACGGACTTTGGTGGGCATCTTTAGAGTTCTGTAGTAATCAGTGACTGAAAGGTTGAGACTCTGGAGACGAGGGATGATTTTAAAAGAGCATCAGATAGCAGATGCAGAAATCTCTTTGAAGATGTGTCTTTTTTTTCCTTCTACTGCCTCTGGAGGTGTTTTCACCAATAATATATGAGGCTCAATGAAAACCTTTGAACATACTGATATTTTAGACACCTTGTGTCTCACTCACAGTCATTCATTTCCGACCTTTGAACAGGGAGTGATATCAGTCAGGAACCTGATAGGCAACAGTTTGTCTTGTGACTCACGGAAAAAGTTCAGAATTTCTCTTTCAGCACATGAAAAGCAGATTGAGAATGTTGCATGAAAAGATCATCTTCATGATGAATTGATTCATCTTTATTTTCCTTTTTGTTTTCTAAGAATAAAAAGTCTGTAGAAATTGATTGCATGTACCACTTGCAAATAAACCTCATATCAGGGTTGTGCAGTAAATCACAATTTCATCACAATCCCATCATGAGCAATAAACACACAGCAAAGGTCTGGATGTATCACTGTAATAAAGACTTGAGCCTGAAATTGCTGTAAACAAACAATGCTCTGTCAGCATGTGAGCATGTTACCTATTAGATGGAAGTGTATGGGTCATGTTTTCACACAACTTCAATAAAGTAAGGAACAATTCATGTTAGCTTTTAGCTACCCTTGGATTAATTTGGGCCAATTTAGTGTGAAAATAACAAAACAAAACTCTCTTTGTGGGTTTATTTAGGATTCAAAGTGCAGATGTTACAGACAGCTGTAGTGTGAAACATGAAGAACAGCAGATAAAAGAAGAAACTGAAATATTCAGGAGTAAACATGCACTTGGAGAGCTGTTTATTAAACGTCACTACCATGGTATTGAACAAATCACATGTTACTTTTTTTGTGTGTATTAAATATATTGTGAAGCCCTGGAATTGACTCTTAGTTGATCTGCTGTCTGTTTAGTATCAGGTTTAAAACATAAGGCCAGTGTGTAATTTCTGTAAAGACCACGTTGAGTTGACCACCATAATTGTATTCCATGGCTTATCTTAAAGAGGCTCCTCAGGTACGGACCTGGTGCTCAGCTCTGCCATTCATCTTAGCCTGTGCTTGTTTGGTACATCCATTCATTCATTGTCTGTTCCCTCTCACTCCTGTTACATGGGGCTGAGAGAGTCTGTGCATGCACCTGGCAAAGGCCGGATAGTAGTCCATCACCCGGCTCATCTTTTTGTCCTACCTGTCTGTTTCCTGAGTAGCTCCTGCACGTGGCTGTAAACAGTCACGAGGCCTCTGCCCCTCTGGCGTTCAATGGCCCCTCAGCTCGTACGCCACATCCTCAGGATGGAAAATAGATTTGGTTTCACAGAAGGGCGGTGAGGCTTGGGTTGCGTTGATTAGGACAGAGCTGTGCAGCCATGGCAACATCCTCTCCCCCCTCCGTAGCGAAGAAGAAGAAGAAGAAGGACCCGCTTTCTGTTTGGTTTCTTTATTTCCTGCTCTTCCTATATATAATCCAGTGCTTTCTGTATTGGACATTGAAGAGTAAGATAAAAGCATATAAATTAAAAGTACAACTGGCCCACCTTCTGTGTACGTGGAAGCCCTTTGAAAAACTATCGGTGAAACATGACTGAAAGAACACTCATATGAATCAACTACTGACCCCCCCCCCATCACTTTCTTATATTGGTCTTTTCTGAACAGAGTAAGACTTTAGATTCCGTGACTACCCGCGCTTATATTTTGTGTGCAGTTATATTCCAGATTGAAAGATAATGAAAACAGATGGGATAAATCTCAAATTTTATACGCCTTATGCTAATGTATTGCACAACTCCTATTCAAAAAAAAAGTTGGACCGTCGAGTACAATCTTATCAGAACCAGAAGTTGGTGTTTTTTTAACTTCTTGAACTCTTGATCTAATTGACAATAGTGCATACAGCTCATGCAAAGTGTAAAAGTGTATGCATAATTGGTGCCAGCAACACAAGGGCATGTTCGCCATTGTGTGGTTACTCATCTTATGACATCACTCGGTACATGTTGTGAATCCAGAAGTGTTTTGAGCCCATGCGATGATGACCACTACAGAGTCATGTCTATTATGTTAAAGTGCCATCTGAGGCTACTAATTACTCCAGACATGTTCCTCTAGGTCAGTGGTTCTCAAGTCCAGTCCTGGAGGCCCACTGTCCTGCATGTTTTGGATGTTTCCCTGCTCCAACACACCTGATTCAAATGATCAGCTCGTTATTAAGCCATTACAGAGCTTGATAACGAGCTGATCATTTGAAACAGGTGTGTTGGAGCAGGGAAACATCCAAAACATGCAGGACAGTGCGCCTCGAGGACTGGACTTGAGAACCACTGCTCAAGGTGATTTTTCAAGAGTACATAAGTTTTCATTTTTTGTTGTTGTCCCTGACCTAACTTTTTCGAATTAGAAAATAGCATTAGATTTAGAACAAGTTAAATTTTTATGTATTTCCAACTGAATACAGGGTTTGAATTATTTGTTGGTACCATCAAAAATCATTTTACACTAAATCTCAACTTTTTTGGAATGGGGTTGTGGATTGCATGAATAAAAATAAAGTATCCATGACAAGGCTGAAATATTTGGCCTTTAGAAAAAAGGAGGTGTTATTAGTAAAAGCAGCTGATTGAGGCCTGTATGTGAGAGCTGTTATCAAATGAATTGGCTCTCTAGGCTGTTGAACCCTGAAGTGAAATCGGAGCTCTGAGGCGGTGAGACTGATACATTGGCTGAAGCAGGAGGTAGGGCTTTGAGTTTCTGGTTACACGGTTGTCTCTAACTACAAGACCAACTTGGTGATGACGCCACAGTGCAGCTCAAGTGTTACTGATCTCTCTTACTGTATGTTCCTATGAGGCTTGTGTCCTGCTGAATGCATGGGTGTGTTGATATGTAGCTTGTCTTTCCTCACTCCTCCGGGGAAAACCTGTTCCTTATAAATAGGACATGCCTGTGAGGCTGAGATGATTGGAATAGCTGCCTGCTTGGTTTTCTGCTGCTATGTTGCCCACTGCACCAGCTGTTGTGGACATTTGTTTAGACCATGTGATAAATTTGTCTAAAACTTGTTTTAGCAGTTCTAAAGTTTACTGTTGCTAGCCATATGTTCCACACCATTCACTCCCATATGGCCCCACAGACGTCACAGTCCATATCCACAGGATTTTCTTCAGATACAGTCTGTATGAAAGTGAAGGATTGCCCCAGCTGGTATGTCCGGCTGCCTGAAGGAGCAATCTCAGGATGTCCCTTGAGCTAACTGTCTTGAAATCTAATCTGTGTCACCCTTTAAGTTACCTTAACCCTCTTGATTTCTCCATGTGGGTAAACAGTCAGTCAATAGTTGTCAAGGGATTATCTTACTGAACAGAAGTGAAATAGTTTCTTTTGGTCTTTCAGCAACATGTTTCTCAGATTTTATTTCAGGGCAGAGTAAATCTGAGTAACTTTATCGCCCCTTTATGTAATAAGGAGCTTACTTTTATAAGTAAAAAATATACATATACATGCTAATTGATACATGTATCTCTAGTGGGATCATTTACATTGATTTATCTGCCAGATTTATTAAGTTTCACCAGGTCTTCAGCTAAATCCTTTTTTTCCATTATCTGATCATCACAATATGAAGATATCTTTCAGGGGCCTATTGTAGTGGTCTGTGGCGACTGGAATATGGCTTTACAGTACTAGTGACAAACAGAGGATAGATTTTATACATAGATGTAAATCAATTTGAGGTTAACGGTTTGCTTTTTCTAATGAAGAAAAAACTGGATTTCCTTTTATATTCCCCATATTCCCCATATACAACTACCTTTTTTTGCACTCTGAGCAAACCTTTTGTTTGAAAGTGATACAATCAATACACTATTAATAAATATATCGTCACAATACTCCAGCCTACTTGCACTTTGTTTCAGCCCCCAGTCAGTCTGTATGTTACTGTGTCATTCTGATTATAAAGGGGAGGCCTCTCCTGCACAGAGAGACGACTCCCATCATAGAGAAGAACCCAGACTACATAGTGCTGTCAGTGCAGTGTCACAGTTTATAGGCTTTGTGGTGTCCTAAACACTGAGATCTTGACAGTTGTCAGCACGTCTTACCTATATTGGTGCTGACAGGCCTGCGTCACCACTAGCTGTCTACTAGACATGGTATTACAGCGCTATTATGGAGCTGGTTGAGGTAGCTTTGGGGCTGGTGAAGACTAAGTGACCGCACTCCTTATTTCCCTTCGGCCTAGAGCAGATACAGCAGCCTGTCAGAGGTCTGATCCCGGCCTGGCTGACCCGCTAACCCACTGACTCAGCCCGCTGACGCTCAGCAACAACACTGGCTTACAAGTCACTTGGCACCAAAACACATGTACAACAAATTCTCATCTGTCCAGCCACCGACAGGAATTCCATGACATTAAAAGTAATCGGTGGTCATTTGCTCGCTACATCAGCACTTCATGAAAGCCAGAGAACAATATGGATCAGAAGTGAAACAGAGAAAGAAAAACAGGTTTTAGGATGTTGGTTGTGCTTAAATCATCTTTAAAGCCTGTGTCTGTACAATAAAACAAATTGCATAGGAATCATTGAGGGTGCAACACAAAAAGACTGAATTTTTTCTGATAAAATTGTTTGTTGTGGCAAATAAATGTTCTTTCTTACCATTTTTACACTCTTTGAATTTATAATGTATGTTGGAGAGGTTTTTAATTATTTAGAAATGGTGAAAAAATGACTTAATGTCTCTTTATTTAAGGATTATATTCTGGTGTTTTACTGCACAATATCTTAATATGATATTGAATCATTGTGTGAACTGAGCTCCTCATGTTTGTGTTTTGTCTGCTCCACAGGGCTCCAGAGATTATTTTGGGATTGCCGTTTTGTGAAGCCATAGACATGTGGTCCCTGGGCTGTGTGATAGCTGAACTTTTCCTGGGCTGGCCCCTCTACCCCGGGGCCCTAGAGTACGACCAGGTAAACAACCATCCTCTCACCAGTTCTTTTTTTTTTTTTGACGTCTTTGGTTTATGGTGCGCTGTCTTCTGGAAGTTTCCTCTACCCTTAGCCTCCTACTATCCTCTCCTTTTGGCTCTACATACAACATTTCCCAATATCTCCTGCTTGTACTTTCAACTTCCATGACTCAGTCTGTCCTCACCACATGAGAACGGTTTTCATCTCAGGCTCTATTTTTTAGTGGGCTTTCCCTCCATTTATAAGTGTTACCCTCTCCACAGCCTTTTCCTACATACGTCAGCCACGTATTCACCCAGCACACACACACACACACACTTATAGCTGCACACAGCCTATGTGGCTGTCTGGGCAGCATTACACCCTCAGTTTCCACCAAACCAGTTATTTTCCTGCTCTTCTCTCTGTCCTTCTCTGCAACTCTCTTTTTTTTCCCCATCTTTTTCCTTCATCCTCTTCGTTTTCCAATCATGGCAAACGAGTGGGTTCCCTTGTTTTTGTTTTCGAGTTAGCATTCAATCCAGCTTTCTATTACAAGCTTGCCTTCGGGGTACTGACTCAGATGAGGCTCCCACTGTTGAAGTTTGCAGAATATGTGATCTGCGGCCACTTTAGTCTGAATCTCTCAAAACGAAGGATTGCAAAGATAAAGTTCAGAGGAGAAAGCGACAAAGCCGTAAAGAGGCAGACAGGGACACTCAGCAGCAGCAGCAGAGTTCAGGACAGATGGTTTGGAGCGAGGACAACAATACAACATTTTCACAGTGTGCACCATCGTGAAAAAAAAAGTTATTTTAATCCTAGTGAGATCCATGCCTAATGCCGTCTTCAGGGTGCTGCTGGAATTGTCTGCATGAGTACAGAGGAGGAGGAACTTCTGAAGTTTGGAGATGCAGAACTTTTCTGCATAATTAGGCAGGGAGAGATAGGCAGTGATGGATTGTTTGAATGAAGAAAGAGACGGAGGACTCCAGGGACTCACAGTAACAAATTAGTGCTGTATTTACTGCTTCCTTGGTGATGTACCCACCCTGAGGATACTATCAGCTGCTGCGTGTGACAGCAGAATGGCATCTTTTTGTGATTGATGCTTTGTCTATTTGGAGCCGTCGGATGCCTGCCCTTCCCAGTGGAGCCCTCACAGTGTCTTCCCAGGACCAGACTGATCTGGGCTTACGTTGAGCTGCTTTCCCAAACCCCGGAGCCCTGTCTACTCAGCGCCTGCCAACAACCAGATCATGCTCCGTCCAATGCAGCACCCTACATTACAGCTCTCAGCCCCTCCACACATCGCACTCATACCAGAGTATTTTTATAGCCCGGCTTCATTTTTCACTCTACCCCAAAACCGAGACAGGAGAGATAACTCAACACCTCCGAAAGAGATTTGACTTGAGCGCTGCACCACCACCACCACCACTCCGAATATGATGAATCTGTTTTTGCAGGGACCAGTCGGCATGTCGCAGGGCTGATTTAGAGATATGTGGGGGCAGGCTCCTCGATTTAGGAAGGGCCTACTTGGAGCTGATAGGGTGACAAGGGTGGGTGGGATATCGTTGGCATAGAAAGAGAGTGAGAGACAATGCAGTGAGACACGTGATAACGGGTGAGAGAGAGAGAGAGAACCTGTGGAGTGTAACAGAAAGAGATCAGAACCTTACTGTATGTAAATGGGGGTTAAACACCTGCAAGAGTTAATCGCTTTAGATTGCTTCTTGTTGGATCTTGTGCCCCTCATGTTACCATCTATTATTGTCTGCTGAAATACCTGCCGTGAATTTTGAGCTCTGGATGTTCCCGGGGATGACTGAATTCCACCCGGGACTGTTTTAGCAGAATGGATATGTTGTAAGAGGGAAGCACAAGCCTATTCTAGTCCCACTGCCTATGTTTTTTTGTGATTCGACACCCACCCCACATATAAAAACAAGTCTTCCTCTGCCAAGCCTGCCCACTGGCATGCAGCGCTCTCGGTTTGGTCATGGAAATGCCCAATGAATGAGAAAAACAGACTGTAGGAGCAGGGGACTGATTAAATATTTTTATTGTGTTCCTTCTCCTCTCTGGAGGCTTTAATCTGGTAATAAATCCTCCAGCTAGACATACACACATAATTAAACTTCTTCAAACAAATGGGTTTTTATTTGGATGCCTGTTTGGCCGAGTGGCTCAACTCACATGCGGCATGTGCAGAGGCCGTAGTCCTCGGGGTGAGCGGCACAGGTTCACTTCTAACCTGCAGCCCTTTGCCCCATGGCAGCCCCCACTGTCCTCTTCTCTCTGAATTAGAGCACTAAAACCCAAAAGGTAAACTAAAAAGAAGGTTTGTATTATTTTGAGGTCATTTGAGAGCTTTAAGAACAGGAACTTTAAACTTTTACTCTGTCACAGCCACTCAAAGCTCCGCCGATGACAAAGAGACATGTTGTGTATTTTGTCATCCAGCAGAAGGGAACCATTATATTAACTCCATTCAAGGACATTCGATGAAGATGATCCCAGCCGTCACTGTTCGATATGACTGCTTGTGTATTGAAGGAAACCTTTACCATGCAGGTTTCCAAACTTGACGTGTAATGGTTTTGAGAGGTTGAACTTAAATGGGCCTTCCTCGGGCTCCCGGTCCCGTACTTTGATTGACCAGAGCTTGAAAATGGAGAGCTTGTAAATTTTTATCACCTAAAATAAATAGCCAACTGACTGTATGTCAGTAAACAGCCAGGCAGCTGACTGCTGGTGTGAGGTGTCATCCAGGGGCCACACGGTGGTCTCGCTGTGGCTGACCAAGCTTCTACCACCCCCTTCGCCCCCCTTTTCTTCTTCTTATCTTTCTGCAGGGGGTCTTTTTCCACGCCACCAAGCAGGTTGTATTTATAACTCTGGCTCCTCCTCCTCCTCCTCCTCGTTTGCTCCCCCTGTTGCTCTCTTTTTACCTTACCTCATCCCCCGTCACACCACCTTTTTGACTTCACCAGCGCAGCAGTAGGCTGCTCACGTTTTTCACATTTCAGCGTGTGTATCATGATGATCGGCTAAAATAGACCCTGCTGCTGTAATGTCTGCTATTACTCCCTTCCCCCTACTTGAGTTTTATCTTTCTTTATGTCCTTTTTTACGCTCTCTGTTTCTTGCTTTCTCGGGAGCTATTCAAGTGGTGCAACCAAGAGGGGGTCAGTACACATCACTGCACAGAGCAAAGTTTTTCATAACTGTTTTTTTTTTTTTTAAACCCAGCTGGCAACACAGGGGATCTGCTAGAATAAGAGGATGTAGTCAGGGTCAGCGGAGGCATAAAGGATTTGGGTTAGAAATGCGAGGTCAAAGTGTGAAATTTCCTGTTTGTAAGTTGGAACAAACTGTACCCAAACGTCAACAACCCTAGAAGAGACTCTTTGTACACTTGGCCGGTTGAAGGGTGTGGGTATCTCATGCTAGGCTCAGATGAACTTTTATGTATTGCAGCGAGGCATATCATTCAAATGCATTTTTTATAGCGTGCATTGTTATCTGGACAGCCATAAAATGAAGGGTGCCTGCCTGTGCTTCCTGTCTGCTCCGCAGCAGGCCCAGGCTCGCTTGATAGTTGTTTTGCGTGCGCGCTAGCTCAGCACCAGTGATCTCACTGGTTTGTGAGATCTCTGCAGAGACACGCCTTCCAGGAAAAATAAGGGTTTTCCCGTCACAAGAATTTTCCCACCCACACACACTGACTGAGTTATGATTTTTTTTGTATCTTCTGTTGCTGTTTACATAATGTTGCTAAACTACAACACAGCTAAAGTTAAGCCAAAAAAGCAGGGGATTTTTTTTGTCAGAGCACTTCCAGAGTATTTTTTTTTGGGGCAGATTTTTTTAAACCTGTGATGTGAAAGACAGAAAGTGAAAAAAGGAAGAGACATTTAGTTTGAAGGAACTCTCCTGCCGGGAAAGAGTTAATTTGAAAAGGAGAAATGGACAGAAAGAAGTTTTTGTTTTATGATGTTTGGCTGCCTGCGTGCTTTGATTTAAACGAGAAGGGGATCTCCACCGTACCACCTAAATCTCCGGGCAGATGAGATTTCACTCACCATGCATACTGTCAGAAACCCAATAAATACATAGCTTTATCATAACCTCAATTATAGCCAACTAACAGAGTTATAGGTCCCACCCACCCACATGGACACGTATCAGTGTTTGCATCTCAGTGAGGGGGACAGATAAAATCACACCGGCCAAAGAGAGCAGCACGAAGATCAACACGAGTGCAGCTTCCAGTAAAAACATTTTCAGCTCACTTCATTATTTTCATGCAAAGTGTCTCATACAGCGCACTGGCGAACTGACTCATTGACGTTTCGCAGCCTGTTGTCTTTGTATTCGCAGGTTGCGCTTGTGCCAAAATGAGAAAAAAATACCAGCTGACAAGTGAGCTGACGTGTTGAATCAGATGTAAGAAAATAGTTGACAGCCCTGTGCCAATAATTCTCACATCAACACTCTCATTGACATCTTGATATCTGGAGTTAAAATTGCAACCACAACAACACTTACCTTTTGGTAACATGAGCTGGACTTTACTCTGTTTTTAAAGATTTTTTTTTTTCTCCCCTCTAACACAATTAGATGATATCAGTTGGGTCAGCTTTTGGATTCTTCCCATCCACAATATTTAGTGTCTTCTTGGACTCGGGGTTGTTTTTCTCAGAGGAAAAGGGAGAGGCTAAAAACGCCAAATTCCTCAAACAGGAACTCTTTATTTCTCTCTTGAAAGTAAGACGCTATTCTCTGCAGCTCGCAGGGCAAACAGTACACTGTGTTAAGCAAACTTTTGCCTTCAAGGGAGGATTTGACTATAGAGTCTGCATGTTAATCTGTTATCTCCTGTATTTAAACATGTGCAACGACTCGGTCTTGATCCTCTCTCTGTTCTCCGGATGTGTGAGTCCTCTCTCTTGCTCCTTAGCAGCGCTGAATCTCTAATGGCTGTTGTCCTTTACACTCAAGCGTGATTGACGTCAGCCAGGCTCTCTCACTGGTCTCCTCTCATAAACCTGTACGTGACACTCTTGCCCCACAGCCATCTGACTGACGAGCATCATTACCCGGCAAAGCGTCTGGCGTGGAGACCACAGGAACCTTATTATCCCAGTTTACATGAAAAGACTCCGACTGGTTTCAGAGATCATAAACACACGCTGCTCGCAGTACAGGCGCTTATTTGGCTTTAGCCATTTCTCAGGAATGTGCCATCTTCAAGGCCTCTGCAGCTGTACCCTCTATGTACAGTTCCACGCACACAGAGTGAAACCATGAAGGACTCTGTAGAGTGATTCACAGTCACTCTGAATGGCTGTACTTAAAAAAAAGAGTGCCTCTATAAGAACCTGGTGATGTGTTGATTTTAGAGAGCGCAGAAGGAGAAAAAGACCCGGAGTAGTGAAAAAGCTCCTTGTCACCAGTGACTCGCTCATATTATCGTATTTTTCATTTCTGTTTTCCTTTTCCTCCCAACAGATTCGCTACATTTCTCAGACACAGGGTTTGCCAGGAGAACATTTGCTGAACGCGGGGACAAAGACAGCACGGTTCTTTTGCAAAGAGTCCGACTCACCTTATGCATCATGGAGACTAAAGGTGAGTTTTTGCACGCATGAAAACGAAGGCAGATTAGGTCATTACCAGTCAAAACAACTAACCCTCTCCTGCAGTCGTGCGTCACTAAAAGCAAACCGCAAAAGTCAGTGGTCAGCCGTAGCTCAAAGAGCAAATATTTTCATCCTCCCTCTGGGCAAACAAAGACCGCTCTTCCTGATAAGTAGAAATGATAGCTTTCCCCGAATAAACTAAACAGGGAGGCTCACTGTTAAATTCCATCAAAAGAGGAAAAACTAAGAAAATCTTTATAGTTTGTCATTCATTCCCTCACTCACTCACTCTGAACTTACACAGGTCTCTAATGTTGTCATAAACAAATCTGAGGTTGTTACAGGATATTGTTCTTTCAGTTCCCCTGGTTTTACCACCACACCTGTTTATAGAAACATTCAGTATTACATTAATATTCAAACGAGCACGCGAGCTGACATCACTGCTAATCTTTTTTTTTTGTTTGTTTTCTTCTGCAGTCAACCGATGAGCATGAGACAGAGACGGGGATGAAATCTAAGGAAGCCAGGAAGTACATCTTCAGCTGTTTGGATGACATAGCGCACGTACGTTCAGCTGTTTGGACCACAGTGTACAGACAAGCCTTCAGAGGAAGTTTCACATCAAATGTTTCGGGGCTGTAGGCCACTAGGTCTTAAAGAGGAAGTGCACCTACAATTGTATGTACAAAGCAGAGCAGGCGTATCCCACTGCAGGGGAAGAAAAGGTCACATTTAAGCTGAACTCCCCCCTGCAGTAAAATGCTACACACAAATTAAGAAAATGAAGGCTCAGGTTTCACTCGCAGTTCTCTGTAGAAATAGACCAGAGGTGGAAATTCCCCAACCCATGTGCTAACCCAGGTCTGTACTTTTGTATGGCAGAGGAGATTCTTATGAATTTAGGCTTATGGTGAATCATTTGTTATTCCAAAGAACCAGTTTCATGATGAAAACAACTAATACAGATATCATTGTAATGTGTCTGTTTTTCTTCCTCGTCATTATTGATGGGGATGTTTTGACTCGTTTTAACTGTGAAATGTTTTTAATCCAGGTGAACTTGGTGATGAATCTGGAAGGTAGCGACTTGCTAGTGGAAAAGGCTGACCGCAGAGAGTTTGTGGGCCTGCTGAAGAAAATGCTGTTGATTGATGCAGAAGAGAGGATCGCTCCTGCTGAAGCTCTCAGCCACCCCTTTGTGACAATGCAGCACCTGCTTGACTTCCCCCATAGCAACCAGTGAGTCTTTTCGGCCCTCAGGTTTTCAAGCATGTGCTCATTTTGACTGTCCTACATCACCTGAATGTCACTCCTCTGTGTCTTTAGTGTGAAGTCATGCTTCCACATCATGGATGTCTGCTGGACTCGTCCCAGTGCATACGAGGCGGCCAACAGAAACAAAGGTCCCTTCGTCAGACCTGTCTCCACAACTGCTGCTGCCTCTGTCAACCATCCATTCAGCAAGATGACCGGCGTCCATGCTCAAGTAAGTTCTTCTCAGGGTTTTCTCAAAAATGCACAAAAAACAGACTACAATAAAAAACAAATTGAATGAATGTTGCTCTGGAATTATAGGTGAACTCCTTGGCCAAATGTCCTAAAAAAATTTCAGAAGAAAAGGGTGCAGGAAGCTGACAAGAGTGTAAATACTAGAAGATAGTGGAATTGTGTCAACCCAACACAAAAATTCCATTGTTTCTCAAGTAGAAGCTAAAGGAATGCTGCAATCTGCACAAACCTGATGCTTTTTCCTGCTCTATTTAAACTGAAGCACTGAAAAATAACAAGCTGTATCTACGTCATAACCTATCGCTAAAAACCATTTCTCATGTACTTTGTTGCATGCTGATTTTCAAATACTCAAATAGGAAACCCATAATTATGTTTTTGAGTGTTTTTTACATTGACAAAAAGGCAAATTGTTACACAGTGACAGACTTATCACAGCTACACGTGAATCCAAAGACTTGAACATTCTGAAACAAAGAGGCCGACCAACCAATCTGTTTGGTGTATTTATTATTTTCATGGTTTACCTGCTCTGTTTTCTGAGTTTGAAATAGAAAATTACTCTAATCTTTGCGATGGCATAATCACAGCCAGTAAAGGTTAACACATTCACTCTGTTGTTCTGTAATATCTGCTTCTTTGAGGACTCATCATGTAGACAATTTCCCCACAGTTATTGCTTCCGTGTTTCTGTCTTATTGCGTCTTGGCCTGGCTGTCATGGCAACAAAATAACGTCATACGTCTGAGGTCATGGCAACAGTGCAAATCAGTGTTGTTGCCGAGGAAAAACGGAGCTGACCCTTTTTTTTAAACGGATCTTTATAATGCAAAAAAATGCCCAAGTCAATAGAAAAGGTGCTATACTGAGGGTGAATATATGAAACGATGATCCAATGAGATGCATTATATTTAGTTCAGCATAATAAGGACTACTGATGTGTCATCATTACAGATATAAAGACAGGATGAGAGGCTTACGTCCCCTATTCAGATTAAAATCAGGTTTAAGAATACCTGGCCACATTTCTTGAACAAGAAAGCAACGACTTCAATTTAATTTTCTGTTTCCAAGGAGCAGTGCAGCACGGAGTGGAAAATTCTCACTGGTGAAACTTTAACAGAAAAATGTGGTGGCTTTTTTAGTATTATCCTGTGAAAGGCTGCTTTGTGTTTACTATCATGTGTGTGGGGGCTGGGCAACATGCAGGAGCCGCGGCAGAACAATATAAGCCTAGTTCTCCTTATTCAATAAATGTGATTATAGCCAGGCACGAGAGCAGCGTGAGTGTTTGGAAGCAGAGGCACATGCTCGACTGTTCTTTGTTTATCTCAAGCCTATCGCAAAGACTAAGTTCAACAGTTTCCAACAGCATTTTAGCTCGTTTGTCAGCTGTCAGCCCTGGGTGCGTAATCAGTTTACGAGCATGTTCTCATGTAAGAGGGACCAGTCATTTGCAATATCACCACGGCAAGAGCTGCATTTTCCCTGGTGAAAAGACAGATTCTGTGCAGTTTTTTTTTTCAAGCATAATAACTCTTTACTATCAAACTGATCCCTTATTTTTGAGTAGGTACTCTGATGTTTTTCCAAAAGAAATTCCAGCATCCTGTCCAAGCTACCACAGATTGAATCTAACGTTATCCGTTATATAGAATAACTTGCCTGATAATCTGTGAGTTCAGGTTTTAAATTCTGTTAGGCTTGAAAATGGGCCTCTTTTGACAGAGATGTTGCCATCTACTGGCTCTTTGATGCTACTGTTGATCATTCAAACCCCCTAGAAAAGTCCAGTCACTTCCCTTTCTTCTCTTCCTTTTGTTTTTCTAGGGCTTAGCTCCATCGGCCCCATCCGTGATGCACCCCGGGATACCACTGCAGACAGGAAGTGGTCAGTATGGATGCAGTGATTCATTTCAGCAGGCTCTCATTTTGTGTCCCCCCACCCTTCAAGGTAGGTTGAGTAAATCCATGTTTCCTTTATTAAAAGTTATTCATTTGCTCGGACTTAGTCCTCTTAAAATCTTATTGTTTTGGTATTTCTGACCCTGCAGGCATCCCAACCAACACAGCGAAACCAGCTGGCTACTCAGTTCGGATGGAGGCCTCTGTGCCTCTGGTCACTCAAGCCCCACCCATTCAACCCATACAAATCAGACCTGGAGTTATCACACAGGTAAGTGGGTGGAAAGTGAAAAGTACAAGTCACATCAACAGTTGGTATTTTTGTGGAAGTGTGGGAGTGAATGTTTAAGACGTCAATCTTTGATCTGAGGCTAACGAAAGAGTCATGGGAGCATAATGACCACATGCAACTGATCCGTTCATCTAAAACAGGCCTGGTCCAACCGTGCACAGCAGATTCTGGTGCCCACTTGGCAGCAGGTGACATCAGTGCCCCCACCACCACCAACCACTTTGGCATCTGACACTGTGGCAGGCTCACAGAGATTGGGTGACTGGGGGTAAGCAATTTGTTTGTCTGAATCAGGATTAGAGTCAAAATGTGTTTAGCACTGTGTGGGTCTACACATCAAAATAACTTGTCTGTACTGGTGCAACACAGCAAATAATGAAACACACAGCAGTGCTGCTACTATTGTAAACCTGACTAAAAGAGAATATTCAAACATAAATATTAAATAGAATATTAATGATATTGATATTTTACAGTCTAATCAAAGAAGGGGACACATCAGAAATGTGGAAAACTTTACTTTAAATATAGTCTTAGTCAATGAGTCGACTTTGTAGTGTACAGGGGTATTATACTTATGTAACATAATAAATTGCATTAGAATTATCCATGTAGAAACAGTGTAATAATGTAACAGTTACATTCAGAGAGAGTCATATAGTATTTTTTATGATACTTCATGCACAGCTCTCCTGATGTGTTCCTCAAAATTCCAGTAAATTAAATCATATGAAGCATTTTTATTGGTGCTTGATTACCTCCAGTTGCTATGTACACTCTTGAGAATGTCTGCGGCGCTCTAATTCAGCACGCCGGCTCCCCTGAATGTTAATGATCGATGAGTCATACATGTCCTTTGCGACCGTTGACTGAGAGCATTTTGTCAGTAATGGTGCTAAAGGCTTTTGGCTCAGTTTGCGATGTTCTGTTTTCTCAATGCAGGAAAGTGCGTCCCCATGGTAACCATTACAGCTCCATGATTGCACACCCTCAGCCATTCTTAACCAACCAAATGACCATGTCCGCCCACCAGCCAATCAACATCGGCATTGCACATGTGGTGTGGCCACAGCCGGCTGCCAACAAGAGAGCTAAGCCTTGTGTGAACAGGTATGACACTTGAGTTTACCTCTTTGCGAGTAAGTCTCATGAACGTTTACAAAAAAGGGTCCAGCTTTTCTAAAAGTGTGTTTTCCGACAGGGGCAGCAACTTCTCCCAAAACACAAACATCCAAAACATAGCATGCCAGTCCCCAAAGATGGCCGATACAGCAAAGAATGTGGAGGAGGTCGAGGAGGAGGCAGCCAGATGCCCAGAAGAGGGGCAAACTGCTGGGAAGGAGCAAAGAACAGAGCAGGTGGAGGAAGAGGCGAATTGCTGTAAAGTGGCACCAGTGTGTGAAGAGCTTTCAGTTTCGCAGGAGCAGCGGCAGGGCATGGTGATCGCTGATCTAACCAGCCCGACTGTGAGTGTCATCAGTATCAGCAGCGACGAAGAGGAGGGCGCACAAAGACACTCGATGCGGGAGTGAGTACTGACCATCCGCTTTCTTTTGAGATTTTTAATCGCCTCTTCAAAAGTCTCACTTTATTGATCTCTTTGCAAACAGGTGTAAGGGAAGTGCAGATTGTGAGGCGTGTCAGAGCACTGTCAGTATGGAGAGGGTCTGCTCCCTCAGCAGTCCAGACAGCACGCTTAGCACCAGCTCCTCAGCTTCTGCCCAGTCCAGCACCTCACCCTGCAAACACCCAAACAGGTACAATCAATGCAAAACAAAAAAGAAGAAGAAAAAGCTTCCACAGCCATTTCGCTCGATGCGACACTAATTGGCACACAGCAGCGATTGTAACTTCCTTCCTCATTTGTTTTCCCTCTCGCAGTATGTCGGACGACGAACAAGAGAGCGGTTGTGACACAGTGGACAGCTCGCCCGCCTCAGACGCCTCTGGCCCTAGCAACAGTCCTTTCACAGAGAGACGCTTCATCCCTGACACCAACCAGAACTGCGAGCCCCGTGTGGCGTGCGTTGCCCCGGAGACCGAGCCCAGCAAGCCAACAGTTCGTACCGTTGTGGTGCCTCCAATGAGGGTGCAGAACAACAACAACAACAACCCCGCTGTCGGTGAAACACCTGGCAACACAGGTAAAACCAGACAGATGGCACAGTGCTCTTACAGATGCATTTAGTGGATCGGAATAATGATATAAGTGTGAAAACTGTACAAAGAGAGGAGAGTTAGACCAAGGTTCTCTCCGTTTCTGTATATCTGATGGTGTTATCCCCTCTTGAAGACCAGCTGAGTAGGTCAAGTTAGCTCAAAGGTCCAGTCACACTGCTGCTGTCTGCTCCACAGGTCACATGGCCTGGGATTATGCCGTCTTTGTAGGCCACAGAGGTTCTCACAGGTGATTATGGGTGACCTACCCTGACGTATCCGCTCTGCTGTCTAGAGTGGATATTTGTTTGCTGTCAACACTCCTCGCTCTGACTCTCAGAGCCCCTCTGTCTGTGTGAATTTCTCCAAGTTGCATATGCATGCGTAATTGCCCTGAAATCTTCAATATCCTGAGTAAACCCTTTTAAAAAACACCAGCCAGAGAACATGGACACATTATCTGGCGGTTATAATCAATTTGGTGTAGGATGAATGTTTCTTTCAGGTGCCCATGTGGAGTTACGCATGCTATATGTAGGTTTTAAAACAGCTGTGCTCATGGGACACACTGTCTCTTTCAGCGACAGAGTTCATGTGTGACTTAGATCTTTAAAGGTCTTTTAAAGTGGAGGGTTCAGCTGTAAATCCACAGTCACATCGCCTCACATGTCAAAGGCATCTCTCTCCACAACCCTCAAACTATTGCAACTTAAGCCCAACATAAAAGGGCACAGCTTGCTATTCTAGTGCCACCAGGTGTATTTATAGCCGATGGTCTGACCCCACTATAAGATCTATGAACAAGCTTGGTTACCAACTCCTCCCAGATCCCCCAAACACATCTATTTATAATCACCTAGATCAAATTCAGAGGACAGATGCCACTATGTTTAAAGGTTTGGGACTGATCAAACACTAATAAGATCCCTGATAAGCCGTCAGAGCCTCCTGTCACTGATCGTCACTGAAGAGGCTGTTTCTGTTGTTGAAGTTGAATCGAATCTTTGGTTGCATCTCTTTTTGCCTCTTATTTACATTCTGGTTTTGATAGCAAGACACAGCATGAACCGGGGCAACTTATTTCCCTATAATCTCTCCCTCCCTCTCTCTCTCTCTCTCTCTCTCTCTCTCTCTCTCTCTCTCTTTCTCTGTCCCACCCTCTTTATATGACTTCCTTCATCAGTCATAGAGTCTGCATGCCAGTCCAAAGGGCGAGGCATCCCTGGGCGACAACACCACCACTCCACTCCCCTCCTCAACAGGCCGCAGAAGATCCCCCCTGCATTCCAGCCTCAACAACAGCAGCCTATAGGCTTTGGGCAGGTGAGAACATGCTGTCATATACATGCGTTACACAATCACAAGCAGATATAAACAGAGCATGTAAATATGCAAAATTTTATATAACAAGGCCTCCAGCACTAGCTGGCTATAAAAGCGCTAGTAAAACCAGAGACGTTATTGAAGATGGCAGAATACATTTAAGTTCAAAAGAAGACAAAACTTCAAGCTTGGGTGTAATCACCAGCAGAATATCCTGCTTTTGTCCCTCTGAAAACAGTTTGAAGTGCTTGCCAACAGGAAGTCACTCTATCTTTTAAAATTGTCATGTAAATAAGCCGAGACGGTGGAATATTGTGGCTGGAAGTCAAATTTCCAGGGTGACTAATGTGGTTGTGACTACACTGTGTGCATTAAGTTGATAAAAAGCACAACTTCTGAAGTGCGGCAGCGGAGTGCACACTGCATACAGTAAATAGAGTCTAATTTTTCTGCCACAGTCGCTTTTGTTGCCGACAGATCTATCAGCCCTGCTCAAAATGACTTGCAGCTGGTGGATGAACATTTCTCATTGTGACTGCAGTGAGGGCATTTACTTTGATAATGCTTACTTAATGCACTTTGCGGGAGAGAAAGAGAGTGAGTGATATTGAAATGTTCTGCACACAAATTAAGATGAAAGAAACAAGAGTTCAGGAGTAGAAACGGTGTCACTTAAAGGTTCCTGTGCTAAATGCTGAGTGTGAAGACGTTATTCCTCTCTCGTTCAGGTGCAGCATTTCGGTTCCTGCCATCAGGAATGGAACGGCAACTTCGCCCACCGGAGACCACAAGCCTATATTCCTCCCACCATGCATGGCCACACATTCGCCCTGTCCCACAGCAGCCCAAACCACACCGCAGGCCCCCACCCCCACCTTGGGGGCCACCCACACTCCCAGGCCACCTTACTGTCATACCCCCCGTCTGGTCCCCTGGTCACGGCAGCACCCGTGGCCCACCTCCTGGCTTCCCCCGTCGCCTCCCGCCCCGTCCTCCAGCCCACCTACAACATCTCCCACCCGGCAGGCATCGTGCATCAGGTCACGGTGGGCATCAACCCCCGGCTGCTGCCGTCTCCCACCCTGCACCCCCAGGGCCAATTCAAGCCCCTCTTTCCCCCGCACTCCTACATCGCCTCGCCAGCCTACGCCAGTTTCCCTCTCAGCCCTACCAAAATAAACCAGTACCCTTACATTTGAGCACGGCTGCCCGGGTCCCCTTCATACCACCTGAGGGCTAAATGAGCAGGGCGAGATGTATCTAACCACAAACAACATGGTTTTCATTTCCAAAACCATGGCACAACCACAGAGAAAGCAAGCTATTTTTTGAATCATGTAGACTTGGGTGTAATTGAACTTCAAGCTTTAAAAAAAGAAAAAAGTTCCAATGGTGGAGATGATTTGGGTATAAATTGAGAAGGAAATAATGTATGAGTGATTGAATGAAAGAATGAATGAGTAGTTAAACTCACACTTAATGTGTTTTGCACATTTGATATATCTTTGCATTGGATCTTCTACGAATACTCCTCAAAACAGGTAAATAATTGGGGTGGTGTTGAATAGTTAGACTTTGCACCCCGGTCCCAGCTATTTTTCTATATTGCCTTCTTACGTGTGCAAGACACATCCATATTTGTAAAGCCATCCCAGTCTCTAGCTCTAGATTGACAGATGCACACGTTGTCCACAGTGTATGTTGTACTGCGTTTGAAGTATTTGTACCTTTTCGGTGTCTTTTGGTGTTAGCAATGTCAAGTCAATTAACCGAATTTAAATAGGGTTGTTCCTCACGCTGCATGTGGTCTTGCATGAGCAAAAAATGTAAACAGAAAGATGCATAGACGTTGCTCTTATTGTTCGTGTCACAAGACTCGCTGCATTGTATAACTGTCCCCAGCCATAGTGCCTTACATATTTGAGGTTGTTAATGTTACTACTTATATATGACTATATACATGAATATTAATGTACTGGACTGCAGCACTTGAAATTCCAATCAGTTGATGCATCCTATGTGTGAGTATATATATGCACATGTGTATATGTCCATGCATAGCCTGCATTGATGTGATGTATCGCGGATAGCGGTGCTTATATTTTGGAGTCGGTGTAAATTTCAGTGTGTAGTGAGTTACTTTTCTGTTCTTTTAAAGAAGAACAGCATGCTTTGCTGTTGCGAATGCTTACTGTTTCATGAAATACGTTTTTGTTTCTTTTTCTTTTTTTTTTTCCCTTCTCTGTTCTCCCTCTCCCCGAATGACTAGTGTACAAAGTGCAAGTACTGAGTATTGCTTAATATTTGATAATCACTTTCTATTTAGTGAAACTCTTATTACAAACAGCATTTTTACTGTTTGATGAAACTGCAATACAATCTAAATAGTCGATTATTTTTTTTTCTTTTTCGTCTTCGTATTTTTCATTTTTTGAGTGTTTTCACTTTGTTTCTTAGATGTTTAGAAGTGTGGTGGGCATGGCTTTGATTAGGTAAGGAAAAAATGCAAATTAATTCACGGTATGGAAACTTCTAAGCCTGAGCAAACCATGCAGTATTTGATATACACACATATATGGACATATATTATAGAGCTAGACTATTTAGTACAGATGCTTGATAAGGTGTGAGTTAATTGTGTGCAATTCTCTCATTTATGCATGTGTGACAAAGTTAACTTTTTCCCTTTACATTATACCATTTGTTAAAGGCTTAAGGCTTATCGGTGTCGACTGCTTATTTTATACATTCCGTCAGGGAGGATATATACATATATATATATATGATGGTAGCACCACTCATTATATATATATGTAGATATGTCGTGTGTGCATTTTTTCTGTTCATTTTACTAGTTATGTGTGTAATTTTTTCGTCTTTTATTTTCAAATGAAGTTGCTTGTGCAGCACCAAAGACTGTAATTCATTTCCTGAGCAAGGTAGCTATTCTGTTTGCATAGACCTCAGTTATACTGTAGTCGTAGAATGGGGTTAATTAAAACGAATAAAAAAAAATTTGTATTTAAAAGAAAAAAAAAAACGGCCGAGGTTTTGTCTAGCTTATTGGGCAATTAATAAGTCGTATCATTTCTTCTTGAATGTATCATAGATAAGCTGCTATATGATGATTGCCACTTCAATAGCTGTGAAATTAGGTGATTTCTCTGAGTTTAAACCTAGCGTTGCTATTTTTGTATAGGTCCCTAATTATCTGAAATAGAAGTGGTTTTGATTTTTGTGTTTTGCGTTCATATTTGGAGTGTCATTGTAACTACTGTATTGCTGATGATGAACATTAGTTGCATTTGTTGTTTCTCGGGGTGTGTGTTTTTGCATCAGTATTTTATCCTTATTAACCTTTCGGGCTCATCACTGCATATAAATGATGTATCGATGTAACTTAATTTTTGTATGTTTTCATATGGACGTTTTGTACACATCTAAAGCTGTAGCTTGCAGGATTGATTTAACTTTTTCATTGTGTGTATACAGTATACTAGCAGTTCTCTTTTAGTGTGTTACAGGAGCACTGTGAGATGCCAGGACAAAAAAACAAACAAACAAACAAAACATCCATCGTGTCGATTGGAAAGCTTCTGTAATAGTTCCACCGATTACACACAAACACGCTCGCCACAAAGCGCTCATACAGGTAGTTAGGCTTGTAAGGGTTGAGGTGATAACAGACTGTGTGTCCAAAAATGACTTAAGCCCAATGTTTCTGTTCCAAAGTAATGTTTTACAGCTTGTTTTCATTGAAATCGATTTTAATTTGAGCTATTTATTGCAACCTTTTACCTGTTCAATGTTATATCTGGCTGGAATATCCGTTTCACAGTTTGATACTCTGAACTGCCTTGTGTTCGGATCGCTCTCCCCTTTATGAGTGTCTCATATCAAGATGTTTCGTTAGTGCAGAAGTACGGCCATTGTTATGTGTTCCTTACTGAAATTGAGACAGTGTGAGCAGCACTGTGTATGTGCCTTGAGATTCAGAAAGTTCGAATTCAAGATGGTGATACCTCACCGCTAATTCACGGAGGAAGGCATAGAATCCAAAAACAGTCCATTACAGAGTAGAGCAGACAGTTTATAACAGCCACACATACAGGAAAACTACAAGAAGACACATAGTAGGACTCCATACTCTCCCGTTTGTGATAACACACCAATAAAACACACACACACTTTGAATGATATGACACTCTACGATCTTTGGATAGTCACTCTGGCTGAACAGCAGATGCAATACTTTACATTGTGCGGTCATTGCACCACCAAGTGTTCTTAGATAATCTCCATGCTTTACATAACGTTGCATGTACACCTAAGTTGCTTCACTGTGTCTTGCCTAGAAGCTGCCTGCTCTGAGCAGCTTTTCCCCCCATCGTGCAAGTTAAGAATTAGCGAGAGCAGCCAGAGCACAGACAGATGACTGGCCTTTTAAAATCCAAGAGCCCCGCTTTTAATCCAGGAAACAGTCTATCTGGATGTTTACTCTGTGCTCTGGATGTAAACCGCTCTGTCAAGGAGATTATTGTGGTCCGTCATGGGTGCAATACTCCACATTTAAACACTGACGTGGATAAATAAGGCTGTATGTTTTTTAATAGCTTTTTTCTATCTGTAACGCTTTTAACTGATCATACTCAAGCGTCATTTTGGGAAAGGAAGCTTATGACAAAGAGGCATGCACTTGGCAGAGTAGTGCTTGAAAACAGTTCCCCAAATATAAGCATGTGAAGTGTAAATCTGTGTTTTGATTCCTCCAAAGGTATTCACCAGCAATGCGCCTGCATAAACTCTCCCGTACGTGTTAGGAAAAGAATGGATGCAAGAGGAGAGAAATCTTAAACTGTTTTTAATTTTCCACGTGATTGACACCTTTGGTTATGGATTTGTTTTTTAATTTGAGGGTTCGTGTAACATTTAACAGATAAAACAGTGGTTTGTAAAATTTCTTCTTTTCAAGTTTTGACTTTGATATCAGAGAAAAAAAAATCCTCTGCTGCGGTATTATCCTTTAGAGATGTTAATTCAGGGTCTGTATTAGTCTAAATGTGCTACTGTGTTGCTCTTTGATTTGATTTGATTTGATTTGATTTGATGAGATTTGTTCTACTCAAGCTCTTATTTTCTGGTCATCTGTATCAATTTCAGAGTTAATTCACACTGCAAGTTATGGAATCATCTGTTTAGATTGATCATTAATTAGACTTGATCATGAAATCGGAACTGTTACTGTTTTAATACCTGTAGATTTTTTGTGGCTTTGTTTTTCTTCCGTTTGTTTTGTTTCTGTTTTATTTGCTTTTTTATTTCGTGCTACACTAGTTTGCCATGTAGCAATTGCACTGTGCAATATTTACAGTATGAGGACTGGGAAAACTAACTCTATGGATGTGATGTCTATTTACAGTTTGCGATAGTGTTTCCTCTCTAGTTCTCAGTGATTTAGGTGTGACCAAGCCTTCTCTACTTTGTCACATTAAGCGGGTTTTCCAGGTGACTCTTTTGGTGAGTGTCAAAATAAGACTTTATGGTGTATTATTGTTAAGATTCACTTTGAATTAAAAAAATCTATTGGAGCAACTTGATTGTCTGTTTTTTTTTCTTATTATATTTACCCAGTTTGGTGATTCTTGATTTCATTAAACACATTTCAAATATTAAGCTGCTAATCCTACTGCATGTACACTAAACTCACCTTGTTACACAATATTTTCATGGATTTAACAGGCCAGGCTAGTTGAAAAGATCTTGAGCAGATTGTTATTTTTATTATTTGCAAATCAGTCTGAGTAGCACCCTGATAGTCCTTCACATATGCCAACTGTCTGGAAGTTTAATGTCATTTATTAAATGATACGAAACACAGAAATTTAAGAAACTGGAAGAAGATAATGTCTCTTTTATGTGCTTGATTTAAAAAAAAAAAAAACAAGACAGGGATTAAATAAATGTGAATGATCTTTCTGTCATTCAAACATGGGAGACAAGCTTCCTTTTGAAGTGGTCAACAAGGACGGTTTTTAGAAAATACATGTGTGTTTGGATACTTTAGGCTAAATTAGACCGGCTGATAAAGACACTGACATTTTTAAAGGCTCAAAACAGCCATAAAACAGGTTTGTATCTGACTTTGAGAAGTAAGATCACAAAAACATCTACATTACTAACCAACAACAAAACACTGAATAAAATGATGGATAAAATGATAAAATTGAATAAAAATAAATTGCAATATGAGTCATTCTTCTATAGCTCTCAATCAATAAAGGTGACAAAGTACACGTAAAACAAGGACAAGTATGACTTAAGCCAAACGGACAAACACACAATACACAGGTCTAGTCTAGAAACAATATATAAAACATATAAAGACAAACACAGGCATTTACAGAAGAAATACAGTTTAATAGACTAAATAATAAGTAAATAATAATAGTAATATTGCACTTTGTAGAGGTCGTGGAATAAAAACCAAATAAATAAAAGTATACATAAAAAGATATGTGTTCTTAAAATCACACATTTAATGTGGAATTTCCAGTATTTTAAGATAAACTGGTCGTTCTTCACTTGTACATCAAAAGACAGAATTTAATAAATGAAAACTAAATGATATTTACTCATATATTATGTAATGAACTGTCAAAGAATTTGAACTTCACAGTCCTTGAAGCTGACTGAGTTGACTTTTTTAGTGTCATAGATCATCAAATAAAAATACAGATTATTTTCATTAAAACATTTGTGTGTTGAGTATTGTGACACAGTGGTATTTTTCTGCTTTACTGACTTGATACAAGACCTGTAATACTGAAAGAACATGTGGAAGGGTGTGTGTAATGGTTTCATTCAGTTTTACAGCCTGGTGTTTTGTTTTTTTAGCCTAGGATGACATCTTGTGGATAGAAGGAGGTACTACAGCAGACTTGATAATAGTGGCCCAATGTAAACCCAGCTCGGTGGTGAGATTTCGTTCACAGAGGCTATCAGACCACGCTGTACATATTAAAAAAATAAAATAAAACAAATAAAAACTCCATCCTTAAATATTTTATTTGAGGTGATTGATTTCAGAGGCTTGAATCCACTCTGCTTCATGACTCTGTCTCCTCTCATTCGTCCAGCAGAGGTCGTCCTACCCACAGACTGGTGTCTGTGACTTTCCCCCTACAATTAACAGCAGAGAGGCTAATTTGCTCAGTTTGACCAGGGGGATGTTGGATACAAAACTGTCGACCCCTCTGAAGCTCCCACAGCCTTCAGATTTGGACTGAGATTCCCCCACGCAGAGCAGAGCCTCGCGTGTCTGCAGCAGCTCTGTGTGATCCGCTCCAAAATCAACAGCTCCATGTCAAACCTTTGGCAAAGTGAGCTCTGCGCCGCCCTGCGCCACACCGCGATGATGATGCTGGGTGGACCGAGCGCAGCGGAGCGATAGGGCGCATTTCTTAATTTCCCTCCAACACCGCGTCCCCCTCCCCTCCCTCCCCACCATCCCCACCAACCCCGCAAAATCCCCCCTCCAGCCCTGGACAACAAGACGAGACCGCGGGACCGCTGCGTTTCCTCCGTTCACGCACGAGGATCGATCCAATGTATTATTTACGACCGAAAGTTCAGCAACTTATCCACTGGATATGGCTCCCGGTGTGAGGAGTGGGCGGCGGGCAGGTCACCCCCAAGTGTCTGCGGCTGCGGCGGTGCTAGGAGCCGGGAGAGGAGAGGATGCCGGTGGGCGCTTTGGTCCCGGAGGAGAGGGAAGGTGTTTAAGGAGCAGGTGGCGAGCCGGAGCAGCGGGGATGTTCGTGAACTGTGTGCTGTCTGTGGGAATGCTTTTACTTGTTGTCCGGTGCGCTGTGGCCGCAGAGGGTAAGCAGCACACCGCAGAAAACACATGCAGGGATCACATGCAGATTTGTGGTTTGAATCCAGGCTTCACTGAGAGTGGCATCCTTTGTTAAGAGTTGGAACATTTGGGGTGGGAAATGCATCTTTTGTTTGGCACAGGGAGCGTTTTGTAATCCGCACATGTATGCCACTGGGTGCATAATTCACATATATGTGTTGCGGCTGAGTACCTTTTGTGCATCATTTTAATTGCAGACAAAAAAACTTCTCTGTCTGTGGTTCAGGCTCCTTTAAGCTGTTTGCATGCAGGAGGGTGTTTTGGCATTGCAGTCGGGGGGGATACCCAAGCTGCCCAGGCTGGCTGTTATCAGGATGAATGCCTTCACTGACTGCACGGACATGATATGTTGTATGAATGACAGTGTTGACGCTGGTCTGCGCAGGCTTTGCTTTATATGATGTAACAGTCTCTCTCACCTAAAGGATTGTTTCCACCTAAAAAGAACAAAGCCTGTCTATCATCTTGTCTTTGTGATCAGAACGTGATCCTGCTGCTCCTCTGCAGCTGGACTCATTAGGAGCTCAACTTTGTGTCTTAACTTCCCTCTTTGTCCTACATCTTGCTCTTGAATTGTGGTTGAATTTTCATGACAGAGCTTATTATTAGTCTGGGAGTTGTTCTGGGAGAGCATGCAGTCACAGGACAGTCAGAGCATCTGGGTCAGCACTAATGGCACACATACTGTAGCCCTCTACTGTAGGTCCGTCTGTCTCTGGCGGCGCAGAGGCAGCTGGGGTAAGGCTGGCAAAAATAGCTCCTCTTTTGCTTGGAGAAAAGCTCAACAGCCGTAATCCTCTCTCTGCAGGTGCACTGATTTGGCTGCATCCCCTTTTCTTCTCTCTCATCTGACTCTTTCCTCCACCTCAGTGTGCATGAATCTGTGGCCTTGTGGTGTGACCCCTGAGATGAACATAACATGTTCTTAGTGAGAGTTGAGCGTGTTTCCGACAGCAGCTCCGTCACCTCTCTCCAGTGTGAAAACTGTGATGTAGTGGCTGTAGTCTCACCTCTGCTGATGCACTGCTACAGTAGCAGTCTCCTCCTCTCTCTCTCTCTCTCTCTCTCTCTCTCTCTCTCTCTCTCTCTCTCTCTCCCTCCCTCCTTCCCTTCCTCCTCCTCCCCCCTCCTCTTCCTGCTCACAGTCAGCACATCCATTCTTAAACACATGAGCCCAGCAGAAGTGGGAACACCTGAGCCATTCAGGACATATTGGTAGAAAAGGGGCAACCAGTGATTTAAGTGTTCATCTGCGTCAGGAAAGTGTGCAAATGGGCTGTAGTCTTTAGTGGACATATTAGAGGAGAACTGCTGAATCCTGAATCCTGTCGTCTTCTTCACTGGTATACTGGGCGCTAAAAGGAGTCTTAAAGCTGCCTGTAAGCAGCTTCTTTTTATTGTAAGTTGTGATGTTATTCATGTCTTTAGGAAGGAGTGCAAGTCTGTATTTATGGATTCATTTATTGGATTTTATAGCAAAGTATTAAAATTTAAGACATGAAATAAGCTACAGCATCAACTGAGGTCACATGACCTTTTCATTTAAAACGACAACATTAAAACAGACTCCATTTTCACAGTCGAAATGTGCCTTCATATCTGTGTAAGGTAAAATCACTTCGGTGTAAATTTCACCACAACAAAAACACCGACTTAAAGCTCCTGTAAGTAATTTTTAAGTGTTTGTGAAAAAGATAGAGGGCCTGATCAAAAACACGTGCAAACTTGATAGCGTGCGCAAAGCTGATCTTCTATTCTGGTGCACCGAGGATTGCGTCTGTCAAATGAGCAAAACAGCACGCCCAATCCATTTGGCACGTTTGTTTAATGGATTGTGCAAATGCAAATATAATCATTTAGCACCCGCTATGAGATTTATCAAACCCGGAAACCGATTGCAGTCGCTGTTTTGCGTCTATAATTAGCACGTTTGAAAAGAACTTGCAAACTGACACAGCGTTATGCACAAATGGTTGCAGTCATTGTTGGGAGAAGGAGACAAAAGTGCAAAAGTGTTTTCTAGTAAATGACGGTTTTGATAAATAATAAAGTCAACACTTTATTTTTTATTTTTCATCTAGGACCACTCTGCTCTCACAAACTCTCCATGGTGACGGTCGATAGCGCATGTAAAATCCTCGTTTAAAGAGGGTGGTCCGCATCACTTTTGCACCTGTTATCAATTGCGCAAGCAATGATAGTAGCTCATCCGCAACACGCTCACTGATAGCAATGCAAATTTTTTAGTTTGCACATGCAATTTAGCGTTCCCTATTTGGGATCTAAGTAGATCAGGCCCAGAGATTCAAAAGCATACAAGCCCACCGGGGACAAGATTAATGAGTGTCATGTTTTGATTTTTAGTGTCTAAAACTAGTGAAAGTAGTAGTAGTTTTCTTTTATGGTAAATATTCACATAAAAAAGAGATACAATTACCATCAAGCCAGAGCGACAAGATTTTTTGTCAAAAGACACTACTTAAGCATGCAGAGGACAAGTTGAGCCGGGCGATTAATCAGATTTTAATTTTGATGATGACTCCCCACGATCATAAAAATATGATAATTTGAAACTGAATGATTGCTGTACTGCCTTGCTCCTCTTTTGTTGTGTATGATGAATAGAGAGCACCCTCCCTCTCTACCCCAACAGCAGAGCTCTCTTCATCATAAACATTGTTTCATCGGATCAATGTGAAACAACGTTTGAAGTGGTGGCTCCTGCGAAGACTAATCGTGGACCGCTCAACACATTGAGCAACAGCAGTACAAAGTATCAGGCATCCACAGATGGAGAGAGGAGAGCAGGGAGAGGAGCAGGAAGCGGCAGGTGTGTATCTGTGTGTGTGTCTGAAAAGCTGAGGGACAGAATGTGACAAGAGAGGCTGCAGACATCACAAGTGTGTAGGAGCACTACTGAGCTAACGACTGCCAGCTTAGATCTAAAAGACCTTGATACACATCATCATAATAATACAGTAATAATAAAGTTTTAACTTCACAAAGGAAATTGTGCGGTAAAAGAGCGCAGATCCTTTAAAGGGATATTCTGACGTAAAATTAATTTAGGGTCAAACACACTGTAACACCGAGTTAGACACCCTCTCGAGAGATGAATGAATTTATTTAGCTACTCTCTTCCAGCAGCCGCTTGTTTGTAGCGAGACTTCAACCAGTCCATCATCGACTGAGGCAGGGGGGCGCAGCTCAAGGAAGAACATTTATGATCATTACTGTATCATTTCCTTGAAGTAATCACCATATTAACCATTTTGCACTGCAGACACGTTAGTCCCCCCCGCCTCAGTTGATAATGGACTGGTCGAGGTCTCGCAACAAACAAGCAGCTGCTGGAAGAGAGTAGGTGAGTCGTGTTAAGTCTCTAGAGAAGCAAGCAGTCAGCAACATTCTTCTCTCGGGAAGGTGTCTAACTTGGTGATTATCCCTTTAAGTTGCATGAATGTTTGTGATGCAGATGTCAAATCATGGGTGATTGGTTCAGTAACTGTGATATCAATATCTAAACACTTGCTGACAAAGTGTATATTGTATATTTTATAATGGTGTAGGAAACAGAGCAGGATGTTGAAAAACTGATATCAGTTGACCTCTACCAAAATGTCGATACATGGTGTTCTCCTTTGTTGCACCACAATCACTGTGACATAGTCTTAATCTTAGTAAATGTCAGTACTGTTCAAATACCTTCACACATGACCACCTTAGCTGCCAGCAGTCAAGTATCAGTTCTCAACACAGGGGCCGCCTCTTTCCCTTCAAATTAAATCCTATTCATGGTCCAGTAACCTCTATTGAAACTTGACCTAATGCCTGAGCCTTCGCTTATTCCTGATTCCCTCCTTCCATGTTTTCTCTGCATCTTTAATTGAATACATTATGCTGTTATGATGGGATACACCAATTTTAATGTGTTGGCAAATATATCAGCATTGTTAAGTGGTTCAGGTGCTGGCCTGGATGTGATAGATATATCCATGTGGGGAAAAAAAGACTAATTTATGAATGTCATTATGAAACTCAGTGTCTCCTTCACCCGTCACCAAAGACCAGCCAGTGATTGAGTTTCTATCCCCACAGTAGTGCCTGGTCTTGTATTGCTTTGAATAAAGTTGGATGCTAATGAGTGTTATTCACTGAGCTGTATAGATTTTTAAATATGGGGGAGAGCAGCTGTATTGGATCAATACTCAGTCAGGGCAGAAAGCTGGAGTTGGAGTATCAGAATGTGTTTTCAGAAAGAAAAGATCATTTATATCTTGGGGATTTGCACAGAAACCTTTTGGGATGAGGAACCCCAGCCAAAAATCAGGACCCTAACCCCTTTCATAGGTTTTCCACAAGCAGCCAGATCAGATCCTCTTTTATGATGACATACTCTTTATAACATGCCATGATTGAAAAATCTTACACCGCTTCATTGTTGAACAGATTTACATCATAACAGAAACAGTGGCTGTGTCCCTGTTCAGGGGTAGTATCCTTAGAGGACCTGGTCTTCATAGCCTACCACTCTAGCTAAGCTGATGTGAGGCAGTTTGGTCTATTGAGGATTTTCTGTTTGCATCACCAGCTGCTTCTGTCCTCACCAGCTTTTACCCCAGTGTCATGAGCGCTACCACTGTCGCCTAGCAACAGGTAGCTAGCTGGCTAACTGGCTCACATCGGGTAGGCATCAGGTAACACAACCACATAATCATTTTTTAAAAGATCAAATTAAGTGTCAAGGCCCATCTTTTCAAATATTAGCTTCACTTACTGCTACATTCAGATGACACCCGGTTATTTAACTGTGGATGAGTCAAGCACGACTCTCTGGTCATGAGAAGTTAAGCCACTGAGAAAGTTCTAAAAACTGCAGTTCCTCAAGAGTCCACTCGAGGCTCGCTGCTGAAGTCAAGGAAATGTATTCACCTAAATAAAAACTGCTAGTGATGGGAATTAGGGCTCACTCAGAGACTCGGATCATTTTGGTCTCCAGTTATTTGGTCTTTTTTTTAGAGCCGAGACCTCAGCAACCAACTCTTCCCACCTAATGGGGCGTCCACACCAAGCGCGAGTAAAATTATCTACTTGTTTAATTCCTGTGAATTTAGACCCGTGAATGGATAGTGATCAATAAACAAACCTGTGCAATAATAGGCTACTGCATACCATCCTGGATCACTGCAAGGGAAATTCCTTATTTCCCTGGCTGCAACAACAGCCCGAGGAACCCAGCACATTTAAAACCAGTGAAAAGGACGCTTGCTTGGACTGAGAGCTAAAGAGCGGCAGCTTTGTGTCTGTACCTGATCTGTACACCTAACCAGTGGTGCAGTCTAGAAGATAATTGTCAGAATCCAGATGCCAATGTTGATGTCCATTTCTGTATAATTTCGAGAGCAGGTCTGCTGAAGTCATATTTTGGTTGGATTTATGAGGGGGAGAGTTACCTTTGCTCAACAGCAGCCGAACTGACAGACCTACCTGCAGTGACAGTGTTTAAGTTTCTTTTTTAGTTCATTCATGACCTCATGAGTTATTAATCCACCATCTGATAGATTAATCTGTATATTTATAATCATGCCGAATTTAGGATTAATGGGTGATCTGGCCTGAGCTGTCTCTTTCATGGTGCTGGATATCAGATTCAGTAATTCTATTGGCTCAGCCGGATTAATTGGCCCAATTGCAACATTGGCTGATATTCTCTTATTGCAGATATATCTGTATTGGTGTAGCTGCAGGAAAGTTTGAAGAGCATTGCAGAGCAGAAATGTCATATCTAAGATGTGAGCCTCAGAAATCATCTCTGTCGAGGCTGTACTGCTGTGTTTGTGTGAGGTTCACTGAATGAAAAACATCCTCACTCACTGTGAGAAGCTAATATCCTGACTCACAGCTTCCCCCTGAGCACGATCAGTACAACATGTGGTTTCTATGGGAACTCCAATTTTTGCCCTACAATAACATTTCCCCCCAGACCCCTTCATAGAGGACAGTAAGGGGTGCAGCGTCGTGCTTGTGTCCTCCTGAGTAATGTGGCTGAAAATACAAATCTTTTTCACACTGCTAGATTTTCCTTTAATTAAGTACCAGCGTCTGTTGTCTGCTTTATGTCTTTCTTATTAACACAGCTGGTGAAATCAATGCTTGCAGCATCTCGAGGACACGCAGCAAAGCCAGCAGAGCAGAGGCATCTTTGGTCTTTTCACCATCAGAACCACTTTCTCTGACGTCAGCTCTGTTTACTCCTACAAACACAAACCCTCCACCCCACCCCGTTGCTTATGAGTGCTGACGGCTCTGTTTTGACAGGGGTTAACCTCACTGACCTCCCGCTGTATGAGACGCTATCTCTGAGCTACTGGAAGTCATCACTTTCTACTTAGGAATTCATGGAAAGAGGACACAAACAGTGAGATTCAAAGCTGTTTCATGTCTGCAGTGCACCCATAAAGTGATTGTAACCATGCACATTTCTCCCTCTGTGCTTTGTCTTTTTTGTGTGTCTTGTATCTCAGATTTTTTTTTTTTACTTCTCTCTGTCCAGATAAGCCCTTTCATGGCTGTCACGATGTTTAATGTTAAAATAACATCCAGGAATAGCCTTTAAAACGCAGCAACAATGACTCACCCCTGCTCTGATGACCCGTCTGCGTGAGCTCCTGCTTTCCAAAGGGGAGCAGCGGATATTAATTCTCTGTTTTTTCACCTTGTTTCACCTCGCTGCTGTGATTTAGTGTGAAATAGTTAATTACATTGTGGGAAAGCATGTCAAAAGAGCTTAAGATGTGTGTGTTTATTATGTGTTTGTGTGTGTGCAGTGTGCAGTGAGGAGAGATGCGCTCTCCTTTGGTAGTCCTCCATTTGATTTGCAGTCAACACTGATGCCGACATCAGTCTTTGTGAACAGACAGATATCAAATTAGAAAAATCAATGCAGAACACCAACAGTGATTTTTCGAAAGAAAGGCATTATTTATATCCCACTTACAGGCCTCCATCTGTTTTCTTTTGCATGACACGCCAATATTTTGTCAAGGAGGTTGTGTGCGTCCCAGTCTTTGTTGTGCAGAAACCCAAATGCCAGCAAGGAGCAGAAACAGAAAAGGTATCAGGTAATTGAAATATATATATATATATGTATATTTCTCTACTGTGGGTTTTCAGGTTGTATATCATGTATCTTCACTTGTTTTCTTAAAGGTCTGTTCATGTCAGACCTTTAAGAAATTCAAAGGGTTTGCAGTCTTGTTCCCCTCAGTGCTGTAAACAAATCAGGCAACACCTAGATGTAAAGATAAAGAGGCAAACAGGCTTCTAATTAGTATCATGGACCATCTGCCTCACATTATCCTTTGTACAGTTCGCTGCAATCAGGGAATATTGTGTGTGTTTGTGAGTGTACATATGTGTGTTATAAGCGTTTCCTATGTTCCTCCCCGGTATCTCTGGTACCTTTGTGCGTCTCTCTTTGTTTTGGCTGTTTGGTGCAGGGTGAAGGTGGACAAAGGCTTGGCTCCGAGGCCAGAGAGAGGACAGGACAGCAGGCTGCCTGATTTATTAGGACTCACTGTATAATACAGCACACTGCTCTGCACAAGGCCACTGTTCATCACACTGCACCACTCAGAGCCACAGCTGAAGGTGGCATACAAGACCTAGATTTCTGGGATGTGAAAGGATCTCTCATTTTAAACAACAACTTCACAGTATTTGGTCAAGATTACCTGCATTTAAAAAAATGAATATGTAACAACCTGCTTTGTGGTGACTGAAACTCTCATTTTAATCTGATTCAAGTAGCCAGGCAAAAGAGCATTTCTCACTGTGTAATTTAGCTTTTCTCTTTTCTAATGACCAGTAATTCACCAAGGACCAAACCTGGATATCTATTTGACTGTTTAATGGCCCTGCATTTCCTAAATCAGTTACCCTGTTAATTTTTAAAAGAGTTTTGCTCAGGCTGGAAATAGGTGTATCCTCACAGGCAGGATTGGTCCATTTTGATTAGATTTTTTTTTTCAGTCAAACCTGCGTTGTCTGAACATATTAAATACTAAACTTCAACTGTGGTCCTTTTTATTTTCAGCCTCCAAGTTTCTTTATCTGCCTACAGGAGAGTCTGATATTTATGTCTCCTGTGAGGAGTTTAAGCTGGTTATGAAACAGACTAAAATTAACACTGAGGCCTCTGAATGACTTATAAAAGCATAACAGGCCATAGACATGATTGTGCACTTCTGTAATGTTATTTTAGAGCCTGAAAATGGTGCTGCTGGGTATCTGTCAGATATAGATTTTACCACTTCATAAGGGAGCATCAGAATCTGTACAAACTAAAACTACCTCAGTTACTTTAAAGCTCCAATAAGGAACTTTAAGTTTGTACCAGTTTTGGCGCCCCCTATGGACAAGGTAGTCCCTCTTATCTTGTCCTCCACATGCTAGAGCAGTGGTTCTCAAGTCCAGTCCTCGAGGCCCCCTGTCCTGCATGTTATGGATGTTTCCCTGCTCCAACACACCTGATTCAAATAATGAGCTTGTTATTAAGCCATTACAGAGCTTGATAACGAGCTGATCATTTGAATCAGGTGTGTGCTAGAGTAATATCCCTTGATAAAGAAATCTCATCCTCCTGACAGTCCAAGGTCAAATTGATCATTTTTTGAATAATCAATGTTTAAATGTAAAAACAGGCTTTTTCTTTGGTAGCTCCACTTACACATACCCCCTCACCTTGTTTTAGGCACTAAAAATTAAGGTTTAAATCTCATCAGTCTTGTTTCTGATGGTTTGCTTGCTTATGTGTTTCATAAAAATGCATCAATATGAATTTCAGTCTCTTTTTCAAGTGTTGAAAAATTTGTCATGGGTGCTTAAGCCAGCGTTTTCTTCACCAGAGGCAGCAGCTTTTATCAAACACATTTTCAACGATGTTGTTCTTTAAAATGAAGTCATGATCATTCTTAAAACTATTTTGTCAAAGAGTAATGTCAGAGATGACAATTTGACCAAAATCTGCATTATTTAAAGATTTTGACCTGCTTTACATGTTTTTTCAAGTTTGTTTGGGAATGAGGAAACCTTGGAGGATAATTCAGCTCTGGATAAAAACCTTGTAAACAATGAACTCTGAAGAAATCCTGACCTAAAACAAGCTAAGTGCTGTTAAATAGATAATCAATAGCCTCTTCTGGTGGCCCGTGTCTGCTGAAGCACAGCAATAATGAAACCCTGCTTTATTGTTTTTTTTTTTTCAGCACCTTGTTTTAGTGTGACTGAAAAAAGAGTTTATGTTAGCCTGTTGGTTTTAAAGGTGGTAGAAATTTCCAGACACACCCTCCTGAATTCTTGCATTGGTATCTTATCAGCCGACAGAGCAGAAAACACCTGTTTTTGTGTTAACATGGATGAATGGGGTCTTTCTTTGACACTGCATTCAAAGAATAATACATAATTCAAAACCAGCCCAGAGCTGCACATCTTATTCAGGACAAACGGGCCATTGGCTGGAAGTTTCTGTCACGTTTGAACGAGTGAAGTCTTTCTGTGTAACTTTGGCTGATTTCATGAGAAAGTGAAAGATAGGGGAGGTTAAAATTTTAAGACGATTTTTAACCGAAGTGAATGAGGCCGGATCAGGACAGGATTTAGGTCCGTGCTGTGCATAAATGAGCAAGACAGGAGGAGAGAGAGAAAGAGATTTGCCTCCTCACAGATGGGGTCATCAGTCACATTTAATGGTGTCACTGTCAAAGTATCACATTCAGCTTTTGCCTACTTTTGTTACCAATTGGAAATGCTAAGTGTAATGCCAAGTGTAGCTGTAGGCTCTGCTTTTTTCACTCCGATGCCTCTGTGGACTGTGGCATTTCAGCTAATCCCTCTGAACTGCTGGAGGGGGGAATATGAGATCACTGAGACATACAAACACATTAATTACACCCAAACTTCAAAATGCTACATACTGAGCAGCTAGCAAAGACCAGTCACCCCTTTATACAGTTTGTACAAGCAGGAAACACTAGCTACCTCTAAAGTTTCAGTGTTTCTTTATTAAAGTCTGTAACACAAGAAATGTACTCTAACAGGTAACCTTTGCAGTCAGGGATCATCTATTTTTGGCCTCTAGGGGGCAGACATAAAAACCCAAGATTTGTTCTGAAATGGTATCATACAATCTGTTGAATGACACCAGGTAAACTTAGTCCTCCTGTCTCCGTCCACATGTTCAATATTCGCTCCAAAGTCCGTCCTGTTTTTAGCTTTACCAGCTAAACTCAGGGAAACACGTGGGGTAAGTATTTTGGAAGCTAGCTTACCTCTGTTCTCTGCTCTAGCTAACTCTTTCTGAGGTCAGATCATGTGTCGGTGATGCACAGTGTGTTTATGTCAGGGTGTTTGCTGAAATGAAACGCTCAGGGCAGCTGCAAACACAGCAGTTCAGAGCAGGATAAGCAATAAGAAAAGCGTGGCTGATTTATGTGCTGCTCGCTTAAACACTCTCGCCTTCAATGCAGACGCTGAGTGAACAGGTCAGCAGCCACTCCTCTGAGGGTTGGAGCTTCTCCGTGTTATCGTTGAATTTATTTATTCTCACTGCACTAATCTGTTTTAATTATGATGAGTCATGCTTTAGGTGTCAATAATACTATCAGTGTACAGCGTCTGCGGGTGTACGAGCTGTGGAGAAGCAAACACGAGGAGTTTTTACTGACTCAAAGCATCAAACTGTTTTATTTGTAACTCTAACCAAAAATGTACGGTGTCATTAAAGAATTTGCAAAGAAGAAACTGTAAAGGCAGAACTGAGTAGAAAAAATCAGAGCTACTTGGGTTTGAAGTGCTTCATGGGTCCAGTTTAAGGTGAACATCTGACAACTTTTCAGTGACAAAGTAGCATCAGGACAACATTTTTTGTTTAGGTTCAGGGGAGTGGTGTTAGTATGATGTGTTAAAATAGTGTACAAGCAGAAAGTGGAACCATATTATGCAAGCAAATAGAAAAGATTGAGGTTTTCATACTGAGAATAATCTAAAGTAGACCTCCATATGAGAATTATGTTAGATATATTTGCCACAGAAAGTGAGTGAAACCATGACAGAGAGTTGTTGCTTACACCTTTTGACTTAAAGTATGCTGTGTTAACCTCTATGACCTATCAGGGATGCCTGGCTTTCATTGAGTGGTCACTTACTGGCAGGCTTAACCCATACTATCTTTACTTCCTAGTGTGTTGTCGGTTTATCAGTATTTTCATCCACACTTGTGTGCCGTAAGTCAACCCAACAGTAAAAAGCTAAACTGAATGGATTAGGAGTAGTCACTCTTAATGCTGTAGGTTCATCCTACACATGTGAGGGGGTGTAAGATAGGCTGGGAGGGGTCAGTTGACGGACAAGATCAGCTCATGTTGGGCTTGTGGACAAGAATCACACTGCTGAGGACAGACGTGGGATGATCTGGCTAATTCAGGACAGTTGGGGATGCCAATAGGCGTATGATTCGATAATAACGCAGATTGAGGTGTAGTTGCTGTGGTTTATCCCTCCATTTCACATTAAGTAAGTCAGCACTCACAGCAATATCAGGAACATTTACTTATTCCAGATCATTTGACCCTCCAGTGGAAGCTTGATCAAAAACTTGAGTGAATTTTTACCAAATCGTGGCATAATAAACACAGGAACCCAGAAATCTGAATTCAGTCAGTTCAAACTTAAGTTTTAGCCCATGTGACAATACCAGTGATTGTTTAATTATAAACTCCAATATATTAAAACTCAGTCAATATAAGACCTTTGTGGCCATTTTTGCAGCCCAAAGCCTTTGACATGACAGACACTTTGAAATAGCCTCAGTTAAACTGGCAAAATGTAGATTAAAATATAGATGACAATAGAGTGTATCTGATTTTATTAGTTTGTACTGTGAATTTTCAACATTATTTGTGGAAAGAAAAAATTATCACCAGCAGGTTAGCCATCTGATTTTGTAAGAAAAGTAATAAAAGGGTGGCTATTGTATGTTTTTTTGTCATCCTTCTTCTACTGTAAGAAAAAGTACATGTTCTGTTAACAAACACCAAAATAAGCAAGTAACTGAATATAAATGGATCAATACATGAATGAATTATATCATAGCTCTACTTTCAACAGGCCCTGGGTTCCTTCAGAATAGAAGCTAGAAAGATCATTTGATCACTGCTTGTGCATTTTTAGTGCAGAAAACCCGTTTCACTTTACATGTGATCATTTGAGTCAATGGAAAATAACCGGGGAGCAGCACATTGTTTATCTGACCCCTTTCCCTCTGAGAATTTATGTGCACAACTTTCCTCTTGTCATGTAAATGTGTTTGTGTTCTTCTTTTGTGCGCTGTAATTGGATTGTGTAGAATTAGGTTAGGTTGGGACAGTCCATTATCTATCAACCTAAAAAAACAAAACAAAACAAAAAAAAAAACATTGAGCATACTGGGTGATCCTTTTGCAAAGTTCCTTCAATGAATGTACTTGGAAATTAGACTTCAAAGTTTGTGGTTTAACAATGAAAAGATTTGATGGATATCTAACTTAAGGTGTTCCAACCAACCAACAAGTCTAAAGGGAAGACAGCAGTTTCGATTTGAGCGCTGAATGCTGATTTAACACAGGGCGTGGCTAGGGCTGGGCGATAAAACTATAACGATAGATGTTGAAAATTAATTTCCCTCAATATCAATATAAAACATGGTCAAAATGCTTTTTGATAGTCGGCATTCTGCCATGTTTTGGTAGGCTATACAAATAGCCTATAAAAAGCGTAATATCTGCGGGTCTGCTTCGCACTGAACCAATTGTGCTGATTTAGAACCAAGTAGCAAAAAACGGCGTAGTAGCAGGCTGCAGCTACATGCAACCATAGCACTTTAACACGTGAAGGTGACAACACTGTTGGCGAGAAAACAAGAAAATGAGTCCCACCCCTGTCAAAAATGCAGATGACGGCTCAACAGATGATGACATCGTCGACAACACTGGCACGAAAGCGTCGGTGGTTCGGAGGTATTTTGGTTTTTTGAGGTTGGACATGAAGCAGAACAATGTGCACTGCAAATTATGACAAGTACATGTTCTCGCAAAGTCCGGGAATACCTCAAATCTTTTTCACTACCTGAAGCAGTGCCACGCAGCAGAGCACGCGCAATGCAAAAGGTTACAAACCCCGAGCGGAGTAATGAGCCCATGGCGCCTGTGCAGCCATTACAGCTGACCATTCTGTTTTCTCTGGTACAACGCCTTACGACAAACCATCAAAGAGACACAAAGACCTCGCAGATGCAGTAGGTTATTGTATTGCAAAAGACATGCTACCAATAAGCACTGTTAAATTTCATGTTTTATATTGTGATATATCGATATCGACTGATATGAAAAAAGTATATCATGATAAACTTTTTCCCATATCGCCCAGCCCTAAACTTGGCTAATCACGGTATCCCAAAGTTGGTTGGCAGTGATATCAGGCTGGTTGAATGTGAAAAACAATAGCAGAGCTAGCACCACCTTACACGTTAATGTCTACTTCTTGAGCTGGTGACACACAACTTTATTTCCATTTTCTTGCCAGATCATGCCATGCTACAAGATGCAATCATCAGCATTTGGTCAGAGTATAATATTACTGCATTATGACAGCCTTTATAAACCAGAGCTATGGTCCCAACTGATACAGTAGAGCTTAGACACAACAAACGTAAGCCATTTCAGGCCCCCAGTAATAATTTGTTTTATTGACATAAAGTTATGGTGCAAACTAGCAAAAGCATTGGTGTATAGGTTAGTCGGTCAAATATTCACCCTGTACACAGCAGGGTATCACAGATGATTACACCAACTGTCATCCTAAATCAATGCACAGTTTCCTGCCGCATGCTGACATCTGTATCAATACTAGTAAAATATTCAAAGCAGTCTTATTCACTGTGTTTCAGAGGGAATATTCTGAACAAGAAAAGTATTAAACCATTTTAAGACAAGCTCACAGCCAAGTTAGTACATCAAATGACCCCATGTGGGGTCCCCATGCAGCCTTAGGCAGAGAAAGTCTGTTTTTAGTGTATAAGTGCTCTAAAACATCAGCGACCCACTCCCAGTCTGAGCGCAGGCTTTTGATTTTAAATCTCAGTGACATCATAGATTCAGGGACTCTCTCTCTCTCCGTCCTCAGATTTGGTGGAGCAGGTTTGGAGCGAAGGCAGCGGTGACAGCATCAGTGAAGCATCAGGAGGAGCAGGGAGGGCTAAGCTGAGCTCAGAGAGCATTTAAGGAAGTGTTCAACAGTTTTAGGAGTCGATCTTATTCATCAGTAATCAAGCTGTTGCAAGACCTTAAAAAATATTCTTCTGACAGAATTTAAGAGCTGGTCTGAGTGTTTATACTCTCATCACAGTTGAAGATAATTTGAATGACTCAAACTAAAACAGAGTGTGTTTGCAGACAGAGCGTGCTGAAAATCGAATACTAAGACACATTTTCAAAGATGGACAGAGCCTTTTTTTCCCTTGAGTAAGCAAGATATTCAGACACAACCATATATTGGAATTCAATCATTTTCATGCGCACACACACGCACACACACTCATAAATCTATAGCATGTAGTGTTTGATTTATGCCCCTTACTCTGCGCAAAAGTCACCCCTTAAGTCCTCAAACGCTGTTCCCCACAGGCCGATTCATTATTTCTCAGATAATCTGAGTGTGTAGCTCAGCTAGAGAGCGAACCCTGTGAACACACAAACACACTCACACACTCACACACACACAAACAAGGCCTTCAAATAAACCACAGCTCATACCCAGCTGTGGCAAACGTCTGTGTGAGCCTCAGAGTTTCCTCCCTTCCATCCCTGATGGATATCTTCTTCGCCTGTCCTCAGAGATCGTCCCAGCATGTGCGTGTGATTTGTGTGATGTGTGTCACATCTTGCCCCTCTCAGCACTTTGTAACCTGCTGCAGAAAGAGAGAGAGAGAGAGAGAGAGAGAGAGAGAGAGAGAGAGAGAGAGGAAGGAGGTTCTTAAATTATGGAGCTGCTGGATTAGATGTTCAATATGTTGCTCCGTAATAATTGTGTTGCATCAGTGCAGCATGAAGCCCGATATACTGCACAGGAGGTTTGTAGCTCAGGAATTAAATTACAAGAATGGATGTCTTTGTTTTCTATCGACCAAACAGACAAATTTAACATCCACTGCAGAATTAGAGAGTTGTGGTTAAGACTGTGACTGTGGGTTTCTTTGGTGCATGTGAAGGTCAAATATTCGTCCACAGGAGTAGATCACGTACCTCATGATAAACGTACATCTCAGTAATGATTTTGTCACCCAGGAGATGGGCCTCTCCTTGACAGTGGACGTCATCGTTAGTCACGGAGGGCGCCCATTAAGCCGTATGTGCGTGCTAAACACTGTCATGCAAGTACAAATGAGAAGAACGGCAGGATATCAAATTTAAGAAGTGAGTGTGTAGAGAAGGAGACAAAAAAAGACAGCTTAGGTTTGATAAGAAGAGACGGACTAAGAGTTAGACTCAAACAGAAGCAGGAGGATTTTTTATATTTCATTCACTTGTGCAAAAATGTTTCAAACCTTGTTCCAGAAAAACTGATATCAATACTCGTCAGTTCTTTTTTGAAGCAAAGAATGACAGTAAGAGACTCGGACATGTGGGCATAGACTTAAATTTGCACTTTAAAAAAAATGGCAGTACAAATGTTTTTGGAAAGCTAAAACACTCATGGAGACAGAGATGCAGAGCACAGGTTGGAGTTCAAAAACATGGTTGATCTTTGCTGACAAGACACACAAGATACACACTTGAAAAGAGTCAAAGCATCAAAATCAGGTTCAGTAAATAGTAAAATATCCAGATATGCTGGAAAACAATGCACAAAGGATGAAAAATAGAAGGCAGCAACTGAGGAGAGAAAAATCTGGAAATATTTAATTTACAGCTCCTCTGTTTTTGAGGAAATATAATACAGAATGAAGTAAACAGTGATGCATTTCTATGATGTGCAAAAGCAAAAGGGATTATCACCAAAAAGAGCGACCATTTATAGTGTTGTTGTTTTAAATGCATGTAACTGCTGTGAAGGGGGTAGATACACAGATTAACTCTTTTACAGCCACCTCATCTGACTCCCTCCCTCTATCTATCCGAAAACTCTCCTCCTCATGCACCAGCTCAGGCTCCTACCCTGCCAGAGAGGTGACAGCCTTTGACTGGCCACCAAATGCTTGCCCTCTAGATCCACCCCCAGGCTTGGCTCTGTGACCCGCGTCCGGGCGAGGGAACTCTGAACTCTGAACCATTTATTGTAACTCATCATAGGAGTCTTGTGAGCTACACTTTGTCTACACCAGGATTGCCCTGCATGACCCTTCTAAGGACTTAAAGCTCCTGGGATCATTGGGACACAGAAACCCCTCCAGTCTGATAAGGTGGTAGCTCGGGGAAGGGTGATCTTACTATGTTCATTATCGTAATTGCATGTTGTTGTGTTTCCCTTTTGGCACAGCAGAGTAAAGCCACAGCTGTGTCTCCCTGCTCCTTCTGCCACCATAATGGAAAATAACAACATCACTGTGCTTTTGATTGGCATATTTCACTTTCTAAAAAACACCCAGACAGCTCAGTTGACATGTTGACAGTGATATGCACTTTGTGTCAAACAGAATTAAAATATCACTGAAGTATTTTGAGTTTTGAGCTACCGCCCGGGAGCAGATTGCAACAGACTTATAGCTTGACTCAGGGGAATGTCCTGAGGTTGGTTTGTCGAGACATGTCATTTGCCTTGAGATGGCAGGGAACAAAAGTTTCACTCGTTCTGTACCTGTATGAAAGAAAGAAAGTAACCAAACTGGGACTCCTGGAGAGGGCAAATACTGCCACATAAACTGGGGATAACTGGACGCCCGAGAGTAAACAAAGTTGTCTAAAAATATTTGTGTACTGTATTATCTCTGATTGGACATTTTGGAGGTACACTCCTCTATAACTCGTCATGTGTAATAGTTATATCCTGAAGTAATAAAGCCACCATGTTTGATTGATTAACCACTTTGAGGCTGCCTCCTACCTCTCAGTAGTGATCTCAAACCATACTGGTGTAGCAGTACAGCATTTATCTGAACAATAAATCTACAAGTTAGGATTTCTAAGTATATTTTATGACATTACTCTAAACTCAAAATGTTTTGAAGGTACAAGAAGAATCATTATTTATTTACTATGAAAATATTGCAATTAATTTTTGATCAACTGAGAAAATAAATTGACAGCCCCAGTTTTTCGTTTTTTTTTTCAATCCATTATTTTCAAAGTGTTTTTTGACTTTTAATTTCCTGCTTTAATATTAAAACTCTGAACTGCGATACACATAAGCTCATACTGGAGTTGGACTTTTTTACAACTGAAAGCCCCTCTGAGGAGTTTTTTTGACTGCTTGTGAAACAGATTGAAATAAAAATAACACCTCTACGGGATCTGTGAAAGAAGATAAGATTACCAACAACAAGATTCACTGTTATGTTATAAATTTTGATGCATGTAGCCACTGCAGGAGTGTAGGTGTCAGAGGAGATGATTTATAGCCAAAGAAACATCTTTCTTTGCTCTCCCCAAAGCAAATTATCACAGTGTTTGATACATTGGACTATCAGAGACAGTAGGATGGGATTCTTTTTTTGTTAGAAACAAAACCAGCAAAGTTGCAAGAGCTATCTCTCTGTTTTTGTTTCCAGGCAACCTGTGATTTTATGATTCTGTCCCATCCCTTATTTTTTAACCACCTCAAGCCCTCATGGACTCACATGCAGACCAATAGTCAGTCTGTGAGGGCTTTAAGGTGGTTGAAATTTGGCACACGTAAGGCCCAACAGTGGCAGTAGAGATGATGGAAATGGCAACTCCATGTAACGTCAGGATTATCAAGACACTGGCACAGAGGTTAGACTTTTGCTCACCTATCAGTTAAATCAGCAATGACCCTAATCATACTCTACTATGCCAAACTTTTAAACTCAATACAATCAAACAGACAAGTTTCAAAGAATATCCCCCTTTAAAATAGTCAAGCAGAAAGAAATGATCAAAATCTTTGTTAAATTAATCCTTTTTTAAAACAGGCTGTAAGCATATTTAATTCTCAACTAAAGATTGGCATTGTGATGCAGGCTCTTATTGGGGTAGGGATGGGTGATATGGGGCTAAAAAAATTATCACAATAAGATTTGCCATTCTGACAACAACAATAAAAGTCCCAATAAAAATGTTATAATTCCAGTCTATATTTTTGGCTCATTTGTCTTGAGGACACCAGTTGGAGTAATCAAATCATTTACTTAATCATAAGTTTGAGTGGTATGTTATGGAGAAAACTAATGACATCAAACAAGTCTCAAATGTGAAAACATTTTCAACATTTGTTAAAAACTCTTATCGCACAGAATGAACAGCAGCAGATCCACTGCCCAATGTGAGGTATACCTGATTACACTCATCTAAACCCCAATCTTGAAGGAAATCCCTCATGTGGAGCCTCATTTAGTAACGAGCTGCTCAGAAACGCTGTCTTCATTACCTTCGGCCATGTTTGTTATTCTGCTCTGTGTGGGCTATGCCTGCGAGTTCATCGCTTGCGCTCACGTCATTAACTTGCATTTATCATATTTATGATGAAATGGCAAATATTTATCATGGAAGATTTTTCTTGGAGCCAGCCTCAAATGGTCACTGAAGGAGCTGTGGTTTCTGCTTTGACTTCATCTTTAACAGCAGAGGTTGTAACTTGTCGTGTGCTGCTTTTGTCCTTGTGTCATTGCAGAAACACATCAGAAAAAACACCATCATTTGTCCTATTTCTCATTATTACAGAGACCTGATTAAAGAAGGTCTCTACCTTTTCCGACTGAAAAGAGGGCTCCTTTGGGAACGCCAATCCTCTTAATAGTATCCGTCTGCCCATCATTAAACTCATCTGGATTAAATCTGCAGCAGTACGTTGGGCCACTATGAGTGCATATAAAATCTTGATCAAAATCCAAATGAGGACTGGTGAGGGTTGTATTTAATTATGAATTTCCTGCCAAAAATATCTGAATTAGAAGACACTCTTAATAGCAGATGGCCTCATCTCAACTCTGACACGTAGACAGTTTGCTTCATTTGTACGCCCACGTCTTGAACCTGGTACAGCGGAGTGAGTTGAATACTTTGAGTAGGCATGCATTCAGTGTTTTAAACAATATTTCATTCTCTCTTTTTATACTATAACACTATTAGTAACAGAGCTGTTGTGAGTTAAATATTGAATGACTCATACTTTTACAACCAGTCCAAGATTTGACCATTGGATTTGCACAGAGAAGGTCTCATTTTCAGGTTTTGCTGAAGGTTTTCTCTTGTAAGATTTCCCCTCTCCAATCCTACAGTTCCTTATACGCCATAAGTGAAGACTCCTTTTTCATCTCCTACAACAAAAGAGATCTGACTCTATTTTAATCAAAGGATAGTGATCCCTCTGATATGTACAAGCCTGAATGAGGACATTTATTATTTATTATCAAGCTTTTTTTGGTTTTGTCCATTTGACCAATCTAGAGCAGCCGCACAGGGTTTGTGAGTCAAGGCCAACAGCTTGCACGTATAGTGTATGGACAAAAAAAGATGTCTTATTATGGTATAGTTTATATGTGTTTCTGTAGAGTTGAGCAGGTCTTTGTTAGGCAAGTATCTTAATATAAAATGTCAAAGTAAAAGTGAGTTTGTGTTTAGGAATTAATTGAGCTGCTGAGCTGTGCATGAATCTAAAAAAAAAGTTTCTGACCCTGTCTCCCCAGACTTTAATGTCATCATTTTCCAGAGGCTCATCCACTCTGAAATGCAAATACCTCTCAGTGATTAAAGGTAAAACTGTACGAGTCTGGAAAAAGTGACACAGTAATATCTTTTTGCTCTGCTGAAGGAGTGGACTTGTTACGTAACATGAGATGGACTCTTCTTGGAAATGAGTTTTGTGTGGGGAAAACTTTGCAAAGTTTTTGTACCAATCAGAAAAAAAGTGTTACAGCATGGTGCGTGTCGCTTATTTTCCTAACTTAGCATCATGTCTACGCTGAAACAACATACAGGATTGTAGAAAACTGGATAAGGAGCAAGACTCAAATAAGTAGATCCAGTATGAATCAGGCTTATTTATGTTTGATGGTTGCTTGAATGATTTATTTCTCTATCATCTACTTTTAATCCTTGAAATAAAACTCCATCCTGAAACAAAATATATGGTCTGTGTAACCTCCTCCCTTAAAGCCTGACTTTTGTCTTTTATTGCAGTTTGGCCTGGAGCAGCAGAGGACCTTAAACTAAAGGAGTGTTTTGTCCATAATACCACAAATAGGCTCTGCTGATGTCAGTTTTCTTGTTAACATCATCAATCATCATGAAACAGGTTTTCTCTCAGTATCACAAATTCAGACTGACATGTTTTTGCAGATTCTGTCAAAGAATTAGTTTTATTTTTATAACCTGCTGACTTTGGATTACGTCTTAACAGAATCTTTTTAAGGCTTTATTTTTAGGCTTTTTTCCTTTATTTGGAGAGGACAGAAAATTGAACAGAGTAGGAAATGGGGAGAAGGAGCAGGGGAGTGACACACTTTAAAGGAGCCACAGGCTAGAGGCGAACCGAGGACGACTGCTCGAGGCATAAGCTCTGTACATGTAAACCACTAGGCCAGTGGTGCCCCAAACAGAATCTTTTAACCTGTCCACTGAGGAGCTGCCCCACGCTAAACTGTGATGTCTCACTTCTACCTGCTCGCCAAACATCCTCCTCTGCCATGACTCTTCATGTACTTTACAGACTTACCAGCCGTATATTTTTAACTTTCAAATGACATCCTCTTAGACAGGAAAAAATGCCCCCAAAATATGATAGACGATGTGTCATTGTCTACCTGCAGCTTGCATACCTCTGCCCTGGTGAAAATATCTGCAGAACAAACTCACAGACACACTAAAGACATGACAGGAGCGCCTTACCTTCCCAGGAGTTGCAGTGTGTCACAGTTTTGCAGCCCTGTGGTGTCGTGTTGAATTGAGGATGTGGTGCTGCCTATGTCTGGGAGCTCATCCATCATGCTACCTGCTGGAAGAGGTGCTGATCTCTGTGTTTGTTTTGACTTTGTGCAGTGCCAGGGTTGAATGTACATCCACTGTGATGTGAAGCATGAACAGTGTTGAAGCTCAGACCTGTTTGACCTGGTATGGAGCTCTGGTAAACAGCAAAAATCAGTCATGACTCTTCCCTCTCCTCCTCTTCTCTGTGTGTCCTAATATGCTCTGTACACTGTAAAAACTGTTTTACAAAAATAATAGGAGCAACATTTTCTGTTTTAAGGGGGTATTTTCGTTAAATTATTGTTAGTTACAGTTGGTAAAAGCGAATAATATGCACATTACTGTTAACAACAAAATTGAGTCCACTTGAAACAGCCAAAAAACACCTTTAACCGATAGTGTCAAAAAGGACAACAACATCAGACTTGATTATATTAAGAAACCTTCATTGGTGTAATTAATAAGCATCAACATAGATTATTGAATGAGGAAAGGAGAGTAGTTATTTGTTTTGAACAATACTTTTAATAAGGTTTACATTCTTGGAAGGGAGGAAACTACAGGAGTAGTCTGATGTTGACTTTTACCTTCAGATTAAGATTGGCAGACACTAGCCATGTTTATGTGAGCAAAATTTCTTGATCAGATTAAAAATTTGAGGGATTGGATAATCTGAATCCACTGTTTATATATGTGCAAACTCAAATTTGTGTTTGATAAATATACCCAGGTTTTGTTAATGTGAAACTAAAAAAGAATTAAAAGAAAGAAACTACATTTATTGTAGAATATATGCTTTCTGAAATACAGTTGAGAGAACAGTATCATTGAGGGGCTTTTGACAGTGTAGACAGGTGTGATGTAAACCGTTGTCTGGTCTGGTGGAGAAATAAGCTTTACTTTTTAATTTGCAGTAAAAAAAATACTGTTCCATCCTGCAAGAACAAGTTATAACCTTTTTAATAATTCTCTCTAGCACTTGCTGAACATAAGCAGTGGTCATTTTATTGAATAGAGGGTCTCAGTGTGTGGACTCACGCACCTTCAGAGAACTGGGAGCTGGGGCAGCAAATGAATAATTTTACAGTATGGAAGCTCACCACACCGGCCACATATGGTGGGAGTTAATGTGAATATTTGGGACTGTATTGAAAATTGACCTTTTTTATGGGGACAGTGGTGAGAGTGTTTAAAGCTATATAACGGGCTTGCTTTTGCTGGATAACATATGCACTGTTGTCAAACATTTTTCAAATGTATTCAGCAAAGCATACAGTGATACCACAGAAGTGATACACTGATATTTTCCAGTTTGTTGTACTTTGGAAATAATAAGATTTGATTGAAACTAATCACATGATCAACTCTGCTTATAGATCAAATTATTTATTGTTTCCCTCATCAATTCCAGTGCAGAAAAAAAGTATGACTATGCAAGTTTTTAGTGTCCATACAATTTTGATTTTGTGTTTCATTACCATTGTTGCTCTGCTGAGACAGGAAGCCTGACTTTTCAACTTGACTTTTAGTCAGCTGATCACAGATAGAGCCTCTGATTGGTTTACAGACAAAAAAACAAACAAACAGGCACATCTATTTCTTAAATCAGCATCACAGATTGGTTTTGTTTTTGAGGGATTGGATCAGGATAGTCTTTGTGAGGATGCTGGGAGATAAAAGCCCCTGAGGCTCAGTGGCAGAGTTGATTGTCTTTCAACCAGAAGGTCAGGGATTCAATCCCAGGTCCTGCTGTCCACCTGCTGAGGTGCCCTTTGGCAAAACACTTGACCTCACCTGCAACTGCTGGCACAGTGGTGTGTAAATGGATTTAGTCAAACCAGTGTGTGAATGTGACAAAAAAGCACTTTGAGTGATCAGATGATATGAAGAAACATTGTCCATTTACCATTTCTAATAGTCTGACAATATTAATTCACTCACCGAAATTACAGAAGCTTTTGCATTAGTCAAAATGTTTAAGGTAAAAATTATTTTCCATAAAAAGTATCGGAAACATCTTACAGCACTTTGTTGACGCAGAGGATTGTCAGAAGTATGTGTCAGGTCTCAGTGTTCCTCCAAATTCACCAGCTTCAAATATCCATCTCAATATAAAAATCCAGGTGAGATAGAGAGCCTTATTTTTTCCCGCTGTTTGCTCAGGCTCCATTGTGATTGCATTACATACATTTTGACATTCTTGTGCTTGACTGGAGTGTGGATTTCAGAGGGGATCCTGGAGGCTTAACAGGCTTATCCCACCTTGTTATCCCTCATTGTCCTCCTCCTCCCTCCATCCCACTCCTGCCTGGGCTGACCTCTGCTGCACTGAAGCCAATAAACACAGTCAGAGGCTGCTCACTATCAAAGTGTTTGTTCAGGGGATCCAGTGAGTTCATTAGATCATCCGGGGTTTGCAAAAATAATCGTCATCAAGACCATTTTAAAACATTTATTAATATATTTCTGCTCCAAAGAAAATCAGAAGAATTCATGCCTTTAGATGGATAATTAATCTTAATAAGGCAAACAAGATGAAATTATGCCACCCTGCATGTTTGATCAAGTTCAAGTGTAAGAACATTTCCCTAATTGGTTTTTGCAGCAAATAATTGAGCAATATGTCTTTGTTATGTCACTTAAAGGCGTGAACTCACCATGGTTTGCTTATTTTGCTTCCTGTTCATGTTAAAACTCTCAGGGTGTAATTTGGTTTGACATGTGAGGCATGAATCATGTATTGCTGTGACAGAATCACAGTCACCTTGTTAATGCAGGAAATGAAGGGAAATCTTACTAGTAATGGGTTTGACTTGAAAAACCTGAGGAGTGAGATGCTATTTTTAAAGAATAACTTAAAAATCAATATCGCTTCATTAACGGTTTCACAAGTAAAAGCCATGGGGAGTTGAGGCTGCCTGCATTTCACTGGCACACCTTGCTGTTGGAATTCTGAACAATACAATAAGAAAAATTGTGCAGAGAAGCAGCACATAAACTGTTGATGTTTATTCATTAATAGTGTTATTATTCGGTTGGCTTTCTCGGTGCTTAACAAAGAGAGGCAGGCCAGAGACAGGTAACAGGTTTCAACATTTAAGACAGCAAACAACAGAATTTTATGAAAACTGATGGTTTGCATTTTCACAAGTACCATTTAAGGGCAGATTGTGATATGCAAGCTCTAAAAAAAGGCCACATGTACCTTTAAGGTTGTTGCTATGGGAATACTAAGAGCTGACATTTGTGCAGGAGGTGAGCGCAGGCCATACAAGTCTGCCACTTGGCAGGATGAGCTTTGACTTCCTCTGAAGTCTCTCTGAGGGCCCAATTAGAAAGAGAGAGGAAAAGCCATGGGATCTCCCCAGCAGTGAGACCAGTGTTCTCATGTTAAGTGTCTTTTTCCAGCCTCAGTCTGTCACAGGTGACCAAGAAGCTATGCCACTTGTGTCTCTGTGATGCACTAGTCTTTGGAAAGCAGGTTTCAGGGCTGCAGCCTGTGCAGAGGTCAGTCTGCAGGGACAAATGACTGTTATGCAATTGAAATGGTGGTTTTATTTTTGTCCTGTATTATGTCAGGCTTGCTTGAAGTTTAACCTAGATATTTTGACCTCACTTTTGTGCCTTTTTCATCACTTTATTCCTTTGGGTTTTTCCTTTTCATCTGATCCTGACAATTCTGTTGTCTAGTTACACCGCAGGTAAAATCAACCCAGTTACAAGACCCTTGTACTCACAGATGTTGCACTTAGTACAACTTTAAGATTGCACTGAAACAAAACAGACTTAAAGCCCACATAGTGAAATGTAAAGAATTCAGAGCCACAAAGTCAGTACATCCAAATCAAATACACAGGGAGAGAGAGTCCAAACATTCCTGTCCACAAAAGGAAAAGCATTTTTGAAACGACACAAGATGTTCCTCTTCTGGCTTTACTCCATCTGACCTCTGCTTCTTCACAGTCCCATCCTATAAATATACTGAGTATCACGTCAGACAGACAGCAGCAGCAGGAGGACATTGTTTTTATTTGGCATCTGGGCTCCGACCTCGTCACTCCTCACAGATTTATTTTACATGCAGACATTTGAGATTACATAATATCTTAAACCACCAGTCAGAGCCCGTAGGTGGTAGCGGGGCTTAAGTATGAGTACAAAACTGTGCAGGGCAGCAGCAGTGACTGCAGAGTACAGGGAGTGAACAGATATTTTGCAACTTAAATCAACTACTAAGTTAGAAGAATATGTTGGTCAGGTAACTTTGAGAAGGACATGTCGAGTTTTAAGCTTAACATCTGGGAATGTTCCTGATGAGACGACAGTCTCTTGTGGGATCTCTTCCCAAACCTGGGTCAGGGCATCACTCAACTCCTGGATAGCCTGTGTGCAACATGGCAGAGTTTGATGCAATGTTACATGATGTCCCGGAGGTGCTGGATTGGATTCAGATCAGGGGAATTGTTGGGCCAGCCAATAGCACCAATGTTTTTGCTATCCAGGAGCTGCTGACACACTCCAGCCACATGAGACCAGGCATTGTCATGCACCAGAATATGATCTGACAATGAGTCTGTGGATCTCATCCAGGTACCAAACAGCAGTCAGGGTACCTCTGGCAAACCCATGGGGGTCTGTATGGCTTCCCAAGGATATGCCTCCCCAGACCATCACTGATACTGGTGTGTTTGAAACGGTATCAGGGACAGTAACAGAAATTTAAGTTTTACCGCTGACATATTGACTTGTAATGTAAATACAATGAGTTTTCTCAGTTTTGCAGTGCAGTGAGTTAAACACGAAAAACACCTTCTTACATACATAGGAATGGGGTAGAAAACAGCTACACCCTTACGTGAATCCTCATAACTATGTAGGCACTCAGAGAATATTATTTTTTCTAAGCTAACATATTAAAGGTTAATTTGTTCATTTATAACTGAACACATAATGAAATGTTTCTGAGAAAATAAACACTAAATACGGTAAACAAAAATTCCATTACTGCTGTTGCAGGGAAGAAACTATGCTTCCAATTCTGTGATTGGTGCACCAGCAGTTAAATTACTGACAGCCTTGTAACGTCAGCTCAAGGAGGGAACGAGTTCGATTGAAATGAGATTGGCCAATTATGTACTCCTTTTAGCTGGCTGGGATTTATTTTTTTACTGTAACTAATCACAAACTGGCTTTTGATTTATCATAAAGTGACTTTTCTCCAGTCAGTTATCAATATATCCTGATGAAGTTCCCTCTTACGTCTGTGTGATAATTGGATTGTTTATATGGAGGAATTTAAGCTTGAAATATGCTCTATTTTATTTGTGGAAACTTCATCTCCTTATGCTGCTTTAATTGAACTGCCAAGGCTGGATTTGGCTTCTTGATATATGCCCTTTAAAAGTCAGACTTTTAAAGGGCAATATGCTGAGCTGGTGTGTTTTAAGTGTTTGGAGTAAAGGGGATGTTACAGGCTCAAGGGTTAAGAATTTTTCTTTTGATAGAATATCAGGTATGCAGAAATGACATGTGAACGATTAATTGTATTTGCGATTACATCGTGATACGATAAAACGCAATTTTGTAACCGCAAAGGCTGCGATTTTGACAGGTCACATGATCTGGTCATGTGACGTGAGAGCGAGCGTAGCGAAGCAGAGCAGGTAGAGAGAGAGGCGTCAACACAGCATTCTGTGCACTATGGGCTAATTCCGCTACAGAAGCTACTGCAGAAAGTTTTGTACCAAAGAGGGGTCAAGCAAGGCAGTTGTGTGGATTTATTTTGGCAAGAAAAACGTGCTGCTGCGCAACATGTGCAGAACCTGTCGTGCTACTGTTGCTACATCAGGAGGTAACACTACAAACCTTTATCAACACTTACAAAAAGTAACGAAGCCTTGTAGGATAGTTGAATGAATGGCTAAAACACCAGTGACCAGCGCTTCAACTTCAAACCACGTCTGCGTAACGACGGAAAACGCATCTTATACAGTGATGGCAGCACAGCTGAATGAATGGAAAGACTACACTGCTTTGGGCACCGATTACATCACGGTACGTAGATAAGTATCATGACGTATATAATGGCTCGTGCATGTGTGTGCGCAACAGTGTGTGAGCTGAGAGAGCCTGTGTGTGTGTGTGTGTGTGTGTGTGTGTGAAATGATAATTGCCAGAAAGAATGATTTATGTATTATTCATCTGATATTGTTAACAATAATACAAATTGATTTATTGTTTGTGTTTGTTGAAAAGTTCAGTAGAAGAGGACCTAAGAGAAATTGTGTATTGAATTGTAAAATAAGCAATAATCTTGGATGGGCTATCATTAGTTCAGTATCTGCTCCAAAAACTGTTATATCTTGGTGGATCCCTGATGATGATATATTTTTATATTATTTCATAAATATAAAATATATCATGAACTAAAACGACACAGCTGTTGTGGTGCAGAAAATGGCTGTGATCCCCACATGTTCTTGATCAAAAAGATCATCAGTCATTTAGTACTGCAGTAAAAGCAAAGACACTTGTTTCAATTTTCTAGCAGAAGTCGTAGATCTGCTGTCTTGATGTTCGGGGATATTTTTAAAATTACATTTTAAGGGGTCGTGTGGAGTTTTCTTCAGAAATCATAGGGGTTCTGTTTACATTTGCAGTGACTCACCAAAATACATCGCGTGTGTCCCTGCAATCTGGGAAAAGTAATGAATATATTACTTTCCTCCAAAACATTTTCAAAGGTGAACCTGAAAGTTTAGAAGATCCTGTGTTGTTTACATCCATCCTTACAAGGTTGCACCCTTCCTCTTATCCTGCCTGTGGTGCATTGCAGCACATCGTAGAGTAATGTGTTACTGCCACCTGTAGATCAGTGGAATAATGTGAAACCATTGACAGGATTGTGTTTAGAGACACCAATGCATGTCCTAAGGGGACCTTTACAGGAAAACAGTTTCTTTGTGCTACTTGAGGTCAAATTCTCTTCAGGCGACTGTCTCCTTTATTTATAACCACACATGTCTGTGGACAAAAAGCCCTCGCCTTTTAATGACTTTATCCTTTGAAAATTAAGTCGAGCAAATATTTAGCCCAGGACCGAACCTTCATCCGAACGCAGTGCACAGTCCCATCAGCTGCCATGTCTCTATCTGATGCCCTCCCTCGACCCCTACCCGTCATCACACACCCACAGTCTGCCACGTCAGACAGCTCTTTAATCCCCAGACCCATCACAGCCCCAGCATGCAGCTAAAAACTCTTCCTCTCCCTGATCTGATATGCACGACCCGGGAGATGTCCATGCACCTCAGACTGATACGCTCCCTTTTCTCTTTGTGTCTGAGTGTGTGTAAGGTTATACCAGGACAAGAAGCACTTACTGAGAGGCAGAGGTTTGTATAGTATTCACTGTGCATCTTAGTGTGCACAATTTCAATTATATATACACAGACCTTAAGCTACAATATAGGTAGTTCAGTAAGATCAGACATGGTGTAATTTTCATGCTATACTGTATTTGTAAAAACAACAGAATGATAGATTCCACCTGAAAACTTTGCTTAAAAAGAAACGTGAATGCAGTCATTATATTTCATTTGTATGACGCTCCCGTAGCAGGTCGGTATGTGTATTTACCTCTGCTTTTATCTCTCCACCTGCACATGCTCTCTCCTCTTTCTGCCTTGACAGCTGACAGGCCAGTGTTGCCTCTGGGCACGCTGCTGAAGTGAAATATGACTTACTTTTGGTGGTTTTAATGGGACTGTGATTGCCTGCAGTGCCGGACTGAGCTGTCTGACTCCCAGTCATCTGTCTGCCTGAGCCAGGTTCATCTGATCGCTCCACGCATCAAAGGGATTTTCACTCTGAAAATATTCTTACAGTTTTATATACCATGAATCTGTAATGATCGGGAATTTTTACGGGGTATTTTGTGATGAAACACTCTCACCCTCTCTCAACTCAAGCAGTTTAAATCCAACTGATAATAAAGGTAGATGTGGAAGAGAAACTTTATTTGACCACAGAACTTATTATGAATATTTTGCTGGCTTTGACAAATGGTACTCCTTTTGCTTGATCAACACTTTATTAGAGATACTGGTGTTGTAATTCAAACTCTCTTCCATATGCCGAATGTCTTACAGTTCACTGAATTTAAGACATTAGTAAATAACTTTTGCAAATGTGTTTCCTTGTTATGAAAAACAGAGTGTTTGGGCAACAATGATGAGATGACTTCAATTTGCACATGCTGATTGCTATGTATCTTGATAAGGGTTTGCCTGACACCGCAATAACAATTGCTGACTGCAAATTATATTAAGACAACAAGAGTTCAGCAATCATCAGTCATCAGCATTAGCTGGTAACTTTGCAAACCAAGACTCAGAGAGGTATTAAACCTGTAAATAACAGTGCAGCAGGACTCGTAGTCCTTCGGCAGCTATGGCACTCTCTGCTCTGATGATGACCATCAGCACAAAGACTGAAATAAGAGTACTTTTACCTGCTCTGCTTCCCTCCTGGGGAAGTGGTGTTCTAGATTTAATAAATCAATCTGAGCATTGCCTCAGACGTTTTTGAAAGATTACGTTTGTACAACACAGACAACACTACAGAAACTGTGAGCTGAGCACGTGTGAGATACATCCAGACTGCTCAGTGTGTGTCATTAGCTTTCTCCATGCTGTTGGCTCTGCCTAGCAAAGTGCATGAACTAGAGACTGTTTCCAAATCCAGAGGCTGCAGCTTTTGAAGGACTCAGCCTTTGTAGTCGTTTTTGACAGTTCAGGCCAAGCTGTGTTTAGGCGGTCTGGTGCATGAAAGATTCAGTGTCACATGGCACAGTTCCAGTCAGAGGTGGCTGAGTGTATTACGTGATTGTATGTGAGCACGCCATCATGTTTAAAATAGTGTGCAAAGAATCATGGGATGAGTTTGGCCATGAAGGATTCACTCAGTACAGCCCTTGAAGCCGGAGACAGGACAAGACATCTTTGATGCATTATGTCCTCAGCCTTTCAAAGGCTGCAGCATCCAGATTGGGACGCATCAGTAAAGGCCGGATGTTGTTGTAAACTAGGGCTGGGCTGTAAACTAGGGTGACCAGAAGTCCCAGATTTCCGGGGACAGTCCCCGAATTGGATGACCTGTCCCCGGCAAAAGCTGTCCCCGAAAATGTCCCTGATTTGAGCGTTTGATTAATGAGAACAAAAATGGTTCCATGCTAAGGGGCATGTAGGCTAGTGATTTATATACTATAAACAAAATACATTCGGCTACTGTAATAACCGTTGTTATTACAGTAGCTGAATGGGTAGGAAGCACAAGTAAGCAGCCCTAAACAACAGTTTTTACAGGGGTTATTACAAGGGGTGTGCGCTGCTACTAAATAGTACCGAGATGTTGTCTATGATCATGCAGCCCAGGGGACAAATCCGGGATGTCCCCGGATTTCACGACAGAAATCTGGTCACCTTACTGTAAAATGATATTGATATTTATCAAAAATTAATTTCCCTCTATACGATATGAAACATGGTCAATATGCTTTACGATAGTCGGCATTCTGCCATGTTTTGGAAGACTATGCGAGTTGCCAATGAAAAGGGGAGTTGCTCGGGGTCTACGCCGTGCTGAACCAACCATTCAGTCCGCTTTCTCTAGCGCAACACCTTACGACAAAACATCAGAGAGAGACACAAAGACATCATAGTTGCAGTAGCTTATTGTATTGCAAAAGACATGCTACCAGTAAGCACTGTTAAATTTCATTTAAGAGTAACAGCGAACATTGAAGATTGACAAGTGATTTTTTTTATATCGTGATATATATCGATATCGACTGATATGAAAAAATATATCATGATAAACTTTTTCCTGTATTGCCCAGCCCTACTGTAAACACAGAATAACATTCAGCTGAATCAAATAGATTGGTCACATGACTTTCTCTTCACAGATACCTAATCAGTCAGCAGTACACCAATATCAGGAGTGGATTTGTACATCCCTACTCAACAGAAGTTAAGGCTGTCACTCATTTGATCTCCGGGGGAAAATGTATATTTAAGCTGTAATGACCTGTTTGAACTCATAATAATTGAGTGTACCAGCACATCAGGCCGCCTGAGGTTGTGAGGGAAGGACGCAGTGTGCAGCGGGGGGGTGGACATCGGGAGAATTAAACCTGATGCTGATGTTAAGTGCGAAAGTGACTGAGGTTGAGGGTTGCAGTGATCCATGCTGAAACGGCACACAGAGGAAGCAGAGAGGACAGATTTAAAATTTGGCATCAGCATGTTGATTGGTTGAACTTGAAGGAGTTAATGGAAAAGCCTGGTTAGTGAGTACTGTAGAGTAAGTGCTCATGAGGGTGTTGATAAAAGCAGGAGGAGGACCATGGTGGGATACATGTTAGCCAACTTAGATGCTGCAATTAAAGATAAATCTGGAGCTGTTTTAAAGTTTTTACTTCAAGTTTGTTTGGGTCCTTTGAGATCTCATGGTGATGTTGAACAGTGCACTACAAAGCAGAGAGTGAAGTATCTTATATTAGTAACACTCAGTAGCCATTGGCCATCCAGCCCCCTCTTGTTAAGAGTCAAGCAGCTCTGTATTTTATCTGACTGCTATGCTGATGAAGCCAATGTGCCGCTGTCTATCTTGAATTTATGTTGAATGAGCCACCCAGACGTTACACTCCCAAAGTCTGAGCTTCTTCAAAAGGTCTTTCATCAAAGCTGCAAATACATACTAAATTTACTTAGCCAGTTCAGTGCTAGAAACGTTATTTCAGACTGCCTCAAGAGTTTCACTTTCAGATTTATTTATCAGCATCTCGAGGCTTTTCTTTGCTCTGACTTTTCAGTACTGAGTGTGGCAGATTAGGGCACGCTTGTTCCTGTCAGTGGAAGAATAGAAGTAGAAAGAAAACAAGACTTTTGACCAGCTATAAAGGTCATCCATGCTTTTACACCATATCTATTTATTTTCAGTGTTTCTGGCTCCTTAATCCTGCCATAACAGCATTGAGTGTGATGGTTGATTTTACAAGCCTTGTAGCAGAATAGAGACACAGACTGAAACGCATCTGAAACTTATTATTGTTTTGGTGTTGTCCTTGAAAAACACGATTCCCTTAAATGTCCCTATTCCCTTGTTCAGCATTAGTTTTACTGTGAGACCACAATAGGTTTTTAACACAGTCTTTGAGAGCATTTTGCAGTCAGGCATACAGTGTAGTCTGCCCCAGAGTCAGCACTTTCAAATCGAGCGCTTAATGAAGCTTGGAGGGACAATTAGTGAGGACCGGTTAGAGGACAAGATTGAACCAATGTGGCTGAATGATAAGCCTGTTTTTGTGCAACTTTTGAGAGATAAAGTGATAAGCGATGTTTGTTCTTATCAGACAATAAGGGCTGGGAGTCATTTCATAGTGAGGGAGACACCGATGGAAAAGCTGCTTTCTGTTCGTTGGTCAGCACAATTGGTTCCACGCTAAGGGGCTAAATCACATGACTATCTCTGTACATATCAAACGCTCTTGTTACTATACTCTGGTTGCATTTTGTTCCACTTAACCTCATTAATATAATACAGCAGCACTGTAAAAGTGTTGACTATGTTAACACTAAATCTCATTTTCTTTTCCTGGAATAGTGTATTTGTCTTAACAAAGCTGTGTCCACATACAATGTGCACTGAATTCTTGCAGCACCTTAATTTCGGCATTTACATAATAAGGCCTGAAAATCAATCAAGCTTGGCTGCTGTTTGTCTGATTTGGGCCAAAAGGGTTTGAGCTTGCAGATATATGATCCCTGATATGAGAGTGGATGGAAAGTGTCCCCTGTCACCTTCCAAAAAGCTCGCTAAAAGCCCTGAATAATGGCTCTCTGGTGTGTTTAACTGAGCCAGTGCCTGCAGAGGAGAACAAAGAGACACTCGATAGGAACATAATCCTAATGTACCCCTATGTATAGAGGGATACACACAGAGCAAGAGCCCTGTGTAGTGCCAAGCTTTTAAGCACAATGAAGCAGTTATTTTTAGTCAGCAGACTTTTCCATGTGAACTTGTTGACAAATCTCGATTGTCTCATATGTCACCCTATTCTTCTGTCCAAAGCAGCTCAAGCACAGGGACAAGGACAGTGTAGAACAGCGTGGGTGAGCAGTAATAGGAGTGGACAGGGTGCAACAAAATAAGCCATGACTACAGTGTCCTGAGCGGCTTCAGGACAGAAGTCAGTGTGTCGACATGTCATGCTGGAATAGATGAGCATCAGTAGATAGACTCACTGTTACTTGGAGTGAAGAGAAAAAGAAAGAGAGGGAGGACAGAGACAAATAGGCAGGGAGAGAAGTGTTCAGCTTCTCTGAGTCAGTGCAATGCCCCGAGCTGTTTTTCTTCCTTCAGGTATTTGTTTTCTATCATTTTATCAATGAAAAGGGAAAGACTGCTTTGATGTGGGAGCTGTTAGAAGCGCACTTTGGATGATAAACAAAAGGATTTATTAACAAGAAAGCACCCGCTGCAATGAGTGCATTCCTCCATGAGGCTATAAAATCTGCAGAATGTCCTCATTATAGAGGTAATGAAAATCTGACAAATACACTGTGAAAGCTACCTGGTCTAACAGAAATATATGTGAAATGGCCATGACCCTCTAACACCACATTACTGGGTGGTGGAAAGTGCAGGGATAATACAACCTGCATGTGACATTAGAGAGGAGGAACGCCTGTCTAATGCAAGGTTAATGTTGTGTGATGATGGCTGCAGTTTTAATATGTTTGGACCAGAAAGAACTTGGTGTGGTGCCAAGGACCTGAACTCCAGTCTCCTGAGACAAAGTCTATTTTTTTACCTAACACTGGCCTCCAGCTTTAACCCAAGTCTACTTAATCATAACATTACCTGAGTCACTTTCAGATGCTTATATTTATCATAATTGACATTATATTTGCATACTTTCTCATTATGCTTACAACTAATATTGACACCCCTACTTTAATTACTGTTATGAGGTGTTAGTCTCTCCGCAAACAAACATAGATAATGCCAGCCCATAGAAAATGATAGCCAGCTAGGGGGGCGTGGGGGTGTGGCCCCCAAGAGAAAAAATTTGGCGGTAAAAGCCCAGTTAAGTCAGGACCACTTTTGTCAAAACAAAGTATTTATTTGCATGCAATAATTATATTTTGGTAATACGGTTCTATTGTTAGACCTCCCTGCCCCTCCACCTGCATATGTGGAAGGCCAAAGCCCGCAGTAGTAGCTGGTCATTGTTAAGGAACTATAGTCAACTGTATGACTGATACTTTTGTACTTGGTGCTTGCATTAAGATGTGGGGCAGGTACACAGTCCATGGTTGGCGAGAAAGAATTGTGTAATTGGTTTTGTGTCAAAAGTTACCCTTTCAGCAAAATACCCTAACATCCAGAAACACAACATACTTCAACACAATCCACAGCTGTAGCTTGCTGAAAAGCAGTCATAATGGAAGTGAGTTACAATTGAAAGATGACTGTAAATCATGTAACTATCACTTCACTGAGTATTTATGTTGATATCATAATTAGTCTACTCAAAGGTTTGCTTCCATCAGCAAACATTCACTGTCTTAAGCTAGGCAGACTAAGCAGGAAAACCTCAGTCTGTCGAATAGAGTGTGTCATTTTGCTTGTAATAAGTCCCCCCCCCTTTCCTGAACTATACACCTTATTAATGGAGAGACTGTATCAGAAATAATGCTGTTAGTGTTCATGTTAGAATTCACGTTAGTTCCCAGGTAGCTAGCAGCTGGTAGCTGTAAGCTAATGAGCCAAAGTTGCGAATTGTCATAGATTTAAGTAGCTCTAAAAAGTCATTTACCTCCAATGCTGCTGCCTTAACTTACTTGTAACCGAGGCCTTAGTTATCATTAGGAGTAAACAAATAATGGTTTTTCGTTACAGATCCCAATTGTTAGTCGCTCATCAGACTGATATTTGGATTAGATATGTGATGACAGTAAAAATAAAAAACTTTCTGTCTGAGTTTTGAATTTAAAATTTTGTAAACTCCAGTTACACTTACTGTTCATGTCAAGCCAATCAGATAGTGTCGGTGAAAGGGGGTTGTGTGAGAAAACAGACCCAGAGGGAAAAACACATCAGCAGAGGAGTGTTCTTTTTTTTTTTTGTTTCAACTTTTTAGATGGATCAGTTTTACCTGTCATTTGTATATGAAAAGACTGATAAAGATAATAAGTTAGATGCTAAATATCGGCCCTGTTTATATTCTGAGGCTGATAGTCAGTCTGTCCATAGTAATCATGTACAATCATTATGTTATGTGACTGTTTGTACAGTTGGACTAGTTTAGAAAAGATCCAGTAGATGCCCCAGCTGTTCACCCAGAATGATGACTTTAACAATAATGACTGTCTTGCAACCCTGCAGGCAAATGTACCCAACCGCAGTTCAACCACAGAAAGTGTTTTTTTATTTTTTTTTGTGTGCTATTATGAAAATATATTTCAGAGGTCTTTCCTGCCTTTATTTTGAGGATAGGACAGTGGGTAGAGCAAGAGAGGATGGCCGCAGGCTGGATCAAACGTGGAATGCCCGTGTGAGACATAACCTCTGTGTCGGTCTGCTTCGACTGCCAGGCCAGTGGCGCCCTGACAAGTTTGAAGTGTTACTTTGAGTATCTGTCACAATAATACTGAAAAAATGACAATGAAAATAGACATTTAAGTTAAAATAATGTCAAACTGCTGTTATGTTATTGCTCCTTGCAGAGCAACTAGACACCAACAGAAGAGTTTTTGTCTGATGCTGCTCAGATGTTTATTTTTGTCGAATTGTGACTTTGGTGTTTTAAATGGTGTGATTATGTCTCAGTGAAGGGCTTTTGAATATCCTTTTTAGCTACGAAAAGAGGGCCCTTCAGAAAACATTTGGGAACCACTGTGAAAGTATCCCTGCATTATCCTGCATTTCCTCAGGTCCTTTTCCCTCAGATCCACTGACAATAGAACTTCAGAAGTATGCTTACATTTGAGCACTAAAGGAAATGGTCTTATGTCCTCAATTTTAATACATCATTTTAAGAGGGAGGGGTAGTGTCCCATTACCTCTTAAAATGCTGGTGATAGCTAAACGCTGAAATCAACTGAAAGTGAAGCCAAAATTTCACACAAGAAATCATGTAGAATCAGACTGAGGTGGAAAATCTGCCTCCCTGGAATCATGATACAGAACTACAACAAGCTTTTTGGTTTGGCTCAGCTCTGCCTTAGATAAAGAGTGAAGCGGGCTCAAAAACACACAGTCACCTCTCTGTCCGCAGTAATAAATAAGTGAATGAAATAATGAACATCTCTTTTAATACCCTCTACATGCCTGTGCGTGGTTGCGGGGTTAAGTGTCCGCTGGGCTGAGTTCCAGACAGCTGATGCGTGTCATAGCCTGCTGTGCTGTTAGAAAAAAAATAGTGCTGCTGTCCGTACTGTCACAACAGCAGTGCTTGGCTTCACTGCTGCCTAGCCTCCCCCCCTCCTCCTTTTTCTCCCCCATCCCTGCACAGACATGACGCCTCCATCCATGGGCAGAAAACAGAAGGGTTTGTGCATTAAAGATACAAATTCAATCAAAATTCTCTCCTCCCAGAGTTCCCTCCTCCTCAGTACAAACCTCTGATTTATAATTTCATACATCAAAAACAGCTCTGAGCAGTTTAATGTCCCGCCGCTTTCCATAAACAGTCAGGAGGGATTGGTGAGGCTCTTCGTCAGAAGCAGTTGACCAAGCTTCTCAAATTTGTTTCCCTTCTCCCAGGCTTCAATCCACCTCACTGTTGAATTATCCCCTCTTGTTTACCATTTTCTGCACATGAGAGAACAAAAACAGCTCAAAGCAAAAGGGGGGAGCAGTGTATAATATGAGCAGAGCTGCAGGAGCCCCGGCAGTGTCATGTCTGTGTCCTGGTAGCTCAAAGATAGTGACGGCTGCAGAGAGGGAGAGGAATTAGTGTGGAATTGAGCTTTGCGGTTTATACATGCTGGTTGTCGAGGGTTAAAGAGACGAGTCAGAATCATGACGCTGTGACCGGAATATAGAAATGTATCTAAATCAAAAGACTTTTTGGATCATACATGCTTGGAGTATCAATTTCTTACCAGAGGATGTGATCTCATGTTGTTAAACCACACTAACAATCAGTTTCTACCTTTAATTAACAAATGCTGAGGTAAGATTATAAGATTTTTATGGTACGTGATGGTCGCTGTGTCACATTTAGGAACACAGAACCAGAAATTTATGCTGTACCCGACCAGTCATCACGTCCGATGTAATGATGTTGGAAAAAAGGCGAGACTGGATGACTTTAAGAAATGCTAACAGCAGTTAATCACAGGGTTGCTGAAGACGAGTGTCTGTTTTTTTTTTTTTTTTGACGTTTTCCTTCCTTAAGTCCATCATGCTCATCGCGTGATGACACATCATAAATGCAGGGGTGTTGCTATTACAGCTTGATAAACTTTTCCTCTGTCTGATCGTCTTGCAGCACCAACTTCACAATTCGTCGTTTGTATGACCCTGTGATGTTTGTGCGTGAGGGATCTGCTCGCATATGTCAATGTCATTGATGTGACCTGACAAACTGGAGAAACCAGGAGGAAAAAAAACAAACATTTTACACTTCCTGTCAAGGAGGTTGAGGTATCTCAGATGTGGCCTTGATTTTAGTTCACAGTCAATCAGAAGGATCATCTGCCTGTGCTGGATTGAGTTATGGGGGGATGGGGGGTCAATTTCTCAACACCTCACCATTTGATCCAGTTTTAATACCTGAAGCCAGGATTTGACCCAAAATTAATTCTTGATTCAGACCGGTTTGTGATTCTCTTGTTGTTGCATGGAGCTGCTTATTACAGGACTTATTTCAGACTGCTAAGGTTAATCATTATAAGACGTCAAAGGAAAATGAGTTTAAGTGTATGCGGCTTTTATATTCTGAGTCTTTTTCACATGATTGGAATAATAAGACAAAGAGGGAACATTTGTTTCATGCTAAAAGAAGAAGAAATAAAAGCTGATTTTAGGACCGCAAAATTGTCTCTGACTTCAACTATATATGGTAAAAAAAATAAAAGTCCATGTCACACAAATGAGAAATAAACTTGATCCATTATGTGAGACTTGGGCCAGCTGCCACTGTATTTACTGGGGACTTAATTGTAATAAATGTTTTTGAGCATTTTACATTTTTTATGATTATTAAAACAAACGATAGTACTCAGTACTTTAACTTGTTGTGAGGGATGGATCTGATGATATATGGAAGGTTTATCAAAATGAATTGAAATGATATTTGATTTTCTTTTTGTCCATTCAGAGTTGGCTTTGAGTTTTGAAGCACACCCAAAAGCTGGATATTGATGATTATAGATTGGACTGGCAAAATGAAACTAAAAGAACTTTGAGATTCAATTTTTGGACTTTTTAAAAATTAGTTCAAAATGATATGAATTTGGAAAACTCCAACTGTCTGTTTAAGCTACAAGATGTTGAAACTGAGCAGAGTAATTAAACTCCTCATTTAAACTCTCATAGTAGCAGCCTTCATTTAAGAAGTTTGCATGAATTTGTCTCAAAGTCCCAAAATTCAGCCCACAATGAAAGGTATTTCTGTCAACAGTGAAACGAAAATTAGATCTTAGACAAAGTTTAGTGGATTTAACCATCAATCTCTGGCTGCACTGCTTAAGTTTGAAATAAAGAGTGATCCATCAGTGTGTCAGTGGAGTTCAAGAGGCTAAAGAAAGTGTTGGTTTAAGCTCTCATTTGCTTGCACTTCAGCAGTTAATCATTACTGTTATGATCCATTAATCTGGCAGTTCTCAAAGTGTCAAAAATGGGAATTACAATTCCCTTTAACCCAAAGTTACACCATGAAACCACCCCTCTGTCCAAAAGTGCGAAAATATTTTACACAAGTAAAAGAAGTTTGACTTTTAATCAGCAGAGTTATGGTTGGTTTAGTGATTTAAGCTGATTATAAAAAGTGCTGTTGCCGAACTGTTAGTGAAGTCATTTTCAGTTTTTGATTTTTGTTTTCAGGCCACTCTCTTTATAAAGCCAACGAAATGAGCGACCTAATAAATATAGTAAGGGATACAACCTGTTAATCTGCTTCTACAATTCAGCTGTATAGTGTGTGGAAATGTTAAGATAAGCTCATCATGCAGACCTGCAAATTCAATAATGTCCTCTGTTTTGTACCACTCTTTCACCAAATTGCAGCACTTATCACTCTCTTCTATGGAGCTTTCTTTTCACCCCACATAGCAGAATAATCTCTCTCTGTCTCTATCACTACCCCTTGTTTTATTTGCACACCTTGTCCTCTGTTGTCCATTGTTAAAATTCTCCCATATGCTCTGCTCAGTCTGAGCAGGTGGCAAACTGCGGGTGTACTCCACACCTCCGTTCATCCTGGCCTTGGTCCCTGCACCCAATTTTGTGTTTCCTCTGGGCACGCTAAAGCGGGAGGGACAGGGGCCAGGAAGTTCTTTTATTTCACAATAAGGTGGTTTGACTACCTGACCTCTAGCGGCCTTGAAGTAGACAGATATCAATTGTTATCCCAGTGACTACAGAAAAACATGTCTCCTCCTCCCACTCTTTACTTTATATATCTGTTTTTAAAGAATGGATTTAATGATGCAGAGCAGCATTTTTATTAATCACATTGCAGTACATAAGTGATTTATTTGAAGAAAAGGAATTAGGTGGAATCATTTTAATAGCATGAAGAGACTATCTTTATGACATGAATTGTGCTGGCTAATGGAAAAAGAGATTTATCCCTCTGAAAACAAATTAAAAACAGCATTAATATAATTCCCTGGGGTATTGGTGACATTTAGGAACATGTACGGGGTCAGTGACCTGCTGCTGTTACTGGATTAAATCCTATTACAGTTTTCGTGTAAAGGCTGGAAAATATCTGAAGATGGAATATGTGTTCAGATAGCTTTACAGTGCCAGCTGTGTGAGCGCACACCGCCTCAGGCTAATCATTGTGTGTGTAATTCAGAAAGCATGGACTCAAGAGCCTCTGTGATTTCCACAGTATGAGCTGGACTAACCTCAGGATCATCTGCATGTTTTCAGATTAGAATATAGCAGTATGAGGGAATGTGAGTGACTGGAATCCTTCTGTGCATCCCAGGAATCCTAAATGTCCCACCACATTCAGGAGGACTGTGTGTGAATGTGTGTGTGTGTGTGTGTGTGTGAGTGTGTGGCTGGATGCACTTCAGCAGGGGAAACATACTGAGGAGGTGGAAGGTGTGACAGGACTGCAAAGCTTCAGAAATGGATAAAAGAAACCCCTATATGGATGTGTTGGGGATGTGTGGAGGATAAAAGGAGAGGACAGGACTTGAATTGATGAGAGACACGGATGTATTGGTGCATTATTAACCCCTGGCTTCTTTGTCAAAGTAACTGTTCTGTAAACATCCATATCTCTCTCTCTCTCTCTGCAGCGTCATTTCTACACAGGCGGCAAACACTGTAACACGAGTCCATTGTCTGTTTTTAGAAGTAGCGTTATCTTCGCCAAACTTGTGCACACAGCCACCATCTCTTGAATAATTCTATTTGTTCCACTTTGAAGATTTTCTCTTTTCCGCTCCTTTGGGAAATACATAAAAGTCTGCCCTTGGTGTACTGTCTGTAACTATCAAAAAAATAGCCTGCTGCGAGTGAAGTGTTTGTGATTTGTTCTCTCACCTTGGCACAGGTCAAAATAAGTACCACTCAGAAATGACGGGTTTTATTTGCAAGTCATTAAATTATCAATTCATACTTTGACAGTGCATTAAACACTGTCAGAATTAATTCCAACTATACCAGCCATCAGCATCCATACTGTTTGAATTGTCTCTGACATGCTGCTTTGACATACCTGACTGTCTTTTTGTAATGGCTTCATCTGTCATGTTCACTGAAACTAATTCTGTACCGACGTGCTCCCTGAAGAAATATGCATTCTGCTAAGGCCATCAGATTTTTCACACCCCCTTTTAATGGGACTGCAACAACATGTCAGTTTAGGCAGTTTTGGGCTAATAAATCAGTTCTGAGTCATTAACAAGAGGAACAGCTCCAGGGATTCAGGTTGGGTAAAAAAAAAAAGAGTATTTGGCTGGTGTTTATTGTCTTCTCCTGGAATGATGACTTTTTGTTTTGAAACCACTTTAAAGAAGACTCTTAATGGGGATTTCAACCACTTAACTTTCGGAAAGAGCTGTAGAGAATCAGCCAAAATGAAATTATTAACATCTAATCAACATTCATTGCTGCTAATCTGATGGGCTGTAGTTAATGCTCTTTATTCAAGTCTAAGGGAAATATTTTAAACTGATCGTTACCCTAGTTTAGCTCTGTTTATGTTGGTCTGATGTCTTTCTTTCACATTTTCAGTATTTGCTCCAAGGACACTTTAATATATAGACTTAAGGAGTCAGGGACTGGGCCGTTTAATGAACACAGAAGAAATGCAGTGACAAACAACATGACATGGCATGCCAAAGAGAAGGCACGATAATGGCCAAGATTGTAAGGCTAGCAGCTCTTCTTATATGGCTGCTGTTAAAGGAAACACCCACGGGATGAATTAAACACCTATATATGTTGGTTACATCCTTTACAGACATGGTCAGAAACATACCTCCTAATGGTGAGCATGCAGGATCTTCAAGGACATGAAACACTTTAAACCCACTCTCACAGTTTGCCTTTTGTTATGACCCTGCTATCAGGAAAGTTGTTTCAGATAATGTCGTTCAGCTGATCCATAAAGGATTAAAAGACTGCTCGTATATCATTAACATGGCTAGTAGTTGTAATATATGAGGGCAGAGTAAAGTGTACCTTGTAAGAATCATAAATGGATTTATTTGAGATGGGATTAAGCTTCAGTTTTATATGTAGGCGTTTGTTGAATGACCATGAATGTTAATCTGTCTTCTGGCCTCTTTCTCCCCACAGAAAAACCCACCTATGATGCCTCTGGCTCCTCATCTTTACCAAGCGACCATGTGGTCACAGCTGCTTCTGCACATCCATTGGCTGACCTGTCTGTGGCAGAGGAGGTGCCTTTCTCAGTCGTTCATCCCGATGGTGGCTCGGAGTCTGAGGTGGAAGGTTTATCAGGGCGGCCTGCCTTTTCTTCTGTCTTAACTGTCATGGCAGGAACCGTCAAACATCCAGTGAGCCTTGATCAAAGTCGAACCTTGCCAACTATCACTAGGGATGACACCCACACCACCCAATGGCCTTCACATAGTTCCAGCCAGGGCTCAGAGATGTCCTCTTTTTCCTCCTCATCAGCGAGGGAAAGGACCCTCCTTGCCAGCTCAGGTTTGACCTCTAACACGTTTCACCAGCACACCGTTCCACCTCAAGTGTCTACCATGGCATCAGAAGTCTCTGGGCCATCACATGTGTCCTCCATTAGAGGAAACATGAATATCTCATCATCTCCATCATCATTAGTATCATCTCTTTCATTGCCATCGTCAGTACCTCCACCTAGTCAATCAACGTCTATCCTACCATCAGTTTTATCCCTATTTTTAACTCCTGATGGGTGGATTAAACATGCTGCTTCATCTCAAGATGAAAGCCCAACCCATCAAAGAGACACAGCAACACCATCACCAGCAGGTTCTGTGGGCTGGACAGATAGTCGAAGACCCACAGAGTCCACCACTTATCCGTTGGTTGATCTACCAGCTGTTGCAAAGGAACTGCAAAGCACTACACTGAAACCATTATACAGTCAGAGTGAAACCAGCAACGACGTAAGCAATAAAGAGAAAAAATATTCATTTTTCTCATCAGCAGCAATAACGCATGGAGTGGGTGAGAAGTATAAATGGAGTACAAGCACAAAAGTCGACAAAACAGCAGCAACAATCAATGCCTATACATCATACAAGGATCCTGACCATGGACAAAATCTTCTAAATATTTTAGATGGACCCACTCAAACACGGACACCCTCTATGAACTCTGTATCAGCCAAAAATCTTGACATTAGCACCTCCCATCCTACACATTCAGAGAGTCAAGCTGTTCAAATGCAACAGGGAGCTTCTCTGAATCCCAGATCACCACTGCTGTCAGTCATTCCTCAAGACTTCTCAGCTGCCACTCAAGTGACAGAACAGATGTTGAACCTAACAGCATATGCAACAAATGACAAGAAGATGGTAGCAGATAGTCGGTATAATGTTGGAGAAGCAATCATTTCAGCTCCTGGTTCATATGATGTAAATCCGACTGAAACACCAGCAGTGAGGCTCAAAACCACAGAATTATTCCTTTCCGTTCCCTCTCAGTCTCTCCTTGGTAAAACATCTTTTACTGAAACTGCAATCACTAAACTAACACATATTCCTTCTGGCACGTTATCCTCAGTGCATGCATCTAATCCTGGTGATTTACTGATGGCAGCAGGTCAAGGCAGCCCCAGAGATCCTGCCATCAATATAAATTACAGCAGCAGAGAGGTAGCAGGAGCAGAGCTCAAATCTATTTTCACTCAGATCCACCTGAATAACTCACTTTCACCCACACAGACAAAGCCGGGGTCCACCTCTGGTTTCATCATAGAATTGATTACCAGAGCAGGAACAACCTCCTCCACATCTGAGTCAGATTCTTCTGATTTGCCGAGTAACGGAGGCATATATGTAAAAGACTTTGTAGCTGAAACAAGATCTCCCATAGGTATGACTCAGAGGCCTGGGGCGTGGACGATGCCGAGCATTATATTTTCCCCCAAAAGTAGGAAAATTACTGTTTCTGGTTCAACAATTCCAGGAGGGTTTGCAAAGGATATGTCTCGAAAACCCATGAGCACAAATCTTACTCCCACTCATCCCACATACTCATTACCCTTGACCATCAGCGACAGCCCAAACCACAGCAAACCTAATGATAACACTGGCCTATCTGATCAACCCAAAGGCTTATTGTTATCCACAATTACCCCTTCACAAAGACCCTTTCAGACAAGATCTTTACTTAGCTTTCCCCACAGGTTGCATCTCACTTCTGGTCGTACCTCAGCTCCCAATAAATCTCAGCCGACAGCTGAGATCTCTGCTCATATCGGAGAATCTCCAAAAGCTGGCAGCAGTAAAGCCTCCACTTTAGAGTTGGATATAAGTGCAGGAAACATCAAAACACCACCAGCCTACAATGTTCTCATGACAGAAAAAGGGATGCCTGCTGTGAGCTTTGAGATAAATGCTACAAAGAGTTCAGTTTCTTCCTCATTAAATGGAAATGAAGAGCCTACTCTAATCACACACACTATGTTTTACAATAAGGATGCTCCATTAGTGCGGCTAACAACACAGATTTCTTCTTTTAATACTGCACAAGACTCATTATTGTTTAATAAAAGATCTGAAGTCTCCTTCAGAGGATCTCCTATTGAAATCCCTGTTTCTACGTTGGTTCTTGATGCTACATTAGAGCCTCTTACAACGCTTTCTCACAAGGATGACATGACTCGCATGAGCCATTATGAGCGTCTCTCTCCCTCCTCCTGGTCAGATATCATCCAAACACCAAGGACAAACTCTATATCTCACTCTCGAGGACCAGCCACTAGTGTAAGAGACGATAAATCAGATTTTTATTCAAGCAAACACACAACCATTTCCTCAACTACTCCCTCTGTGAAAACTACTTCCTACAGTGATCAACAAAACAGCAGAGAAACATTTGGTGCTATTTTCAGCTTTGGCACCAAACAGATGGCACCATATACAAAGTGGAAAGCCACCAAGTCTGTGCCTTTTCAAAGCACTGCAGTCAAATTGGAAACCACATCCATTGGCTTTGATAGGGCGCATACTAGTGCACAAGCAGATGGACCATGGTATGAACATCCAAAACTGGAGGAGAGACCAGAGCGTAATGAGCATGTGTTAACTTCAGCTGATTCAGCTGATGTTGTGACTGATCCATATTCACTTTACCCAACTGATGGAGAACATACATCCTTTGCATATACTAAAAAGCCATCAGGATTTGAAGAAACAAGTCTGAATTTGTCCCCTGCTAATCTAAGATCTGCTTTGGCAGTGAGTATTGAGGAAAGGGTCTCCGATTCAGATGACTCTCTGGCCTTCTTTCACACAACTGGCATTGTACCATCATCACAAGAGCCCTCTCTGACACTGGTATATAAAGATCAGCACAGTCCCTCTCTGGTAGATGTCCACTCTGCTGAATCTGCTCTTGATACTGAAGATATCAAACACACAACTGCTTCTAAACTAATAGAGCTGGTGCCATCATCTTCAGAGGCTCGGCCTTCATCAAACAGTAGTGTCAAAGCTGCTCAGTTATCCTCCTTACAGATATCAGTGTCTTCTTCATCATTGCCATCCTCCTTGTCACTTCATCCAACCCTGTACCCTGCCACAACATCATCATCTGTGTCCGTCAAAGCTGCACCAGACACTGTCCCATTCTCATCACCAAGTCTGACCTTATCAGTAGATCCCGATCCCTCTGGGGAAATGACTCAGACCTTTGTTGTCCTTACAGAGGCAGGCACAGACGACTTGACCGCTGGAACATCTCGAGCTGTTGCGCTCACTTTCCCCAAAGAAAAAGTGTCCAGTCTCGCCCCCTCTCAATCAGTCAGAATACCCCTTTCTGCTGGGCCCACCGAGAGGACATCTCAGGTATCACCTCTGCCCCCTCAACAGGACCCCATAACAACCTCTGTAGAGGTCACCACCACAACTGTAGCTTCAACCACCAAAACAAAAGAGCCCACCACAGCCATGCCTTCCCTCAGAGTCACCACACAGTCCACCACCACCACCACAACCACGCCACAGCCCACACCTGTGACCAAAAGAGCTTCAACTACCGCAACCATCAGGACTCAGACCAGCAGGAGGATCTTCACACCACCTGTCCCCAGAACCAGCCCTCCAAGGACAGTCACCACTGTCTTTGTTTCCCCCTTCACCACCACCACCGAAGCTCCACCACAGCAGTGCAACATCACAGAGAGACTGTGGGTGAAAACAGGTGAAGCATACGTTTGTCTCAGTCTCTCTCTTGTGTTACCATTCTTCTTACATTTGATTTAATGTTTTCTGGCTGTCTCTCTTTTCTTGTTACTTTGTCTCTCTGCTCTAGTCGTGTCCATCTACGTGAGGAGAAACAGACTGGACAGCATTCAGAGGCAGAACCTGAGAAGGGGATTGAGTCAGGGTCTCCGCAAAGCTCTGAATGATAGTTCAGCTCAGGCTCAGGTCAGTCTGTTAATTTGGTGATTCATCAATAAAACAGCTGCTGAGAAAAGTCAATATATGTGTGTAAGCATGTATTTATCCAGAAAAACCAGGTGTGCAATATTGAGTTTGACTGAAAACTGTTGATGTGTGATTTTTTTTTCTTCAAACCACGATCTCACTTGGAACAAAATGAACATGATTGCACCTTTCTAACTAAATTACCTTTCTTTTATGAGCTTACTAAGCCAGTTTTAAAAAAAAAAATGAAGGTCAAATGGTTTGTATTCATTAGCAAAATGAGGGTGAACCAACACATGACTTCATAAACTTTACAAATAGAAACAGTTAAGTTGAATGTCATCATACAGTACATTTAAAACATTTTTTTTTCATATTTATAATTCATGACACATCAGCAGCCCTGTGACAGAGATTTCTTTGGAGATTTCATTGCCTCATAAAACGATTATCTGTCATGCGTTCACTTTGATCATTTTTCTGTCTTGCTTTGAGGTTGCATTATTTCCTGCATTGTTTTGTCAATCCTGATATACTTTGGCAGCCTTGTGATGTACCATTGCATGATAGTCTTGTAATATATTGACGGTAGAATTGTGAAAATTGCGGGCAGTGTAGTGTTTTATAATATATAATGAGTCACCTGTAGTTTCTACCTACATTATTCACAGTTATATAGCCACCATGTGCATAAATGATATTCCAAATATACACTACTTTACTTTTGGAAACATCACTCCCTAGCACTACCAGATGAAAACTAAGCTAAGTACCTTAAAGACATGCAAATTCCAAACTAGTTTTAAAACAAGAAGGCATTTTCTTTTTATACACATAATAATAATAGTAAAATAAAATTAAAGCTGAAGAGTTTGTTACTGAATTATTTCTTTCAAAACTGCTGGGGTGACTTATGTTGCTTCCAAGTCAGAGATACTACAATTATCAATACTTATTATGTTGAATTTGTGACTGTATTGGTCATGTCTTTGTAATTTACACACTTTTTTATTATATTGTAAAAGCCAATTCAGCCACAAATGTAATCTAAAAAATGAAAAAAAAAGCCTTAACTGAATGCAGACAGAGAAACAAAAGGCCTTTTAATCTGCATTGTTTGGAAATTGCTAAATGGTCTAGTTTTCCCTTGAAGTAGTGTGTTACTATGACTTGTTCATTGACAGATTCCTTCATATTGACACTAACTGTTGCTTGGCCCTGGGCTAAGGCCTAATGATCAACAATTTTCTGACTAGTGAACTCTGATTGGTGGCTAATTGTGCTCTGACACAAAATCTGGAGGTACATTAGCATCAAGTGAGTAATGCACTTCTGCCAAGGACCCTCATGTAGGCTATGAGAGAAGAGATGAGGACTAATATAGAAATTGGGTTGACTGACTGTGTCCCAGAAGGCAGCGGGTGATGTCACATATTTGAGTAACTGTACCAACACTGAAACAAGATGTAGATGAGGTGCTGTAGAGAAGTGTCTCTCCACTTGCCTCGTATTTACAAGAGAGAGGCTTTTATTTACAGCCAGAGAATCTCTCCACACTTCACCAAAATGTAATCTCATCAGAGCAGTGGACTCACTGGATTTGGTGTAACAGGAAAAAGCAGGAGGAAGACAGTCTTAACATTTCCCTTCAATTGTCATACAAACCATCCAGTGCACACACAATGATTTTTGTGTCTATGGATTAGCCGTTTGTGGAACCAATCGGGGTTCCCACTGTGCCAAAACCATTCACTCTCCGGTAAGCCTCTAAAACCTCAGCTCAGTGTGACTTTGTATCAGGAGCACCTTTTGGAGCAATGTAGAACTGTTTGAATCACTACACCAGTGAGATAAAAGTACACACAATAGAGGCATGAGAACATTTTTCTAGCTTTGACAAACATACTCTCTGCTAACTCTTTAATCTACCTCTAACCTGACTACTGTTTAGCGGCTAGCTAGATATCAGATCTAACTCGCCTCTTAAACAATACATGACACCCTGTTTATGGGCAGTACTGGGGCATATCTTAGCTCCTTTTGCATTGCATGTTCAAGATGGGATTTTTACACCTCTGTTCTGCCACAGTGAAACCACACACCGGTGGAATAGTGTGGTAAACGTCCCGCTGCTTAATGGACATCAAAGATTGTAAAACAATTACAGAAGGAAAAAACAAAAAAGAAATACTTGAAAAGCCCTCGGAGGAAACCGAATTTTTCACTCTGTTAGTGAACATGTCATACATGTTCAGTAACAGAGGTAATCGCACATGCATAGACAGGGTTGCAAAGACATGCAGTCATGGGAAAGGTGAGGGGGCTGCACACAAAAGGCTTCCCAGGTCCTGATGGTTGGATGCCTTGCTTAAGCTTACCTGGGCAGTGCTTGTAAAGTGAACTTGCTTCTTTCCAGCTATCAAGCTATCAAATTTTGAGTTATTAATCAGCCCTGAATCGGTCAACTTCTGGTCTTCAAGCCAAATCATTACAGACTGAGAGGTGCAACAGAGACAAAACATTGTGAATATAAACAACAAAGTCAGCAGGACAGAATTTGGCTCAGTGACTAACATTAATGAGTTTTGGGCTGGTAGCAAAAATGACGACTAGTCACTTTTATTTCTCACTGGCTTGGATGCCAAAAGTGAAGATGTCCCCTTTTCTGGACTGCTCAGGATGTTTTATACATTGAATGTATGCCAAGAGGGCTAAGAGATACATGTCAATCAGAGCAGTTCTGCATATTTGTGTTTGAGACCCACTATGAGACCTGTGGCCTTCTTGTACCACCTGTTAAGTGATCCAGACCATTCGGCTTAGTGTAACGCAAAAATGACGATGTCAGAGAAAGCAGACTTTGACTTGAGTTGATGGATTAATAGACATGTGCCCAGCTCAGTCCCCAAGCTGCTACACGACTACACCGACAACATTTCACCCGTCTTTACCTGTGTATTTCAGTGAATCAGGGTGAAGCCAATCAATCAAGTGTCTTGATAACACAGACAACTTTAAAACTTGTTTACATCTCAGACTGGGATTTGCTGTTAAAGGAAAATATTCTTGAGCTTCTGTATCACTAAAAACCACACACTAGAACACCGATATCAAGCTGTTGTAGTGTTTGATGTAAAAGCTCAAAGACGTGATGACTTGGCTGCAGCAGAATCTCCATGTAAAAAGAGCCTTGGACAACAAAAACAGTACCTGTACTGGCACCAGAATTGGGCAAAGGAGCAATATTTGCTAGTTGGTGAAGTGATGTCTGTTTTTAGTGCAAATGCCGACCTTGTGAAATAACTCGTAGCAGCTGGAATAAAAATTGGTTGTAATAAACACTCTGCAGGTTGCATGAAATAAATGGAATACATCCCGCACATAAAATGTCTTTCCTCTCACTCTCCACTGGGCTGAAGTGCCTGTAGAGTGTTGCAATTTTAAGCAAGTGTGAAGTGTGAAAGTGTGTGCATATTCAGTGTATGTGTGTGCTTATGTGTGTGTGTGTTTACTGGGACATCTGCAGCCCCGTTAAATGTCTTGGGTTTAATATTTCTTGAAGTCAAAGTATCAGATAATTGAGAGGGAGGCCTGTGTATCCGTCCTGTCCATGTGAAGGTCAGTGCTCTCACATGCTCACTCTCTCTCCTGGTAAAGTCTCAGGAGATGCCTTGCTTCGGTGCACTCCTGTCACCCATTTTAACATTGCTCGGGCTCCTTTTAGTAGCACTGTGCTCTCATCCAATGGGAAGCAAGCTGTTGGCAAGGGAAATTGCTTCTGTGTTTAATTATAGGGTATAAACGGTTGGGAGGAGAGCGATGTGCAGTGCTGATGTTAAAAAGATGATGAGAGATAGGCTAAATGGATTAAAGTATTTGAATCTTTGGAATAACACACACATCCACATTTTTGGGCTTCTACAGTGAGTGTGAACTTTCAGAAATGAGTCCGATCGTTGGGGTTAATCTTTTGGCTGCCCTTCACTCTCTTTGAGACAGAGTTAGTGGGTGTGTTTCCTCTCTCTGGTTTGCTGGAAATGCAATCTCTTAATAACACCTTCACATGGGTGAAGCCTGAGAGGATGAAGTGATAATAAAGGGCTCTTTTCACAGAGCTGGTTACAAGGCTCAATTGTGAGCAGACAGCGCTGTGACTCTCAGCTACAGAGACTGTAGGCTCTCAGTGTTTGGGCCAGCAGATCTCCATGTCAGCACTGGCTTTCAGATAGGTTTAGATAACTAACCTGAATGGTTTCACCTCTACTTTACACACATACACACCTGGTTTCATTCCATCCATCATCAGTCTTTTTTGTGTTTCCACGTGAGCACACAGTTCACCAGAAAGTCAAACTCTCTGATGAAGAAACACGTCAGCATCTGTAAATATCTTCGACACATGGTTATGAAACACACAGTCTGACTGTGTCTTTATCAGAATGAGAGCACTGTGATACCTGTCCTCTAGGGTAGGAAGTGAAGGAACATAAGCCTCTTTGTCCTAAACTCACTGTTTAATAGTCCTCTCCACGTCCTGCTCATCTGTACTCTCCTCTCTCTCTCTTCCCTGCAGCCCTCTAGTCCTTCACACTTCTCCCTACAAATCTCTGTTCAGTAATCACTCGCATTTCTGTTTCTTTTGTTTGTAAGTGAGCGGATTGAAAACTCTTTGAGTTCCCCGTCAATTTAAAACTCAACAACACATGCCTCAATAACAAAAACTTAATTTATTCCAAATCATTAAAAAAACTGAAGATTTGCTTTGAAAGTGCATTGTAAATTTGCCTGCACTGTTCTGCAATAACATGCTAAAATACACATATTTGTTAATAAGGCTTATATTTCTCTATCTGTATCTTAGTGAATGCTGAACTGAATGGCTGTAAGTGCAACTCATGCACAGAAACATGAGCGAAGTTCACTCTGGAGACATTAAACCAAAGCTCACATTCCAGGCGGATCAGAGGAGTGTCGCAAGTTACAAAGAGTAACCAAGCACTGAGTTTTACTGTAGCTTAAGTTGGATTTACAGCACTTAGCATACGTTCAGCACGGCATATTCTGCTAATAGCTTCGATGTAGTTTGATGATGAAGCAAAGGGAATGAAATCCACAGGCAGGTGTGGTTTGAGACAGGTGCAGCTTTTATAGAAGGAGACATTTTTTGTGTAAATATTTCTTTGCCTTTAGCGCCTTTATTTCAGTAAACCACCCACATCACTTTTACAAAGCAGATCTTCCCTGAGTGTTCGACTGTTAAAGTTAAGTCCTCTGGCCAAGTAGTTGGAAACAACAAAAAATAAGCTTTCAAAGCTGCAGTTTTTCAATCAGTAAAGCATTCTCCAAAGATATTTTTTTGTTTTTCAAACTAAGCATTTGTCTATGATTTAACAAAAATCATACAGTAATTCATTTAGTTTAGAAAGTGTCAATATTTGAAGGTTACAGATTGAAGCTTGGGAGGCTCTGCTGACAAAAAAAGGTTCTTATGTAGTGGATGAACATTTTTCTAATCTGAAATATTTAAACAATGAAGTAGAACAATTTCATTTTTTTGGTGTGAACTTAACTCTTGCCATCCGTGTGTGAACATCTTCTTGAGGCTCTTTTGTAATGGCAGGAACATACTAAACCAAGGACTTGAGACTGTAGACCAGGTTTCATGTTTCTTTCTCTGTAAACACACCACCTTTGAACCTGATCACACCTTATTTGAAATCTTACATGCCCACTGCTGTTAGTGTGGGCTCCAGTAAATTTGCTGCATTGAACTGTGACAGGGAGAAGGTAGTAGAGACACCCACACTGCGTATTAAGGTTATTTGTACCAGGTGTACAATATGACCTTAATTGTGCTTTGTCTTAAAAGACTGGTTGAATTGTTGATAGTCTTGAATACACACAAGCTCTGCAGCTGAGTGTAGGAGAGCTGTTTTGACTTTGTTTGGATGTTAACAATTGGTAACATTGTTTGATGTCAAAAACTTGCTGTTTGAGTGTTATTATTTCCTGTGTTCTGAATGGGAGCACTTTAATATGCATGTATTTATGAATGAATCATTTGAACATGAATATTCATTGACTTTTTAATGTACTGCAGCAAAAACAAACTAACAGTTTACTTTGCTTCCCTTCAAAAAAGAGTTTCACAGGTGAATTTATATGAAAAATATTTACTTATTCCATGAGGGGAAATGATTGAAAAGGTTGGGGCATAACTTAAGCTCTGTTGGTAGTGCAGACGCCTCACATAAGACACGTTTACATGTGCAAAATTTCTTAATCCGCTAAAAAATTTGAGGGATCAGATGATCTGAATTCACGGCCTATATGGGGGCAAAACCAAATAATCCAATCATGACATGTGTATACATGCACCAGGTTTTATTCAGATTAGAAGCATTTGGACATGCGCAGAGTTGTCTAACTTTGCTAAAACAACCGCAGAAGAAGGGCTGTATTTACACCTTTGCTGTCAACAAACCAACAAATGCGGTAGTACTTATTTTACTGTTCTGTCAAAGGTTGCTCTACGCATGCAGATGTGACGTCATTACGCTGTATGTGCGCCTTGTTATGTTATTGGAGGAGCAGACACAGTACCTGTGGTTGTGTTTTATGCCAGAGTGTTAAAAATGAAACCTCCTGTACTAGCCTCAATAAATAAGCCAAAGGCTAAAGAGTGAAGATCGAGTCAGGTAAAAGAGTCACAACTGGAATAAATGTTTGACATGGACGCGTTTTGGAATAACAATCAGCATAAACCACCCCTCTTGATCGGAATACAATTTCTATCCGATTGAGAGGAATTGGATCAAAATCTTCCAATCGACATGTTTACATGACGCATTTTTATTCCGATCAGGCATTTACTCCGATTTTTTTGTGCCTTTGTAAATGCAGCTATAGAGAGGCTAAAACTCTTGATACATCTGTCTATGCATGTTTACCTCACTCTCTACTCACTGCTTTTCCTGTCTGTTCCTGTCTCTGTTTATTCTTCACAATAAAGGCAAAAGAGTCCAAAAGTAAATCGTTAGAAAGGGAAGTGTTTGAAAAGTTGCTCAAACAGAAAATTAAAAATGAAATGCTTCCTAAAAGACATCCTTCTTTTTCCTCTCTCAGGTGGAGACAGTATTTGGATCACCTAACATGACAGTGGCTTATCATGTGACTGGAGGGGACATGGTTTATGTTCCCTCTGTTGTGCTGGAAGGCTTGGACTTGTACGGCCGTGATAAGTTGATAGCAGATCTGCGACAGTACCTCCCCATGGTCACAGCCCTGCCTCTCCCGGTGACATTATGGAGATCCATCCCAGCCAGGGGCTTTCAGCTGAAAACAGGTCAGCCGGTGTTTAGAAAAAACAAGTCAGAGGAGGTCATCTGGAGAATTGCTGTTGTTTGTTCTCGTTGGAGGGATTTCAATGAATTTTAGATAATTAAACAATAGTATTAAATGAAATAAAACAAATAGTATTTTGTACCTGGACTAATACAAATATCCTTTTCAGAGTGTTTTTAAAATACAGACAGCCAGAATAGCAACAAGTTCATGCTGTAGCAGCCTGAAGAAAGCTAAAAACCGCATGTGTAGTCCTGCTTGTGTGGAGTTTTGTGAGCTCATATTGCGTTTCTGTTTCAGTGCTGCAGTTTGTGGGAGTAGGAGATGATCCCCGGTCCTGTCGCTTCTCTCAAATGATGGAGCAGAGGCTGGAAAAGGTGTTTTCTGAAGCGCAGGTCAAAGTGCTCAACGTCAACAGCAGGCTCTCTGTTCAGGTACTGCGCTGTCACTGTTTTGGCTTTTTAGCACCCGAAGCACCGTGTGGGTGTCCCTCTTAATGTTACAGTTGTGATGCTAGGATTTTTAAACAACACTAAGCTACACTTAGAGAGAGAGAAACCTGGTTGGGTGTATTTAACAGGGGTCAAACTACTGTGGATTTTTCTAGTTTTCTTTATTAAATTTGCTGCACACAAGAAAAGATTTTACTATCACAGTTTTGTCTCCTGTTACACATCAACTTTTACAATCCAGTTTAGTTAATTTGGCAGCTACAAACATGCAAATTGTTTGCAATTGTGCAAAATTGTACCTCTGTGTATCAGGCTTTTTTCCTCTTAAAGCAGAGCCGCTTCAGAGATGCAAATTAATTATGTTTGGGGAGGCAAGGATTGTATTAATTTTAATGAGCTGCCACATTTAAGTGCAAACTATTTTGAGCCAATTAAATGTTTTTTGCTTGGATAGAAAATACAGACTGCAGTATTTCTGCACACCCTGATGCTTTGACAGTTCCCCAGCAGACTTACTGCTTGAAGATTTTTTATATTTATTGATTAAGGCAATGGCAGATTTTAACATGTTTTCATTTGTACCTGGCATCTTGTAAAAATGTGTGCTTCAGTCGTGTAATCTTTAACACTTTATGCAGATTTACCCAGGTTCCTCTGTGTCTCTTTCCTACTTTGAGCCTGTGCTTCCTGTTCATTTCACAGATGCTGAGTGTGTCCCAGGCTGCAGGCTCTCCGACTGTGTCATTGGTCTACACTGTGAAGAATGGGACTGTCTTCCTTAATGGCACCACTGCCTCAAACCTCCTCGGTCAGCTGTCAGCTGAGCTGGTGGGCTACTTCCTCCTCTATCCACCACTTATCATTGCTGAGCGTAAGTTACAATTTGCACTCACAATTACATCTGTTGGTTAGCGGCGATTCAACAGCAGTACGAGACACCAGAAGTGGTTCTTGTGTTCTCTCTGGAATATTAAGCTCTCCAAATACTGATAGATTTACGCACAAAGCATAATAGAGTCAGGCTTTTTCCTCCCATTAAAGACTGGAGGAGATTGGACTGTCTTGTTGGTCTGCACGTTCAGGGCCTGTATAAACAAAAACATCAAAGATACAGATTGTTCCGTAGGAATCAAAAAGTGACCAAACATGAAGATCTTATGTAGCCTGGTGGTGCCAGATTCATCAGCCAGCTTATATTCATTTATCTTGTGGATGGGTCTAAACCTGCTGTCGATCTCAATCATCTCCCCTCTGTGTCATGTATAGACAAACCCGACGAGCGCTTTGTGTGTTGTGCCATCTTATGTAGAAGTCATCACTGTGGTGGCCACTCAGCATCTGCTGCTGTCTGCAGCACGGTTGGCTGGATTAAAAACGCTACACAGCTGCTGATGGAGGAACCTTTATCACACAAGTTTAGCATCATTAAAAGTTATCACATTAGATATCGGATAAAACAACAGTGTGATCAAACCGGGAGGAAAAGAGTTGACTATGTCTGCTGTGTATTTTTGATGCAGTGCTTTGTGATGGAACATTATTCTATCTCTTGTTCTGAATTTTATTATCATTGACAAGTTATATTAGCAAATATGTCTTTTTATGAAACAATGTTTTATGAGCATATTTTGTCATCTGTCATTGTTCATTTCTTGCAGTTATGATAGGCTGTGGTGATTACATGCATCTTCTTGATTAACATGCGAGCTAGAGGAGGAACTATGAGATCACTTATCACCTGATGTGGTGTGAAAATATACAATCAATAGGTCACTCAGTGAAGGGCAAAAATGACTTAAAATAATGAAATTCTTGATTCTTCTTTAGAGAAAAGTCCTTTATCTTAGAATTTATTGTTGTAAAAGATGATGAAACAGGAGCGCAGAACCAAGATGGCAGCTTCTTGTCTGTTATGGTCATTGTAACCTCTTTTAACAAACTGGATTCATGAAAACAAGACTGAACACCTGCATGTACCGCATTCATTGGTGAGAAAGGTTTGTTTCTGTCCGCTGCCTGCTGACATTACTGTTGCTATGCATTGCCTCACGTTATTATACATGGCTGTAGGTCTGGACAACGAGTTCCTGAGCACCTCTGTAAAAGACTGAAGCTAACACCCTTTTTTAAAAAGGAAATGACATGAATGGTTCCAGACCCATCCACCGTGGTGACTCCAGCTTAGGTCTCACTATAATTAAAACTGAAGGTAGAACTGCCGTCTCTTTATGACCTGAAAAAGCAAAAGGACATTCGAGGACAAGATTAATTGTTTCTATATGGTAATTTTTGATTGCCTGAAACCATAGCCGCAGGGAAGGTGTTAGATGAGGAGATTAACTTCACGCAGCGGAAACAGTCTTTGTTTGCATTTTTCACAGCAAAAATTCCAGGAAAGAGAGCCAGATTAATTTTATTTTTGGAGGGGGGCAACATTGTACAGGACAAGATTGACAAAATGATAAGAGGCACTGCTACCATGGGCTCACACAAACCAGTTCCTTACAGAAGCCTTTATAAAATGCAGTCAATATAATGAAGTGAGTCTTTTTTACTATAATTAATGCACTTGAATGTAGTCTGCTAGACAAACTGGGCTCAGGACTTCAATCCCCAAGTCTGACTGATGTCCATTTCTCAGTAATTGGATGTTTTTTTGACTCCTATCCTACTTGAACAATCAAAGCCCCTTTCTAATGACTGAGCCACTTCTATAGTTGATGATATAAAGATAAGACCAAGCCCATGCGCTTAATCTCAGCGTGCTTTGAGGACATCTTCAGCCCAGCACTCCATCTGTGGTCGAGATGTACTCAGAGAAAGACAAATTAAGAGTGACGAGGACTCAGCAGGCGTCTAAACAGCGATCTTAGTGGTGTTCCAGTCTGCATCTTTCAGTAAAAGTGAGGAATGATTTGTTGACTGCTCAGCAGAGGGAGATACAGCAGATGCAGAAGTCTGAGATATAATGAGATACATCACTGTTTATGGTACTTTATTGATCCCTGAAGAATGGGTTCACTGCTTTGCTTCATCTTGTAAGCAGTTGATTTTGAATACACAGTAGGTTAAGCAGGGGAACTGACCACCTGCAGCTCATTCAAGGACTCAAGCTTCTTTTGGACACACACGTATGCAGAAAACACCAGAAGGAAATAGACTCAATATTCTGGTTTCATGCTCCCCTTGTTTTGGTAGTTTAATAAAGTCAAAAGTTGGACCCTGAATGAAACCTGAAAAGAGACATCTTCCATAATATTATATATAGTCATTGCACCAGATGTGAAACATTGTACCTGAAAATTCAAATAATACCCTAGAAATGATCAAATTCCTACAGCTTTCCGTTTCCTTTGACAACATGCTGAAGATGGAAATCTCAGACACTAGTTTGGTGTATTGGTATTGGTACATTATTTAAATGACAGCTATCTGAAAATCCTCATTTCACAGCTTTATATTGACCGGACACAAAACATATATTGAGGAGTGTCCGTTAGGGGAGCATAAAGTTGTACTTTTGTTAAACAAATAACATCAGCATTCAGCCTCCTATCTGTTGTTAGTGGTTGATCTATTAGCAAGAGAGACATTAGAGAGGGCATTAACTCCTGGTTGCAAGGACCACGCTATCCACAGGATGCAATTTGACAGCTGTTCATTGATTTTTTATTGGATGAGTGATTCTGAATTTGGCATTGACCTTCTTGTTGCTGCCAGTTTGGGTAAGCTTATTAGGGATCCACCATAGCTCCTGAGTACCATAACCCCTACAGATAGGGCTCTAAGGAGGAGGAAAGAAAGACAGAAAGTAAAAGCTCACACAATATTAAGGCATGTCTGCACTGCAGGTGTTTAACCAACACTTTTAGTCCTGCAAGGGTCTAACAGAAAAAGTTGCAGGTTTTATTAGGCTTCAGGTTTATTTATATTTCTATCTGTTATTTACTTATATCTACCATGATTGTGTGCTGGCCTGTAAACACTGTCAAATTCAGCTGACCTGCTCTCTGTGAATGTAAACTGTGTCAGCAGTGACAGGGACTGAACAGCTGCTCTGCATATTGCTCATACTACACAGAGTATGAAGTGTTACAGGTTTATAAAGGTATAAAAAGTGTCTTGTAAATCAAAATTTTGTGTAACCAAACCCAGATGAGTATTTCCAGTGAATACAAACAAATAACAGGTTTGAGGAGACTTTACGCATTCAGAAGCAGCCATGAGATTATGGATTCAAAGAGACTGGAGTCTCACGCCTACACCCCTGGTTATGTTTCTGTTCCAGCTGAAATACGTCTTGCCAGATTAATTTTGATGGAGCTTGAGTTTTTACAGACTTTGGTCAGTTTGACATGACAGAGCTCTGGCTGTACAGGATCACACTCAGAAACCCAGCAGATTCGATGTATGAGCCAGGAATTAGGCCAGGGGCTTTCCTGCATTACCATCTATCTGACCCTAATCCTGAGGACACTCTTTTTTTCTCTCTCCACCTTCTCCTGAGCAGAGTCGGTAAATGGGCTACAGATATTTTCTAACCATAAGAGAACACAAAGCTCGGGTTTATTGAGGAGAATTCAGAAAAGCATACACTCTGTTTCTTAAAACTGGGGCTGTCCTTTCTTTTGGATGTGAGAGCTGACTGAAAATGTGCATCCTATCTCGAATAGAAGTTTAAACCACACAGAGGCAGAAAGTAGAGTTGTATTTGTGCTCTCTTTTACTATTTAAAACAACACAAAGTCACTATCTCCTTTAAATTTCTTTTAACTGTGGTGTGTGTAAAATTTAAAGTTTTGCTCAGTTTTTACAAGCTCTCTAACAGGTCATGTGATCCACTGCATTTAACTTACTTCATTCTCTCTGCCCAAGACCTGATGTTGGAGGTTTACGTGTTTCCAGGCAGCATTACAGAACGAAGAGCTGCATTTTTGCTGTGTTGGGTTTTGATGATGATCTGTTAACCCTACTGTCTGCTAAATAATAGAAGGTCATGTAATTTCCTTCTAATTTAACAGCTGTATAGAACACCTCAATGAACTTTTATAGGAATGCCACCTCTGATACGAGTTACACAACATAGAGGGCAAACAAAGTATGGGTATCACTTCTTGATTCTACAGTAAAAGTTTTTTCCCTTCCAACAGCATGCACTCATTTATTCCCAAGATCACAAAATCAAATCAGAGAAATTAGATGACATACAATTTGTAAAATTACACAATAAAAACAGTGTGTAAACAGAACAACAAAGTGACAGCGGGTTACAGGTTACGTTCTGAGGTTAATTTGCCGGTCATTTGGGTATTACTGTGGTATTTCTTTAGCCTCTAAAATGAGTAGATCTGCTCAGCTCTGTTCAGGACACCTACTGTGTGGAAACAGACTCAGTTAATATTTTCAGCAGAAAGACATTTCTGCGACATACCATTACATTTCCTGATGACACACAAAAATTGATGACGAGGTGCAGATCAGCTCCAAAGGGCAGACAGAACGTGGCTTACATGCTTGAGGTGGAATCAATAATAATTTGGATGTTTTATCTTCATTAAAATGCAATGAGAGGAACCTTTTCAAAAAAAAATAAAAAAAGAATAGGGCTGTCGAAGAATTAATTTTTTAATTCACAAATAATTGCAGAATTTCAACTGTCTGTCAAGATTAATCGCATTTTTAATCACCTGTTTAAAATTCCATTATTTTACATTTCAAAGCATTTTTTAAGCCCACATTAACAATGTTAATAAATTCTTATCAGTGTCTTGACTTTGGACTCGAGTGCAATAAAATGTACTTTATGATCTTGACTTTTACATTTATTAATCAAATAAAGGGTGCACTGCTTCATCATTGTGGTTTAAAGCTCTGACTCAGAGGTAGGATACAGCTTCACAATACTTGTTCTGTCTTTACAGTTTTTTTTTTTTTTTTTTTTAACTCTTTTTTAGAAGGAAAAAGATTCAAAAGTCTTACCTAGATATACCAAGATATTGTGTGTGGGGATCGATTTTCCAGTGGACTGAGACTGGCATAAGCGTTCTGAGTGTGCTACACAGTTCATATGTCAGGCCATGACCTGGAAGTTAGACAGCATGCACGTGTCTCTAGGAAGCCAGGGTAGAATTTTAAAAGAAGATGAAGCCGTTGTATCCTACATATGATACAATGGTTCAGAGCTGTTAAAGTCGTCAGTGTTTTTATCATTTGACATACAGCCTGTTAGCCTCTTGCTCTTTGTCAGTTCTTTTGGTACGTGGCTGAATGTTGCTGTAGCAGAGGTGGCCATACGTCTGTCTATGAATACCTTCTCACCAGGTGCGCATGAACTGGGACAATGACAGTAGTAGGGGTGTCCAAATACAACTTGATTGCCTCCGATACAATACCAACATTGTAGCCTTCAGTATTGGCTGATACCGATATTGACCCAGTATTATCACAAACTTGTGCATGACATGTTTTGCACTCAGCTGCAATGTCTTTTTCGGACTTAAATGAAAAATACTGCCACACGGCCGACATCACTCCTACTCCTTGCTACTTTGTTAGTACCTTAGTACACACTGTTGTTGTGATCACATGGGCTCTGCATGCTGGATCCAAGACCATCTAGATCTATAGGTGCTAGCGTGGAGTCTGGAAAGGACTGCTTGAATCAGAGTACTGATATCAGAGGTTTTGGATGCAGGCGGATATTTGTTTTATATATTTGACCGATATCATTATCGGGTCAGGACACTCCCAGACAGCTGTCCAAGTAGATTACCTAATCAAGCTATAATAGCAGCTGGACTTAACTGTGCATGTGAACATGTTTGTGTTGACTGACATCCACTGATCACCAATCTATGTGGCTGCATTTGCATTTGCAGTTTGGTAAGTAGCTAAAACTCAGAGTGCTCCAGTGATACTTTAGTTTTTTTTTTACACAAAATGTACATTGCCTCTGACTTGACTTGTTAAGCTGGCTTGGAGGTTGGCTTTATTATGAAATGTGCTGTTTAAAGGCACAATGGTGTTGTTACTTTGCGTCAGAGTGGCAGTAGCAGCAGCAAAGTAACTATAGTGTTCTGACAGGGACAAAGAAAGTGCCCAATTAAGAAAAAGCCTACAGATTTATCACAAGTAACATGTCGACACTGACAACCCTGACTAAAAAACAGAGTGAAACAAACAAGTCCCGAAAAGTCCTCAAAGATTACTGCCTTAGTGCTATTTAGGCAGATCAGATGTTAATAGGTTCCTGTTAGTGACTGTTCAACTATAACTGGCTTTGCGTTGGGACTGAATCAAGTAAAATTAGTGACAGGCAGGATGAATCAGCCGGGAAAGAGAGAAAAGAGGTTCGCTGGTAGAAAGACTGGGAGCGAGCAGACGCTGACACGGAGGAAAACTGAGTGAGACAGGAGAGTAAAGAAAGAGTGAGAGAGTGTGACAGGGATTTTGCTCTGTTTGTTTTGCAGCCTCGCCATTAGTGATATTACACTGTTCACAGGAGGTGTGAGCATATGCTAGCAGCGGCTGCCTCCTCACTTCAAAGCCAATTATCCCAGTAAATAATTAACAGTGGGGGATTCTGGTTCCACCTTGGGCTCTGCTCTGACAGAAAAGGCCCGCCAGCTCACACCACTCCAAAGTGCAGGTTTGTGGCACAGGGTACCCTTTGGTTCTTGTGGCGTGTTTGGGACTGTACAGCCATGCTCGCTCTTTTACTCCCTTGCTCTATCTCAGGTGAAAGATAAGTGGAGCTGTTTCCAAAATGTCTCTTTTAGGCCGTAATAATCGCTGAAAACTATTACCCAAGCACTGGTGTAAAAAGTGAAATATTGTCTCAATAATAGCCCCCCTGTTGGTGGATTTGAAGTTCTTGGAATGACTTAAAAATGCTTTTAAAGCTTGTATCCCCGGGGCTCTCATTAAGCCAAACCATAATGTTCCACATGATTCAAACTTATGGACAATGATGGGCGGATTTTGCTGACAGTTCTGCATCCGTTAACAAAGTCACAGCCCCTTACTTTTTCTCTCAACCTGCTATCCTAACCAACCCCTCCACACCTGTCTTCTGTCATGCCGGAGTGAACATTTCTGTTTCCAATCTGCTCTCACAGGCCAGTGATACAGCATCCTCAAAAAGCCTGCAGCAGCCTACAGCAGTGAAGCCTAATCAAGCAGGAAATACATGACGAGATCACAGGGACGACCAGAGCTCAGGCAGCTGAACGCTCTCCTGCTTCATTGTTTGACATGAAGTGATAATGAGGATTTAACCTGAGATTTCAAACACAAACACTTCACTGCACAGAGAGCACTTGTTGAAATAAAGGCAGCCCAATACTAGCAGTGAAAATAAATCATACTCAGAGTTGTTGTTGATATTTTTGTGCATTTTTTTCATACAAAAGACTGTTGGTTTAGATTTGTAGAGAACAGCGTCCTTCTGTTCTCCAAAGGCTTAAAACTTTATGTAACTGGCATGTAAATGGAAAAAAAAAGACGCTATTACTCTGGTTACATCTTTGTGTTCACTGTGTTTTTCTCTGTTTTACATCTACAAATACACTTCTTTTCTCTCTCTCTTTCGGGTACATTTTTAAAGCTGCAGTGTTGAACTTTTGTATTGTGTCAGTTTGTTTAATGTTTGAGATACACGTCTCAAGACTACATGGAGCTCCTCCTATATATGCTTAGGTGATGTTTTCTGTCAAAAATCTGCCCCTTGCTCTTTTTTTTTACCAACCAAATGTGTCAGTCACTACAAATATTAATAGACAAAGGCTGTTAATCATCACATCTGAAACCAACCTCCTTACAACACTTCCACGAATTCAAAATTATAACACAAGTTTAATCAGTCTTGTTGCTGACGATCTGGTTTGCTTTTGTAGGTAATAGAGAGGCACTGGAATCAATTAAAGTGTGTTCAACAAGAAGATAAAAACTCCTCTCAGTGGCTTCACCATACAAACTTCTAACTTTTGGTTCACTTTTATGTTATTACAGGTTACATTGTTGTCATCTGCATTGCCATTACAGTGTAAATCAAAGAATTTAACTTAATTGAAAATCTAACTAAAGTTTAATGTTTTTATGTCTTTACAGCTATGGAGTATCACAACCTGAACACCTCTGTTGCTACCAGAGACTTCTGGGTAATAACAGGTAGGGTTATTTCAGTTTTTAATCTGTAAAGACTTTCTTGGTGAAAAAGTTGGGGAAATGTAAGTTTCTATTTTGCAGCCATTACAATGAAAATGTTTGGATTGAGTGTCTGAATCTAGTCAATATACATCTTTGTTTTTATGAGTTTGTTTCTGTCATGTCTCTGTTGGGACGGCAGTGGTAGTTCTGGTCTAAGTCTTGTGAGTTGAGGATGGGACTTTATAAAGCTTTGGTTACAGACTGGTAATAATGAGACGAGGGTTGTGAGAGGCAAAGTAAATGAACAAGGGTCCTCAAATATATATATAGGCTATAATGCATAACTCCTACAGATATCATCATGATATTTGTGCAATGAGATATCAAACACAAAGTCAAACTTTCCTCTGTATCTTTGCCATATCAACTATACCCACAGATTGTGCAAAAATGGAACAAAAAAACCTAAAAAGCCGTTGTAGCGTAACTGAACCTCTGTCTTGTTGGCAGGAGTCTAAACTCTGCATGAAGAGGGTGGTGAGGCTCTTCATCATCAAGAGAATTTAATGAGAAAATCCTTTTATCTGAGTGTAAATAAAGTTAAGTTTGAATTCAAAGGATCTGACTGTTCTGCATTTGAATCTATTGGTTCATTAAGTATCATGTGATAACTTCTATTCTGTTGTGTATAAAAAAAGTCCTGAGAAGGATGGATGAAAAAATACACTTCACTCGGCACTATTGAAAGAAACTCAAAGACATGATGCATCTTATTATATTCACAATCCTTTGACTGGATCTGTAAGATGTGCCTGACCTTTGGACTGCTTGTTGTTTTGTTTTTTCTCAGTTGACTCCATTAATCAACGTACCTCACGGTGTTCAAGGGCAGCCTCACTGCTCTGCTTTGTAATGGATGGCCCTTCAGATCGGCCTATGTGGCTCTTAACCCTGCACTCACTGCCAGGAGAGGCCGAGTCAGTCCAAGGTCACTGCGTACATAATGGGATTTATTCAAACTGAACAAGATGTACAACCAGCATCAGTGTCTCTAAACAGAAAATAAAAAGGACCAAATTAAAGGTGCATTTTGGGATGTTTGACCACTAGAGGGCAGGGCGCTAAGTTTCCAGGAAACAGGCCTGATTGAGTATTAGCTTGGTCATGACTGATGACAAACTTGTCAACAGAAGAATCCTGCAGAGGTCTTGTTGCAACATGGTGCATGTTTATCGCTGCACAGCCTTTTCTAATTATACCTCTGTCTCTTCTTTCTTTGTGCTCATCTCTTTCCTCACCAACAATTTATTGCATCTCTCGACCACCATCTGGCCATTTTCTTTCTATCCTCTATCCTCTGTGCTCGCAGTGATCCAGGACGTGGATAATGCCAGCCTGGAGGGACAGTACCAAAGCTTTGCTAGTCTAATGGAGCAGCGGCTGGCAGAGCTTTTTGTGTTGGCGGGGCAGCAGGGCACTCGTTTTAGACGAGCTACTGCTGTAGACAGCTACACTGTCCAGGTAAGTACAGGAGAGGACCTGGTCTGAACTGTTTCAGTAAGAGCTAACAGTCAACAAGGCACAGGGTTAGAGGGTGGAAAGTCTTGTGTTTTAGGTTTCTGTTGGGATGTTTTGTTTGGGACCTAGAAGAAAGAAGTTAGCCTTTTTGTTCCAGCATGAGTATGTCATGGGATGCACACTTTGTTACACACTCCTGCACACCCTTGTATGTTACCTGGTGGTCAGCTTTTGGTAATAAAGGAGCTTCTCAGCTCATCATCTGCTATTTGCTCTTCCAAACAAGCCAGAGGTGTAAGGTTTTATAAAACAAGTACTCTCTTCTACCAACTTAGTTTTTCTCCACACCTACATGCATGCCTTTTTTCAGAGCTGAAGTTCTCCATTATCAGCAGATACTGGGTGTGCTATAGTTAGAATAAACATGTGTCATCACTCTTCTTTCCCTGTCAGATGGTGAGCATCCGCAGGGTGTCAGGAATAAAGAATCCAGCAGAGATGACCTACTACGTCCAGCACAATGGCATTCCTTTATCCGGTACATCAGCTGCCAAGGTTCTGAACACAGTGGACTCTCAGACCATGGCGCTTACCCTTGGCTACTTTGTCCAGCTGCAGGCAGAACGTGAGCACAGCATCCTTCTAGCATTTGACAAGCAGCCAAACAGACAGAAACACAGACAGACATGCAACCTAAAACACATGACTCATGCTGAGTATAGATAGAAAAGCTGCAGTGAGGGGAGTAGAGAAAGCTTTTTGCTCTCTAATGTCTCTGCAAGGCTCCTGGCAGGACAGTGTTTGTTTGGGCTGTACTCCACTGCTAAGAGAAGATAAAAGCAAAGAGAAGGATGGTTGGTACAGAGAGGAGCTGCAGGGTGTTATACAGGGGGGTTATGAGGGTGTTATGAAGGGTGTTATAAAAGGTGTTTATAAAGGGTATTAAGAATGGTGTTATAAAAACTGTTAGAAAGGTTTGGATTAGCGGTGTTATAAAGGTGTTATAGAGGTTGTTCTTAAGGGTGTTATGAAGGTCGTGGTAAAGGATGTAATTAGGTGTGTAAAAAGGGTGCTTTAATGTATGTGTGTAAAGGAAGGCTTTTATTAAGGATGTTATAAAGTGTGTTATGAAGCGTTTTGAAAAAAAGCATGATGTTTAAAAGGTTTTATAAATATTGTGACAAAGAATGTTATGAAGGCTGTAATGAAGAATGGTGTTCTAAGAAGTGTTATGAAGGATTTTATGAATGTTGCCATGATTGGTGTTATAAAAGGTGTTATGAGAGGTTTTATAAAAGCTGTAAGGAAGGGTGTTATGAAGGACATCATAAGGGTTGTCATGTACAGTGATATAAAGGGTGTTAGAAGAGATGTTATGGAGGGATTTATGAAGGTTTTGTGAGTGGTGTTATAAGGTTGTTATGAAGAGTGTTATAAAGGGTCTAATGAAGGTTATATGAGGTGTTAAGAGGGATGTTATAGAAGGTGTTATGAATGGTGACGTTAAGGTTATCATAAAGAGTGTTAAGACAGTTGTTATGAAGGGTGCTATGAAAACTGTAAACAAGGTTACTGTAAGGGGGCGGGGTTTAAAAAGTTACCATGAAGAATGTGTTTAAGGACTATTATGAAGAGTGTTAAGAAGGGTATTACAAAGAGTGTTATGAAGGTTGTTAGGAAGTGTGTTAAAAGGGTGTTGTATAAGGCATTAGGTTGTTATGAAGGGATTTACTAAGGGTATTATGAATAATAACACAATACAATACTGACGTGTGACATGGTTGAAGTCTCCTGGTATTATTACAACCAGATGTTGAGTCAGTATCCTGGCAACAGCATCAATGTTGTGAATACATGTATGCAACTATTGTTACGATATGACTGAACTCTCCTGGAACATAATATGGCTGAAGAACAACTGCCAACAGCTCAATATGTATCTGGCCATCGCAACTTCTCCTTTAAAGTTACGTATGTGTAAAGAGTTACACCATCTCTGGTTGACAAATAAAGCCAGATTTCCTCCTTTCTTCTTGCCGCTAGCTTTAGCATCTCTGTTTGACCTTATGAGAGTGAGGCCAGGTCGATCCACACTGGAGTCCCAGTTGTTTTAATTCAACCAGGTTTTAGTAAAACACAGGAGACTGCACTCACGGTATGCTTCCTCAGTCTTCACCAATATTTCCAGTTCGTCGCTTTTGTTGGGCAGAGAGTTGACATTTCCCATGATGACTGATGGAAGAAAGGGTTAATATCTCCACCTCCAAGCATTCAACCTTGCCTTCACCTTTGCACCAGTATGGCAACCATGAAAACACCTCCAGGTGTCCGCTGGAATTGGATGTTGTCGTCCAGATCTGCTCTGTCTCAATGAAAGAAGCACTTCTCTTGAGTTAACTCTTTTCCCAGCAGAAATATCCACCAGCAGCCGTCAAAACACAACAAAAATCTGAAAAAACTAGAGCAAAAATTGGGATAGACCAGACTTGCTGCTCCTCGGTTGAGTGCAGGTTGTGGAATGATATAAAGGGTGTTATGAAGTGTGTTGTGGAGAGTTTGATGTAGGGCAATATGCAGGGTGTGGTAAAGGTTGATATAAAGGCTGTCAAAACGGATGTTATGAAAAGAGTTGCGAAGAGTGTTATGAAGAGTTCTATGAATGGTATTAAGTGGGATGAGTCTTTTGGATCACATGTAATGGAGTGTTGATGCTAAAAAAACTCTTTCCCTTTTTTTCCAGCTGTGGTGAAAAATCCTCCCAATAACCTTTGGATACTTGCTGCAGTGTTGGCCCCCATCGCAGTGGTAACACTCATTATCATCATCATCACTGCTGTGCTGTGCAGGAAGAATAAAAATGACTTTAAAGCTGATGCCATCGGCAACCTCAATCCCCGAGCTAAGGTATCTGCCTCTCGTTTTGCACGTGTTTCTCTCTGTGTAAAAGCAAAACTGCAGCTGGAACCGTTTTTAGACACAGACAGGACACATTTTTAAAAAAATCTGAATTTATCAAAGTCAATTTTGCAGGAGTGTTTAATTTCTGCACTGTCATCATTATGTAAGTCCTGTCAAAACATGTTGACATCATGCTGAGTAAGCTTATTACTGATAAGTGAAATTTAGTATTTTCCAAAAAGCATAGTTTTTGAAATATAATTTTTATGCCATCATATCCATGCTGGGACCTGCAGTCATGCGTTGCAGGTCAACCAGCAATGATCAGTGTGTCAGAGCTTGAGAAGAGAGGAATCAGTAAGAGAGGGTTTAGATTTTAGAAGCAAGGATTTGTTAGAAAAAAACTAAGACACATCCCAGAAAGTGTTATTTTACTTTTTCACATGAAATGTGTGGAGAAGAGAGCAGAGGAAAACATGCAGCTAAGTGTTGAAGGCAGCAGCGAGTCAGACCTGTGACAGCTGCAATGAGGACTATGGGGAGCAACCTTGAAGGGAACCAAACCAGCCCCCAGCAGAATACAGGTTTTGATGCTTGAGAAAATTCAGAGTTCATAGGAAAGACCACAAAATACAAGGATATAGTAAGGAGAAACATGGATTAACCATTAGTATAGCCATATGTTCAATTTTCCTCTTTTTGAGAATGTGAAAGGTCAAAGAGAGGAGTTATCGTATGCACGGGTAAACAGTATTTGTGATTTTCTCCCTGCTGAAAATGGGAGATAAAACTTCCACGCTGCAGATTTAATGAATAACTTTGAAAATAATCTGTAGATTAATCAGTAAAGAAAACAATCATTATTTGCAGGCCTGGGATTATTTTTTTCTGTCACAGGTTGCTGTGCTTAAATGTGTTTCAGGGAGTAATGCACGTTTTTTCGTGTTTGTACACAGACTACAAAAAGTTTCATGTCCTGTATTCTGTATGTGGCATCTAAATATCCCGTATTGATATATTTGAAGAAACCCAGCCAGGATCTTTAACCTAAAAACACACATGCCTGAAAACTCTCTCTTTCTTCCTCTCTGTTTTCAGATGGCGTACCGCAGAGATGTGGGCTATTATCACCAGGTATCTGCCTCTTTGTATTTCCTCTCATTACCAATCCATGTTTTCATCTTCAGGGCTCAACTGTGCTGGCAGAGGGATTTGAATGGATTCAGAGCATACGTCACCTGTAATACATTTCTGTAAATCCTGCTGTGCTGATGAAAACTAAGAATACAACAGCACTTTAGCTGAACAAACCTTTTACAATAAGGTTTTCGAGGATGAAAAGCCGGTGTTTCTTGTTCTTCTTACAGATGACAGCCGATGGCAAATTTGAAAGAGTGAGCTTTACAAAGAACAGCTATTATGGAAATGAGCTTTTGGAGCAGAATGAGCGTGTATTCGCACTTTATTTTGTGAAAACTGTTTCAATTATAGTTGCATCGGAGATGTCACAGTGTTTTAATCCAAGTTATGTCTCTACTTAAATGTCTGATTTTCCCTGAGCACAGTGGGTTTCTCTCTCTTTCTCCCTCTTTTTTAAAAAAAATCAGTGTAAATGAAAATGCAGAGTGAAAAACGCGACATATCCCGCTGCTTTATTTATGGAATTTCATAAAGAAAGAGAAAGTAATAAAATCTTTGTTTAATATTAAACTGTGAGAGCCACTGCGCTGCAGCTCTCAGAGTAGTTCTCATTGTGTAACATCCTGCAGGTCTCATCATGTAAAAAACTTAACAACCTTAATTCCGTCAGATATGAATTAGTTTTAGGTTGCTCCAACAAACGTTCACATTCTTGGCAGGATATTAAGCCAGCTCTTTCCACTAAGTCATATTTAAGAAATGGGGGGAATACGAAATAGTCAAAAATCTTAGTAATTTAAGAGGCTGTTGTGCTTTCCTCTCAATATGAATATCTCGGTCTGCAAACCAAACCTTTTCAACTTGTTACATTTGTACTTTAAGTTTGTAAGAAAAGTGGATCCAGAGGGAAATCTTTACTTTCTATGTTCTTGTGGGTGTGTGTGCTACAGAAATAGAGGATGCATGTTTCTCACTCAGGGGAGTATCACATATTGATTTTGCACCATGGCTCGGCTGCACTGAGGCAATGATGTGTGTCTGACGATTTATGACACTGCCATGGGAGTGGTCTTTAATATTTCAGTGTGGGCTTGAACTCCTTTAGTCCTTCTCTCTAAACATGTGGACATCATGAATCCCCCTCCCTTTAGTCCTCTGATCCGTGGGGAAGCTTAACTTTACTTCTATATTTCTGTAAAAGTCTCCAGATCTCATCTTGTCACCGCCTACTGTGAGTTATCTCTTTGACAAGAATTTGGAAGCAGATAAGAAAGGGCCTCAGTTAAATCAGTGCTTATCTATTTCAAGGCACCACAGCCCAGTAATCCTACTCCTGTTCCTTAAATCCTCTGGACATCTCTTAAAAGGACACACTTCTGAGCTATTTAGATCTGTCTGTTTAAGTAGCACTTTTAATGTATGGCCAGTGCATATCTCCTTGTTCCTCCTGTGGATCACTCTATACAACGAAAGGTATTTAAAGGGAATTATCCTAACCTATGATGTTTCTTTTTTGTCCTGCTTCATTTTCCAATTCTGTCCATCAGCCAGTTCAGGGCTTTGACTATGCCAAGCAGCACCTGGGCCAACAGGGAGGGGATGAGGAGACCCTGCCCGCCAGCCAGGATACCTTAGTGATGTCTCTACAAATTCGGGACACACCGCTCTCTCTAGAAAAAGCCCTACAGCAAGACGGAACAGCCAGCAAGAAGAGCCTCACCTCTGATAAACACAAAAGGTATCAAATGCCTGAATCCATAACATCACAAAATGTGAAAAACAACTCAAAAAAAAAATCTGAATCACTGTCACCATGTTGAAGGTGGTTAAATTAAAGAAAAATCAGAACTTGACCAGTCTGATCCAAATTATATTGTCCTTAATGCTAAAGTTCACCCAGACTGCCTAGATAAAGCCACATCCTTTTGATATTCAGCAGCAACCACTAAGGATTTGATTTATTTATATTTGCAAGTAGGATTAAACCCTGCATCATTTTAATTCACAAAATCATAATGACAGTATCAATTAAAAGTCTGTTTACAAAACAGTTTTAAAAACATATTCATTAGGGACTTTGTAATGAACTTAACAAGGACAAATAAACTATAAAAGCACAAGGAGATGAGATTTAGACAGAAGAATTTGTGGACATATTGTATTTTATATGTGTATGGAATAAATAACACATATTACTCAAATAACTCAGGATGAAGCGCCTCTCATAAGATAGTGTAAAACTAAAACTGTTTTTTTAGGGACATGTCATGTTTTAGCTCCGTTTGAAAGGCTCATATATTTATGTAAATTAAAATTTAATTATATCTCAAAGCCAACATGAACTACCCCAATGTGGCCCTCATATTATTTTAAACTTTGAAAAATGTAACTGGTGTAATTTGCTTACATTTGTTTTGCTGGAGGGCTGCATATAGGGCCTGTATCCACTAATGACAGCGTCTAATTTTTATTTAAAAGTAAACAAACCTTAAAGCAATGCATCTAAACTTTTCCATCTAGAGCACAAAAGCAACCTAAAGATCAACAGTCTTCTGTTGCCTTGATACAACATTTTCAGTTAAAAGTCTCACTGTTGCATCACTACTGCTAATATATACTACTAATTTATGATCGGTCAAAATGAAGAAGGAGCAAGACTTCTGATATTAACCTTAAAAAAGCAGTGGTTCACCTGGCGGAGAAACAAACCATGCTTGATTTTCATCAATTTAAACTTAATATGAAGGAAACAGAGCATTTTAAAATGACCTCTAGGACACTACCGAAGAAATGTGCCAAACGATCATTTCCATAACCTAGTGAGAGCAAATGCCAGTAAAAAGCCCGCTGACACTCAGGTTGTGGGTGCTGCATGGGGGAACAATGTTTGCAGTGGACACAGGTCCTTAAACTGCTTAGTAACCATAGGATTTACAATATCAGTTATCTGTCCTCTTTCTCCCTGGTTACTCTTTTTTTCACCTCAAAGTTTATGAGACTCAGCCAAAAGTAACAATTAAAAGACATGGCTGTATTTGTCTTGGTTAGTATGTGAGAAAACAAAAAAAACATGCCTCCATCTTAACCAGATCAAAATCAGCTGAAACATTTCAACCTATTCAGAAATACTCAACAATCTTACCTTAGCTAAGGCTCAACATAAGGGTGGAGTGCTTTTACATCCCTGCTGTGTCATGAAGCTCCTGAATCATAAAAAGAAAGACAGGAGGATAAAACACACAGATCCCTCCGGCCCCATTTCCTCCCTTATTTTACCCAGATGCTGAATAATATAGACAGTCATTAACAAAGATCTCTGTATAGCCAGGTGAAATTGACCATTTTCCTCATCTGACAGTCACTGCCACCCACTTGGAAATTAATTGCTATGTTAAATCATCCTTAATGATCTAATAGAAGAATGCAAAAGGGCAAAATTTTTCAAAGCTGTGCAGCAAAATGAGATGAGATAAAAATTTATGGGATGGAGGAGGAAATCTATAGACTGAAGGTCCTGCGGTGATGGCTGTGGTGACTCCTGAGACAGCAGAAGTTTTGCATTTCTCTATCAGTGACCTATGTTAAAAATGTATAACATCTGAAGGAGTTACATGAAATATGTGCAAAGAGGAGGTTTGACTTTTAGCATTTGATTTCATTGGATAGAAGATGGAAGGAATTTGGTATTTGAAGAAAAATCGTAACATTTTCCACTCTTATCTACTCTGAGGGAAAAGCAGGTTTACATTTAGACCAGGATATCAGAAAAGCACATGGTCCTGTGGTTTTGCTTTTTTGCCACATTGCAAGATGTGCTACAGTATGGAGCCAGATCAGGCTCAAAAGTATTGAAAAAGTAGTGTAAGTGAAAAAATAAAAAGTGAAGTGAAAAAATAAGATTTGAACCTGAAAAAAATAAAATGGTACCTGAAAGTCTTGAATTTCAAAATTGAACTTTGAAAAATCCCAGAATGCATGAAAAAAATCTGTTCAAATGTAACTTTGATTCTGTTTTTTAATACTTTTGAATAAATTACTTATTTCTATTTTTCACTTCAATGTATATTTCGATCTTTGAGTACTTTTTTTTTTCGATTGAATTTTATTTATTTATTTCAGATTCAGATCTTATTTTTACGGATTCAAAACTTTTTTTTCGGTTTCAGATTTTTTTTTTTCAGATTCAGATCTTCTTTTTTTAGATTCAACTTGAAAAGTTTCAGGTTGACTTTTGAGCCTGTTTTTCCGTGGGGGCGGGCCTCGACTGAGAGGGGCGCGGTCTGCCATGAGTGACAGGCCTCCCCCTCCTTCCCCACCCCATCACCCTGCGTTCAGGAAGTGGCATGAATACACATTAGTTTAGCCTACAATTAGGCTGTATTGGCTGAATGAGATCGTGTTGGTTCGTTCCACTTTAGTGGTGCAATATAAACTGTGATTCATTAAAAAGCTCTATTGATAGTAAGTACTAAAAAAAATATACCTACTCATAACATCCTGTCGATTTTTAGTAATCAGTGTTTCGGTGTCGAACTATTTCCCCTCTGCGGCGTTCTCGACTTTACAAGGACACGTCGGGAAACTTACAGAACTAGTATTAGAAAGTGGCTTTCTCTACAGGGTGAGACAAAGGACCTTGCAGAAACTTTGCGTTGATATCGACTTTGACAATGTTCCTGATGACACTGGGTTTCACATAACATGCTACAAGCGATTTATTTGCAAAAGGGGTTTGAGAAACAAGAACGTGATGCAGCCGCGGGTCAGTCAAACCCTTAACGCAGCATCGCCGATGCATCCACGTCCACGGCATCTGAAACTCCGCGAAAGAAACTTCGCTCGAGGTTTTAGGCTGTATTGGGACAAAGGAAAAAGTGCCTAGAAAGTGAATTTCGTTCAAATACGCTGGTGCTACTTGTTCAATGCATTTTTGCATAGACAATACCATTCATCCATACCATCCGCGACTGCATCACGTTATTGTTTCTCAAACCCCTTTTGCAAATAAATCGCTTGTAGCATGTTATGTGCAACCCAGTGTCATCAGGAACATTGTCAAAGTCGATATCAACGCAAAGTTTATAAGTTTCTGCAAGGTTCTTTGTCTCACCCTGTAGAGAAAGCCACTTTCTAATACTAGTTCTGTAAGTTTCCCGACGTGTCCTTGTAAAGTCGAGAACGTCTTTACTCTGGACAGATGATAGATGCATATAACATCGTTTCGCTCCTTTTTATGCACTTTTGAAGGCTGTTTTCTTTTGTGCCTTTTCTTTTCTTCCTCTTCGCTTGTCTCGCTGCGAGATGCGGTCGTCGCCATGTTTGTGTATTTCTGATACTATGGCAACGAGACTCGGCTCCTATTGGTCCACGTGACAAAAATCGCTTCACCCCTGCATATTTGATTGCGCGTGTGCAAGTATTACTACGCCGCAGAGGGGAAATAGTTCGACACCGAAACACTGATTACTAAAAATCGACAGGATGACATGAGTAGATATATTTTTTTAGTACTTACTATCAATAGAGCTTTTTAATGAATCACAGTTTGTATTGCACCACTAAAGTGGAACGAACCAACACGATCTCATTCAGCCAATACAGCCTAATTGTAGGCTAAGCTAATGTGTATTCATGCCACTTGGGGAAGGAGGGGGAGGCCTGTCACTCATGGCAGACCGCGCCCCTCTCAGTCGAGGCCCGCCCCCACGGAAAAACAGGCTCAAAAGTCAACCTGAAACTTTTCAAGTTGAATCTGAAAAAAGATCTGAATCTGAAAAAAAAAAAATCTGAAACCGAAAAAAAAGTTTTGAATCCGTAAAAATAAGATCTGAATCTGAAATAAATAAATAAAATTCAATCGAAAAAAAAAAAGTACTCAAAGATCGAAATATACATTGAAGTGAAAAATAGAAATAAGTAATTTATTCAAAAGTATTAAAAAACAGAATCAAAGTTACATTTGAACAGATTTTTTTCATGCATTCTGGGATTTTTCAAAGTTCAATTTCGAAATTCAAGACTTTCAGGTACCATTTTATTTTTTTCAGGTTCAAATCTTATTTTTTCACTTCACTTTTTATTTTTTCACTTACACTACTTTTTCAATACTTTTGAGCCTGATCTGGCTCCATACTACAGCTAGCAGAAGAGAAACCATGCTGCAAGTGGAGCACAGTTTTAGCGCTTTCTGGTTGCACTGACAGGCTGTGAATACTGTCTCAAATTTTTGTTTTTTTCCAAAATGCTTGTTAAATCCTGCCAGACAAACACAAACTTGTTGTCTTTTGCTGTCGGGCTACATTTTCACAAGTTAATAGTTCAAGACAGTGTTGCATGTATGCGTGCTGGATACAAACAAATCTACAAACACGCACACAGGCACGCTGAAGACAATTACCTCTAATTGGCGTCTTCCTCTCTTAAGTCATCCCCTCATTTGTGCCAAGGTCACACAACTGCTTGCCTTGCAGGACCAAATAAACAGTCCTTTGAAGCAGCTAATACAAATGTATTTTTTACACCTCATGTAATTATTACACAAAACACGTCTTTGCGGAGCCTGTGATGGTTGCATGGAGGAAGCTCTCTGCAGCTCTGCCTCGATGAGAGCAGGGAGGGCAGCCACTGTTCTTCTGCCTCTCTCTCTCTCTGCTGTTATCATTTTTACCAGACAATTAGGGGATAGACCACGGAGCTTTGATGTCACTGTCAGCCTCGTGGTCCTCTGTGCCGACACTTGATCAGCTCTAATTCCAACCATGTAGCGGCATTCAAAGCTTGTGAAACTAGAGTTGGAACGAACATTTGTTTGTGTAAGAAACCAGTTCTTTGCTTTAGTCTGGTCATAGATGCGTGTTAGATTTGAACCATACATGAGGCATTATGAAAAATAAATCCATGATACAAAAGTGGAAGAGCCACACAAATATGTGCACATTAACTGATAAAATAATGGGGATAAATGTACCGAACAAAAATGCATTTAAATGCAGACAAGCATTTGAAGCATTTTTCCAGGATAATGAGCGATTTTAAAAGCATTTTCTTTATTTTTCTTGATTATTAAGACCCAGAGGACTAATTAGTGTTATTTTACTGATACCCCTCAAAGCAGCAGTATGCAGTGTTGGTTTTAACACTGAGAATGCATTTTTCATCATGCAAGTTATAGTATAATAATGATACATTATGTTTACTCAAGAGGGAAGGGGAAGGTGGGGTTGTTAAAGAGAGGGATGACATAACCTGGCTACGAGCCCAGCTTCCGGAGAGCTCACCGCCTTTCCTGTTGCTATGGTTACTTGCAGCAAGTTGCCGAGCGAGGATGGTTCCGTCATCAGCAACGAATCAGAGAAGCTGAATTCCGACAGGGCCTTGACGGTGCTGAAAGTCACAGCGCAGCAGAAACTGACAAAGGAGGAGACGCGCAAGAGGGACGGTGAGAGTCACATTCTGAAACATAATACGAATCATTTTCTCTGCAGCTTCTGTGCAGACAAGGTCAGGCATGTCACAAATGCCAGAAATCGGTCCCCTCCGTATCCCCCTGTGAGAAAGACACCTCATGCACACAGGTACCGTGAAGGAAACACTCTACCACTGCAGCTTTTTTTTTTTTTTTTTACAGCCATAAAAGTAGCCACTCAGCAGAAAGCACAGATTGACCGGATGAATATGCATGAGGCAGACACTCTGCTGACATGATACAGTATGTCAGAGCAGAGGATGCTGTGACACACTGGCAAGAACAGGTACACACATATTATTCTATGTAAATAATGAACTCATAAAGTCTCACTTTTGGCTGCAGAATGAGTGAAATAAGAGCCGTTTAGACGTTGAACTATCCCCTGTTCTATTCTTGTTCTCTGAAGCTAAATGTTCACATGTGGATGTTGAGAGCTAAATAAATCTAATTCAGACTCTCCGCCTGCAAATTGCATGGGGTTCTCTAGATTATGATTTTCTTAATGGCTGGATTTGAATAATTCAGCAGCTGAGTTAAGGGAAACTAGAACTGAATCAAGTTTGTCTGATGTCTCATAAGGAATGAAAGTGCAGAGTCAGTTTCTTTCATCTATCACAAAGATGCATAGGCACAAGCTTTGAAGCCAACTCTATCTTTATGATCTATTGTCTCCGTCCACCACTTCATTTGCTGACACAAGCGACTGATGTTTGACATCACTGCACAGCCACAGAGAGACGGGGTGATGAGACGGAGAGACACCGAGGGAGAGTGACTGACAGTGTAATGATTAGAGGTGTTTGTAGTCTCTTTGTGAGTGAACTCCCTCTCTGTTCTTCAGATCCATATGACACCTCCTCTGGCTCCCTGCAGCTCATCTCCATAAAGCCTATGGCGGCTCAGCCCAACTACTCACACCCTGCGACGTCTGACCGCAGCCACGAGTCGGCCGTCGTCAACGGAGAGGTGACGCACATGCATGCATTTGTTAACGGCACATATAAATCTCTCTCCCTGTCAGTTTGCAGGGTTTAAGTGCTCCCCTAGCACAACTACTAAGACTACTCCTGCTTTATATAAATTTCTCTATATCTTATTCCTGGTACTGCACATGAATGATATTTCAGGTATAGTTGATGGTGGACAAAGCTGAAGAGTCTTGCCTCAACTTGGGGAGTCCCCTCACCACAACAATCTTCTTAAAATATATTATTCTGCTTATGACATGGCTTTTTACCTAATATATCAAGAGTTACACACCAAATAATGATTTTAGATGATACTTTGGGAACACTTGATTTGACGCCTATCTCTATAATGCATTATAAATATATGTATAATGCGTTATAATCATGTTATAATACTGTATAACTGTAGTTATAAACATTCATAAATGATCATAATGCTTTATGGCAATAATCATAACACATTATAAAGCATTTTATCATGACTTACAAGGTCAGGTATTATAATGTGTTATAACTGTTAATAACAGTTGCATTGCATTATCTATGTGGGTATTGTCAGTGAGTTGTTAACAGTTATAACACATTATAATACTTGACCTTGTAAGTCATGATCAAATGCTTTATAATGTGTTATAGTTATTGTTATAAAGCATTATGATCATCTGAGTGTTTATAACTATAGTTATACAGTGTTATAACATGATTATAACGCATTATTGTGTATTTATAATGCGTTATAGAGATAGGCGTCAAGTCGAGTGTTACCATATTTCAATTAAAAAATAGTCCATGGTAAAAGTGAACTCTGTAGTTCGCATTTTGATGTTACTGACTCAGCTGTCAGTACTCACATCAAACTAAGTACCACATGGATCACCACTGCACCTGATCAAGTTTATCTACCTCCTCATAGTCAGTGACTGTGACATTTTGATTTTCATCCATCAATCCTTAAACTCTGTGGTTTCCTGAGATTTTTTATATGTTACGTCCAAGTGCTATCATTACTTTTGTAGAAGTCTCCACTGTAGCCTCCAGTGTTTGAGTTTTAAATTACCTTACCCTTACCCTTTCTCTGCCTTTTGTCTTGGGTTTTCAATCACAAACAAATAGTGGTATGCCTTTCATAACAGCAGTCCACTATCAGAAAATAACATGTTGCTATGTATTAACAGGTGTAAATACATGTACATGTTGTTTTGGTCTTGTTACTGGTTTATATCAGAAGATGGACAATTTGTTGCATATTTCTATTTACCAGGAAGAGTTTTACAAAAATAATTGAAAAGCAAAACATGTTTGTTTTTGTTTGCTTGTGTTTTTGTCACAGCTGTCAATTTAAAATCTAATTAAACCAAAACCCCAACTGCAGTCCTGATGAGCTGAATCTTTAATAAATGATAAGCCCACGTTTCAACCTGAATATTTGATGTAACAGAGGAAGACTTAAAGAGATGTTCTCCTCTGATGCCAATTAATTGAAGTAATATCTCTATCTTTAATGGGAGAAAATTCTCAGTATTTTTAAATGAGACCTCAGAGTTTTGACCTCTGATGGCAGCAGTTGGTTTAGTAGCCTTGGTAGAGTGTAGCTGTAATGAGCATTTTCTTACATTATTTTAATTTGATTAATCTCCTCTGTTTTACTATTTTTAACTGTTTTATGAATAGTTTTATTCCCCCCAAAAGTTTGGTGATGCAGTCTCTACAGTAAGTTATAGTTTAAAACAGTTGGTTCAGTAAAGTGACCCAACACACCTTACCTTTTTTTAAAATCTTGTATTTCCTTCTCTTTCATTTCCTTTTTAGTTAACATGTTACAGACTGAACAAAAATAAAATGAACCTTTCCAGAGTCTTTATAATCTTTACTGAACAACAGTATCATTTTCAGAGCCTTTTTATTACCATGACCACCCCTGGTCTCTCACCTTCATGTTCATAGAAGCAGAATTATGAATCATAGAGCAGGAACAACCATTTACCTGCTTTTAATCTGATCTCCATGTGTGTCTTTGCTTTCTACACTCTCTTTCCTCTGCAGGTGAACTTGGCTCTGAAGCAGAAGTCAGACATTGAGCACTACAGAAACAAGCTGAGGCTAAAGGCTAAGAGGAAAGGCTACTACGATTTCCCCTCCACTGACGGCAGCAGCAGTGGCAGAGCCCTGGCCCAGAGACAGCGGCACAGCCATGAGAGGGTAGCCGGTGAGCATGGCAGACCTCTGGAGCCCGATGATGAGCGAGGCTCCACTTTTGTCAAATCTCACAGGAGGTAAGGGAAGAGGGGAAACAACAAGTGGAAACAGGGTTTTAAGACAAAATCAATGCTTCCTTAAGGGGCTGTGAGGATATACTCGGAGCTGATACAAAGTTCTGCAGAGGGCAGGCCATTTCATATTGGTAGATGGAGCTTCTTTCTCTGGAGGAGGAAAAACGGTTTGAAGGTTGACACCAAAGTAAAAGTGCTGTGAGCCTGATAGTGGGGTACAGCTGCATGGTCTGCAAGAGTAGGCCAGTCATACCAAAACAGATGACTAATTGGTTAATTAACTTAAGGACTGATTGAATGATTAATGGATTAGTTGATTTGACTGAACTGTCTGACAAAGTCTTACACCAGTCTTTTATTACAGCTGCTCTATTTGCAACATAAACATTTGAGGAAGTTTAAAACACACTAATGTACCTTAACAATTGAAGCACTGAACAGGATTTGAGACCCCTCAATATACATTTGATCTGGTATAAAACTGCTCCAAGGGTGCTTGAGTCTAACATTAAACTGTGTATCTCAGGTTCAGTTATTGTCGATTCTTCTTGTTCAGAGCGTGGTTAGAGTCAGTAACAATGCTGTAAGCCAGCCTTGACATGTTTTTGTTGTAGACCTATTATCTCTCTGAGTGTCTGACCTCCAATCTCTTCTTACTACTTTATTACGTCAGTTGACATTGTCAGTGCATAAAGTTTAGTTCTTGTCCTTTTAAATTATTCTAAATCATTTTTTCCTTATAATCAGAAAAAGACAAAAAGGAGAAGATAAAAATAACAGAAAATGCTGAAATAACTCTTGAGGCTTTAATATTTCATATGCCAGTCTAGGCCCCCTTTTTTTTTACTGCTGCTCATTAAAGTATCACCCAAATTATCTCCCCCAGAGTATTTCTTTTCAGCTTTCCTCGACATAAAACGTTCACACAATTGTTTATTTCAGTTTTGGATAACATTTAGTTCATTCATGCTCTGTCCTTCATATAAAAAGGACCCCTTTTTTCAAGCCATTTTTCATTTTGGTTACATAAGTTACCTTCACTCTTTCTGACCACTTGTTTACCTGCAAAGGTTCGACTTCTTTTCAGCTTCTTTATTATTTGCCTTAGAGCTGTTATTCCAAAAGAATCCGAAAGAGATTTAATCCACTTATAAGAGCTTTAGGGTGTGTTCCCAAGAGTGTATTTTGTTTTCCTACGCTGCTTTACTTAATATCTGTTCTATTTCGTTTAAGACATCTGAAAAAGGTTTGAAGTTAACTGCATGTATAGAGCTGACCTTGAATCTTTGGACAGGTTTTCATCTGCTGGAGTGAACGTTAAAGTCACAGAAATAGAAAACAAAGAAAGCATTTGTCTATGTGTCCCCCCAAAAGGATAAGTAAGCAGGGAAAAGAAGTGTGGTCCTCCCAGGACAACAAATAGGTGGTTGTGTCACCTAATTATTTATAAAAAGAGATTGTTTTGTCATTGTTATTTATAGAAGCTTACAAGAGTCAACAGTCTTGCATGTTTTCTTTGTATTTATCTATATAGAGTATTAGAGTCACTCCACTCCACCTCCTTGTTTATGGTATGCTGGTGCAGCCCAGGCTCTGAGGTGGTTTACTTAACTAAGATATCAGAAGTGTTATTATCAGAATACTTTAAAATGCATTGATTCAGTGTTAATATAGATGACAGCAAAGTGAATTGCACGGCTCAACTCAGCACTGGAGAGCTCCGTCATGAAATGTGATGGCAGAGGAGAGTTTTATTGACCTTGACAATCTGGACTCTGAGAAAATCACACTTTTTCCCAGTAGATTAAATACCTCCATAAACATTTCTTAATGAGTCAGTGGTCTCAGTGGCTGGTTTCAAGTCTTTTTCAATACATCATTAAGGTTTATTGTAATTTATGGTCCTCTCTGGTGAAGGATCAATGATAAAGCAGGAAACACTTAATGATGGGTCTACTTTTGTGTGGCTGTCTGCAAACATAGCAGCCCCTAAATCATGACAGGGACTGAAGAGTGCATATCCAACCTGCTCACAAATGAAGCATGTTTAGTTTGTTGGAGTGTCAAAAAGAGAGAACAGACAAACAAGCTGAGATACATAATCAAATGTTTACAGACAATGACAAACAATAAGCAAGAGGATGTTGAGCATGAGGATGTTTAATTAGCCTAAAAACAGGATTATCTGAAAAAAAGGGTTTATTAATAAATGGTTGACTTCCATCTCTTCTTTACAGTCAATTAGGCCTGGACGATTTGGCCAAAAAGATGATCACGATATACTTTGTCATATTGTCCGATATCCCGATTTTTTTAAAACTGCCAGTTTTAAAGCATCTGTACTTAAAACTAAAAAATGAATAGATAAATACTAAACAAGACGTTAAATAACTTTTCTTCTCAACAATAACATCTTTGGAGGATGACTCAAAGTCATAGCTGACATCTATTTTACTGCCCTCAGCTCCATGCTAGGTTACTCTTTTTACTTGTCCAGCAAATTACAGAAGTGAGCAGGAAAAGCTCGACTCTGATTGGCTGCTGTGATGCACATTTTCCACCATCTTTGATCGAGTAAATGAGCTCACAGCTGATCACCGTGATCGAACTGAAGTTTATCACGATCATTAATCACAATCATATAATCGCCCAGTCCTACAGTCAGTACAGTCCAGAAACTACAAGGTGCCAGATCCCCCCGGCCTGTTTGATGGTCATGTCTGGCCCATGTATTTAAAACACAAGAACAATATATATGAACTGTTTCATTGAATGGTATCAATATTGTGTCTGTGAAGGCACTGAGAGACACCCACCAGGTCCATCAAAGTCTAAACCTCCAAAATAAAAGGAAAGGGTGTTGACTGTTTACTAAATGCTAATTCTGAATCCAAGATGATGACAGACTCAGGTCAAATGGGTAAACAGCCTCTTCCACATGAGATAAACATCAGACTTGATGCATTTAGAGCGGAAAGCGACATTCGGATTTTGGCTGGTTTGTTGACTTAGTGAAGGGTTGGATGGACTTGCTATTTTTATATCCCACCATGATGAGTAAGATCAGGTTAGAAGCACCAGTTTTCAGAGTGACATTATAATGAGGTTGAACAGAGACTCCAACCACATGCTGTTCTGGATTATTTTTCATTCATACTGATTGTAAAGAGTTGTTTTGTTTTACCAGAGGCCTTAAAAGCATGCATTTGCTGTTTAAGGATATCATCATGCCTGACATCATTACTATGTAATCTGCTGATTCAGTTCATTAACTCGATGTCCTAATGAGAGATCCAAGCATACTGTATGTTTGGTCTGCATTGATTTTTATCAATGATTTTCTATGGTCTCCATAAGCTCCACTTCACACCCATCTTTCACTGCACACATTCTGCAAACATACACAGAAAGGAGTTCATTTCATAACAACTTCCCTCCAGCTATGATGTGCACTGAAGCCACTCTTTCTTCTGATTGGCAGGCACACCCAGGTAGGACAGACGGCCTACCGCAGCAGACAGAGTCTGAGCAGTCCCAGTCCTGGAGGAACAGAGATGGACCTGCTTGTAATGAGAGAGAGACCCAGAAGAGGCATTCGCAACAGCGGATATGATGTGAGTCACATGTCATCACAAACTGACCCTGTCTACTAAACAGATGCCACTTATGTAATATGTACCATCAGGGGAAAGGAAGCACCTCTTCTAACTCTGGGCTCTCCAGAGCAACACTCTGTTAGTTGATTTACTGTGAATATAATGCTTATATGCTTGTAAACAAATCAACATGAGAGGAAAAAAGTCACTTAATTACTCCACTTTGGTAAAAATAGGAGAGATAATTATCAATCTGAGTTGAATCAGTGCTAAATCTGTGCTTTATTGCCCCATTTAAGACCTTACTCACCCACTGCGCTAAAAATTAGACACCCTCTCCTTCCCAGGTGCTTTTTCAAGTGTGCCACAGAAAGCTGCGAGAAGAAAAGTGGTTCATTCATAATTAAAAGAAAAGATTTATAAGCGCCTGTCATCTTGATATGTGGTGTGTCTCAGGATGGCTGCTTTATGCCTCGGCTCTTTCATTGTTCCATTATGGCTCTGTGTACAACTCTTTCTGTCATGAAGTCAGAATACTACCAAGTGAGCTCCTGCGAGTAATGGAGCTCACCATTCCTAAAAGGTGTTTTTCATTCAGAGCCGTCCTTTTGTAAAATATATGAGCACTGATAGAAATATTTCACTGAACTGCTGCTGACCTGGCAGCCTCTTTGACCAGCCACAGCTGCAAAAACACAGGTGGTCTGGTCCTTCTGTGCTGGCTCGCTAGGACACACTTATGGATAAAAGGGGAAACTGCAGCTTCTACCGTAGACAGTCAAATACAATGTGATTATTGTTGCATTTTAGTGCAAGCATTTTATTCTATATTAGGCTCGAGGGACAACAGAGGGATGCCAGTCTTTTTTTCTTAAAGGCAGATCCAACTTTTATTATGTCTCTTGGTTTTGGTTGGTTTTAACCAAGGACTGCATGAAACATGGACTTATCAGTTCCCAAAGCCCTCATAACATGGCTCATTGAGTGGGAAACACCAACCTAACCTAAGGTCAACTTTGCAATTTGGCAGGTATGGAGTCAAAGCCAAATCTAGCTGCCTGTCAGACAACTATTGTGACCTACATGTCAGTCCCATCATCCACATCCTTAATTGAACATAATTATGCAGAACTATAAGGATAATGCACCATGTCCCAAAGCTCAAATCATCTCAGACTGGTTTCTTGATCATGACTATAAGTTCGCTGAATACCATCATGGATGTGGTGACTGCAGTACAATCCCCATAGATCATAATCAAATACATCAGCATATCTTTAACACAGATGAGTACAGAAAGTTAACCGCTACATGATTGACATGAATACAAAAATGGCATATAGAGAATTATGTTAATCTTCTTTAAAAATGGGCTGCAGTGGGTTTTCTCAAGTGGTGTCAAAAAATGAAACCAATGCTGAAGTGCAAAAGCTGCATTTCCTCAAAGTCTCCACTTAGGGCTGGTACCAAATGCCAGGGAATCTCCATTAGGGGATTAGGTCCTGTGTTAAAATTCTCCTTTATACATTTAAATTCAACGTTTACAGGATTTTGTAATAATACATCCATCAAGATGTTTTACAGTGTCTACGGGGTTTTTGTGGCTTTAGGACTCAGCCTCCGGTTGTCAATCTAGGAACTTTGCTATGCTCTGTTTTTAACATCAAGAGTTGCCACTTGGTATTCACAGAGTAAAGCTGACTGCTCATCTCAGTTTGATATATTACAGAGTAGCATTTACAAGCTACACGACCCTTTTTCTGAAATCTTGGCCTGTTGATTAGGATGGGACTAGTGAAGCTGCAGGCTGCATCGCTGCAGATGCAAAACCATGTTGCTGGGGGACTGATTTATGAGGTGCACTACACTGGGTCTCCTGTGGCTCACTTCAATTCACACAGGAAGTAGGGCAGCCTCAACTCATATTCATTTATCACTGAATATAAGGACCGGGTAGATGGAAACAGAGGCTCGGGGAGAGAGCAGAGGGTATGAAAAGATGAGGGGACTTGTGGGAAGAATGAGGAAGAGGATGGAAAAGATGGAGTGGGGAATGTATTGGATCCTGTGGAATTGGTTACACAGAGTAGACAGGTTGATTACATATACTACATATGGTGTAGATTAGAAAAGACATTGTTTGCGCCATAAATAACCCACTACTGACAAATTGTTAGAAGTATAGAAAAGTACAGCTTAGCTCTGACTGAAACAAACTGGCTGCTTCTGCTGCTGAACCTTCTGTGACCAAGCAGTAACACTGCTGGTTCAAAGCCTTCCTGCTGACATGTCTCCAAAACTCGGAGAAACATTAAACAGTCTCTTCAAACTCAGCCGGCATCTTGTCAATAACCCACTGAGAGAATGACAGGAGACATTATTGAACTTGTAACTGTTCGTCTTCCTCAGGGTGCCTCTGTTGATACCCTGTTTATTCAATGAGGAGAGGCTTCATTTGAAAAGGTTTTAAATCAGGTGTAAATCAGAACATGCCTCCTGGGGTGTCTACATATTCAGCCACATAAGCCCTCAGCACAACTCAAACTTGGGCACTTGACTCACAATTGTGCCCTAGTTTAACAGAATGACTTTGTTTAAATGAAACAATGAAGGTCTAATAAGCTTTCAGTCACTAAATTAAACATTCAAGAATCTATCCACTCCCCCTCCCAAGTCTCAGACCCTGTCTGTCCTGGTATGTAGGACACATGCCTTGTGTTTGCATTCTTGGACACAAACAGAGACTTCCAGGCAGCATATGTTTACATTGCATCTGTAACTCCATCACTCAAAATGCAGAAACAAATGCACATCAGCCCAGCATGGCCAGATATTACAGGACATCTTTGGTCTGCTGATTTCAAATGTCATAAACATTCTCACTTATTAAGTGTGAATACATTTCTGCAAACACTGCAACCCTAAAACACCCAGACAATATTCTCCACACTCACAGTTTACATTGCTACATAATTGTATTGTCTCTTGGCTTTTTTCATGTATACTGAATCATTTCAACTCTTGAAAAACCTGAGCAGCCTGGGTACATGTCTGTCATTGCTGTTTACTGGATACAAGTTTGTACCCCTGCCCTCAAAAGACCCCTAAATTGGTGCCTATGTGAGCTGTCAGACTGCAACCAAAATATTTCAGCTTAATGCTACTGGTGCTCATGCATAAAAACAAATCAAACTTAAAGCTCCTGTGAGTAACTTTAGGTCTGTGTTAGTCATGGCGCCCCCTGTTGAGCTGGTAGTACCTCTTATGTGTTTGCTGATTTTTGCCTGTAAATGTGTAAGCAGGGTAATCTCATTCTGTTTTGTAAAAATATTCAAATGCATCACTTATTAAGGATCTCTGTGGTGAAAATGTAAGAAGGGCTATTTTGGAAGTGTGTAGTTAATTATTCCTTATGATACCTACCCCCCGGCAGCATTTTCAGGCTTGAAAAATAACTATTGAAAGGATTATGCATGGTAAAGCAGTAGCTATGGCAATTAGACTAATGTCACCTGAAGGGATTCTGATTTCCATAAATACCTGTTCACCATGCATTATACAATTTACTACCTGGCTTCTGACTAAAGTCGTAAATACATTCACACTAAGTATGGATTTAATGACGTCTTTATTGATTTCAGAATGAAATACCTTAAAACCTTAATTAAAGACATTTATTTAATCTTTGGCCGGGATCCTAACAATAACCAGGATTATAAGCTTGATGAGTGAATAAAAGCCTGCTTTTAATTACTTGCCAGGACAGATTAATAATTTTGAACATGGAAAACAATTTACCAGTGAATTCACAATGATCACCCACATCCATCCAACCATCCTATAAAATTAGGGTATAACCACATCAGACTCTAGCTGTCTATGGTAGTCCTGGACACATTATTGGAACACTGGAAAGCCTGTTTCAGCTCAGTCTGTATGTGGGAAGTTGAACCAAAGACGGACCCAGACTGATTTAGCATTCGTGGTAAATTACTATAGCAGTGTCAACATCATGTGGATAAACTTAAATATGGATTTATTTTTGGGTTATTCAGAGTAGTAATTTTTGACCTTGTCACCAACAGTTTAGTGTGATGATTCTTATTAATCTCAACAGGTGGAAAAATGTCATGCTGTTGGATTGGGGGTTTTTGCAATAACACTGGTTTATAGAGAGTGAGGTGTCATTTGCTCTAAATGAAGACATAATTAACCATACAAACTGATGTCAACAGTCACACAGGTATATTAAACCCTTTGTCCATCCATCCATCCATCCATCCATCCATCCATCCATCCATCCATCCATCCATCCATCCATCCATCCATCCATCCATCCATCCATCCATCCATCCATCCATCCATCCATCCATCCATCCATTTTCCTGTGCTTATGCGGGATCAGGTGGTGGAGCAGCAGTCTCAGCAAGTCATCCCTCTCTTTCCAGTTCTCCAAGTGGAATCCCAAGGCGCTCCCGGGCCAGATGGCCTATGTGCTTTGTGAATAATGCAATGTCTTTTCGAGTTAGTGAATCAGACCCTGACTCTGTGTAAAATATGAATTGTAATAATTTTCTGGGACTGAGAGAATTTGATATGAAGGCCTGTCTCAAACAAAGGCCTGCTTCATAGAAAGGCCTGGTACCTAAGGCAGTAAAAACAAATGAAAGACCTAAATTTAAATGTAGTACAGATAAAACAAAATAGTCCCTCTGATATTACATCAGGTAGTGCTTCTGTACGACATTCTATAATCCTTCAGTCATCAAAGTAAACATAACTAATCCTCAAGTACAAACATGAGCACCCTTAAATTATTATTATGCAACTGACCATTTCCACTGCAGGTCACGCAAAAAAGGGCCATCTGTAGGCACATTTGCAGTCTGTTTATTTGTTATTGTTTACAATTATATTGGACATTTCTGTTGACAGTTATGTTAAACACCACCAACAGGTCCTCTGCAAGAAAATCACTGTTGACTTTGGTCGTCTTTAACTTTCGTTCTTCTCAGAGCTTTGCAGTTGGCATGCCATTAAAGATAAATGAGGCAAATTAAAAACCCTCAACCCTGTCGTATAATCAATATCCCCTTTTCTCTGCGTAGATATATCCTCATCAGCTCTTCTGTCCTTACCTGGATTGTAGGATCTGTTGTTAAAACATCTTGATTGTTTAGCCTTCCAATCAAGTATGCTAACAGCAACTAATGTTTTTGCCACAGTGTCAACAAAACTACTTTCTGCGGATTGTGTCGACATGATGGGTGTGATGTACTTGTCTCTGGTACTCTTGTTATCCAGAGTTGATGTTGTCAAGAGTTTAAACCAATGAGAATCAAGTATTAAACACAGTAGAGTAGTAAGTAAGTAAAGCTGGTATTAAATATAAATAATTTGTCTCTGTGCTGATGGTCTGGTTTGCATTTGTAGGACATTGGAAGCATTAATATTAGTTTCAGGCTATTTTATAACCAGCAAAAAGTCATTGTTGGTCCCACACTGTTGCTCTGAAGTTCAGAAAGGTGTAACTGTATTATCTGTGTTTCAGACTGAGCCAGAGTTGATCGAAGAGACAAATGTAGACCGTCTGGTGGGGCCCCGGGGGTACATGTATGGCCGGGGTTTGAAAGGCCACTCAGAGACATCCACTCTGAGCTCACAGCCGTCCATTGATGAAGTGCGACAGCAGATGCACCTGCTGCTGGAGGAGGCATTCAGCCTGGCGTCAGGGGGGCAGTCCACATCCGGACGACACTCCCATCACCACCACCCGCCTCCTGACCACTACAGCCCTGGACCGCCTCCCCTCCCCTACGCAGATGTTGTAACCAGTGCTCCTGGTACAATGACCAGTGGACATGGGGGCCTACAGTGGGTACCATCCTACGGCTCAGATGTGTATCAGTGCAGCCTGCCTAAACCGGTAAGATGAGATCATTCCCCCTCACTGAGGTACAATGGTTGTGTTTATATAACCTCAAATGTCTCTCCCTTTCTCTTAAAGGCCTTTCACTTCACTCAGCTTCCTGAGATGGCCATGGGTTCTCCTCCCCCTTTACCACCTCGCACTGGTCCTCCTCCTGGGACCTCTTTAAGACGGTAAGGCTGAATTAAGCACAGACATACACTCAGTGTCTGTAGATTCCCAAAGTCCATCTGATAGTCCACATTTATTCACATTCATATTCAGGGACCAGATATTCTCTTGGTAATGTGCTGTGGCCAGGGTGATTTTAGGCCTTGTATAAATTTGAATATGGAACTAGTGCATTGAGAGATGGTAAGAATGTTAATGAGCTGCTCACTCCTTCACATGGAGTGTAGCTGCCATCTAGTGGTGCTGATCAGGTATTTCAGGTACACTCAGTGTTTATTCCTCCTCTATCTCTATTTAACAGTTCCACCTCCGACTTGGGGCCTAAGGGAAGGAGCTCAGAGACATCTGTCACTGAAATGCAGAGTCAACATGACAACAACCCGTATGGGCCAACGACCAGAGCAGCACTTCCATCTATCACTGCAGAGCAGCCTGTGTCCAAATACTCAGGTGATAAACCAAGAGGTCACAACTTTGCTTTTCAATAGTGACCAGTTATCTGCTTTGCTTCTGCCAACAAATGTTTTTATACTTGAAAATGAAGCTACTAAAGTTTCCAATACTGAATGCCTGCCCCCCCCCCCCCCCCTCTTGTCTACTCTCCATAGGAAACCCAATAACAGCCGTCTACGCCATCCCAGCCAGCAGGCCCGGCTACTCAGAGTACTTTGTCTCCACCCCTCCCACCTCCTACCACAGTCCCTCCTGGATGTCCTATCCTCCAGAGCCTGAGGATGTGCCTCCACAGTGGGCAGACTCTGTAAGAAGGCCTGTGTTTCTTTCTCAGGCAGCATCCTATTCTGTTCGACACTTTGCCAGATGTTTAGTCAAACTAGGACACTCCCAGCTCTGATTCATCTGTCACAGTGCTCCCATAGTGTTGTTCCCTCTTCGAGAGCTTTTTAATTTGTAAAGGTTTAACGTTGTATGTAGCTTTTGAGAAATATCTTGCAGAGTTAAGCCTTCATCTGGAGAGCAAGCAAGTTAGGAAAAAGGGCTTTTTGTTTGTGGGCTCAGTCAGATAGTAATGATTAAAGTAAAATTTTTTAATAAATATCAACTAAATACAGCTCTAAACTGATAAAAGGACATTTTTAACCCCATTAGCTTTGCAGTGATTGAAGTGGGTATGCTATGACAATGAGGTGCTATGCTGGCTGGCTGCCTGAATTTTTTCTGAGGGGGGGTTGGGTTGAGGTTGGGCACAGACCAGTGAAGACAGATTCAGGCCTTTGGTGTGGTCCATTAGAAGTCTCAGAAGTTGGTTGTGAGAGCTGGGAATTACGTCACACCTTTATTGACTGAAATTCAGTTATGAGTTGAAAACTACTGCTAAAGGAGGCGGTTTTATTGTTCGCAATGTTAGCCACACCAAGCAATAACACTAGGCCTTGGTTGCATCCCTGAGGCACTACTCCTTACATAGTGAGTTGGATGTAGTGGGCTGTGAAGTGAGGTCTGAAGTGAGCATAATGAAATCATTTCAGACACTACTTGCCCTCCCGCTGAACTCTGAATAATGATGCCGTTGATTGTTTAGACATACTGTTCAACGCCAGCTAGTGATAAGTGAAGCATTATATTAGCCAAAACAAGTAGAATAGCAAAAAATAATGTTTTGATATGACAATGAAATCCTTAATTTAATATAGTTGACTGAGGAAAAACACATTTTTTTCCCCAAAGAAAGTCTTTTATCCCTGAAAGCAGCTTTAATGCTGCCACAATAGTTCTCTTTCATCTCATTTTATTTACTGTATTTTATTCTGTTTTATAATTATTTGCTAATTTATTTGTATGGTTATTTTACCGTCAGTTTTTTAATGTAAATATGCTGCTTGAAATTTGTGAAATGCTCAACAGTTTTAACTCCTGTGTGGGGAAAAAAAAGCTCTCATCTGTCTGCTGTTTTCATTTATCCAGCAATGCATGATGGGATATATTGCTTGGTTAGTGACCATAGATTGTACGCTACTTTTACAACTCATTGTGTGAAAGTTCACACTAAGAGTGCCCATAAATGTTTCTCAGAATTTGGACAGCACTACAAAATGGTTTATCCAGATACAGTGAGTTGTGAGTGACGTAAAAGCAACATAAAAACCTGTCTACAGGTAGAACTTGCACAGTGCTGTACTATGATAAGGAACACCACTGAAAATACTGTTTTCCTGTTGATGGAGGGAGAAACCATCTTGGGTTTCAAGCTCAGGACACCTGAAGTTACTTTAAAAGGATATTCCGGTGTAAAATTAAGTTGGGGTCAAACACACCATAACACTGAGTTAGACACCCCATCGAGAAGTTAATATTGCAGACCGCTTGCTTCTCTAGTTATACCAACTTGAGTAACGACCGCAGATAGCAAAACAGAGCGGTCCCAGGAGCCACACACCCAGCCAAAAAGCCACTCTATAGCCACAAATAATGCTCAGAACAGCACCTAAATTCATCAACAGTACATATAAGGTCCCAGCCATGGTACTAGCCACCAAACATCTTTTTAACTTTGCCTGATTTCTTTAGCAAAGAGATTAAACACAACTCACCTACTCTCTTCCAGCAGCCGCTTGTTGGTACGGAGACCTCAGGTGAGTCCATTACGGCTGCAGGGTGACGCAGCTCTAGGAAGAACACTTATGATTATTTCTTCATTAAAATACAATCAGATTGAGATGCTAAGGCAGAAGATCTACCGCGTCTGCAGTGCAAAATGATTAATATGATGATTATTACTTCAAGGAAATGATAAAGAAATGATCATAAATGTTCTTTCTTGAGCTGCGTCACCCCGCAGCGGTAATGGACTCACCTGAGGTCTCTGTACAAACAAGCGGCTGCTGGAAGAGAGTAGGTGAGTTGTGTTTGGTCTCTTTGCTAAAGACATTAGGCAAAGCTTAAAAGATGTTTGGTAGCTAGTTCCTTAACTTAATTTTACGCCGGAATATCCCTTTAAGTCTCTCCATGTCAGAATTCTAACTTCAGGGGGTGTCCTGGGTGATATATCGAGCAGGCATCTTGGAATTTCTGACCTCCGAGATCAAATGCAACACACCAGTGGCCAAAAGGAAGTTCTGATTTAAGTCTAGCTTTTCTCAGCATTTTTGCTCTTTACACAGACTAATATAGAGTTGTAAGTCACTGAAAACAGAGGTTTTCAAAAATGCCTTGAAGGTGGAGATTTTTAAAAACGGTTCTCTGCCTGTTCATGAGGATATCACACTGACACTAACATCGGTTGCTTCCTTCAAGGGAAATCTGTCTTTCATCATTGTACCATGGTGTGAGGGCAAATGAATATACTGTATAAGTATGGAGATGCACAATGCTGCTTCCCCACAGTCATCACGGTCCTCTATGTTGTTTGTTGTGTCAGACTGATTACACGTTATCACCGCCACCTGGTCTGGCATGTTTTGTGATCATTTTCAATTGTTCCTGTGGTGTGAATAGGATTTCTTTTAACACATCTTTGTTTCCAAAAAGATTCACTTATGTGTGGACTTGGCCTTAGAGCAGAGAGACTGTTGTAAACCCAGCCTGTACTGGCCAATAAAGCTGCTGCATTGTGGAGATCTGTGAGCTGATCATAAGGGGAGGAAGTGAGATGTAGGACACTAACAGATGCAAATCATGCTTTGAATCATGTTTCCAACCTATTTTTATTATATTGTCAGTGTGGTACCTGAAATGCTACATCTAATACTGTTGTACATGCCACAAGAATAAATCCAAGCAAAAAAAAAAGGAACTAACCAGACTTATTTTAGTTAAGCTTTTGCATTCTCAGAGTTGCCAAGCTGGAAGAAAACCTTAAGGTATAAAATGGCCCATTCCCTCATATAGGACGTTAAGCTCCTAGTTGTTTTCCTTATATCTCATGGCACTGTGATAGTTGATGAAGAATTGAGTCGGGATAAAACAGAAAAAGTTTAAAACTCTGGATGGTAAAATAGATATGTATTCTAGCAGTAAGGTGTGCATAAAACTGCCGCTCTGTTACAACAAAAAAGTCTGCAGAGCATCCTCTGTCCTTATCTACCCTTGAACAGACCCCATTAAGCATTTCTTTTCAAGCATCCACCTACCTTCTCCTCTTTTTTTTCTAAAAAATAAGATGGGATCCATTTGTCTTGTCATATCTGTTGTTACCCATGTAACCCTCCCCTCCCCTGCACAGGACTCACCTTGTTTGTATTGGATGTTCTCTTTTTGCTTGTCTGTTTGCCTGTTTCAGCCGGTTGTCTTCACACAGTGTCTTTTTGCAGAACCAGTGTCATTTAGAAACCATTTGCTGATCTGAATTAATGGCTGCCGTTGAGTGGACACAACAAAACACCAGGGTAGATGAGCACATTTCCTAAAAGAACACTTATTTTCTTTTTTGTCATTTTGTCGTATTAATCTGACACCTGTAAGGAGTTTTGGTACCAGCATTGAAAAGTAGTCCATCTGTGAGTTCAAACACTGTTTGAACCAAAAACCATCTTAGTGAACAGTAGCTCTAAGTCTCCACCATCTTTATGTTCCCCGTCATTTCACCCTATCATCCATTTGATTCTTTTAAAATAATGGTGCACACGAAAACATTCAAACCTCGCTCATATACTGTATTCTTTCAATGACATGATTTGCAGCCATACTTTTTGTTGTGAGTAGTAAACAGTTAAGTGACTTTTTTGCTGATTTCCTGACTCATCTTTTTTCTAGTTGCCCCTGCCGGGGTATGTGGAGGCCTTTCCTCATCCTCGGTATCCACAGGGAAGCCCAACCAGGCTGCCCCTGGAGTACAGCCCAGCACTGGAGCCCCCGCCTGCCGCCCCCAGCACAGCGTCCAAACAAAGCCTGCCGCAGGTGGTGAAGGACATGGACAGCATGCCCCTGAGCAGCCTCTCCACCTCTGCACTGGTGCAGGCTATCCGGCAGGAGGTGGCAAAGCTGGCTAAGAAGCAGAACGACATGTTTGAGTTCTAGTTTTAATTCTGCCCTATGGTGTGCAGGAGATGGTCTTCAACAGTGGCGCCCAGAGGTGATGCACCTGCAGACTGATTTTTGATGTTTGTACTGTAAAACAGACTGATCTTCTCTACCCACCAATAACCCACTGATTGGTTTCTTTCATATGCCATTGGTGATTTGGAGCTCCTTAATTCAAGGAATAGAAAAGATTTTTTTAAGAAAAAAAATCCATCCTCTATCGATGATGTCCCAAGTAACTACATGCATTTCTTCTTTGTAGATATGTCAATATGATTCACTAACTATGGAAAATCAGAGCTTTTTTCCTGGGTTAGGCATTTTTTCGTGAATCAAAATTTAACTGAGAGGAGAGAAAAAGTAGCATTATTGTCTGTACTGAGAGGACCAAAAACTTCCTGTCAGATGGTTAACCACAGTGTATATGAGCATGTACAGTATTAGGACATCATGTGTCTTATATCCTTTACAGACCGTTTGCTTCTTAAAGAATGGCCGGGTCGGAAGCAGTGAATTATACGATCTGCACCATCTCACTTTACCACTTTTCTTTTCACTGACTCCTCTGTGCATTTATCCGATAGACACCACTAAAGTAACAGCGATCACTGACCATTAGCTGTTTTTCCTAATATAATCAGAGATTTAAAGTGATGGACCCTTTGACTAAACTGATTATTTATGACTAAACCTTTTTCCATTAAAGCCTTCTAATTAATTAAGCAGCTGTTAAGATGATGTAATGCAGAGATGGAAATGAATCTGAAATAGAGAGAAGCATTTATTTTGATCATATTTTGGTTCGCAGAAGCTTTGGCTTAAAGGTACAGTGTGTAGAGGCAGAAATATTTCCCAATAACCAGCGGTCAGGTCCAGATTGAGGCCTTGTCCATATGTAAGTGGGTATTTTTGAAAATGGAGGTTTTTCCTGTTCTGTTGAATAAAAAAATCATTTCCCACAACCATGCAAAAAAGATTTCAATTGCCAACATAAGCATACCAGGCCAGTTGGTGGTGATAATGTGTAATCAGTCTGTCACATAAAACACAGTAGAAGACATGTAATGAGCGCCTACAGCAAATGTAAACAGTGATCTTTAAACTGTGTGCTGTATTCGCCTCTGCACTCTGATATAATGACGAAGAAAAGGCAGTTTTCCCTGTAAACATGCAATCAGACTGAGAAGCACGTAAATGTATGTTGGCAGGCCGCCAACTTGATGGATGCACAATACAGATAGACAAGCATTGTCATGTGTGCATTGAGGTTATGACATCAGCGTTTTTTTTTTTTTTGCTGTACTCATGAACATGGACAAAAAGGTTTTCACCACCTCGGAAAGTGTTGTTGAGCACCTTTGGTTTGAGAGTCCCAAAGCTCTGTCTGCTTGTGTACAAAAAGGGGCAATAAAGCACAGGAAAAGCTACAATTTAAAAAATACTCATCTGGACTAAATGTAAAACACTCTCTTGCTCACCCTTTCCAATGAAATGGTGGTACCTTTAGGGGACAACAAGCTCCTGTGATGCATAATAAGTATAATTTCCCATAAGTCAAGTTTTAACCATCAAAAACTATCAGTACAAACAAAGAGTGTATGTTACTAGCTTGTCTGTTCTGTGCAATTGTAGAAACTTGGCGTTTCAAGAGGGCGGCCTCTGCGAAAGGAGACCCACTCCTTTTGTAGATACAGCTAAAGACTTATTCTATATGAACAAAAATATTTTTTTTATGTTCAAGTGATTATAAGCCAATTTAAACCTACTTATGAATTTTCTAATCTATTTCTGACCAGTTTGTTCTGCTAAATGCCAACACATTTTACATACTGTACCTTTATGTTTCTTTTTATTAGATTTAAGTTAAAAAAAACTCAATCATCAGACTTAAGTTACTTTATCCCTGCTGCTAGACTGACATAAAGTTGAGTTAGGATGCCACAATGAGCTAATGCACAAAGAACCCTGAAAAACTCACAGTGAACACTGAACCCTTTCACTCCATTTTCCCTCTGACCTCATTCAGAGAGTGGGGACCTTAAAGGCTGTTGTGATTTTATTCCACTTTGTTTCAGGTCTACTCAATTAAGGGAATCTCAAATATCTAATTTGGTCTTAAAAAATCAGTACCTCACAAGTCATTTGGTAAAACCGCATTTTAAGATAGAACATGACAAGATCATTTATCAGGAAACAAACCACTTCATAAGTAGCTGTACTTTCTTGTTTAAAGTCTGAACATTGACACTAATGTTAGCGAGTATACAATTGAATCTTAACATTAGTTATTGCTAAACATCAGCTGATGAGATATTGAACATTTTTTTGCCTAAAGCTCCTGTCAGTAATGTTTAGTTTTTTTCATATTTGGCGCCCCCCTGTGGACAAAGCAGGCTTTGCTGATATTGTCCTCTGCATGCTTAAGTAATTTCCTCTGAGAAAAAAAGAAGAAAAAAAAAAACTCATCCTGCTGACTTTTCGTGTACTGTGAATATTTGAGGGTGAATATACAAAATTACACTGATTTTAGATATTTAGAACTGAAGAATGAAAATAGTCAGTCTTGTTCCTGATGGACATGTTTGCTTCTAAATATCATAGAGGCTTTAAATCTGAATTTAGTACAGTTTCAAAAATGTCAAAGACTTCACATAGAAACTTTAAATAATTTATTGTTCACTGGATTTTTCTATATTGAAGTAGATTAAGTCAAATATGATGAAATGCAGTTTTTTAACTTTTATAAAACTTGCATCCTGAAACAAAGCAGAACAAAACTACAACAGCAAGTGAACTTTTCACCCTGAGAGGAAAATAATTGCCATGTGAGTTTGATAAATTTTCATGGTAACTGAGCGAAAGTTTGTCGACTTTCATAAGAAAGCCTGGTTTTGTTTCAGGCTTTTAAAGGTATTATTTGGTGCATTTCATGGACAAAAAGTCCATGTGAACTTTTGACCGCGTGAGAGGTCTTATATGAGAACTCCTGTTCAGAAAAGCCATCAGTACACAAACCTCACTGTGTTTGTGTGACATTGTTGAGTCTCACTGAGTGTTTGGAAGTGCTGTGTTTAGTATGAATATATCAATGTGGTGCATCTGAAATCACCCTGTTTGTGACAGACCTGTTTACGGAGCAACACTCACAGTTACATGAAAACCCCATTAAAATTAAGATGTAAAAAAAGTGACCGCTATGAATGCAAGCTGAATGCACATAACAAGACTGAACGTAAACAAATACCAAAAGTTATTGAAGTTATTGAATCATGGCACATCATTTTTCTTGGACAGAGTCGTACTCATATTTCACTGTGGTGTAAAGTCATCAGGAGAGTATGATGAACTTCCACTGCAGAAGGTTGGCTTGGTTATGGAGAGTCAGACTGATGGCAGAGTAATCTATGAAGGTTATACTGCAAAGTTGTTGAAACGTGTTTGCATTCAGCATTCAGGTGCTACAGCTCACCTACTTTGACTACGTTACTGCAAACCACATGGAATGTTTCGCTGATTGCTGATGCTGTTATTAGAGAGATGCAGCTGTGAATAAGAAAGACTTTTCAGAATATAAATGCCTTTTTTATGGGACAGTGTCGCTTTAACAGCAGTTCTGTATGAATTCAGCCTTTTTACATCATGACTTTTAAAGCCTCCCTCCCTCCAAACATACTTCCTTTTATACTCATGCCTGTTGGTGTGTAAGTAAGTTTAAGAAAATAAGGTATGTCTTAAACTCAAAGAGGACTCTGTTGCTTGTTTTTCTGTAACTCCTTTGACCCCGTAATGCAGAAAAGCACTTCTTGTCTTAAAAACTGTACTAATTACAGTAAAAACCTGTTTTTTTTTCTGTGTATACCTGAAGTGAACACCTTTCCACCTTCACATGCTGGAGAACTAAGTGATATTATTTAAAAGGGTTTTATGTGGATCAAAAGTTTAGAAAGATGAAAAGTATTTATTCTACAAATGAAGTATGAATCAAGCTAAATCTATTACGAATCAATGTCTTTTTGTCTCCCTCACTGGTTTTCTCATTTCCGTTTCATCTGCTTGATCTTGTTCTATTTGATGTTCCTCAGAGATTGATCGGACAGGCGGACCTTGAGACAGATGGAGAATGAAAGAAATATTAGCCTACATGATTGATATCAAATAAAAGATTTTATTAGAACAATCAATCATTATTTGTGTCTTCAGTTTGTCCTTTTCTGTCTGCGGGGAAGTCTTCCTGCTGAGATATTTCACAGGAGTTGCAACACTTGAGTTACACTGATGCTCCTCTTGTATAATCTTCTCTGGTACTTCATTATTTCACTCTTTTAATATTTCAGTGACACAGTGAAGGTTATCACATTTTACAGCACAGGGAAGTCAGCACACCTTCCTACCATAATACCTGACACTTAAAGTTCAGATTTTAGCCTTTTTGCCTGAGGCAGTGTGGTGGCTGAGGGCAAAAAGTGGTCAGTATTTGTGTGTCCTTACATGAACTGTTGTCAGACATGATGCAGGAGCTTTAAACTTCATCTATTCATCCATTGCTTATGCTATTTACCCCTCAGGGATTACTCTGGGGCTCTAACTAAAATCGACTGTATGAGAAGTATACGTCAGACTGGCTGAGACACAATCACAGGGCTAGCTCTGAGGCTGACATCTAGAAGTCTAAGACATTATGATTCGGTAGAGATGCACGTTACAATGTGAGGAAATCTGTTTGTATGCAGTTTTAAACTTTTAAATATTACAGAAAGACAATACACAAACATGAGTAAAGACAGTCTGTAGGTTGGCAGGTCAGGAACAGAGTGAGAAGACTTAAGAAGTCTGCTTTATACCGTCCCAAGCCCAACCTGCTTAGATGTGCTGCATTAGTGACAAGCTCTCAAGACCCCACCCACAGCCACCTATGACTGAAATGACTCTGCCCCCTCTTCCAGCTTCTTTTTACTACAACTACCACAAACACTGCTGGATGAGTGATATTGTCAAAAGAGAACAGTAGAGGTAGAAATTTTTGGACTTACTGACATGAACTTCGCTGGTTGGAGGATCAACAGGACAGGTTTCACCATCAGTACTACAATATATCATGAAATAACTGCAGAGATCATACCAGATTTATTTGGGGTCTGGTCGCAGCTTACCACCTATCATAAAATTTAGCTGGATATGAGCTCTTCAATCCCCACACCAAAATCACACTCTTACACTCTTATCTGTACTTGCGTAACCTCAGTACAGAAATATAGAGGAAACTTAACTTTCATTCAAATCAGTCTTAAAATCGTCTGGGTACTATAAACCAGTGTTTTTCAACCAGTGTGACGTAGCGCACTAGTGTGCCATGACTGATAGTCAGGTGTACCCTGAGAAATTATCCAATTTAACTTTATTGGTCTATTTAAAAAAAAAAAAATACTTATTACATGCAAATAATATGCACTTCTCAAGTGTCTGTGCTGTGATCTACAGCCCCAGGTTTCACACTGGGTGAGTATGAATAAATTTAGAGACTATATTGTCATTGTATAAACCTGTATCTAGGGCTACCAAGTGTCATTTACTAACATTTTTGGTTGGTGGTGTGCCTTGTGATTTTTTTCAATAAAAAAAGAAGTACCATGGCTCAAAAAAGGTTGAAAAACACTGCTATAAACACAACTTCATAAGGCTTTTAAATTCATAATATTTGTTGAACCTGGAGGGGCCGTTCTTAGCACATGCCACTCACCTGGAGTTATGCTGGGTCTGTTCATCAATGGAAGTCTGCCCAGAACATTTACATTACCACGTTTAAAGACCATGTTTGAGCTCTTTTTGTTAATGACTATGAAGATAACACTAAAACTTTGTCAAAACTAATACCCATTTGCATTTCAGCTGCAGCAAATTTGGGAGACTGTTGTGTACTCTTGGGGCCCAGCAGGAGTCTGTATTCTATTAAAATGAATTAGTAAAGGGTGGATATGGACTAGCTTTTATATTCAGGGCTTCTTTTATCCAGCTGTGAGTAACCTCGGTCAGCTGTCCTGAGGTGAGTATGAAATGTGCCCAGTAGGTCTGTCTGTACCATCAGAGAACTGGTGTTTATACCTCACAGAGTGATGATGCAAAAACAGTACAAGCACAGCGGCTGTGTTTCATCATGGTTTACCAACAACCAGAGCGGAAACATTTTCTGTCTGCCTTAAAGGCCTGACTCTAACTTTCACCCCATCATACCCAGCAGCTGATGTGGAGATTCAAGCACAGTGAACATTTTGGGTTGGAAGCAATTTTTTTTAGGTAAACATGAGCAATATATTACAGGTAAATATATCAACAGCAGATGTGTTGAAGCTCATTGATAGTGTGCTTAGGCTGTCCTTGTGTGTACATGATTAATGTGTCCCCATATCAGCAGTACATCACAGCAGGCATTTTCTAATCTGCCAGTACTAATAATTAACTTTTTCAGCAATTTTCAGTGGAAGCCAATACTATGCCACTATTATCCTAACTGCTGAGTAATGTATTGATCTGTGACCGTGTTAAATCATGGACTGTAACAAGACAACACAAATCTTTGTTGAACCTGGGATAGGGTGGCATACAAAAGGTGACCTGTTAAAGGTTTTTTTACACTTAATGACAACCTTTATAGAGCCTTATTCATATTAATGGCAGGTGACATGTCATAACAGCGTAATGTCAGTCCTATGTACACCCCTTCAAATAAAGTGTTACACAATACTTGAACAGAAAATGCAGGTCATTTTCTGATCCTGCTCCAAAATGAACCATGAGTCCAAACCCACCACGTGTTGGAAAATCTGACCATAAATCAAGCTCTAAAATTGACAATAAAGAAATAATCCTGTTACTGATAAATGTAATTTACTGTTTAGGCCATAAAGAGGCAACAGTATAGGAGCTGTAACTTTCTGCTGTCCTTTGGAAATTTTTGAATCAGTCTCTGTAAAATAACATCAGAAGGTGTCTTTTTACCAAAAGTGAAATGTCAAGGCAGCGTGTAACATTTATTCTAAAACCTTGATGTTTTAAAAAGTTGCTGATTATCTATGTGAGATTTTTTCGAACATTTTTTTCATTTCCTTTAAGAAAAAAAAAAAAAATGAAAACACAAATTAAAATCATTTTGATTAACACATCTTGATTTGAAGAGTGTGCTTGAAACTAACCAGGCAGAAGATTAGGAAACTATTCCTGAATGAAAAGGAAAAATTTGTCTTTTTTTTTTTCTATTACATTCTCGACTGACATCACATGTGACCTTCAAGCAAACTAAACAGTGTTTCAGGATATTCATGTTTTTATTTTTATCATAGACAGCTGCACAAGATTGAACCATCTTTGCTTTCTTTCTTATCTTTGCTTGCTTTGCTAGGCAGTCATGGGTAGTTCAACATTTGCCCACCAGGGTTCAGCCTTAAGCCATGCAAACAGCGAAAAACACTCATCCTTATTGAGAAGTCTAATAAGCACTGATACAGGCACAGGGGTATAGCTTTGCATCAACAAAACTAACATGGACAAGTAAAGGGAATTACAATTCTTAAGGTGATGCTGGACACAAATATTGCACAGCTTATATTCACCTGGAGTGAATCATGGAGTAATCATGAAGAGGTCAGGACTTTCACATGCTGCCCAATCACGAGACTGATATTTGCACAATGGTTTATTTAAAAGGTGAAGGCACCTCTTCCTTTTGTGGATGAAAAAATGTCACTGGCTCTGAATCTTATTAGTAGGATAATAAAAAACAAACAGAGCAGGAGCCTATACATGAAGGGAGTTCAGTATACCTCAGGTATCTGTTGCTCGTCTCGCCTCACTGACACGGACAGAGGTTATCACACGAGACAGCCTCACGAAGCTGGTTATCAACCTGATCTGTCAACCTCAACTACAGTGAGCATGTTCACATGAAAAGGGGGTTGTGTGCGCCATGGAAACAATCACAGTCATGAACTAGTTTGTTGTGAGCAGATTGTCATATTTTTCAAACAGAGAGTGAACTCTGATGACTTTAACTGCATAATATAGACAAAAAGGAAAACTACACAGCTTTGTTTTTGTAAAATGAAGGAATGACTGTCACATATATTAAGATCTCAATTAGACCTATCACACTCCATTTAGTGTGCTAAAGATCTGTCAGCAGTAACTCCCTTTTATTCCTTGAAACTGATTTGTGGCTGAGATTTATTCTCAGGGCATGTGTGACAGTTTTACATGATATTTCAGCAGCAGCCCTGTCAGTGTTAGGAGACTGATAATGAATATGAAAGCATGATTAAAAATGATAAACATGCATAATTTTATACCTAACTTCTCCAGTATTATATAATTTATAATGTAGAAGAATAAAGTCAGGAAGGTACAACCAATGACTTTCACTCATGTTTATCAAATTTTACATCCTAGGGACAGATAAGTCCTGTTTGTCTCTCTCCCCTCTTGATTTACATCCACAGGGCTCCATGAAAAAGATGTTTAATTGGTCAGGAGGGAAGTTTTATACAAACTCATTTCTGATCTGGTTACTTTCATGTCAAGTTACCATGGTGATCCACCCTAGTAGGGAAGTGCACCACTTTTGTTGTACTGAAAACTGGAGTTAACCCTGAAGCTGCCTTGATAAATGCAAATCTTGCTTCTTGTATAGTCCCTTGGTCCGAGCCTGAGCTAGCTCTAAACATTAACTTTATGAATTAACTTGAGACAGTGTCTGCCTACAGGACTGGGATGCAAAACTGAAATGGTTGATGGAAATGATCATAGTTATTGGACATTTCATTGTAGGGAAGTCTTCCATGAAACAGCTGTAAGCCTGTCCTTACTACTGGCATATCTTTATAATACTATAATCAAAGTTTGCCAGTAAGTAATGAGTACAAGTTAGTGCCATGCTGTAACCTTTAGAAATTGTTGCACTAAATCAGATCTACACATAATTACCGGAAAGTATACCAGGAGTTAATTAAAGTATTTCCAATATGGGGGGGAGTTTCAGAAGAACAACACAACCGTCACTTTCTGACCCTGATATTTTTATTTGTAAGTAATTAGTACCTTTACGTCTCAGCATCCCTTTTACATAATTTACTCTCCTCCTCTTGTACAGACTCTTATGTCTTACAGCTTCATTTATTCCCATCTCCTTATGATAAGTAGCTATTTTAATTAATGAACTCGTACAACTCAAACGGCTTGTGCTTGTGTTTGATGTCTTCTCTCTCAGGTAGAGAGTGGATAGTTAGAGCCTAATTTGGCAGCTGTAATTACATGTGATCCAACTCTTAAGATTCATTATCGCTAATAAAAGCTACTTAAATGAATTATAGCAGAGATTTTTTTGTACAGACAGAAGCACAGAGACGAGATAATCAGCACAGTGAACAGTGCAAGGACGGGGCAAGAGAGGACAACGAACACAAGGTGATAGAGAAGAAATCCTCATGTGACTCTGAAAATGACATATCTCCCTCTGATACTCTGGAGTGTTTGCACTTTTATATCTCTATCAATCCTAAACCAGACAGAGGTCTTACTAGGAAGCCTGAGGATTTGTAACGACAGATTTTTTTGTCATTTATGAGCGATGAAGTATTAATGTGAAAATGATAAATTTCTTCCCACTGAAACGATCAAAAAGTGTTAAAACAACACAAGGAAATATTGTTTTCCTCTGTCTATACGATTTGATATGGATGAAAGTAACACATTGTTTTCTACTGAGTGAACTCTTCCCCAGTGGTTCCAGTTTTCTATGTGAACCCAGTAGGTGGTGCATTGAAAGTCAGACACAAACCAGACTGGCTGATTCTCATTAGCAGACGCCTCTGA